TACCCAGAGCGACACGGTGCCTAGCAACCCAGCTACGTACAGGTCACTTCCCTACGACTAAGTCATACCGATACCGATTCAAACTAATCGACTCACCTAAATGTAGGACGTGCGGCATAGATGATAGCATATCGCACAGAGTATTTATATGTAGAAGACACATTATGGCAAGAATCACCTTGCGAAGAAAGATAACCAAGATCAACGTTCGGTTCGAATTAGGTCCAATGCTCAGGAACGCACAAGCTCTTCAAGCCCTTTACGAGTTTTTCAAACCACAATTGACTACGTACCCAAGATACTCCGGTGGTCCGGCGTAACCGAGAAAATTCCCGGACACGCAAATCATCAAGACATTTTACGACACTAGTCAAGAAACGCTTCCTACCAATTCAACATACCATTCAAATCCTCATGCTTTAAGAAGTATTGATGGACGCAGTTTAACTTTGTATCGTCTTAACAATATATTTAGATTTCATCATCATTAATATAAAGTTTTCAGGTATTTTACAAGATAAGGAATTGTTTTACATAGTAGCAACTTTATAATACCCCGATAGATCTTGTTGATCATAGTAGTCGATAATCAAGACAGAGATTTGCTTTCACGTTATTTTTGAAATGAAAGTATACTCAAGGCTTTTTACCCGGTGCTGCTACCTGATTTATCTGTACTGCTATGGTGTATTTTAATTCACTCCGGCTGACATTCTCGCCCAAAACAAAGTTTTATTAACAATGAGATGGACAATTATCTCAAATTAACAATAAGATATAATAATTTTAGTGACACACCCCCAAAATCACCACATACCTGTGTACCTAGTAATCGCTTCGAGAAGATAATATAGCATGTGAGCTATTTCTCAATGAAGTGAGCATATGATAGTATCGAAGAGCTATAAAGCATATTTTCTGTTGGTTCGTAAATATTGATCACGCTTATTATATATAGGTTGGAAAAATATGTTACGTTATATATATGTTATGTTATTGTTATTATTATTGTTTCTTTGTTTCTGTACAAAATGGTCTTCTTATATAGTACTCACTGTCCGCATGTTTCCCGAAGTCCTCAACTTTAGTGCGCCTTGGCGTTCATCTTGTCCTTGCTGCGCATCCTTGTTCCGTCTTACTAAATGATGCTGTATGTTTAGCGCTGTATCGGTATTCTGACAGCGGTGAAGACTTAGATCCTCTCCTCACAAGAGGGTAGTAGGTTTGAATCCAATACGGTGCAAAAAGCATCTTAACTTACGACTCCGGTCAAGAAAAACTTTATACGAGAAACACCCAAAATGACAGAGTTCTTACAGAAGTGCACTATGTTAATCATACTACTCTGTTTAAGTGGGTGGACCTTGGCTGGGTATCATCAAGAAAGTTCTAGACTTGATAAAGGTCTTTTCTACTATCATAACGCTACTGGATAAGCTGACACCCATAAAGGCCGTGCCAATGTTGATGCATTAAGGGTTATGATAGGAGATGAGGAATATGATGATTCTGAGACCAGCGGTATAACTGACTGGAATATACCTCTTAGTTATTACGATAAGGATGTGAACGGTATTTTAACTCTAGTTAATCATAAAGATGAGACAACTAGTAGTTTGAATAAGAGGCTTGAAATGAGAGCTCGCTGTTTTCGCTCTAATACAAAGAAGTCACTCATGGGGGCGAACAGAGTTAGTGTTTATCAGGATGAAAACGCAACGAACATAAGTGCGACCAAAAGTAATCAAAGAAGAGCTGGTGGCAATTGGTTCTTTGACAGATTCCCTACTTGGGGTGAAGAGCCCAATCAGAATTGGTGGTATGCTTTCTCGCAGCAAGCATTATCAAACGTGTTTGGTAGGCTGTTTGATAGATGGGCTAATAAAGTAACCAAAAATGGAGCTAGTAAAAATTGTTTCGATGAGATAGCTACTTGGATACAGAATGATTTTAAGGTGTCCTTCCAAATTCGTGCAAATGGAAATTGTGGTACTAATGCCCAAAGTCAAACTATCTATGACGCCCTATACGATATAATCTCTTTTTGGAAATACAAGAACTATAGGAAGGGGTGTGCAGTCATGGACCACGGAGGAGATGGTAGGTATGAGATAACAATGTCGGCTTCGTCTCAGCCTGCATATGAGGTTGTCTGCAACAACAAGAAGTTCTTTGCTTGCAAAGCCAATGAAGACGGTTACCCTAGTTGCGAGCAAACCCACTCTATTCACGATGAAATATAAACTTCTAAGGTGTCATGATCGGGAATTGTGGTAACGTCCTACAAAAAAACTCAAGGAAAAATGACTCGTGATGCTATAGAGAAGTATTGATGGACATATTTTAACTTTGTATCGTCTTAACAATTTATATCGATTTCATCATTAGTTGTTACTTCCTTCGCCAAAGATGGATAGTATGTATTGCTTTAAAATGCTGGTCCCTGAGTTCTAGCACTTAATATGAGTTTTAAAAGTATATTATAAGATAAGAAGTTGTTTTAAATGATTAAAATTATATAAACCCCTCCTATATGTGTTTTGATCATAATAGATGGATGATGACGATAAAGCTCTGCTTTCACGGAGTTGATAAGATGTAGGTGCATTCACTGCTTTTTATTTGGTACTGTTACTTAATTTATTTGCACCGCTATGGCGTATTTTATTTCACTCTGGCTAACATTCTCACTCAAAAAAAATTTTTGTTAGCAATAAGATAAATCTAATATCTCTAAGTAACAAGCAAATATAGAAATTTCAATAATAGACCTCAAAATTACTACCGACCTGCGTACCTAGTCATCGCTGCGAGAAGATATTAGAGCATGTGTGCTATTTCTCAATTAGGTAAGCATATGATGATATTGAACAGCTATAATGCATATTCTCCACCCCATTTCATCTCAAATTGATTACACCTATCTCTATCTTCTCAGCGACCATGTCTAGTGTCAAGCAACTGGACTCTCGTGTAAGAAGTTTAATAGAAAATGGTGTAAAAGGAAATCACAGATCTTTTTTTGTTTTAGTCGGTGATCGTGGTAGAGATCAAGTAAGTTTGAATGATATGAGAAGACTCTGCTTATACAGCCTCTAGATAGTAAATCTCCACTATTTCCTCTCACAGGCAAGATCTAGTAGTCGTCCATCCGTTCTCTGGTGCTACAAGAAAGACCTTGGCTTCACCTCCCACAGGAAGAAACGTGAACAGAAGATAAAGCGTGACGTTAAGCGAGGCATTAGAGAACCAAATGAGGCGAGCCCATTCGAGTTATTTGTGTCTGTGACCGATATACGTTACACATATTACAAGGATACTCCTAAAGTACTCGGTCAGACTTTTGGTATGCTTGTTTTGCAGGATTTCGAGAGTATCACCCCAAATTTGTTGGCTAGAACTATAGAGACTGTAGAAGGTGGTGGTACAGTCGTTTTACTCCTCAAGACTATGTCCTCTCTTAAGCAGCTCTACAGCATGTCGATGGACGTTCACCAGAGATACAGAACTGAGTCACAACAGAATCCAGTATCACGCTTCAACGAGAGATTCATTCTCTCCCTCGGTGCGAACCCAAGCTGCCTTGTGCTTGACGACGAACTCAACGTTCTCCCGATATCCAAAGGAAAGGACATCAAGCCAGTACAAGCGCCACCAAAGAAGAATGCAGAGTTAGATATCATTAAGGAAGAGCTGAAAAGTACAGACATCGTTGGCTCACTAGTTAAATCTACAAAAACAGTCGACCAGGTATGTGATACATTATTTAACACAAGTGCTTTCTTAACTCCCCTCTCAGGCAAAGTCTTTGCTTACTTTTGTCGAAGCTATAGCTGAGAAGACACTCTCCTCAACCGTCACTCTCACAGCTGGTCGTGGTCGTGGTAAATCCGCCGCACTCGGTTTGGCAATGGCGGCAGCCCTTGCGCACGGATATTCAAACGTCTTCGTCACTTCTCCAACTCCTGAGAACTTGCGCACTCTTTTTGAATTCCTCTTCAAAGGTCTTGACGGACTCGGTTATGAAGAGCACTTGGATTATGATATTGTACAATCTGCCAACCCAGATTTCCAGAAAGCCATTGTTAGGGTGAACATTTTCAAGCACCACCGTCAAACTATCCAGTACATCCAGCCACAAGATGCTCACGTACTTGGACAAGCTGAATTGGTTGTTATCGATGAAGCTGCAGCCATCCCACTTCCTCTCGTGAGGAACTTGATTGGTCCATACCTCGTTTTCATGTCTTCGACCATCAACGGTTATGAAGGTACTGGTAGATCGCTCTCACTCAAACTCATCCAACAGCTCAGAGAGCAAACAAGGCCAACGATCTCCAAGGAGACCAACGATGGTCCAACGAAGAAGAAGGGCCAACCAGAAGGTGCAACAACAGCTGGAAAAGCTAGAACCTTGAGAGAATTAAAGCTCGAAGAACCTATTAGATACTCACCAGGTGATGAAGTTGAGAAATGGCTCAACGGGTTACTTTGTTTGGATGCTACCGTTACTAGCAAAGCCGCATTAAAGGGTACACCACATCCAAGTACCTGCCAGTTATTCTACGTCAATAGAGACACACTCTTCAGTTACCACCCAGCATCTGAAGCTTTCTTGCAGCGTATGATGGGATTGTATGTTGCATCACACTACAAGAACTCACCAAATGATCTTCAATTGATGTCGGACGCACCTGGTCACGCACTCTTCGTTCTCTTGCCACCGCTTAGGGGTGATGAGACGAGTCTTCCTGAACCACTCGTTGTTCTTCAAGTAGCATTCGAAGGTCAGATCAGTAAGGAGAGCATTCTTAATGCACTTAGTAAGGGTCAAAGAGCAGGTGGTGATCTCATTCCTTGGTTAGTATCACAACAATTCCAAGACGAGAATTTCGCACAATTATCCGGTGTTCGTATCGTTAGAGTTGCCAGTCACCCTGACTACTCCAACATGGGTTACGGTAGTCGCGCACTCGAACAACTCAACTCATTCTTCTCCGGTGAACTCTACGAAGGTAGCGGTGAAGACAACGCCGATGAAGTTTTCGATAGATCTGAAGATAGTGGCGATCTAATGTCTGACAATATTAAGGTTCGTGATGCGTCATCTATGCCACCACTTTTGCAACGTTTAAGTGAGAGAAAACCTGAAAAATTGGATTATTTAGGTGTTTCATATGGTATGACTGAGAACCTTCTCAGATTCTGGAAGAGAAGAGGATATGTTCCACTTTACATTCGTCAAACAGCCAACGAGCTTACTGGTGAACATTCATGTATGATGATCAGAGGTCTCAACAGTAGTACGGAGGAGACAGCAGGTTGGTTGTCTGCCTTTGCACAAGATTTCCGTCGCCGTTTCTTGAGTTTACTCAGTTACAAATTCAGGGAGTTCCCATCACTCACCGCTCTCACCGTACTTGAAGCAGCGGCTATTGGAACAAATGATGAGGAAGGTGGAGAGGAGTTGTCGGCTAATGAGCTCCGTTACTTTATGTCTCCTTTCGATATGAAGAGATTGGAAAGCTACGCCTCAAACATGCTCGATTACCACGTTATCGTTGATTTATTACCACATATCGCTATGTTCTACTTCACAAAACGCTTTGGAGATGAGAAGCTGAGCGCCGTTCAGTCATCTATCTTATTATCACTTGGTTTGCAAAGGAAGCAAATTGAGGATGTTGAGGTGGGTTATCTAGTCTAGACAGAACTAAGCTAACAGATATTAGGCAGAATTAGACGTGCCAGTATCACAAGCACTTGCACTCTTCATGAAGAGTATCAGAAGAATGACTAAGCGTCTGCAAGATGTCGAGAAGCAATCCATCGGGGAGAGTATCCCAACTGCGTCAACTCAGATTGTAAGAAAAACGGATGGTGGTACAGCTGACTGGTCACGTGTTGATCAGGATATTGAGGAGGAGCTCGATGAAGCTGGTAGAGAGGCACTCAAGACGGCCAAGAGAGACGCAATTGATAGTCTTGACATGAAGAAATACGCACTTCCACAGAATGACGATGACTGGAAGGATGCAGAAGTGGCAGTTGATCAAGGAAAGACTAGCGTGTCTGTTAAGAAGCGTAAAGGTGACGACAGCCCAGAGAAGGCAGCCAAGAAGAGCAAGAAGAGAACATCCAAGGGTGGATCAAAGTAAATGTAGCTTTAAAGTGATAGACTATTTATTTTATTTTCTTTGTTTATTTCCATTCTGCATTATCAGCCTTGTTCAGCTACGTTGATGCCGAGCAGCACGCACACAAAAAAGAGACTGACGTATGTCCTAAAAGAGAACAACAATAAGACGCTCTTGGGTATTCCAGATGCTAGCGCACGTATCAACCGAACCTTCCCTCTGTACTCCCGCTTGGAGGAGGCTATGGAGACCTCAATGACGACGCTTGATAAGGACGACCACCCAAGACATTCATTGGGTGTTACGACACTAGCATTAGACACTGCGACCCAGTTATCTGGAAAGCCAGGGCCTGAGGGCATTCTTTATACCTCGGGAAAGGATGGTCTCGTAGCAAGCTGGCAGCTCGGAATACAAACACGCCAGCGTAATAGACGCTATGGTACAGAATCGCCAGTTGAGCATTTCTCTGAGAAGTTCGAAATCGAGCGAGAACCACAGAGTGCACCTATTTTCAGACAATGCGTACAGACACACACAGACCACTGCAACGACATCTTATTGGCTATGCAGAATCAAGTATTGATCTCTGCATCGAGTGACAGAACGGTAAAAGCATGGCGACCGCATGGCGATGCACAGGTACCAACTGTCGTAGGAACACATGCTGATTTCGTAAAGGTACTCTCCCATGCGTAAGTTAGCGTCCACCTTGCTGGATTTCACTAACTCATACCAGCCGTGATCGCCATTGGATCGCTTCTGGTGGTCTCGACCGCTTTGCAAGGATCTGGGATCTAAACCAGGGTGGAGAAGTCGTGCGCCTTCCCGCCCAACATTCTGTTTATGCCTTGACTACGAATCACTCTGCAGGTTTACTCTTAACAGGTACGCCTTCACGTGCTGTCAACGTTTGGGACCCACGTTCAGCGAAATTAGTCCACAACTTGGATGGTCACACTGATAACATACGTTCGCTGCTCCTCTCAGAGGACTCCACGAAGGCACTCTCCGCTAGTTCAGATTCGACTATCAAATTATGGGATTTGCGGAATATGTCGACGATAAAGACATTTGAGCATCATCACGATAGTGTTTGGAGTCTTTTCTCACAGAGTCCTTCTTTGGAGACGTTCTACTCTGGTGATAGGCAAGGTCGGATATGCAAGGTTGTCGGTGAGGACGTCAAAGATGTGGCGACTGCTCGACATGGTATTACTAAACTCGTTGCAAGTGATGACAAGCTTGTTGTTAGTGCGAGCGCATCAAGCAGCAGTGTTAGCATCTGGAATGACGTCGACCAGAAGGAACAGGACGACGAAGAAGTTGACCATGACGCCACACCAAAGTTAAAAACTAGAGCCCCCTCTATTAGCTCTCGGATATCAACCAGAAACGACCCATTGGCTGTGATTCGTGGTCGTCATGGTATCATACGCGCACTTATGCTCAACAATCGCCGGCATGTCCTCACTTTAAACACACAAAGACATGTCTCTCTTTGGGATATAGTCACATGCGTCTGTGTCGGGCAATACACTGACGAGGCAGTTGACGCAATCCTCGGAGCTGACGAAGGTGCCGATGCGCTCACACTTACAAGTCAAGAAGTACTCGAACGTGTCCGTGATAAAATTGAAGGACAGGCGGTGACAAATGCTTGGAACAGCATCGATTGCCAGACAGGCTCTCTGGCAGTACACCTTGACGAAAGCCGCTGCTTCGACGGTGAGGCGTACCTCGACGAGCTTGGTCTTGCTATCGAAAATAGGGAGACAGACCAGCGTGTAAACCTCGCCAAGTTGGTTCTTACTAACCTGCTACGTCATTTCATCGACTACGAGAAGAAACATATCGGTGACGAGAGGCCAAAGCCATCGCCAGAGACGAACGATAAAGCCTATATCAACCAGAATGCCGGAACTCCAACAGTAGGTACCCCGAGCGGAACTCCACAGATAGGAGTTTCGAGACAGCTTGCAACTCCTCCTGCCACTCCTGCTTTACCACCACCTGCATTGGCCGACCCACCACCAAGCGAGCGCACTACTTCTTCGCATAGCCGTGGTGATTATATCGCTTTTGAAAAGAAAAACGAACAACAGTCTGGAGAAAAGTCAGCATTTTTGGAGGCGTCTCAAAATAGACCGGCATTGGTGTTACGGAGTCCGGATAATGAGAGCGTAGCGGAAACTTCAAGCAAGAAAAACGAGACACCTGATGGTAGTAGCTCTCCAGCATTGGCGTCTCCCTTGCTCTCATCATCACCCTCAAATAGCCGGCTTGGAGGACTGATGGGACGTATGCTCATATCTAACTCTCGGAGAGACAAAAAAGAGAGCATAAAGAGAGAAGAAAGCAAAGAAAGTAGTCCAGTAATCACACCCATTCAGATGCCCGAATCGACTAATACTATGGATAGCGTAAAATCACGTTTCAAACCAGCCACAGATGATGTAACGTCAATCATTTTGAACGATAATATACCAATAGGTGTAAGTGAAGAAACACACGATAGTGAGGCTTTTGTCAGCATATACAGAGGTCTCGTTGGCACGACTGGTGAACTAGGAGATGTCAAGCACCTTGAAAAGAGTCTCCCAGAGTGGGTGCTCGAGATGGTTCTTTGTAACAATGTTTATAAGGACCCGCGGACACCAAAGGCAACATTCTGGCTTGAAAGGCATCCGGATGAGAAAGACTTGGGAGGTTTACCAGAAAGGTGTGTAAAACAATTTCCATAAGACACCAATATCTAACATACATAGCGGAAACAGACTTACAGCCAGTCGCTTCCTCCGGGCGAGGAAGTTGATGAATTACGTCAGAGATAAACTACCAGCTGATAAGACAGTTAGTAACGAGATTCCGGTCGAGGAACAACTCGAGTTATATTGCAATAATGTCAAGCTCGATGTCACGCTCACGCTGGGCGCTATAAAGAGCTACATCTGGCAGGCACGAAGGAATGACGAGCCAGATGACGACAGTTTAATAGATCCTGTTATATATTATAAGAAAACTTAATGTACAATTATAGACTTTTTAATTTCTTAACTTGCTTAACTATTGATAATGTGATTGGAATCATGATTGGTCCAAATAGGGGTAAATAAATTGCGTATTTGTGCTCATCTGGAAAATACAACTGTGGTAGCTTTTTTGGATTATGGTATTCAGCGTTTGCATAGTTGTTAGCTTTCTGTGCGTGCTTGTGTCTCAATGTTAATGAGAGTGAAGAGTTTGAAGTCTGACGGAGATGACTGAGAGATATTTCTGGGATGTGCTGCAACAGATTGAGCGTTGTAGAGGTATCGTTATTAAGTATGCCTATTTTCTTGATTAATAACGCGTCTATTTCAAATTGTTTGGGTGATCTGTCGACGACATCAAAACCAAGATGGTGCATGAGTTGTCGTCTAATGAAATGTAATGGTAGATGATCTGCAGACCTGTCTAGGATTGTCAAACTGCCGAAGTTCGGGATAGTAAGTGAGTGATCCGTGAGTTCATTCCTGTCGTCAACATAGAATATAAAGTGATAGTCGCAGTGATCGTCATTGAGATTGTAAGCGTGTAGGCTGTTTATTGGGTTGTCTATGTCTATGGGAGAGTAGTAGATGTGTTGCGAGTGCGTCTCGAAGTCGTATAGCTGCTGTAGTTGTACTAGTAGAGGATCCAACTGAGTATTCAAATCGCTAAAGTCTAATCCCTCTTTGGTGTCTTTGTACAACAAACTGAAGAGCAAATTCAAGCGATTATCTTTATCAAGCAAGCTGTCATCTGGACTATCGGCTATACTAACCAATAGAGCGCCTATAATAGCAAATAATAAAAAACTGCAGATGACTAATATTGATTTAATCTCAGACATAAAATATAGACCTTCTAGTCGACAGCTCCTCGTTAGCTGCTGGGACAGTTCAATCAAATTGCTTGAGAACGACGAAATAAAATTAAATTTTGCTCACACCTCAGCAGTTTTAACGAGTAATTTTATAAACAATAGCACTTTCTACTTTGGTTGCTTAGATGGAAATCTATACGCATACAATTTGGAAGCACAAAAGTATCAGCTACAATGGCACACGACTGATCCGATATCAGCATCTACATACAACAAACAGAATAACTTATCTATTACCGCGTCTTTGAACGGTCAGATGGCTTTCCTTGATCCTCGTCAGCAATCCCCAGTGAAGACAGTCACGTCTTCTAATAAGATATTTGACATTGACACGTCGTCGAATTTGTTAGTATCGGCAATGTCAAACAGACAGATAGCTATATATGATCTAAGGCAGTTAGATAAGCCATTACAAAAGAGAGAATCAAGCTTGAAATTCATGACTACTAATGTGGCATGTATGCCAGGTGATGTCGGATTCGTTACATCCTCTATAGAAGGTAGACTAGCCGTCGATTACTTTAATCCGTCGCCAGAAGTACAAGCAAACAAATATGCTTTCAAATCACATAGACAAGATGATACGATTTACCCAATAAACGCTTTAGCGTTTAACCCAATACATAATACCTTCGCTACTGGCGGAAGCGACAAGACTGTCAATTTATGGGATCCAAATGCTAAGAAGCGCATAAAGAGTTATTCAAAATTTAAGAACTCCGTTCAATCAATCGCATTTTCAGATGATGGTGATCAAATGGCGGTGGCATACTCTAAGGGTCCTGAAGAAGCTGAACCTGCACATTCTTCTGATGAAATCGGTATAGAGATTAAGAACAATTTGTTGAATGACGCTAAAGTGAGTGATATATGGCTATTTAAATGATCAACTAATAAATCAATACAGCCGAAGAAGTTACAATGATTTCAGTCTATTCTTTGTTGCATTAAATTATTCATTGCGCTTATATCCTAAAAGTGTTTATAAAGGTTCAGGAGTGTTTTTATCAATGAATTGATCCATTATATGCTCACTATATGCTCATTTCGAAAGAGAAAAAATGCAGTTTCGTTTATAAATCGTATAAAAACACAAGATGAGAATGTCTTGGAGATATGATAGTGTTACAATGGGCTTATTGAATGCTAAAGTTTTAGCTTTACCATTCTATTTCGTCTGGGAAGTATTTGTTGATGAGACCCATGTAATATGGCTTTAACTCCTCAACTTTTGGTAAGTCATCAGATTTTGAATAGAGATCGTATGGGTTGAATGCGAGGACATCCTTAAGAGCTGCGTAGTCTTCTTCAACCATGAATTGGCGGTATGCACCTTCTCTGTGCCATGGGTAGAAGGAGTGGTATCTGATCATGTTGAGAGCACTTTGTGGAAGCTTCGACTGGTTCTTGAAAATCAAGTAAAGGTATTCATCATGTCCCCATGACAACATGAGATTTTCCAAACCACAATGTGGAGTATAGATACCATACTCTGTGTTGTACTCTGGATTTTGGCTGTCTGGGTTACCTTTGAATGTGTCTGGATAGACGATCGCGTCTGGGAAGCCGCAACCAACGACGAAAGTATCACCGACTACATCCCATTGACCTTCAGCACCGAAGAAGTAAAGTAATTTACCAAGATCGTGAACTAAACCTGCAACTTGCATCCATTCTGGCTTTCCATCACGTCTGATTGCTTCTGCAGATTGAAGAAGATGGTCGATCTGAGAGACAGAAGTGTCTGGATCGGACTCATCGACGAGTGTGTTGAGCATCTCAATAGCCTCCCAAACACCCATTCTTGCTCTAGTCTTGGACTTGAAGTTAACACGAGCTTTAACGTTGTATTCAACCGTTTGCTTTTCGTGTTGTTCACGGTAGAAGTTCTTGACTCTGTCACAAGCTTCTTCGTACTTCCTAAACTGGTTTTTGTCCTTCTCGTTATCAAAGTTGGTGACAGCGTCGAACGCTACTTCCTCTCCCTTCGCCACCTTGCCCTTTATTTCGTTTACCGCGTCAACGGCATCTGAAGTTGACTCTAAGTCTGCACCTGAACGGCTAAGGTATTTTTGGACTAATGATTTCGTTAGATCGCCCTCTTTCTTAGATAAGATGTGCTTACTTTCTGGGGCTGGACCTGGGTTTACCATTATGATTAATTTGATTTGTTGATGAATGAGAAAGTTAATGAAATAACTTGCTTATTTTATATGTTTGATCTTGACTCTCCTATCCCGTTGGAATTGTACTCTCCGGACATGCCGGAGTCTATCTGATGACGTAATGCAGAACAATGAACAATAGTTGAGAATTATACCATATAAGAACTTAAAAATAATGGAAAACTCCCCTACTTTTTAAAAACTATCACTACCCCGTTTGATGTCTTATTGTTTACCTATCTTTTGGTTCTGTGAATTAAACGCTTAATTTATGCCCCGAGCGTGCCTGATACTTATCACCATGTGACAAGCATTAGTAAGTGATTTTGAGAAGACTACATGAATTTACATTTATTTCCAAAGAATGTTAGGCATAGTTCACATTTCGTCGTACTTGTTTCCTATAGTCTCCTTTCAGATTGCTGTAAAACGGACTTCTACATATTCGGATGAGATGCCATCTTGCATTTATGACGTGTATTGATCGCTTAAATAGCTTCAACAGCTTTTTTCTCTTCACTCATAACTACAATCATCAATTAAAATGCCAGCAACTTCATTCCAACTCAACAACGGTAAAACAATTCCATCAGTCGGTCTTGGTACATGGCAATCAGCTCCTGGTGAAGTCGCCAACGCTGTCAAGTATGCCATCAAAGATGCAGGCTACCGTCACATTGATGGTGCTTTCTGCTACGCTAACGAGAAGGAAGTCGGTGAAGGTGTTAAAGCCTCCGGTGTTCCACGTAGCGAAGTCTTCCTCACCAGCAAGCTCTGGTGCACCTACCACACTAAGGTCGAAGCTGGTCTTGACGAAACATTAGCAGAATTAGGTACTGACTACCTTGACCTCTTCCTTATCCATTGGCCAGTTGCTATGAGTGAGTCGTGAAAAGTTTAACTTTTATTATACTAACACCAAGCAGACCCTAACGGTACAGATAAGCGTTTCCCAGTAAGATCTGATGGCTCAAGAGATGTCATCTTTGATCGTCCAATTGAGGACACCTGGAGGGACATGGAGAAGCTCGTTGACTCAGGAAAGGCCAAGAGTATTGGTGTTAGCAACTTCAACAAGGAAAACCTTGCCAGAATCTTGAAGATTTGCCGTATCAAGCCGGTAGTCAATCAAGTTGAGAGCCACGCTTACTTGTCTCAGGTGTGTCGACATCAAATTTTCAAATTTTATTGCTAACAAAGACCACAGAGAGACATTAAGAAGTTCGCCGAAGAGAATGGTGTCCTCCTTCAAGCTTACTCACCACTTGGTTCAACTGATTCACCTATCCTCAAGGATGAAGAACTCCTTGCCATCGCCAACAAGCACAACGTCAGCGTTGGTACTGTCTTGATCTCATACCAAAACAACCGTGGAGTCATTGTCCTTCCAAAATCTGTTACTCCTGCAAGAATTGCAGCAAATGCTCAGCTCATCGATCTTACCCCAGAAGAAATCAACACCATCGAAACTATGGAAGACAGAGGAAAGAAGCTCAGAGTTGTCTCTCCAGACTGGGGCGTCCCAATCTTCTAGACACTTTCCATTGTAATGATCTTTAGAGTTTCCATAATGTTTAAGTAGATGCATAAAATTTTAAATTGAATTTCCTATGACAAGCACAAGATGAATCAAATGAGCTTGTTTCTCAAGCTTTCTTACATATATAAGTTACTGTACAAATAAACATTTAATGCTTGTCCCTATTATCCAGGAGGTCATGTCTTGTGTACGGCACATCCATAACTGGTGATTGCATGCGCTTGAGGTCTTTAGCGACCTTCTCTGCTTTTCTGAGAATTCTAATAAAGTTTCCTCTTGCAAGACCAGCTAATTCATTTTTTGTCCAACCGCGTTTGTAGAGTTCGACAAACTAGATGTAGTATTAGCAGTATTCTTATGGGTATCAACTACCCACCAAACTAGGATACTTGGAAATATCGTCCAGCCCTTCAGGTGTTGTAGGAACACCATCAAAGTCGGAACCAATACCAACATGGGATTTTCCAGCTACCTCCGCGATATGATCAATGTGGTTAGCGACGTCAGCAATAGTAGGTTCATCTCCCATGAAATCGGCTGCTGCAATGACGACTTGGAGAACGCCATCATTTGGACTGTCCCGAAGTCTGTGCAAGAGGTCGTCAGGGACATTTCTTGGATGGTTGAAGACCTCTCTCGCGCCAGAGTGACTCCAGAAAAGCGGACCAGCGTTGGCATCAATGGCTTGATGAGCAGTCTCATCGGAAGTATGCGAGATGTCGACCAAAACGCCATTCCTGTTGAGCTCTTGAACGAGCGCTTTACCGATGTCGCTCAATCCGTGGTTCGTTCTCTGACCTTCAACAGCAGCATCTGCAAAAACGTTATCACAATTGTGAGCAAGTGTGATATACTTGACTCCCATACGTGCATACACTCTTAGTGCACCTAAACTGTCACCAAGATGATGTCCTCCTTCAAGTGATAGCATGACTCCTAATTTCTTCGGTGATAACTTTTCGAGCTCATGGGCTGATCTTACGATCTTGATGTAGTCTGGGTATAACTCTTCAAGAAGATAGACAGCATCTAGTTGTTCCAATGTGTCACGTACACTTGTATCAGCTTCACCAGGTTTTGGACACTCAACGAAGGATGAAAAAGAGGCTGTTCCGAGGTGGCCCTCACGCGTTCTCTGGAAATCAATATGGAATGGGAACGGTGATGGCTTTGGCGTCGTCAAATTGAACGCGTTGAAATCTAAACCGAATTCTTCCCGCAATGCAATTGGGAGATCAAGATGCGTGTCAAGAACGGGTGATTTTCTAAGTACCTCCAAAACTACCGCCTCTGGACTCTGATCTTTCCCTGTAATTATGATGTCACCAAATTTGACGTGACTTAAAGGTAATAAGCAATAGAGCAAACCAGCGAGGAGGAATAAAATGACATATTTCACCTTTGAGGGATTCTGCGCTTCATTTTTCAAAGTTGGTAGTTGGGACTCTGACTTCATAGTACGAGTTTAAGAGAAAAAGCTAGACGTGCATGAGGTATATGTAGAGAATATGTCAAGCTAAAATCTAATTTATCAATTACCTCTCGTTGTTACTATCTCAGTTGGTCAATTGTGAAGCAATCTAAGCTGTCAACAAGTCTATACATTCATCCAGGTCAACTCACTGAAAAGACTTATTTACATTAAATTTATCATGTAAGCATTAAGAACATCGTGCCGGTATGACGACAATCAGTGATAGATCGAGAAGGTGTTACAAGTGATCGATTCTTTTGTCAAACAATCCAGACGTAATTTGGATCTTTTTATTAAGAGTTCCGTACAGTTATTTATAGCTGGAAGTCTTACAGGTCAATGCGCGAAGGTACCGTCTGGTTTATCACGTGCGGGAACCGCTTTAATATCTGCGATGACTTTCCTTCTTGTTCCATAACAGTAACTAACTAAAATGCCAACAACTTCATTCAAACTCAACAACGGTAGAGAAATCCCATCAGTCGGTCTTGGTACATGGCAATCAGCTCCTGGTGAAGTCGCCAACGCTGTCAAGTATGCCATCAAGGACGCAGGTTATCGTCACATTGATGGTGCATTCTGCTATGAAAATGAAAAGGAAGTCGGTGAAGGTGTTAAAGCCTCCGGTGTTCCACGTAGCGAAATCTTCCTCACAAGCAAGCTCTGGTGTACCTACCACACTAAGGTAGAAGCTGGTCTTGACGAAACATTAGCAGAATTAGGTACTGACTACCTCGACCTCTTCCTCATCCACTGGCCAGTCCCAATGAATCCAAACGGCCACAAACGTTTCCCAAAGAAGGCTGATGGTTCGATGGACACCATCAACGATCGTCCAATTGAGGACACCTGGAGGGACATGGAGAAACTCGTTGACTCAGGAAAAGTCAAGAGCATCGGTGTCAGCAACTTTAGCATTGCCAACATGAAGAAGATCTTGGCTATCTGTCGTATCAAGCCTGTCGTTAATCAAGTAGAGAGCCACGCTTATTTGTCTCAGGTGTGTTAGAAACTAAAATTTTCATAATACATTCCTGACGAAACCAACAGAGAGAACTCAAGAAGTTCTGTGAAGAAAACGGTGTCCTCCTTCAAGCTTATTCACCACTCGGTTCAACTGATTCACCTATTCTCAAGGATGAAGAACTCCTTGCCATCGCCAACAAGCACAACGTCAGCGTTGGTACTGTCTTGATCTCATACCAAAACAACCGTGGAGTCATTGTACTTCCAAAATCTGTTACTCCTGCAAGAATTGCAGCAAATGCTCAACTCATCGATCTTACCCCAGAAGAAATTAACACCATCGAAACTATGGAAGACAGAGGAAAGAGACTTAGAATAGTCTTCCCAGACTGGGCTTCCACAATCTTTTAGATATATTTCCTTGTAATGACGGTTTAATACCTAAGTTAATGTGCGTTTAAGTATATGTATACAAATATGATGCACACAAGTATGTTTTGTTAATCAGTAAGGAACAACAAGTGGCGTAATGCTGAATGTTAAAGACTCGAGTAAGCAACCTCAGTCTGACTATGTGCTTGAAGGCGAAATTGACTTGGATTAATTTCTGCTAATTGAATGAAACCATTTCCAACTATGTCTCCCAGGTGAATATGACATCTGTTTTATGAGAAGAGTTGGTAGACCCTTCTGTTGAAAGAATGTATACTTTAAGCTATTGTAAAATACAAATACTTCACATGGTAATACAAATACAAGCATTAAAGTGCAAAAAAAACTAACATATGTAACAAAAGATCTACAAAATGATGAATTATCATCTAGTTGCACTTAAACCTGAAGAAATATATTGAAAAGTGTTTACTTATAAAGCCACTTGTGCGTGTTTGTACGATGATTGCTGTTTTGTGTAGACTTGCATGTTGTTTTTATGTGGTTGTGTAACTTGTAAGACGGGCTTCACCATTCCAATCTCATTAAAATCGTCTACTTTGAGCACTACGAAAATGTCCTTCACGTCTGACTTGTCAAATGTTGTAAATATTGCTTCCAAAGCCTCTCTAAATTGGCAAATACACCTCTTATCTCTAAATATAAGAATCATTGCCTTCAAATTAGGATATTGTCCGAGAAAATTTTGAGAAAAAAGCGTTTTCACAGATGTATCCAACAATGAGTTCAAATGCAATATAAGATTCTCAGTTGTTGTCGATTTCGGTAGGTACTCCAATAGATTATTATTCCTGTCCGATATGTCTTTCAAATCTACTTTGATGCTTCGCAAGTTTTTCATTTGAGAGATGTAATACAAGCTGGTTTGATAAACGCAACTGTTGTTCTGTCTTACTTTGATGTTTATATTACTGTTGAGTAGTGTTAATTGAGTAGCAAGACAGAGAGATTTACGCACCATGTATTTTCAATGAGTTTAGAAGATTGTAGCATGATTGGATCCATGGAAGAGAAAAAGAATGGCTTGGGTACTGAAATAGTTCTATAAAGTCGCGTATTTGCAACTGTATTCAGGTATTTACTAACTAATGATAAGGACTTGACGTCGTATCGCGGGAGTTCGTCGAAGATAATAGCAACTAATTCATATGGTAGATTATGCATTGGAGTACTTTTTGGTAGTAGGTGTTATAGGACAGAACCCCTGTAAGTACGTAGATCTACCATATCGGTCGAACAGTCAGTGAACAGCGGTGAGCGTGGGAAGGTTTTCATATAATACCTGAATACTTGAATTAAAGCCTGAGCTATAGACTGGCTGATCACATGTTTAATTGCTAGAGAAATGTATTGTAATCTGATTGTACAGCGTTCGGTAATGATGTCAGGTGGTTAGCAAAGCAGAAATTACTCCAGGTTTTACAGAATGACTAGTTTGTTCATTTAATAACCTCCCCTGATCTATATTTCCTTCGCTGACCCTCATCGATAGCCCTTTCAAGAGGATAACACTATAGCCATCATTAGAAGGGAATACAAGGTTAGAAGATAGACTGTTCAATGGCATATTGTATTTTCCTAGTAAATCTACAGGATCTCTTCTCTATCTCCCTTTGTAATCAACATTCATCATGCTGGAGGATGAGGACGTTGATGTCAAGCCAAAAATCACAGAATCTGATGATTGGACGACTCCTGGGAACTTTCACGGTAAATCGCTCACAGATGAGGTAAAAACCGTCGAAGTGAGTGCACCCGTCTTCTTACTTACTCAGCTCACAAAAGTAAGGATAAATGGCAACTTCTACCAGCATTTTTGAAAACTAGAGGTCTTGTTAAGCAGCAGTATGTTGATTATTTCGCGCTACCTCCCCGTATTGATTATATATCAGTATCGATTCCTACAACCACTTTGTAGACGTAGAATTGAAGAATATTATAAAAGCAAATGAAAAAGTTACAAGCGTAAGTCTATATTTATTCTTATATAATTTTGTTTCTCACTTTTCAAAGGATGTCGACCCAAAGTTTTACCTTAAATATACAGATATCCACGTAGGCAACCCAGAGAGACAGGATGCAGACTCAGTAGATAAATCAATTACCCCTCATGAAGCCAGATTGAGAGATATGACCTACAGTGCACCAATCAGGATCAGCGTCGAATACACCAGAGGTAAACAAATCGTTAGAAGGAGAGGTATTCCTATTGGTAGATTACCTGTTATGTTGAGGAGCAATAAATGTATATTGTCAGGAAAGGATGAAGAGACTTTAGCACGCTATCGAGAGTGTCCGCTTGATCCAGGTGGTTATTTTGTTGTTAAAGGTACAGAAAAGGTCATCCTCGTACAAGAACAACTTTCAAAGAACCGTATGATTATCGAAACTGATCCAAAAAAGAATGTCCAAGCTTCCGTCACCAGTTCTACCCATGAACGTAAATCTAAGTCATACGTCGCAACAAAGAACGGAAAGATTTATCTTCGTCATAACTCCATTGGTGATGATGTCCCTATTGTAGTCGCTCTTAAGGCTATGGGTGTCACATCTGATAAAGAAATTTTGCAATTGGTTGCAGGACACGATGATGAGTACAAGGAAGTTTTCTACATTAACATTGAAGAGGCGCTTAGAATGGGTATTCACACTGAAATGCAGGCGCTTGAGTGGATTGGCGCTAGAAGTAAATCAGCTAGACGTGCAGTTGGACCAGCTCATCAAAAGCGCCCAGTTTGGGAAGATGCTATCGAGACACTCAGTACTATCGTCTTGGCACATGTTCCTGTAGAGAACCTTAATTTCCGTCCAAAAGCTATCTACGTTGCAGTCATGGTTAGAAGAGTACTTATGGCTATGGTCGACGAAAAGATGCTTGACGATCGTGATTATGTTGGTAACAAGCGTCTAGAGTTAGCTGGACAGCTCCTTTCACTTTTGTTCGAAGATTTATTCAAGAAGTTTAATCACGATCTCAAACTCAACATCGACAAGGTGCTCAAGAAACCAAATCGTACGACTGAATTTGATGCTTATACGCAGCTTCTTTATGGTGGCGATCACATCACATCTGGTTTCGTTAGAGCAATATCAACGGGTAATTGGTCTCTGAAGCGTTTCAAGATGGAAAGAGCAGGTGTTACGCATGTCCTCAGTAGATTAAGTTATATTTCAGCTCTTGGTATGATGACTAGAATTTCTTCTCAATTCGAAAAGACGAGAAAGGTTTCTGGTCCTCGTGCACTTCAACCATCTCAATGGGGTATGCTTTGTCCGTCCGATACACCAGAGGGTGAGGCTTGTGGTTTGGTCAAAAACTTGGCGCTTATGACCCACATTACTACTGATGTTGAGGAAGAACCAATTGTCAATATTTGTTACATGCTTGGTGTCGAAGATGTTTGTTTACTCACTGGTACGGAGTTATATAGACGGGATACCTACATTGTATCTCTTAATGGTAACCTCATCGGTGTCACCAGACATCCACTCAAGTTTGTTACTCAATTTAGAAAGCTTCGTCGCAACGGATTTATCAATGAATTCGTTTCTGTCTACATCAATCACCATCACAATTCTGTCAATATTTCTTCAGATGGTGGTCGTATCTGTAGACCAATGATTATTGTCGAAAATTCATTCTCAAAGGTCACCAGTGAACACATAAAAATGCTCAAAGCAGGTAAGATTGATTTCGATGCCTTTTTGACACAAGGTTTGGTTGAGTACCTTGATGTAAACGAAGAAAATGATGCATACATCGCTATCAGCGAAAATGACATAACGGAGACATCTACACATTTGGAAATTGAACCATTCACACTTCTCGGTGCTTGCGCTGGACTTATTCCTTACCCTCACCACAATCAATCACCTAGAAACACTTACCAATGCGCGATGGGTAAACAAGCTATAGGCGCAATTGCTTACAACCAACTTAACCGTATTGATACATTGCTTTACTTGATGGTTTATCCTCAACAACCAATGGTTAAGACTAAGACAATTGAATTGATTGGATATGACAAATTACCAGCAGGACAAAATGCTATGGTTGCTGTCATGTCTTACTCAGGTTATGATATTGAGGATGCTTTGATTTTGAACAAGGTGAGTGTTATATACTCTGAGATGACTTTTCTTAAATACCTATAGGCATCTCTCGATCGTGGCTTTGGTCGTTGTCAAGTTATGAGAAAGTATTCTACGATGATCCGTAAATATCCAAATGGTACACACGATCGTCTCGCAGATGCACCAATTGGATTGGATGGAGTGATACCAAAGAAGTATCAGGCGCTTGAACCAGATGGTATTGCTGGTGCTGGTGAACGTGTAGACACAAACGATGTTATCGTCAACAAGCAATCACCTTCCAACGCTCTCGATAATTCCATCAATCCAGGTCAAGCAGATTCATCAACTTATAAGAATGCACCAATGTCTTATAAATCACCTGTACCAGGTTTTGTCGATCAGGTCTTGATCACTGACACAGAAAGTGAACAAACCCTCGTCAAAGCCTTACTTCGTCAAACTCGTCGTCCAGAATTAGGTGATAAATTCTCATCCCGTCACGGTCAAAAAGGTGTTTGTGGTTTAATTGTACCTCAAGCAGATATGCCTTTCAACGATCGTGGTATAACACCAGATGTTATTATGAATCCTCATGGTTTCCCATCTCGTATGACAGTCGGTAAAATGATTGAATTGTTGTCTGGTAAAGCTGGTGTTATAAGAGGTACACTTGAATATGGTACAGCATTTGGTGGATCGAAAGTAGATGATATGTCACAGGTACTTATAGATAATGGTTATTCATACGCTGGTAAAGAAACCATGACGAGTGGTATTACTGGTGAATGTCACACTTTCTATACATATCTCGGCCCAATTTATTATCAAAAATTGAAGCACATGGTTCTTGACAAGATGCACGCTAGAGCTCGTGGTCCACGTGCAGTTCTCACTCGTCAGCCTACAGAAGGTCGTTCCAGGGATGGTGGTCTTCGTCTTGGTGAGATGGAGCGTGACGCTTTACTTGGTAAGTTGGAAGTTACTTGATGGGCTATATTTTAACGTATCACAGGTTATGGTGCTGCTCATCTTGTCAGAGAACGTCTCATGTTGTCATCTGATTTATTCCATGTTGACGTTTGCAACGACTGTGGTACGATGGGTAAGTGATTGTTATAGCTCAGAAGCTTGCTAACGTCAATTTCAGGCTACAATACCTTCTGTCCAATGTGTAAGAGTCAGAAAAACATTTCAAACATCCAAATTCCATATGCCGCCAAACTTCTCTTCCAGGAACTCCTCGCCATGAACATATATCCGAAGATCAGTCTTGAGGATGCTGTTTAGGGTTTTAGAAAGTAATCAATTTGTACATTTATTTATTATGCATTCAAATACAAATACACACCGAAGAAAATATAAGAAAGTTGATTAAGAGAAATGGAAATGGTGAGATTTATGTTTTTATCTACGCCGTCCTAGGTATTTGTCGCCTTCCAATTAGTCTTTTAACAATTGTGCCAAAGCTTTAGGTTCATTTTTGAACTATAGTCTCCCTTGCACTTAAGAGAAACAAAAGTCACGTACGAGACTCCCGATCCAGGAGACTCTATTGTCCCCGCTGATACGGTTTCTGTAGCCATATAAACAGTGAAGTAAATGCAGTAGCCTACAATACTGGTATTATGGCCTTGGTCTTCACCCGCACACCTTAGTTGGCATGGGCTTACCTTACGAATACAACGCTCTCGTATTTGAGAAATTACAAAATCATGATTCTTTTCTTTTATTCCTCGATTCGAATTAGCAAGAACATAGGATGCGCTGGACACAATCTTCCTTTGCTTCGTTTCAACTTCTACCCATTATCCTGGTAGTTCTTTTGGAAATCCAGCTTGTGCTTTCGAGACGCTCTGATGCTTTCTTCGGTAAACTAGGCCCCTTGGATTTTATTACTGTCCTGGAAAAACTACCCATCAAAGATCGCAAATGGTACTGTTCCTGAGATCATTTTTGCTGTTCACCCACGTGTAAAGATATAACGTGCTGAAGATTATGGGGGGTGCTTCCCTACATGTGATAGCCAGAAAGTGTCACGGAAATCCAGATTCTATACGCCAAGTCTTTGATCTAGGCACCTCGCGGTGATTATACAACCTTAAAATAACTCTCAGCAAAGCTCTTTAAAGCTTAGCAATGAAAGAACCTTGTAAAATGGTTTATTACGCGGGCAACTTTATCTGAAGTAACATGACATGTCGTCACGACTATTGCTATCATTTACGTACGAGTGTCGCAATTAGAAGTGGCGGCAAATGTCAACCAAAAATTATTTTTAGAAATCTTACTTAAATATCATCGGTGTATTAAAAGCGAGCCAAAAGTTATCTAATATATACCTTTTTACCATCAATATTCGTCTTAATGGGGAACTACTCTACTAATCCGGAAACAGCCGTGCGAGGAGAAAGAAGTCCGAACTTTTATATAAAAGCACGTTCGACTAATATTTGTCTATATGTCTTATGCTAGCTCGCTATTTGCTAATTTCTTGATTGACATTTTTCCGTGTGTCAGATTTCGCGAACGCACGTAAGATTTATTCAAAAGTGGACCTGAGTTTATTTATTTCTTCTTGACTTTTGTTATCAAACATCCATTAACAAAACCTAGAAATGGCACCTAAATGGTACGAATGGCCATTATATGCCTTCGCAACACACAGACAATTTAGAGCATTAGCACACAGCGGGACACCGAATGTATCAAAGAACGCATCACCTGTGACAACTATCAACGAGTTGGAAAGCGGCAGGAGTGAGGAGGAGAAGAGGGAGCTCGAAGGAAGAGATCCTTATCTCATCGATGAGAAGTCATCACCAGAAATTGATCCAAAAAACTGGCCAACATGGAAAAAAGTATGTTCTATATTCATGCGTTTGATTTATCTAATATATCATCTATCAGGTAATGACGATCATCCAATTGAGTAGTCTGGGTTTGAATTTGACGTTCGCGTCAAGTGTTTCAGCAACAGCTGGTGTAGGTGCTGCTGAGACATACGGAGTATCACAAGCAGTTGCTAATCTTTCCGGAACTGCAATTTTCTTGATAGGCTTTGCCTGGGGGTACGTTTTCAAATTTGCAGCTCAGAACAATACTAACGAGAAATAGTGCTCTACCGCTAGCACCACTCTCTGAGGAAGTCGGACGTACACCTGTGTACCTTTGGACACTTCTCATGAGTTCGATTTTGGAAATTGGTGCTGGAAGATCGAAACATATGTATGGCCAACTTCTGTGTCGATTTTTTGCCGGATTTACGGGTGCAACACCACTCTCAAACTCAGGAGGTAGTGTAGTTGATGTTAGTAGGCCTTCAGAAAGAAACTACTTGTTCGTTTTATTCAGTTCATCAGCATTCATTGGACCGGTTCTTGGACCTGTAATTGGTGGTCTTCTCACACAATATGCCAGTTGGGAGTGGTCTTACTATCTCACAGCTATTTGGGGTTTCGTTGTTTTCCTTCACGTTGGACTTTTCGTCCCAGAAACATACGCTCCTGTTCTCTATAGAGAGAAAGCTAAAGCACTTCGTAGAAAGACGGGCGACAAACGTTGGCATTCAAAGTATGACAACCCAGACTTAAAGGAGACATTCAAGATCGCTATGGTACGACCATTCAATTTCCTTCTTAAAGAACCTATCGTCATTTTCTTCACTATTTACATCTCTGTCGTTTACTATTTACTTTTCGGTTTCTTGGAAAGTTACTCTGTAATCTTCGGTGAATGGTACGAACTCGATGTCGTTTGGATTGGTGTTGCATTCGTACCTATGATTATTGGTATGTAAATATGCTACAACTCGAAATTTTTGCTAACGTTTTCTTGTAGGTATTCTATTAGGCGCAGTATTCCTTATTCCGTTCTGTAATCATTACAGTCGTATCATAAAGGAACATGGTTCCATGCAGCCTGAAGAGCATTTGAAACCTCGTAAGTTGATATCATAAGAATTAGAACACAATTAACATACTTTAAGTTCTCGTTGGAGCTGTCGGATTGCCTATCTCTCTTTTCTGGTTAGGATGGACCACATATCCTGATCGCATACCGCTTTACGCACCTGTCAGTGCAGGTGTTCTGTTCGGTTTCTCATTGTTCCAGGTAAGTTTAAAGAAATGTGTGATGGTAATCTCTAAAACTACTATTAGGTTTTCGTTGGTACATACCAAATCATCATGAGTTCATACTCTCGGTATGCAGCATCGGCACTGGCCGGTTTCACATTCGTAAGATATAACATTTCAGGAGGAAGTGTTATGGCATCTGCACCTATGTTCAGAAACCTCACACCACATTGGGCAGCTACGCTGCTGGGTATAATCAGTGCATTGCTCATTCCAGTAGCATTTGTGTTTTACAAGAAGGGACCTGCAATTAGAGCTAAATCATCATTCGCAGTTAATGATTAGAATATTATAGATTTACTTGTTTAATATATCACAACATAATTAGTAATAATTTATTATTTTTCGATGCATTTCTAATAATAATGAAGATCTTCTTTTGTGAATATGTTTACTTTTAATTTGATAAGCTTTGATAACAAATTTACGCTTTTATCACATATTAAACGTGTTTTAGCCGGTTAAGCCGTCGTAAATCGCCTTTGATAACTTCATAAAAACAACCTTATTAGGACGCGGCGATTAAAACTGATCGAACGTTCAAGCTTGTTTTGGTATAAATATCATGTAATTATCTATCATATCATAGCCGATCGCCGTCCTAAGTACATCAGAATGGTTATATAGACGTTATGTAAGATTTCCGAGCTTAAATGGTTGTTTTTGAAGATGAATGAATTGTGCTACATGCCGCAGTCATTTTACAAATATGCAAAGTCATGATTAAACTGCAAATTTTCTTCTACCTTTGAAAAAGAATAATGATAAAAATTAAGGGTGTATATAAATAATATTAACATTAAAACTATACCCCCATATCGGTATATTAGTTAATATCCAAAATTGGAAAGTACCTCGATTTCGACAGTTTCGCCGTAATGTAATCAATCTCGCCGTGATATCAAGCCAGGACCGTCTCTTTAACAATAACGATAAATAACAATCAACAGAACGAATGGAGAACTTATTTTTAGCAGGTGATTGCGGTGGAACTAAAGCCAGAGTAGTTATAGGTAATCACGATAAGATCCTCGCTCGAGGTGAAGGTGGACCTTGTAATTTGTGAGTATTGAGCTTTAATTGAAGGTATAATTCTAATAAAGAACATAATAGACAAACCGTTGGGCATTCTCAAGCTATTAATGTGATTTTAGAAGCTACATTCCAAGCTATATCAAGGTTGCCTAAAGAATACCAAAGATTTGAATACAGGGATGGTCAATTTTCGAAGCAGCCATTTAAAGCTATATGGTTAGCTTTAGCGGGTGTTAATCAAGCAAGCGATGCTGAACGTTTCAGACCGTTAGTTGCTCGCGTTTTCGCTATGATTGGATTGGAGAATCAAGTTAAAATAACAAATGGTGAGTGAAATACCTTAACCATCGTAGCTGTTTAACAAAAAATAGATACAGATTTATTAGCTTCACCTGCACTCAAGCATGACGACACAAACGCCGCGATCGCTTTGATAGCAGGAACGGGAACAAATGGAATGGCGTTTAGAAAGACGGAAAACAAAGATCTCGAGAGAGTTGGAATAAGCAGAGGATGGGGATATCTTCTTTGCGATGAAGGTAGTGCCTTCTGGGTTGGTAGACTTGCCATTAGATCACTCCTCGCATACGAGGATTTTAGAGGGAATAGCAAGCTTTATAGTACTTCTACTGCTATTACACATTTGCAATTACACAAAGATCTCATGAAGCAGCTTAAAGTGGATTCCCCTGCTGACCTCATTAACAAAACATACGTTGATCACTCAAGTGGTGAATCCTCATTCACTGTAAGTGAATCAAACAGGAAGGTTTGGATTGCGGAAGCATCAAGAATTGTATGCAATTATGCCTTCGCACAGGATATTTCCAAGAACATCATTGACGATATCATAAATGACGCTTTGATAGGCATACCTGGTGATCCAACAAGTGGCACAATGAATCAGACTACACATGACGATGGCAGTCAAGTTGAGGCACTTAGAATAGCTGCACAAGCAGTCTGTCCACTTGTTCACATCGTAGTCCGCCTTTTGGGTGACAGAACAAAGCTCAAACCGGAGACCACAACTCTTACAGTAGGTGGTGGCGTCATCTCTAACAATGGATATCGTGAACTGCTCCTCAGAGCACTTGATACACATTTCGGAATTAGATTCAAGCACGTACAAGTCGTATCAGATGCTGAAGGTGAAGGTGTCCAGGCATTAGCTGCACAATACAAACCCAGTGCTAGAGTCACAAAAATTACGATTCAAACACCACCACAATCACCCAGCAAGAGAAACTCATTGAATACTCAAATATCTCCTACATCACCAGCACTAAGTTTCGCAGCTACGACTAGAGCTTAATGTATTTTTAGTTTGAGCCACTTTCGTATTATATTATATTATATCTTCTAGTTAATGAATATTCTTTCTTTATTTCAAATAATATAATCAATCTAATTAATCTTCAGTGATATCTCCATATTCGAATGCACCAGCTCTGTTATCTTTGGCAGATTGTAATGCGTCTTGAAGGGTAGCTTGCATCCCTGGGTACTTGTTTGAATATCTTGATGTTTTCTTATCGATTAATGCCAAACCATCTGCAACCAAATCCGCGTTAATGCAATATTCCGCAGAAATTGCTGAATCAGGATCTGATGGGTCAAGTAAACGTAAGTGTAGTGTTCCATTTGGTTCCTTTGCGTCAATCTTTGCAACAAGGTTACGTCCCAAACAGAGTTCCTTAAATCTATCAAGAGACTCTTGACCATACTCGTGATCAATTGGAAGAAGGTTGACAAAACTGAGTTTGGCAGGTATAGCTTGTGGAGGCATTGTCTTGAATTTATCATCAAGGTTTCTGATATCGGAGTAAGAGACAGTCTCCTCATTACCATAATCGATGAAGATAACTTCAGCAGTCTTGAGTACATCACTAACACGTCTTACGCGAGCTCTGTACCATTGATTATCCTGGCTGAAACGAGCAGCGATAAGCATACCATTGCGTGGTGCGAATGGTTCGCTATGAGAGATGCTCTTGTGGTGAGCTGTGAACTCATTCATCAACCTTTCATGTTATCGTTAAAAAATGTTCTATCTTCAGTAAATAACCCACCTTTCAAACTTCTGTGAATCTTCACTGCCAACTAACTGGACAAAGAATGAGAATTGAGGTGAAGATCTTACATCAGAGATGAGTATATCAATCAGGTTGCTGGTAGACTTTTCATCCTCTTTAGCCTCCTCTTGTGCCTGAGTATATGCCTCTTCTTCAGCTTCCCTTTCAGCAGCTGGGTTGTAGTTTACCCATACACCTAACTTTTTATCTTTAGCTTCCTGCTCAGCATCAAAGAGGGCATCAGCAAATGGTAAGCTTTCAGCGGAGTATTCGTGAACACTAGCCAAACCCCTTCTAACCAAGCTAAGACCGTAGTTGTCACCCTTCGTGTTGTAGATTGTGCCAACGAAACCACCAGCTTTGTCGACACCGTTGATTATAATTTCTACATCTCTTTGCAATAGTTGTCTAGTGGCAAATTCCAAAGATTGAACAGCACCTTCTTCACTCTTCTCAGATGGATTACGTGCAGTTCTTGGTGCTTTCAGACCGGACAAAACGAGTGTTATTTTCTGGTTATCCCTTGGTATGTAGACTTTGAAGCGAGATCCGGATGCAACGTATTCAACAACACCTGCGATCTTGCCTGAACGTTTCCATTGAGGGAGGAAGGAAGATGCTTTTGCGTATGATTCACTTGCATCTGGTATTCTAGGTATTGGCAATTCCTTGTTTGAATGAACACCCTTTGCTTGAGATAATGCCGCTTGTTCAGCAATTAGAAGTTCATCATACTCGTGTGATCTATCGTCGTTACGGCGATGTCTGATAACGGTTGCTAATCCTCGCTCGACCAATAAGAGACCAATTGAATTCTGTGAGCCACCAAATCTAATAGTGGCTGCTTCACGTTCATCGAAACCTTCTTCTTTTGGTCTAGTGTAGTCGTGTTGGTAAATGACTTTCTTTCCAATGAGCTTCTTTCTCATGAATTCACGTGCTTCTAATCCCCAGTATGCTTGCTTCGTGTCGGCACTACGTGGTTGTCTGATAGAAGCAATTTGTATACGTTTTTCAACACCTTCACTGCCATCTTTGTTGAAAGGAATGACTGAAATTTGGTCACCCGACCAAATTCTACTGACGATAACTTCAGATTGACGTGGATGTGATTGTGTAGTGTTTTTCTTAACATTACCATTCGCGGCAACATCCGCAGTGGATTGTGTAGCAATTGGATCGACAAAGTTTTGCCAGATGTTCATTTTGTTCTCCTTTGCGAACTTTTCTGCAACTTTCAATGAAGGTAAATATGAAGGACCATTGCTAGCCAAAATGGCTGCATGCCAATCAGCGAATTTAGCGAATCCGTTAGCGATAACACATTCAGCGAGTGATGATCCATCATTTAAAGTGATATTACCAATAACAAGGGACGAGGTGTTGTTTGTAGCGAATAATCTAACTTTAACTTTTTGTTGCAGACATTTGGTCTCAACATAGAGGCGAGCTTGTGGACCAAATTCTTCTGCTGCCTCCGCTAGATCTTCTCTTCCAACTTTTGGAGAGCGTACACCTGCAAGTGCGAGAGTAATGTACTGATGACTGAGATCACTGAGGAGTAATCTCAGGCGGAGTGTATGTCCATCGCGTACTTGTTCAACAACCGCTGTGAGGATATTGCGAGAGTATTTGTCAACGAATGATTGTAAATCTGATGGCATGGTGTAAAGGACATCCCTTTGTTGCTTCAAACCCCATATACCTCTTTGTTTTGTCTTAGCGTAATCTTGTATGACATTGAGTGCGCTGTCGTTTGTCGTGCGCAATTTAGCCCAACCGTGGCTTAGAATGTGTGTTTTTAAATCCTGGCTAACACCCTCTTCATTTGGTAAGTTCACAACGCCAAAGTTCAGATTGTTAGCTTCTACACTGCCGATAATGTCAAAATCGACTAGTTTGCCAACAGCAGCGTCGATAACGAATTGACGTGCTTCATAAGCTAATGGCTCATCTGGCTTGTTGTTGCTACCAACACGTGGTCCTTGTATACCGTCTAAGTGTACAACGACTTCCTGTGGAATCTGTGCATCATTTGAGAGCTTTCCTTTTATGACAAGGGTATCAGAGCTGAGTGCTGCTTTGACAAGCTGTTGTGTACTCTATTAGCTGGCTATATCGCCGTTCGCTGTCCCCACTTACACCTCTACGTGGCATGACTATAGCAGACAAAGGGTGAAGTTAATAAAAATAATGCAAATATGTACTTCTAAACTATCCACAAAACGAAATAAAACAATTAAATAATATGAGCTTTAATGAGGCGGTATACTTTGAGAATCCTTTTTTTTCTGACGTTCTAGTTTTATGTTTTTACACTTGAGCTTCAGTTACAACTTCTTTATCATTTGATGATTTCTCTTGTACTTGCTCATTTTCAGTCGCAAGTGAATGTCTCGAGGTTGTACGATGTATAGATCCAGCAGGGGCTCCAGCACCACCTCTCAATCCAGTTGGTACCTCACCGTAGTAATCTTCTGCATGTCTTCTCATTTCAACATAATCGGCCGTGAATTCTCCATGTTCGCGTTCATCAAGACCCATAATTTCGCCTTCTTCATCAACTCTAAAGCGCAAACCAGGTATGAGGTTAATAACGAACATGATGGCGTATGTAACGACAAATACCCATGCTGTACCAACTGCAATCCAAGCTACTTGTTTACCGAGCTGTACAAAATTTCTATCAATCCAACCACCGTCGATTTCAAGTTCTGCGTCATTGTACGCGACTGAAGCTTGAGCGAAAATACCTGTTAAGAAGGTTCCAACCATTCCAGAGAGACCGTGACAGGCAAAAATATCCATTACATCGTCCACTCTTGCAATGTTCTTCAAGCGAGTGGACAAGTTAGAAACCAATGAGGCCAAGAAACCGATAAGAATCGAAGCAGGAGCACCAACGAATCCAGCAGCAGGTGTGATTGCAACTAAACCACAGATGGCACCTGTGCAGAAACCAACAACTGACCACTTCCTCTCCAAGCGATAATCCATGATCAACCAAGTAAGAGCACCGAAACTACCAGCAAGGTTGGTAGTGAGTATCGACATACCTGCTTTCAAGTTGGCTGCGTAGGTGGAGCCACCGTTGAAGCCCAACCAACCGGCCCAAAGGAGGACAGTGCCGAGGACGATATGTGAAACGTTGTGAGGCTTGAACAATACAGCTTCAGTACCATAACCTCTTCTTTTACCAATGAAAATGGAATAAACAAGGCCTGAGACACCAGATGCAATTTCAACTGGTACACCACCTGCGTAGTCGAGTACACCCCATTTGTAAGCCCAACCGTTTGGATTCCAAATCCAGGCTACCAATGGGTCGTAACAAAGCGTTGTCCAAACAAAAATGAAGACCATAGCAGGAGCAACTCTAGATCTCTCGGCGGCTGCACCAATCATTATTGCTGGAACGAGACAGGCAAACATTCCTTGATAGATGGCAAAGATGATCTCAGGGATTTTGTCATTTGCTGCTGCTGCTGGATAATCCAAAACATTGATGAAACCAAAGTGGTCTAATTTACCAAAGAAGGTACCGGAGTTTCTTGAGAAACACAAACTGAAACCCCAGAAGAACCATTGGAAGGAGACGATAGAAGTTGAAACGAAGCAAAGGAAGACCATATTCAAAGCATTCTTTCTTCTCGCTAAACCGGAGTAGAGGAATGAGAGACCAGGAATCATGATCCTGTGGGATGTCAGACGCGTCCGGGTGGTAAGCTTAAATAGGACTCACCAAACCAAAGCAGTACAGGTCAAGACCCAGGTCATATCACCAGGATTGTAGGCATTCACTTCACCAGTCGTTTGTGTGGCTATGAAGTCTGTACCACCGGGGACGATAGTATTTTCTGGGTTGAGAGCCCCGTATGTGACATTCACCATTTTAATTTACCTTGAGTGAAAGGAGATAAGAGATTTCAAAAATGTACCTGGAGCTTTCGCCAATTGATAAGAGCAACTTGGCGAGCGATAAAACCCTGGAACGGAATAAGTTGCTATAAAGCGCGAATCCTTTCAACACACTTATTCATATTCTTAAATATCCGCCTTCTTATTCCGTCCATTTTTGGTTATCCGTCTGTTATCAGTCAATAAAGCGCTCTGATTGGTCAGAAGTCAGACACTGTGTGATATCAAATAATATTATCTTTATTCAAATTTACAAGTTTAAACAGTCTGCATTGGTTCTGATTGCTCTGCTTGTTCCCAGGCATCGTCTTTTTTGTCTTCTTTTTTATCCTCTTCGGCGTTATTCTCGTTTTCGAACTTCTTAAGCGCAGTTGCCTCCTCCTGTATCGCCTTATTGAGCTCAAATATATCGTTAAGTTCTTTCTCTTTGTAGATGTCAAACTCCTTTCTTATCTTCTCAATACGCTCTTTAGTCTCTTCCTTCTGTTGATCAATTTCTTCAATTTGTGATTTGATAAGGCGTGTCGGTCTGTATAACAATAGTGGTATACCCTTGGTATCATTCTTGCTGAGATCCACACTTGCTTCTATAGTTTTGTTCTTGAAGTACGGAGCAAGTAGGAATTCTGCACTCCGTTGCAAGCTCTTTATTTCAACTTCTAGTGTATCTTCATTTATATGTAGTTGATCTTCCTTATTCTCCAAGTCTTGTTTAAGTTTCTTCAATTTGGACTCATGCTGATCAACTTGCTTGAATTTGTTATTGGTTTCTTGGATTCTAGTTTGCGTACGCTGCTCAATCTCTTCGCGACGTTTTAAAGCATCAGATTTTGGTGCTCGTGATTCACGTGTTGCCTGTTGGAATGACTTTGCGAATAAGGCACCAGCTGCTCCTAAGCCACGTCTTCTTTTTGGTGCAGGGGGGTGTGATTCCTCTGTTGTTTCACTTACTCCATTATCTTTAAGCTCTTTTGAGGATGATGATATGTTGGTGTCAGCTTCTCTCTTCTTTGATTTGGCAGGTGATTTTGATGATTCCGGAGCGTCTTCTTGGCTCCTTTGGACGTCATCTTCATGTTTTTCTTTGCTGGTAATTTCGATTTTCTCTCCTTGGTTGTCCACCTGCATATCTTTCTGTTCATCTAATTTCATATCAACATCGTTGCCCTGGTTCTCTTTCTGAGCATCTACTTGATTGTCTCTCTTATCATCTCCCTGGCTCACTTCCTTACTTTCATCCCTCTTGTCATCTTTCTTATCTTCCTGAGCGTCACCTTGAAGGGTGTCATTATTGAGCTCTTTACTTTCCTCTTTGATAATAGCCTCGGTTGGCTTGTCGACTGCATTACCTTCCTCCTGTTTAACCTCCTGCTTACTGTCCTGGTTATCTTCCTGCTTAGTTTCCTGCTCGACCTTAATCTCCGTCTTCTGCTCGTCTGTTGTTTCCATAGCAGTATCTTTATCAGGGTTATTTGCATCATCTGTAAGGGTCTTATTGTCACTCTCTGATGGTTTATCTGCCTGCATTTCTAGATCCTCTTCCGGATGAGACTTCTGTTGATTTTCAGTTGTGTCATCTGATTGTTTATCTGTTGTATTATCTACTGGTTTAATTGCTTTATCTGAACTATTCTCTTGTTCTAGATCCAGCTCATTCTGCTTTATCTCATCTAAAGTTGTAAAACTGAGATATGAACAAGAGATATTTATATGAAAATACTCACCATTCTTTGTAGTTTTATTCCTAGCTGAAGATCTCTTCTTCGTTGTTGATTTCTTTGGTGGCATATCTCTTGCTGATCAACGTCCAAGTTAAAGGAAGAGATGGATGGATTTGAGATACGCATGAATTTAGTGGGGCATCTACGAAAGCTGAACGCTTCATTATCCTCAGTAAAGAGAGTCGTTGGTTGTTTAAACATCCACGCACAAACTTCTGCTGGTGATCTCTGGAAATGCTTAATGGGAGAGTTTAGAAAGGTTAGAGTTGCACGTTGTTGTGTTAATATACTCATTAAAGTACATAGGGTAGCTTAAATCATAGATTAAATATATTATACATGCTCGACGATCTATTGAACACTGGAAGTTCGGAGAAGTCAGTCTATCAATCCTACGCCAGTGACAGTTTAATAGATATTATAAATATGGTAGTACCAGAGGAGAGAAACGGGATTATAAACTTGTTATCAACTTTACAAGTGAGTTCTTTGTCAACCTTGCAACTAAATTGATCGATTATAGATACTAGAGAGTTGGAAAATAAAAAGGATATTCGATATTGACTTATTAAATAACTTACAAGCAGATCTGGAATCTAAACGCGAGTTACTATCACACAAAACACAAGACACTGACAAATTAGAGAGGCTATCAACAAAGGATATTCTGCGACGATTTGAAGAGGATAGGGAGAGGCATAAAAGACTTCGAGAAGATATCTGGGTGCTGCCCATTTCAAACTTCACGAAAGAAGACGCAATGAACTATCAAACACCATCACCAGAGGTCAAGCAGCAATTTGCTAGCAATCTATTGACCTTTAACGATAATAATAAGAGTCTAGATATTGAATTTGACAATCGTTGGGATGAAATTTCTGATTATAATGAGGATGACGTTGAAGAGATGCTTGATGATTTGAATAGTCTACATAGAGCTCAATTTGTAAACTAATTTATTTTAATGTTGCTATAAATGTCTGTATAAAACGGTTGAGATGATGTCATTATGAAAATATTCACTTACTTTTTCAGCATCTGCTACAGCTTGCTTAAAACCATCCATTTGAACGTGACAATCGAGAGGTCTGTCTTTGTTAGTTGTTAAGCAACTGACCAACTCAGATTGAGATGATTTAATTGCAGGGAAGTTATTTAAGTCTCTCTTGCTATTGTGCCTGTCTACTTTTTGCTTGATATCTTTTATGGTGTTTGCAACATTATCTGAGCTAATTAAGGAATTATCCTTGTCTGTGTTCTCCTTGGCCAATTCTTGCTCGATCTGCTGCCTAACCGCGTACTCGTCGTTTCTTAATCTTTTCAACTCTGAGTTTATTCTATTCCTTATTTGTTCATCCAAGGTGACCTGGTCCGTAGGGCTATTTGCACCTTCTTTATTGAGTAGATCATCAGAAAGGTCTGAAATTAAACTATTTGATAGTTTTATATCTAAATTATTATTATCACTGTTAAATACCCTAGATTGTGATTGTTGTTGTCCCATTTTTAGTTTTTAGTAGAAGTCCCGGTTTTGACAGTCTGATGTGATGGCAGTCTACCTTAAAGATGAATTTATTTAGATTTTTAGGTGAATATCAAGTCTATTGAAGTGTATTTAAATTCTTATCCTTCATTTTAGGTGATTTATCACATCTTACTAGTATACTCATTTTAATACACAAGATACAACAATCGAGGTCATGCAGAGGTATGCCGTTATATCTTAGAATACGCGTTTTATATTTACGCTACTCTTTTAGGTATATCATATAAATCTCAACTACTATACGTTATCGTCTTCCTTTCGAGATATTTAGACTTGTTTTGGACTTACGTGTCTTTATACAATAGCCTAATGAAACTATTCTTCATCGCTAGCTCATCATATACTCTCTACTTGATGAAATTCAAGTTTAGACCAACAATGGATCCTTCAATTGACACCCTTAGCTTACCTTACATTATAGTACCTTCCATTTTATTATCACTTATCTTCAACTACGCCGATAAGGATGCTTGGTTAAGTGAAGTCTTGTGGGCCTTCTCAATTTACTTGGAATCCGTTGCAATCCTCCCACAATTGTTCTTGTTACAAAGAACAGGCGAAGCTGAAACAATCACAACTCACTACTTATTCGCTTTGGGCGCATATAGAGCACTCTACATACCAAACTGGATCTACAGATACGCAACTGAATCCTTCGTTGACCCAATCGCAATCATTTCAGGTCTCGTCCAAACCGCATTATATGCCGATTTCTTCTACATTTACTTCACTAAGGTTATTAAGGGTCAGAAGTTTGAATTACCTGCATAAAAAGGTTTTAAGATACGAAAATGAAAAATTTAACGTTCTATTTATCTATACAAAAATGAATTTCTCCATCTTTCGTAAAGCGTCCTGCTTCATAAACTTCATTGAGGTTTCTTGAAATTACATGCGATGCGTCTTCAATCTGACTTGTTACCTTACGTGCCCAAATGAAATATTCCTTGATTCTAGATGTTGACCAGTCTGTGAAAAGTTAAATGTGATCATCGTTAGTGAAACACCCACTAGTTGGTGCACTTCTCTGTAAATCACGCAGATTGTATAATTTGTCAGCAAGTTTTACGCGCTCTGAGGTAGATTTAGAGGTGTAATTGCCAGTACAGTAGGCACTTACTAGCTTCTAAAGACACACTCTTTGCTTTGTTGATCTGTGCTTGCTTTCTGGCAGCTTTTGGCAAACCTTTGTCATCTGTACACTCAAGAACAATAGACGCGACTTTATTGCCAAAGTAGTGTTGCAATTCTTGCAAGCTGGTGTTGGTATCCTCTATAGTATCGTGTAGAATTGCCGCTTGAAGTGTCTCTAAGTCGTCATGACCACTCTGTGCCAATATCTGAGCAACACCTGCAGTTAATTAAGAGCTTGTAATATAGGCTACTGTATATTCACCCAGCGTGTGGTTAATGTATGGTGTTGAATCTTTGTCTTTCCTTCGCTGGTCTTTATGCTTCTAGGCAAACGTCAGCGTCTTCTCTTTGAAGGAGCGAGTAACTAACAACGCTAGCAAATGTCACGGCAGATAGTAGTCGCAAAAATCCTCCTTGGGTGTCATTCAAGCCTTCGATAGGCGCTAGTTCCTCAACTGTCATCATAGTTCAACGTCAACGTCATGCTCGACTTTGTGATTGAACAAATAGCGTTCGACAGAATTATAGCGGCAGTAGCTGTCGTTGTGTCATTGGCATTCATACGATCATACGCTGGCGGTGTCAAGAATGATCATAGAAGGGATTTACATCAACGTACTGTCATTCTAGCCGTGAGTTTAGAAGCTGTACATGAGGGTTTTCAATTACTAAACTAACCACACAGGGCCTCCCTTCGTCTGTATTGACGTGTACACTACCAACATTAGCAGAAACTGGTGCAACTATCATAATTTTACATCCTCGACCATTAGAATTAGTAGCTATTATCAACGCAATTAGATTGAGATTCACAGACGCTGAAATATTCGCCGAGAAGTGTGATCTCAATGACGTAGAATCCGTCAAGGAATTCTCAGACAACTGGAACAAATCTGAACGTACGCCAACTGGACCAAGTAACACGATTGAGAGTGGTCAAATAAGAAGAATCGATGGCGTTATCTTCTCAACTGATTATGAAGATGGTGTTGTAATAACACCTAATCAGGAAAAGAGGGATGCAGCAGCACACTTGTTGTTATTATCATTGATACCTGCTATAGCGCATAGTCCAAATTCACGTGATATACGCGTGATTAGATTGGTACAGCCTTTCTATACCGCCGGGACACTCAAAGTTGTCAATAGTAAGATGACCAATATAAACTTGGCCGGTATCCAAGCTCTCAGGGGAATAGCGCTCAGTAGATACCTTCAAAGTGAAATTGATAGTGCCAAATCTCAAAATGTCGTACCAGAAGTTGACAAAACTCGGATCGAAAAGTCAAACGTAAGTTGTTTAACCGTTTGCCCTGGATTTGTTAGGGAAGCGACAGTTTGGCCATTATTCAGTCAATATGGAATAATTGGAAAGTTACTCTACTTTTTACTTCTTCCGGTAATTTATTTAATCACAAAGTCGGCATCGGAAGGCTCAGAAGTTATAACTTACGCTCTGATGAAGGAGAAACCAGGGAAGGGGATGTTGTATAGAGACAACAAGTTAGTTGGGTGAGTGAAATCCTAGATAGACGCTATATGTTCTCATAGATAAACAACCAGACTACCAAAAGAACTGCAAATTGAGTTATCTAATATAGACAATTTAAAGTCGACGTGGATGTACTTTGAAAGTAAATTAAAAAATAAATAAAGTTGTAAAAATTCTCACTTTAATTAATCGCTCCCTCTAGTGCATCATCAACCAAAGCTGGCGAAATGGGTCTATGCTCGTCGAAGCAAGATAAAAATGGTAAACAACGCTCGCTAGAGATAGATAAGCAATTAGAGGATGACGCTAAAAAGATGCGTAGAGATTGTAAGATACTGCTACTTGGGTCTGGTGAATCTGGGAAATCAACGATAGTTAAGCAAATGAAGATTATACATCAAAACGGTTACTCTAAGGAGGAATTAATTGGCTTTAGATTGATCGTATTCAAAAATGTAGTCGATTCCGCTCAATCCGTCGTTTTGGCTCTTAGGAAACTATCTATGGAGCCAATATCAAATACAAATCAGCATTACGCGGATTATATTTTAGGTTTTAGACTGGATCTAGAACCTGGAATGACGCTCAACAAGGAACTCGTAAACGCTATTGATAGCCTCTGGAACGATCCTATTATACCCAAATTACTCGATAGATCATCAGAGTGGTACTTGATGGACTCAGCTCCCTACTTTTTCCAAAATGTTCACAGGATTGGTAATCAAGATTACATCCCAAATGAGAATGACGTTTTGAGAGCGAGAATTAAGACTACTGGTATAACAGAGACGAGGTTCACTATGGGTCAGCTATCTATACATATGTTTGATGTGGGCGGTCAACGCTCCGAGCGTAAAAAGTGGATACACTGCTTTGAAGCTGTTACGTCAATCATTTTCTGCGTTGCAATATCCGAATATGATCAAACTTTGCTAGAAGAGAGTGGTCAGAATAGAATGCAAGAAAGTTTAGTTTTATTCGAATCAGTTATTAACTCGAGGTGGTTCTTGAGGACATCAATTATTCTCTTTATGAATAAAGTCGATGTATTTAGAGTTAAAATTACAAAAGTACCATTAGAGAAATACTTCCCAGAGTATTCAGGTAGGTTAACTTTATTTTAATTAAAATGATCCTTACATAATTATCCAGGTGGCGCTGAACTTAATAAAGCAGCTAAGTATATCCTATGGAGATTCACACAAACAAATCGGGCGAGACTATCAATTTACCCTCACTTAACACAAGCTACGGATACTTCTAATATTCGATTAGTTTTCGCGGCAGTTAAAGAGACCATTCTACAAAACGCTTTACGAGATTCAGGTATATTATAATATTGTTAAATTGCATACTAATAAAACCTTAAAATAACACAATACTTACTCAACAAACCCTCAAAACAAGAACAAGAACAAGATTTAATAAGTCTACTGCATTATTACGCATTTTCGCTCATTCAATTATGTACAAATGATTAAATTAATACATGTTTTAATTATTTTAAAAAATTATTTAAATGTCTGAAGAATTTAGTGAAACTGAGCTATGCTACGCAAGGAGCGGATCTATAGTGTGTCACCTCGATTGATCTAGGGTCTTCCGTCATGCACGAGCCATCATTTTATATAATCGGTTGACAGCGTGATTATAAGTAAAATTCTAATGCTAGAAATAGAGTTTTGTTTTTAATCACTTAACTTATTCTTTAAGCGAGTTTAGCTCGTTCAGTGAGTGCCTTGCATGCATGACGACCGAAAAACTTCACAAATCTGGTCAAAAAAGGGGTAAAAGGATTGGCGAATTAAATCGTATTGATATTACAATAATAAATCAATTATCTGATCAGAATGACTTGACAGAAGTCACTATCTAATCACATTCTGATCTAACTGTTTTGGGGTGCTAATCCCATCGGCCAAGTATAGCTAGGTCATTAGAAAAGATAGTTATATCCCGGTCTACCATGTCAAACCAAGACAGTGAAGAAGGAATAGATTTGGATAGCATGTCATACACGATCCATGATATCCAAGACGACTCAAGAACAGACGAGCTATCTTCACCTCAGCTTACAGCTTGCTCGTCGACATCTAACAGTCCACCAACTTCCCTGAGGAGTAGCAAGAGTATAAACGTACAGCGTAAGTCAATATCAAGTGCGCACGGTCAGCCAACAGTCAAGACACCACCTTCTACCTGGTTCAAACCAAAAATGAAACGGATAAAGATAAACGATGATAATAGTGATAAGAGGAAGCCAGATTCTAAATTGGTTTCTTTCGTTAAAGGTGCTTTTACTGTGGGTTTCATTTTTTGCCACACACAGCTTTACTGAGACATATCTAGGCCTTCGGAAACGCAGAAAAAGCAGATTATTCTAGCTTCTTTAGCCCAGAATTGAAGGCTACAATCAATGCCTTACCTTATACCGTCGATGGTTTGAAGGATGTATACAATTTTATCACTGGTTCCTGGTCATCGGTACAAGTTGAATTTAAATACGTAATAGAGCACCCCCGTTTGATGGGCAAATGGGGAGAGGGGGAAGTTGGAGCTGTTGCGGAGCTCGTTGGGAATGATTATTTTGGTAATAAACAATTAGTAAAGTGCTTGTTCACAATGGTTGTCATTGTAAATGATGAGCATAAGCAGCAAATAAAGGATTGGAGTGAGGTTATGTCAGTAGAATCTTAATACTCTCAACTTTAATCGTTTCTTTCTCAATTTCACGGTATTCTCATTTTTTGCATTCTTACGAACAATTTACCTAGTCTACGCACAATTACATACCTGCATTTTACATACGCGATGCTGTCAAGATCTAACGAGTTATTTATCCTGTCTTTACATTTATACATTTACCTTCCTAGTAAATTATTCCATTCAGATTTGAACAGACCGGCGAGGGACTTGGTATCCATGTAAAAGCCATCTGGTTTTTGCGGTGGAACAACATTAATACGCCAAGGGAAACGCTTGTCTATCGAGAATGGTAATCTTGGCGTGTCTAATGCGAGAGGAACTGCTGAGAGCGTCCTACGCTGTCCAGATTGCTTTGGCTCGCGGAGAGAGACTTCCTTAGCATTCACGAAGATTCCTTCATTGAGTTTCGCGAGCTTTTTCCCCCGTCCAACTGTCAATGGAAGGTTTAAAGATGTGTGTAGACGCAAAAGATCAGATTTTGGGAAATGTGATAAACGTATGACTTCTCTAGACGCGTTGAAGAGTAATAACCCACCAGCGCCCAAGCCTATGAAAGCTACTGAGGTGCTCGCTAGAATTCTCTTCCAATAGGCTGTCTTAGTGTCTTCTTCTTCTTTCTTATCAGATTTGGGAGTAAAGGACTCATAATGATAGCATGCTTCTGCGCATACAACGGCGTATAGAGATAGGGTACCAACGCAAGCCCACAATATCTTGGGTGAGAACCTTGCCGGACGCTGGACCAAAATGACTTCTTCTTCATCGGCAGCTGGACGTAACTTTGTAGAGTAATTTGCGTTGTTTTTTAGTTTAATAACTTTATTAAGTTTGTCAGGTTTATTATATCGGAGATTCCTAGTTAGATTTCTTAAGATCATTTTCTCTATAACGTTCAAGATAAACGTTCAAGAGTTAGTCTATGGATGGAAATAGCCGTAAAAATGAAATTATATACAGTGAGTACTCGCTATTGAGCTTAGAGATACAGTCTAAGAAGCCATACAGATAACAGAACGGTAATATCTGCCACTTCTGCTAGCCTTATCTCTACACTAGCGGGATATCCCGTATGTTGGACTATAGCTAGGAGTATACAACTAAACATTCGCTCAGCTAGATAGTATTAAATCCAGACTACAAACTGATAGATCTCACCGCTCCATTGTCGGTTGCGCTAAAGCTGTATGGAGGTGAGCCCTTAGTTTGATTAGCTCTACGTTTCTATAACTACATACAGACAGGAAGGTATACGAGGTTTCTTTAGAGGCGTATGGATACCTTTATGGTCTATATCGGCTGTTAGAGCCACTTCTTTTAGTATTTATACCAAATCGAGGGATACACTAGAGAAAAAGACATCAATTACACAAAAAACCCTTCCAGAGACAGCCATTTTAGGTTTGTTTTCAGGTTTACCCGCTGGTTTCATCATCAGTATGGCATCGGCACCATTCGAATTGATTAAAATAAACAGACAATTGGAGTTTCAGATCTCTCTAAATAGAGGTCTAGTTTATAAGGATTTGGGTACTATCGGTACAGGAAAGGATATCATACGTAAACAAGGTTCAGTACGTGGTTTGTACACTGGATTGAGGTTGCATATGATGAGGGATAGCTTTGGAACAGGTTTATACTTTTGCATTTATGATAGTTTAAAGTACATCACGAGAACTGATCCAAATCACAAATTCAATGCACTACCACCACAATTTTCTGCATTCTTTGGTGGTGCACTCGCTGGAATTGGTAGTTGGTTCTTAGTTTATCCAGTAGACGTTGTCAAAATTGTCGTACAACAGAGAATGTTATCAGAATTATCACCAAAATCGCCTAAAGAGATATTGTTACACCTCGTTAGAGGAAGTAATCCGGATTTACCACCTCGGCCACTACTTATCGGTATCGGAAAACTGTATAGAGGCTTGGGTGTCTCTGCATCGAGGTCTACACTCGCGCATGGTCTTATGTGGGCACTTTATGAGTCCATGATGGGCAGAATAGAGGAGCAACATGGACAAACTAAGGAGTTATCGACAGTAAGATTGGTTTAGCCCCCATTTTATAGATAAATAGAATGTAAATTATAGATAATACGATAATATGATAATATTCCCCGCTTATTCTACTTTCCCGCTTGTCTTCTCTCTTGATAAGAAACGACAATGAGCAGAACGCCAAATTTCGCAAAAGGAGTTGAATATTGGAGCTCCACAGAGGCATCCTATAATGGTGTACTTGGAGGCTTCGGTGGGTGTTTTCGCATAATCTAATACTATAGCTGAGAAAGATAAGGACTTGGTACACTCCCAAGAGTAGACGCACAGAGTTCTAGAATGATGATATTGAAATTACTCCCGCGCTTATCGCAAACGAAGAGTATAATGAACCCGAAACCTTCAGAAAGGCTAGAAAGTCGCGCTATGGAGGCAGGAGCGGGTGTAGGACGTGTCAGCACTGACGTATTGTTGTATTACTCAAAGCACGTTGAGTTGGTTGAACCAACACCAAAATTCACTGAGAGGGCTAGACAAAGATTGGCAGAACACCCTAAGGTCACAGAGGAAGGCGCTACTTGGACTATTAAGGAAGTTGGCTTGCAGCAGTGGCAACCTGATGGTATATATGATCTAATCTGGTCGCAATGGTGTCTTCCTCACTTATCTGATGATGAATTAGTAGAATATTTCAAGAAAGCAGCTGGATCATTGAGGAAATACACAACTGGGGATGAGTTCTATGGTCAGGATGGATTGCTCGTCGTCAAGGAGAATGTATGCTCTGATACAGATTATACGTTGTTTGATGATGAAGATTCTTCGATAACAAGGTGAGTAGGGGAGCTCTTAAGGCGACAAACACTAAACCATCTATACAGATCACATCAAGCGTATTTAGATCTATTCCAGAAAGCTGGACTGTCTATCGTTCATCAAGAAGTACAGCTCGGATTCCCAAAGGTGAGTAAGTCGACATTAAGAGTACGCACTAATGAAAACACGCTAGGAATTATATCAAGTACGTATGTATGCATTGAGATAGACATTTTTGTATTTTACTCTCTTCTTCGTCGACAACCAAGAGTATGCGTGTTCGAGTGAGGAGTCTCGAGAGTGAGAGGATAAATTTCGTATTAGAGGATGTAGATTTAGCGTGTGTAGAGTTATAGCCTAGTAGCACATCTGATAAAGCTATAGACTAGCGAATGCTTTACGAAGAATACTCATAGCTGATTTACCGTGAGTGTTGTATGCTATGACTCTAGAGCCAGGATCTAATATGCTACCAGTACTATGGCTATAGATATCGTTAATATAGAGGAAAATAGCTCCGTTTTGGTGGATGAATTCATCGCTCACAGATTAGGAATGGTTCCATTGATATCGACAGCTTGCGACAAGCTAATCAACTACAATCGTGACTGTGTATGCTTAGACCATTGCCCAAAGTGCTCCGTTGAACTCGAACTCAATATAAAGTGCACTACACCAGAGACAGTCTTGGTAACTTCAAATCATTTACAAATAAAAGGACAAGTCGCAAATGACACCTCAGGAAATCTTATAGACCCTCCAATTGGTTTGCCAGACAACTTTGGTCTGCCTATAAATTATCATCAGGAAGGCGCATACCCTATTACGCTTTGTAAATTGCGACAAGGACAAGAATTGAGAATAAATTGTATCGCCAAGAAGGGTATTAATAAGGAGCATGCTAAATGGGGTCCAACGAGCGCTGTTGCATTCGAATATGACCCTTACAACAAACTCAAACATACGCATTACTGGTTCGAACAAGATGAGAGAGCGGAGTGGCCACTCTCTGCAAACGCAACTGAAGAGGCCCCGCCTGATGACAGCCCAATCGGTCTTAATGCTGAACCAAGAACATTCTACTTTGACGTGGAAGCAACTGGTGCACTTGAACCAAAAGATATGATTTTATTAGCCTTTGCGGAACTACAGAATAAACTAGCTGGTATTGTCTTAGCACTCGATCAACCTACTGATCAAGAGGGTTATATGGATAACAACAACCTAGTTGAAGGTATGGAACCAAGTTCAACCGCGGCTGATCAGGTTGATGATTGGGGTGTTGGTGCTACACAGGGTGGTTTCGACTGGACTTAGTATCTCAATTTGACATATATATATATATAATGTAATAATGTAATTTATAAACAAGTTATTTTACCAATTTTGTCGTAAACTTAAAGTCGCCATATTTCTCCAATTCTTGGATAAGTACATCACCAAGTGCAGATGCAGGTGTGTATACACCGCCTTCCTTCTTTGGTGTTTCCTTTGCCAATAATAAGGCGACTTCCGATGACATTATACCTGTTAAGCTATATCCTGCGTGTCCTTTTCCTGTGACTCTAGTGTGCATCTCATGACCATCTACAGTCTTTGTTGTGTTGTCAAGTACGAGACTACAAGCGGCATCCTGCTCTGGTGTAGGTCCAGTACCAGACTTTGGAGCAACCTTCTGGAGGAGAGCTCTGAACCATGGGAAAGTTGCGAAAAGGAAACCACCGAGTGCCATCATAACACCTCTCAATAATGCTCGGAAGAAGCTCTCGTGGGAGAGTGTCTCGGTGTATTTAAATGTCTTGCTGTAGAGTTGTGGAAGTAATGCAGCTGACCTGTAAACAACTCTGATGTTATGTGGACCCAACAACCAAGGTGTGCCCCATTTGCCGACGGCGTTGTCGTAGCTGATAAGCTTCTCTCCATTTTGTAACTTTGCTCTCTCTGAGTTAACTTCTGGAGCTAATGACCAAACATCTCTTCTGTTTTCTCTGAGTTGATCTTTTGGCGTTTTGTCATACATTGTGAGAAGTGAGCTAATAGTACCACCGCTAGCACCCTTGATGAGACCGCTGAAGCTAGTGTGTGAGTAATTGATGTCACTATAGATTCCATTATCACGGAGACCTTTAACGGACTTGTAGACGGCGATATCTGATGGCAAACTATCTAAACCAGTTGAAGGTACCAAAATTGAACCAGTTTGGGATGCCTTATATGTTAATTGTTTAACCAAGTTAATGTAATAAGATGGACCTTCTCCGTTGATATCTACAAAGTGTACACCTGCTCTAACGCAAGCAGTAGCGACACTCATACCGTAAAGTGCGTATGGACCTGCCATAGAGAGAACAACCTTTGCTGTTTTTACAATTTCCTCTAATTCTGGGCTATCAGTTGATAAATCAGGTACTGTGAGTGATTTCACATCCGATGGTACACCGAGCTTCTGTCTGACATCGTCTAACTTTGATAAAGATCTAGCAGCGAGTGCAATTTTAACATCCTTGTGATGTTCTAATAAGTGTTTTATAACTAATTGAGCTGTGAAACCTAGTAAAAGTTAGATCAACAGTCTATTGGAGTGGTAGATTGGCGTCATTTGGGAGTTTATACACTAAATGCCAAATCTACAATAATAAATTACTCACCTGTTGCTCCTATAACTAAAATATCAAATTCTGCCATTTTTTACTCTTGATGGTCTCTCCGAGAGGTTCTATAGGGACAACACCGGTAATCAATTATAAGCGGAAATTATTTAATATTAATCATGACTGGGTTTGTATGACTAATTAGTGTTTATCTATTTATATAATAATGCCCTTGATTGTAATAAATCGGATATAAAATTTTCACCGCCGATAACGCTATCTAGAATATCTATTTTGGTATATACTCGACCTCTTAGATGGTAGACTATAGTGACTCCTCTTGTTATCTTTCTGAGAAAAAAGATCAGACTAAGGTTGACTTGTCTTCAAATCATAAGAAGAAGACGCGTGTTTTTGTCACTGGTATATTAATAACAAACACCAGAAAGAAAATCGAGACAGTCGAACATCAGAAAATTAAACTTTTTCTTTGTATGCGTTCAGGATGTTCATCGGGCTGATTGGATTAGATAGTGAGACTATACATATAACTAAGAAATATCTAGTTGAAGAACGTGGATTCACGGCTATAGATTTAAAGGGCGATTTAGATGACTTACCTCAGGAAGTCGTTGATATGAAGATGCTTACTTTCGGAGACTTGATGGACTACGTAACTTCACATTGGCAGGATAACTTTGTTACTGCTACATTACCATATGGCAACACAGAATGTCTAGATTTATTCATGAGAAGACCATTCACGCTCTTAGTCGGTTTGGAAGCTCGTATAGAGAGAACTATAAAGAGTTGTGTAAATCGATTTGCAGATCTTTTTGATGGAATGGATATATCAACAATGTTTGATCTTGGATATGGCATTATTAGACCTACTATGTCAAAAGCACAGCTGAACATCTACAATCCGTATGAAACTGAAGAAGAATTCTTAGAATTATTGAGAACGATTAATATAGAAGACACTGAACGAATCAGACCTAATTGGGATACTTACTTTATGGTATGTCCGAATGATATTCGTTGTATTCCTATTGAAACTCCTCAGGAACTCGCAGATTTGGCTAGTCAAAGGTCAAATTGTATGAAGAGAAGAGTAGGAGCTGTTCTGACTGAAGAAAAACGTGTCGTAGCAACTGGATACAATGGAACACCAAGGGGATTAAAGAATTGCACAGAAGGTGGATGCACTCGTTGTAACAGCGGTGTTGAGCAGGGTTTCGCAGAGTGCTTATGTCTCCACGCCGAAGAAAACGCACTGTTAGAAGCTGGAAGAAGTAGAATAGGATCGAATGCAGTATTGTACTGTGATACGTGAGTGCTGTTATTTGTCATAGGTTTTTCTAACAAGCAACATAGCTGTCCATGTCTCGGTTGCGCTATCAAGATTATACAAACTGGCATAAAAGAAGTCGTATACAATCAGGCTTATAGAGTAGACGATAAGACATACACATTGTTCAAATCCTCTGGCGTAATCCTGCGGAAATACAGCAATGATCATAAAATAATGTTCTAAACCTTCTTGTTGAATTACGACCATCATTGATATTTATGAAAAATAGACTAGACAGTGATAAATCTACGACTGATGATGATAGCACAAAGAGTGATTTAGATAACGACAGCGAAGCCACGCTATCTGAATCTGATGGCGTCACACCAAGAAAGAAGTTCAAGTGGAGCACTAAATGGAGAATTATTGAGAGTATCTTTATCGCTGGGGAGACTACTAATGAAGTAGAGTTAGCAAATAAACTTGGTATATCTGTTAATGATACCTATGACGATGCCGATCTTATCATCTATCCAACTTGCGACGAAGACATTAGTGATGACAGAGCGGTATGTAGGCATTGGTTGATAGACTCATCAGATAGTGGTATCTTACTTCCTATAACGTTGTACAATCTCTGCGATCTTTTCGATTTCAACGATTATGAGGATGATCAGGAGGACCTTCCCCCAGTACCTCATTCAAAATATGCTTGTCAACGTATACATCCGCTCGTATCACCGAATGAGGGTTTAGTTGACGATCTCCGGGTGCTCAGATATGATCGTAAAGCTCGCAATGAGCCGTGGAATTATCTGGCGTATTCAAGGGCTGCGTCTACAGTGAAATGTGAGTGAAAATGATACTCGTATAAGTTCTTTCTTTACACAATATATAGCACTACCACATAAAATTAGTAGCAAAGATGATATATCGCTACACGATGACGAATCAGAGCTTAATAAGAATTACAAAAACATCGGTGCTAAAAAGATAGCATCTAGAATAGAGGAATACATCAATTACGGACGTATCGAAGAGGCAGATAGGATACGAAATAGCGATGTATATAAGATACAAAACGCGCTAGAGACCATACAAGGGATAGGACCAAAAACGGCGTATGAGATGAGCAGAAGTGGTGTCAAAAGTGTAAATGAACTAGTAAAAGGTGGTAAAATAACCCAAGAAGATGCTGCCTTAGCTGAGCATCTGCAAATTGGTATAGATAGACAAGAGGTTGAAAGCATAGCCAGATTTGTGGTTCAGCATGCAAGGAACATTCTTCCTCATCTGAAATACACCATTTGTGGTGGATATAGACGTGGAAAACCGTACTCGAATGATATTGATATTGTCGTTACACAGCACGGATGCAATGTAACACAACTGGGTGAATTCTTAGTAAAACTCACTGAGGACTTGCAAAACATTGGTAGGTTACGTTTAGAATGTCCCTTCCTCACTCATACAAGTATAGGCTTCTTGACACAGCTCATGAGGGGGATTGCGCTCTCAAATGACAAACGCGTAGCTGATAGTCATGATTACCAGTCAACCATGTTTGGTGTTGTTGCTAGTTGTAAGTCATTTGGTACCTCGGATAGTGACGAAGTGAGGCTTCGTAGACTTGACATTATCGTGTCAGTTCCTGAATCATACCACCTTGAGATACTAGGATGGACCGGATCAATCATGTATGAGAGAGACATACGAAGTTATGTCAAACAGTTCAAACTTAAGTTAAATAGCTCGTCTATATTCAATGAACGGACGAATAATCTGATGGATTTACGAGGAATAAGAAGTGAGAGGCATCTTCTCCGAGTGTTGGAGCTACCTTGGATAGAACCAGGTGGGTGAAAAGTATCTTAAAACACACTACTAACAGTAGAAAAGAGGATCGAAATTGTGATTAAAAATGTTTCTATATTAATACAGTTAGCTATCTATTGTTGTAATACTATTGTTCATGTAATTGTCGATGTGATTAGAGTTTCGCTTGTGATACATTGCCAATACGAGTGTGAGAGGGAGATGAATCAAACTCGCGTGGAAGAGCCTTCTAGCAGCTACATCACCTGGATTATTCTTCTTTATTTCTCTATAGAATGCCCAGGAGAGGTATGCAAATGGAGCGTTTATAGCTGTTGAAGTGAATGCGAAATTCCACGTCGTCAATCCGGACCACGGGAATAGAACTGCCGTCAATGGAAGCATGATGAAAGCATGTCTAAGAGCTACTATGCTATTCTTAAGGGGATTACTCACGCTCAACATGCTATATCCTGAGCTAGCATATTGTGGACGAAGAAGGTGAGCGAGTGAGTTAAAATGCGGGAATTGCCAGGTATAAAGAACGTAAGGAAGAGCTGAAATTGCGCCAATATCCTTCCAATCGAGGCTATCTGGGATGAGTCGTCCAGAAGAGGCCGTCCAACCGATAAGAGGAGGTATAGCGCCAACGATGCTACCCACCCAGGTGTTAATGATATGTACTCGCTTGAGTGGTGTATAAATTCCACTATAGAGTGCTATATTTGCCGCGCCAAGTGCTGCTGAAGGTGCGTTGACGCCCGTAGCGAGAAGACCAACACCTGCAAGTCCAGTTACGCCTGCAAAGACGACAGCATGGATGGGTGACATCAAGCGGGTGCAAAGTGGACGAACACGTGTGCGAGCCATCTGAGAATCGAGTGGTACTTCTAGCATCTGATTGAGAGCATTTGCAGATGCTGAGCAGAGTGCTACACCACCCGCTGTACTGAGCAATGTTGTGAGTTCTTCCTTATATCCAATCGCTGGCGAATCCGGGCAAAGTGCGTACCCAGCCATACTGGTAAGTACGACGAGGAAAGTCAAACGTGATTTTGATAATTGTTTGTATAATTTAAAACGCTGTTGAATTGATAGTCGTGGGAGTTTCTTCCATGCTATCCTACGATTGTTCGGGATGTTCAAACTAACAGCGGATGGAGAGTTTGATAACGGGTGCAAATAGAATTGATTAGCGCGATAACTCGTAAAAAAGTGTTTTGTTGGCTAAAATGAGATTTTTAGTCATTTGTTCTGTCTTCTCGCTTATCTTACCATTAAGTGAACTTGGAGGGAGTTAAGAAAGAGTCCCGAAAGTAAAATACATTTATGAACATATATAATATACAAATTCTTATACTTAAATCACTGCTTATTCCAGTATTCCTCATTTAACCATCTCGCTCGTAGCGATGGTACATATTGGAAACACAACTCGTTGAAACTGTTAATGAGGTCATCAGGTGGGTTAGGAAGATTGTTAGATTCTGAAAATGTTACTACTTCTTTGTTAGAAAAGGCAAATTTTCATCGTCGAGTTACTCACGGAATTTTGAGACAAGGCTGACATTTCCTTTGTCTTTCTGTCGATTTGAGTACAGTGAGAGATCATTACCGAGGAGTACTACGGTGGATAGCTTATCAGCGCTCCAGTAGCTACTCAGCGTGGCTTCATAGAGTACTTTATCGCAATGGGGCATATAAAGGAACGTATTACAGTTATTATTAGTGTGTATACTATCGCTATCTTGTATATAATCATATCCGAACTGCTTAACGAAGTCTTTATCAGTTTCCGTGCAGACAGGATCATAGAGGCTGACGTTGTTAGGTGCAATTTGTAACTTTTCTATAATGTACTCCAATAAAACGAGCTGATCGACTGCATTCCTGTTATCTTCAAAACTTCCCAATCCGAGTGCAATTATTTTAGCGGGTGTAGGCCAATTATCGCTGGATATAACGCTATCAAATGTATCTAGAAGGAATATTTAGCGGGTGTTATTTGGTAAGCAGCGCAAAACGCACGTTGTACACCTTTAAACCAGTCAGACTGTTTAATGACATTTCTACGGTGATACAAGGCTCCCGTTAGTTTGTCATTTGAATTTACTTCAAGGTTTATTGGAAGTTGATTTTTATTCCTTCTATTTCCACCTTTAGATTTCGGTTTATAGGCTTTATATTTAAAACCGTCCATGTCTTCTCTCTTGAAACGCAACTATGTCGAGTGAGTTTGAATATATCGAGAAATATAAAATATTTACAAATCAATTCAGACGAAGAACATTTTACAAAGCAGAAGCTATGGGGTGGTAGATTTACAGGTGAAACCGACCCTTTGTGAGTGTAATAATGACTCACAAACTAGTTTTCTAATGGGTTCAGAATGCACGCATACAACCAATCACTCAGCTACGACAAAAGGATGTACGCTGCAGATGTACATGGTTCAAAGGCCTACGCTAGAGCTTTAGCAAGGATTGGCGTTCTTACAAACGAAGAAGCCGATAAAATACACAGCGGTTTAGACGCAGTAAAGAACGAATGGGAAACTAATACCTTCAAGATACACCCACAGGATGAAGATATTCACACCGCTAATGAGCGTCGCTTGACAGAAATCATTGGTTCCGTTGCCGGAAAATTGCACACCGGACGTTCACGCAACGACCAAGTCGTCACTGATGTCAGACTCTGGCTTCTTGAACAAACAGCTTTAGTTGAGGGCTACTTGAAGGAGCTTATTGGTGTTATCAGTAACAGAGCTGATAAGGAAATAGACGTTCTCATGCCAGGATACACACATCTTCAACCAGCTCAACCAATTAGATGGTCACATTGGCTCTGCTCACACGCTTTCTCATTCGCAAACGATTTAGAGCGCCTCAGAGACCTTATTCCTCGTCTTAACAAGTCCCCACTCGGTTGTGGTGCCCTCGCAGGACATCCTTTCTCAATTGATAGGGAAACCCTTGCTTCTGATTTAGGCTTCAAAGGCGTTATCGAAAACTCTATGAACGGTGTAGCAGACCGTGACTTTATCGTCGAATGGCTCATGTGGGCAACTTTGACACTCACTCATATGTCCAGATTCGCTGAAGATTTGATCATTTACTCTACTTCTGAGTTTGGCTTCGTTACTGCTTCAGATGCTTACAGCACAGGTAGCTCAATCATGCCACAAAAGAAAAACCCAGATAGTTTAGAACTTCTTAGAGGTAAAAGTGGTAGAATCTTTGGTCAAATGACTGGTTTCTTAATGAGTCTTAAGGGTTTGCCATCTACCTACAACAAGGATCTTCAAGAAGACAAGGAACCACTCTTTGACTGCGTCGATTCAATGAAAGCCAGTTTGCAAATTGCAACCGGTGTTATATCCACACTCAATATCCATCCTGAAAACATGAAGAAATCACTTGGAATGGACATGTTGGCTACTGACTTAGCCGACTACTTGGTCAGAAAGGGTGTTCCATTTAGAGAAACTCACCACATTTCTGGTAGATGTGTCGCATTCGCGGAAAGCAAGAAAATCCAACTTTCAGAGATTACTCTTGAGCAACTTCAAGAGATTGACAGCAGATTCACCGAGGATGTCATGAAGGTATGGGACTTTGAAGCCTCAGTAGACCGTAGAAACGCCATCGGTGGTACTGCAAGAAGTGCCGTCGAACGTCAAGTCAAGGTCCTCCAAAGTCTCTTATAAGGGAACATATGATTAATTAAATAATCTATCTAATGTAATTAAAAACGGGTATATATATGTAAAATTCTTTATCTCTAAACAAAAGATTCATAAATGAGCGTATATAGTTGGTAAAATAAAAAAAAAGATAAGTGAAATAAAAGTCCGTATTTGCGCGTTATGGTGATATTGGTATATTCTTTACACTACTACCACTGCTTCCAAAGCTTAAAAATGAAGTTGTACGTTTATTCGCTAGTTTTTGCAAGTTACTTGAAGTTGACCGGGAATTCTCTAATTCGAAAGACGGTCTATCGCTTGGTGTATCATTTGGTATATTATTTTGTTGATGTGGTAATAAAACTCTCGTTCTTGGGGAAGCAACCGGTGCTTCATCAGTCTCACCACTTAGGAATCTCATTGAAGGTGGTGGTGGAAGTGGACTACGGACATCCTCCTTCTCCGCTTGCTGTTTTAATTCCAACAAACTACCCTCTCGTTGTCTGTCGTCGAAACTTGGTGATCCAACAACTGATCTGTTGCTCAAGTGTGCATTACTTGTTGACTTACCCCGTATTCTATTCCAAAGTCCTCTAATTCCCTTCTTCTTCTTCTTCTCAGATTTGTTATCCTCGTTTAGACTTTTCGAAGAGGAATTGTGCCACATTTCCATTCCATTGACTGAGTTCGCGCGCTGGTTGTTGCCATTGTGGCCATCCTTATCTAGTCCAATATGCATGTCGACCATTGATCCTGAGGGTAATCCTGAAGCCACGCTAGTAGCTGCGCTTCTGTTGGAATGCTTGAAAAACAAACTAAATGGCCTTTTGTGCACCGATGCAGGTGAAGCTATTGTCGATTGCGGCGAGTGTGGTACTTCTAGCTGCTGTGATGATTTAGGTACATCAGTAACGGTGGTTAATGGTCTAGCTGCTGTTGATCTGATGACCTTCTTCTGTCCATAGTTTGTTATTTGATTGGCTGCATCTGTTGGTAATGGTGGTGCATTTGCCAAACTAATTGCAAGATTTTGTTTAGATGTTCTATTGGTATTGGTAGCAGCGCCAGACTCGCTCAATCTCCGGCGTCGCTGTTGTGTGCGCTCCTCTATAGGTGGAGACGTCTTTTGTGAGGAGAGCGAAGAGGTTGACGGATACTTCAATATTTTATCGAGCGTCTTATCTATCGAATTGTCAACGTTGTTTCTATTAACTTGCTCTTGAACGTATATTTTCAAATTCGTCACTCTATAATTTGACACTGGAGGGTTTATAGTCGTCCACTTTGTGAGATTTTCCTCTGTGACTTCATCCTGAGGCTTTAAGCCTGCTCTTTCTGTGGTGTCTATCCCGTTTTGCTCCTGTAAGGACCACAACGCTAGGGCTTTTTCGACGTCTTTGTCCGAGTTACGCTTCCAGACAGCTGGAGAAACGTCAACGTCTGCCATATCCCTATCCCTCATCATACACTCTAAGCAAATTTCTTGAGGCGGTTTCGTAGCTTTCTTTGGCTGTTCCGGGGCTGCAGCTTGCGGCTCTGCTGGCAGAACGGGCTGTGCGTCACGCTTGAGGTCAAGAGGAGCTGGATTGTCGGGGTATAAAGGAGGGGGATCGTTATTGACGTTCGCCTTTGGTGATTTGCTGAGTCTGTCGTATTTGATGGACCTCAGCGAGGTATTCGCAGGGAGGAGGCTCTCTGGCATCTGCGGCGGCGACAATTGGGACTGCTGTCTATTAACTGGCTGTAGATTCCTCTTATCTAAATACTCACGCCGTTCCCGTTCTCCATTATGATGGTCGCTCGAGTGTAAGTTTAAAGATAATGAAATAAAAAAGAAATTACAAAATGCTATTATTATTTACTTTCTGTACCAAAGTGTCGCTGTACGGTTTCTTCTGATCTTCCTCTGTAATTGTAACATCGCGTACAAGAGCGCCTCAGCAGTTGGTGGACATCCAGGTGAGTACACGTCGACTGGTACAATTCTGTCGCAACCACGGACGACGGAGTATGAGTAGTGGTAGTATCCACCTCCGTTGGCGCAACTTCCCATACTAATAACCCAACGTGGTTCCGGCATTTGGTCGTAGACTTTACGTAAAGCTGGTGCCATCTTGTTCGTGAGTGTACCAGCAACAATCATCAAATCTGACTGTCTTGGTGACGCACGGAAAACAACACCCAATCTATCTTGATCGTAACGCGCTGTAGCCATATGCATCATCTCTGAAATTTTTGTTAGAAGTGCACTTAGATGGACTGAAGGGGCAGCAATTTGGGAGCCATTACTGCACCTCTTCTATTGATAACTCACCAATAGCGCAACATGCTGGAAAGTGTTGTCAGCTTTTGATCCAAATACACCCAGAAACCTCGCAAAGACAGTCTGCAAGGTCTCCTTCGTTAGAAACTCACCTAAACCGAAAGTCATTGGCCACAATGATCCCTGTTTTCTGTTAGCAACTTTACAACTAATTGGAGGTGTTCTGAGTGGTTCGTGAGTGGATGGCGATTAGGCTATCATCTAGCCCGGGTGAAAAGATAAATATAGTGTTGAAAGGAGAAATGAGGACAACAGCAAAGCTATTGGGAAGATATCTCTGCCATATTATTCTCCAAATTCACCGAGTTGTACGCTCAAGAAGACATCCCAAGAGACACCAGAAGCTCAGAACACCAAAGAAAGACTTACAGTTTGTCCCCAGTCTGTATTTAATTAGCCCTGTAGAGTTATTTTCATGAAGACTTACTTTTGACTTTGTCGAGAGTTGTAAGAGCGTATTCGACACCATTCCTTGGAGTTTCTAAGCTGAGCTGGTTAGAGCCCTCTTGTGCAATTCTAGTGGCTGGAATTGGGCGACTAGCTTCAAGATCTTGTCCAGCGATTGATCTCGTCGTGGCAAAGGAACGGGCTAAGGCAAGGCCATAGCTAGGAGCCTTCATTTGAGCTGTATAGATTTTAATATCGTATTGACGACTAGCGAGTCTCCTACATTTGCTAAGAATTGACAACATCATAAAAGCACTTCACTGATTCGCTCAAAGTGCTCTCTACCCAGTTCAACTACGATCAAATAAAAAATCATAAAATTATTTCAACTAATGCACTTCCATTATAAACCTCAATATCTAATTGCCATATATTCGCTTGTCTCTTCTTAGTGCCACACTTTGACGCGTCTGGGTAGTTGTCTGAACTCGGTAGGTTATCCAAAGATCACTTTATCGATGGAATAGAATTGAAAGTAACACTTGTAGCAAAACAATGCTACATTTATTACACTTATTTGTCTCTATCATGCTTAGGATTCTCGAGAAATTTTTATCTCTGTCAATCATTTTCATAGAACATCAAAAGGGTGAATTAAAATCCACATATACCATCTATCACTTGATGATAATTTTACATATACTTAAGATCATTAGTTTTTGTGTAAATGCGGATGTTGTTTCATTATGACCTTAACATTGGATATATAAGTAGAGTCTGTGATAAACTGCATGTAAAATATTTTGCCTCATATACGACACGTTTTCTACATGTTACCTACCACACTGTAAAGGTGGTACATTCTTTACCTTATTTCATGTTACATGGCTGTGAGATTCTTTGTTTAGCTTTGCAATTACAACTCAAATGTGTTACTTATACGCGAGGAGCTAAAAATTACCCAGTCAGACTATAGAGTATTATTACATGCATCCATATATAAATTACCAGTTGGATGTATAACGATAATTGCAATACTAGAAGAATTGGAACTCCTACAAATGCATCAAAATTAGGGATGCACTTCTTCTTCTACATAAAGTTAGATATGGAGAACCGATCAACGCGTAGATCTTAGTCAACTAGCGATATTATCTCTTAGCTTTTCGCCTCCTCAGTGAGGGATACTGGAATAGTGACTGTATGCTGGGTTTGGTGTATAGAACCCACTACATAGCTAGTATCCTGCATTTATTAAACATTGATACTATTGTAAAAACACTTTACTGTTTGCTCAAGATTTTACCATCTTAGACAACCTTTCCGAATAAATTTATCAATATGTACAATCTTTGGAGTCTAAGGAATGATAGTACAGCAGATTTTGCGGGTGTGTGGCAAATGTCTAAACTCTGTGAGATAGATTCTGAAATGTGTGTTAGTTGTATTCTAATGAGGAAAGTAACTGACCCTTGCCAAGTGCCTGTAGTACTTGTTAGACAACAATATAAAGATACGATGAGACCTACCAAGCGCTAAATTTCCGTTTGTGATTGGGATTGTTAAGCTAGGGCCAATGAGAGAGGTCTTTGTATGAGAGACGCTTCATGCAATAGTTAATAATGCATGGACGATATAATGTATTCTACATACGAGTCACTATATCATAGTTAGCTTATACTCTCAATGGTATCATTTCACCCACTCTGGACCTTCGTCGACATGCTCCCAAGGCAGGGATTCAGGAACTACTCTATCCAAAGCCATGTCCATATCAGTACGTACTGTGTAGTCAAAGTTCTCATTAATTGTGAGTGCAGCTGAGGTGTGTTTGATGAACAAATTGAGAAGACCAACTTGAGTGTTAGAAATACCATCTCTGAGCTGGTTAACTACCTCTTCAGTGACGAGGTGGCATCCTTTTGAGCGCTTATTGAGTGTGATAGTTTTCTGGTAAGGCATCTTGTGTGATGGCTAACAATAGAGAACTAATGAGAGCCCAAGGAGAGCTAAAAATGCATTCAAAGACATACAAATAACGTTATAGCTTTAAATTAGTTTATATGGTCGTTTAAAACTATAGGAAGCACAAGTTTCTCTATGATGTCATCGCTAATATTTGGAATTTGACATTTAGAGGACTTCTGGGTGGGTTGGGAATGTAAGAAGCTCGAAATACCAGTGAAGTCACCGCGTGCCACGTTGGCCGAAACCGAGGCCTTTGAATGTGCGAGAACTCGCTGGACAGTATATACAGACTAGACTAGAATGTGAGCAACTAGAGTTAGTCTCAGACTGAGGTCTAGAATGGCTGATATGACAAGGTAAAGACCCTCGTCTTTGATAGAGCCAGGGATTACGCATTTAGAACGTCCAGCACCCTGAAATTGGTACCCTCATAATGTGGTAGTGGGAGAAACTAAAACATGAATGTCTCATAAAGTTGAATAAATAGTCTACAGTTTTTAACGTCATTTATGTACTACGAATAAGGTTTTGACAGTATTTTAGTTGGGGCGTAAAATTATCAGGGAAAGCCGAAAAGCGAGTTTCTAAAGCATTTATTGTATAAATATATTTAATTTACGCGTTGATATCTTTTTTTGTCTAAATTTATACAATCTGAGGTTTGATCAAATCGCGTTCTACTTGAGTTCCATCACTTGAATCATCACCTCCATCCAACAATAAAATAAAATACAAAATACACAGTAATGAAATATGCTGGCAACGCCTTCACGTAAGCTAAGTATAGCTACAACGCCGTCGTTGCATCAGATGCAACAGTCGCCTTCCACCAGTTCCACGCAATCAGACGACGATATACTCGATGAGACTTACTCGTTCTTCAACTCTTCCAGCCAATCATCAGCCAGCTCCGATGTACACACACTCCAGTGTTGCTTCCCCTCCGGGCTTTCCTCAGAATCCATCCGTTCACTTAAGAACACCCCGGCTCAGACAAAATCAATCCAGCCTTCATTCGATCAATTAGTTAAAACAGCCCCACCGAACAACTCTTTCAATAAGTATTTAAATTCCTTACGTTCGCCTCCTGAACCGTCAGCGAGTCCGCCACCATCACAACGCCCGAGAAAAATAGTTTCAATTGATAAACTACCATTCAGATCAAGATCTTCAACTAGCCACTCTATGACCCCTCTTAGCCCGTCTGAAAGGCCTTCAAGAAGGGGTTCTTTACGTTCGAATAACTCAGATCACGCTATACAAAATATCAAAAGACCCTCAAAGAAATTCACCATACCATCCACTTCAAACCCACCAAATTCAGTCGCCGCTCCCCAAAGAGCGCGTAACGTATTCCCCTCACCAGATCCACCAACGCGGGCCTCATTCCCATTACAACCAACTTCATACGCAAGCGCAAGACCCCTCCAAGCCGCTTTCCAAGCCCCTTCAACTCTCATGTCAAAAAGATCAAAACCATCAAGGAATTCAAACGTCGGTTCAGGAGGTTCTCCTGCTTGTATGCCAGATACTCCAGCAAAACCATCAGCATTTGCAGCTAAAGCGCAGGCTGACTTATCACAGTCTTTGCCAGCTCAGCAAACTAAAAACCGTACAAACTTTTTTGGAAAATCAGCAAAAAGACTTAGTTTGAATTTAGCCCTTGCCGCCAACTCACCTTCGAAAGATGAATCAACGGTAGAACAAAATTTAAACCCAGGTAGAGGAAGAGGAAGGATGGCAATTCTTCGTCGTAGTTCAGCTTTAAGTTTGGGTAGTAATCGCACTGGTGCATCTAGCGACAGTGACGGTAGCCCTAACACCAGAAAAGCTATTGAGGATGAATGTCCTACCCCAAAATGTAGATTTTTTGAATGTAAGTTTTCAAAAAATTGTATCACACCACTAACTCGTTTTCAAGCTAACGGCAATACCGGTAATTCACCTACACCATCATCCAAAGTAGCTACACCTACTTCAAAAACTTCAAAACTTACTAGACGTGCATCACAACTTTTTGATAGAGCTTCAAACCCATTATCATCATCACCAGATCACTCTCTTGGATCAAGTCCAACTTCACCAAGACGTCCGTCACTTTTCTCTTCCCTTAGAAGTACGAAAGACAAAACAAGATCGATGTCGTCAATGTCTCAATTTATAAGAAGACGCTCATCTTCTAAATTAAGCATATCATCAAAAGCACAAAGGTCATCAGAAGATAATGAGAAAGAAAAAGAAATTGAAGGTAAATTCGAGAAAGAATTTTTCATCATTTCAGAACTCGGTAAAGGTGAATTCAGTGAGGCATTCATAGCTTGCAAACGAGACGAAGCTTATAGTGGTAAAATGTACGCCATCAAACGTGGCAAACCTTTCGAAGGTGGACGCGATAGGTGAGTAGTTTTTAAATGTAGGACACAGAATTTAACAGGCATCAGATTACGACAACTAAATGAACCAGTTACGCTTTCCAAGTTACCCGAACATCCAAATATTATCAAATTAAACGATTATTGGGAAGATAACAATAGACTTTATATCCAAACGGAATTATGTGAAAAGGGCTCCCTGAATGTTTTCCTTGATGATTATGGAATGCACTTCGAAAGATTAGAAGAAACTCGTGTTTGGAAGATTTTAGGAGATATCGCAGAGGTGAGTGGGATATTACTCCAATCAACATTCTAACGATCTTTTAGGGAGTGAAATTCTTGCATGCATGTGGAATTTGGCATCTCGATCTCAAACCAGCCAATATCTTTGTTACTGCAAATGGTACTCTTAGAATAGGCGACTTTGGATTAGCTGTTCAAGAATCTCAATTAAAGTCATCAACCCAGTATAAGAATCTACCAAAGCGGCGAAAGTCTTCTGAACCGGATGCTGATCGTACGATGTTGACAACCGTACTTGAATCATCTGATGGTGTAGAGGAAGATGATATTAGCTTATACGCGGGTGATTTAGAAAGGGAAGGTGACAGAGAATATCTCGCTCCAGAAATCCTCCGAGGGAACTACAGTCATGCAGCAGATATCTTCTCATTAGGTTTGATCATATTAGAAGCTGCATGCAATATAGTTTTACCAGGTAATGGTGAACCATGGCAAAAATTACGTTCACTTGATTTCAGTGAATGTCCATTCGATAATTTATCATTAGCATTAGTCGATTTAATAAAAGCAATGCTAGACCCAAATCCTGAAAATAGACCATCAGCATATCAAATATTACAACATCCAATATTAAATAATGTGATTAAAAGACGTACTAAAGGTGCTTTGGAAGTTGAAGATGATGGTGCTTTCTTAGGGAATATCGTAGATTCTTTGACCATTGGAAATATAAATAAAGTACCACAACCATTACCACAGGCTAGTCTTATCGTTACAGATCAAGATGACATTAATAATCAAATTGTTAGTCGGTCAAGTACTGATGATAATTTGATGGATTTGGATAAATAAATTAAATCAAACAACAGCATTTTAACTTATACTTTATTCTGGCATTCCTCAACAATTTTTTAATAGAGCGTGTCAAAACATACGCTGTTTTTATATATCTTTCCTTGCTTCAACATAACAATTCGAACGATCTTTCAAACATTTTCAACTGACAATTTTACACTTAAATCACCTGGTTTTTTTCAACATATTTCATTAGCCTAACTTTTTCCTAGCTTTTTCAATCATTTCCAAATACACTACACTACACTCATTTTAACAACCTTTATCTGTAGCCCAGCGAAGCTTTTATGTTGTAAATTTCTTGCAGAAAATACATATTTTCCAATTTATACTACAGAACATTTATTTACTTTAACTTTTGAGTCTGCTTGTATGCTAATATACGCTCCTTCTTGGCGGCTTGCGTTTTCTTTTTCTCCTCTTTAGCTTTACGAAGGTCTTTCGGCATGGTGGTTTCTATTGTCTTAATTTGAGTGGGTATATAGATAGGATCGCCTTCTTCAGTCTGCCAAGGTGCTTTGAGTGTGTACTTTGATTCATCTTCCAATCGTCGACGTATTGTTTCAGCCAGTATGTGATTTTCTGTCAAGCCGACTACAGCAACTCTTTTAAGCTTTATAGAGACCGCGAGCGCTTCCTCACTACCTTTTGGAAGTTCAATTAACAAAACAGAACGTTTATGTTGTGTGTTTAGTGTTGATATTTGAATAGGTAAATGTGCTAATAATCGAGAAGGGTTAACATCATGCTTGCACGCGATCACAACTTTACACTTTGATGATTGGCCACTTTCAATGTCTCTAGTAACTGCGTTTATACCGAGTAGTGTTGATTCTGGTGTCGTAATGTTTTCTCTATCTTTTCCTTTCTCTGGATTGAGAGTAACGCTACCTTTATCCTTTAATTTTGCTTCCCTTCTTTCCTTTCTCAAAGCTCGCTTTTGTTCATCAGACAAAGGTGGATGTGTAAGTTCCTTCTTTTTAACGAAATCTGAGAAAAATGCTGTTAAATCTTTTAGAATAGCGTTAGACGTTGAAGGTGGTACACCAGGCCTATTTTATTAGCTTATATATCTATATAATGGAGAACAGACTCACCAATTGACATGATAAGGCGTATCTAATACAGTTTTAAACGCAGGCTTTCTATCTCCAGTACTCTGCTTTCCTTTGTTCCTCAATGAATGCTTATTCTTGACATTCCTAGCTGCTTGATCTTGGACGTCCATCGAGAAGATATTCAGAAATGGCTGGAGAGGCTTTTATCATTTTACTACGAGTGACTTTTTTAACAGTAGCTATTTATTCCATACTAAAATATAAATCACTATCTTCTGAGCTTGGTTATTGCGATAGCAGTAGTTTATCTAATCGAATACTTGATCAACGCGTTAAAGAATACGATGAATTAGCTAATAGTCCTGACGAGGCAGACGCTTTTTATAGCTTCCTACCAATACCTATGGAATGCACCCCTTGTCCTCAATACGCGATTTGTCAAGATGGTCATTTAAGAGAATGTGAAGCTGAATTTCTTCTCACTGATTCCTTACTCAGTCATATTCCATTCAGTAGCTTCTTCGATGGTATACCCTACTTTGGTTCTGTCGCTTTCCCTCCAAGATGTGAACCTGATTCAGAGAAACGCGCTTTAGCAGCAGACGTTGGCGTACATGTACTTTCTACATTAGAGAAACACAAGGGAAATGTCATATGCGGTGGTATTAAAAGACGCAAAGGTTTGAGTGATCAAGTTGCTTTTGGTTTGAAAGAGTCAGATGTACACGCGTTTATTTCTGCCTTGAAGGATGTAAGTTTTAGAAATCTATTGCCATAATCTAATTCTGTTACAGAAAAGCATATCTCAAACTGAATTCGATGAGATTTGGGCACTCGCTTTGAAAGATCTCGCTGATAATGAAGAACTCGATCGTCTCGTACAGGAAAATGGGTGGGTTTTAACTCTTTTCATTCTCATGTCTCACCATAATCAGGGACTCACTCATTATTGCTCGTAACGCTCAAATTGGTTTCAGTTGTAAAATCCGAATGAAGCTTGGATCAATTATCAAAAAGTGGAGATTGGAGTTTTTCACTCTCATCGCCTTGTTCTTTGGATATACTATGGCTTTGTCGAAGATAAGACGGTCGTCTGCTGACAAAAAGCGCGTAAAACAGCTTGTCCATTTGACCATTGAACAGGTTCGCGAAAGAGTTAGTGTCATATTATTCACAACGTTTTCCCTTCTCACACCTTCTCATAGGCATATAGACACATGGAAGACACCTCTATATCACCCTTCGTAATACCAGAACAAGTCAGAGATGAGGAACTTGCAGATGTTCACTCATCAACTGAAAGACAAAGACTTTGGTCACGCGTGAGGAAGATCGTTGAGAGCAATGCTAATATTCAAGTCAAACAGCTTGAATTAGAGGGAGAAATCACTGACGTATTTGAATGGAGGTCTAGTTAAGGACTCTTATAATACCATTTCTGTTAATATATAATATGTGCATGATTTTCATATAAGGGATGCTGTAAGGACAGAAGGCTAGCTGAACAAGGACTGTAATTCATCTAATTCATTTTCTGTGTTAGGAAACTGCTTATTATTCTTGATTAAGCATATCAACTTGCAAAGCCTTAGCGATTTCGTATCTTCACGAAGATGCTTTATAACAGATAAGTTACGTCACAAGCCTTCACAACGATAATGAGGAATCCGAATAAAAAGCAATGCATGAAAGAATAAAATACGTAACCTCTGCTTTATCTGCTACGACGCAGATTGACTTTTAAAGTTAAAATTACAACTATCTAGAAGAATAAATTAGAATTTTTGATGCACAAATGCAGGTAAGTTAGAGTTAGATTGTTCATTAAAATGGTCTTCACCGTCAAGTTGTAATTTAAGACCGGAAATTGAAGCTGCTCTCGACCTTGTGGCCGTTGGAGGATACTCATCTGGTGGTAAAGATGCACTTTTCTGCATTGGTGTTACTTGTGAATTCTCCCTTCTCCATCTTCTCTTAAGTGGACGTATTGTTGTTGCAGACCCTCGAGTGATAATTCCAATACAGACGACTGCCAATAAGATAACAACCTGAGCAATACTTAATCTTTTACCGACCATCACCTTGGGTGGAATTAGTGGACTATTATTCGAGTCTATTATAACCTACCTCAGATGTTAAATAGGAAACTTCAGATTTCAGTCTATCTCTCTCATCTTGTGTCTCCTTATGAGCCCGTTCGAGAGTTTTCATAGTTTCAGCCAATCTGACTTCATTCCTTAAAGCTAATGCTTCAACTTTTCCACTCAAACCCCGTTGAGCCAGTCTCGAATCTTTCAAAGCCCTGCTTAACATCTGTGATTGAGTTTCGAGAGTCGCTAGACGTTTATTGATGGTCCTATAAATTGACTCTCCAGCGTTAACTTGCGAGGGTGTTCTTTGCGGCTGCTGGTGTTGCTGTGAAGATGACTTTGTTGGCTCAAACTCACCGAAGTCAGTCTCATTGATATTCTTTAGATGAGCATTAGGTGGTGGACAAGCCGGTGAGATAAGATCCTCTTGATAGAGGGTTGTCTCAAACGCCTCTATTTCCTCAGGAGATACATAAATGTCATCTTGATACTGAGAATTCTCCAAAAATTTATGTAAATCTTCAAAATCGTCATGAACAACAATCGGTGTATCCTCTTTTGCATTGTTAACCGATTCAACATCTTCCTCCAATCTGAATGCTTCCATTTGGTCAACACCATAGACTCTAAGTAGTGATAATGGACAATAATACTCATTTCCGTAGTGATCTAAGAAATCTATGCGTAAATACCTGTAGAAATCTGGTGTAGGTCTTGGTAGCTGAAATGTTTGAACACCTCTGATATTCTTTGCTCTAAATTCACCGACAGTTAGCCAACCTTCATCAGAGACTGGCCAAGATCTTGAAACGCTAACTGTGAACTTCTTGAATGCGCCGGAGAAGAACTCATAGTTAGCAAGTTCAATAGTGTCTATTCTGATTTCATTACAGAGTTCAGTGATAACCCATCGCTTTGATGCATTACAGGGAGACAACATATAACGATCTTTCTTCTCTGATAGAATAGACGATGCACCTTTAGAATTTGGTGTTGATTGTAGAATAACAGCAGCGCAATCTGATGATGCATGGTTGAAACGATCTTTGAGTGGTGACGTTGGGATTGGTAGCGGTGCTGGGGGTGTGCTGGTAGGACCGAGCTCTAAATTTGGGAGGATTTCTAAGTCTAAGTTGTCGATACCTTCATTAGTAGGTAATTCCGTTGATAGTCTATCACTTTCGATAGCAACGTCAGCAATATCGTATATTGTGTGATTAGCTAAACAGCTTCCTGGCTTCTGACAACTATCTTGATCGTCTATTTCCAGTAAATTTGCTAGCGCTTTCGTAACGAAGAAGATCCAATTCAAATTCATAGGCTGGTCATGATAGTAGAAGAGAAGAAGGCATACAAGCAGTTATATAACAATCGAATAATCTATTTAATTGAGAATAAGTATATAAGTTATAAATACATTAATTTTTTTCAGTTGTTCGCAACACCGACGTTAAACAATCCAGTTCCGACTTCTGGGACACAACCCATAACGATTGATGATGCAGGTGATTTCATGTCATCGAAGTCACCGAAGAGTGCAGCCTCTGCAATAATAGACGCTGTTGTTTCGAATGACGCACGTAACAATGGACTTGGTGAACCAGATAAACCAGTCTACAGGGCGCGTTAGCTATAAATATTCGAGGGAAGACTCCCACTCACTCTGTTAAATGGCTTATATCCACCATCGTAAGTCATATAATCGGCCAACAATGCCAAATGTCTAAAGTCAACACCAATACCGTAAACTTGGAAAATACCAGCAACTTCGTTGATAATAGATGCACGAGCTGCTTCAACACCATAAGTACGTCTAATCGCATCAATGTCGTTAGAGTAGAGTTGGTTGAGATCAATAAAGTCTTGACCAAATGATCTAATTCCCATGAGGTTAGCACCTTCAGTTTGAATTGATCTTTGCTTCTTGACACTACCATCCTTGTTCTTCTCCTTATCTAAGAGAATTGCTCTTGAGATACCAGGTACTTCATGGACGACCGTCTTGCGACATGCCTTCTCAATAATACCAACAAGCAACATCTTAAGTGCCTTACTAGAGAACTCCAATTCGAATTCAACATAACCACCTTCACGATCACAATCGAGTTTAGTCATATAATGTGAATCTTGTACGATCTTGTCTTCGAGTTCTGAGAGTTTCTCACCGAGTTTCTTAGAGTGCTTACGATGACGCTCATCATCATCTTGGATATCAGACTCTTTGTCAGAATCATCAGCGTTGTCGTCATCCTTCTTCTGATCCTCTTCATCTGAAGCCTCATCATCAGAATATGATGCAATTTCCTTAGTCTTTTCGATACGCTTGCGAGATTCAGCATCACCTTCATCGCCTTCATTGTCATCATCCTTTTGAGCATCCTTGACTGGAGCATCTTCATCACCATTGTTTTCATTTTCACCTGGCTTCTCTCTCAATCTCTGACCTCTACCGATGTTAGCAGCTGAACCAGTTTGTTCTCTTGTGACCTTTCTTAATTCGATAGTGATTTCTTTATCCAAGATAGCAGTGAACTTCTTCATTGCGTAGCAAACGTCATATGGTTCAACATTGTATTCCTTACTGTATTCATTAGGATCGTAGAGATTGAGGTGAACTTTGTATGTTTTACGTCTAGAGAATCCATTTTCTGGTGTCTTTGAAGACAATGATTCGATAACTCTAACGTCATCAACACATTCAGCAAGTGTCAACTTGTTAAGGTTCTTGCAGAATACCTTCATCTCTTCTTCAGTGATATGTTCGAATACTGGTAATTTCATCGTTGGTGTCTTAATTTGAGCTGAAGCTGTCATGACAATCTCACGAAGACGTGGAATACCAAGTGTGACATTCGCAGCACCGTGACCAGCAAAGTGGAAAGTGTTTAATGTCATTTGGGTAGAAGGTTCACCAACACTAAGTATCTAGTTAGCATAAAGTTGTTGAAGTACTGAAATATACACACCCTTGAGAAGCCAACAGACCAACAGCTTCACCAGGTTCAACCAAACTACGCGCGTAAATTGTCTTCAAAAGGTTCTTAAATTGCTTAGGTTTGGCAATTGCACCACCTTGTTGTTTAAGTTTCTTCACAAGTGCTTCAATTTCTGCATCAGATAATTTGTTCTTCTTTGAAGACTGTGGTATTAAGAGACCATCTGGATTGTTTTCAGCATAAGCATCAACATCTTTAGCAAATTTCTCAGATGTTGCACCCAAGTACACGGATGGTGAATACTCTGACAATACAGGTGCATACTTGTATGGCTTTTTGAGAGCCTTCTTCATATAAGCTTCTGCAGCCTCTTCGTCGACCTTTCCAATAAGAGCCTTTGGATTGTATTTTCTCATCATACTGTCGTAGTTGTTTACAGCAAACTTATATTTGTTAAGATAAACTTGTTTTGTAACATCAAGAGCATCTTCACCGTATTGGAATTGAATAACACTGTTGTCAGAATCTCTAACTGTATGATCGTAGTGTACTTTAATACCTTCAAGATGTTTAATAAGACATCTTTGTAAGTAACCAGAGTTAGCTGTCTTGACCGCTGTATCAATGAGACCTTCTCTACCAGCCATACAGTGGAAGTAGTACTCTTGTGGTCTAATACCAGTTAAGAAACGTTGAGCGACGAAACCACCAGCTCTCATATCAGTTTCGAATGGTTTGAAACAAGGAAGTGTCTTTCCTGAAACCATAACTGGTACACGACGACCTTCAAGTGACTGTTGTCCCAACAGACAAGAAATTTGTGAAGCATTGACAGCCGAACCCTTTGAACCAGTGAGAACCATCGCTTGGAAGTGATTAGTTGGGAAACGTCTCCAAAGACCAGCTGGAAGAGTCTTCTTAAGAATTTGTGATTTAATCTGTTCATTCTTTGACGTAGACGTTTGATCCAACATTGCTAGCTTGTTATCATCACGTAAGACTTCTTCAAGACGCATCAATACGTTGCGCTTTCCTTCAGATCCTTTAGATTGCTCTTCTGTTAAACCAATTGAATCAATTGCTGCTTCAAAACCGTAATTCTTTGTGCCTTCGAGAATTTCATCACGAACTTCATTACCTTCATCAGTCAAGATCAAGTCATCCATTCTACATGTGAAACCACGATGTTGAAGGTACTTTGTGAATAATCTTGAAAGAATAGAAAGTAATTTACCTGCGCATTCAGAACCATATAATTCGAAAACAGAGTGAACGAGACCGTATGAAGAGGTACCAAATTGGGAGCTATCGATAATACCTGAACAGACAACACCATCGACAATGATAACCTTGTTTTCGTTTGAACCCCATGCTGGAAGATATTCAGCCTTTACTTTAGATTCTGATTCAAGGTTAAGACCGCGTGCGTTACTTGGTGTGATGTTCTTCAAAACAGTAGAGATCTAAAAAGTCATAAGTAAAACTCAAGAATAAGTGATAAACCTACAATTTGTTTACCAGTCCATAACGGTTGTGGTTTCCAAATGGCCGGTGGAAGAAGATGAACGCGACCCTCACCAGTGTAATCATTCTCCGGTCTCAGTGCACCATAGAGTAATTGTTGGTATTCATCTCTTGTGAAGAATGTAGATTTCATCGTCATCCAACTACCAGCAACAACGTGATCTTGAATAAGACCACGTAAAGGTTTACCAGACGTTGGTACCAAGTATTGGTTATCGTTGTTTGCTATGAACATCATTTCGGCTTTTGCGATTGCAGATTGAGCAAAGTGCATGTTCATTTCATCACCATCGAAATCAGCGTTATAGGATTTACAGTTTGCATAATGCATCCTAATTGTTCTCTCACCATGTAAAACCTTAGCTTTGTGAGCCATCATAGATGGTTTGTGAAGGGTTGGTTGACGGTTGAGCAATAATACGTCACCATCTCTCAAGTGTCTGAAAACCTTCTTGTTGATTGATGAAGTACGAGTTGTCATCTTGTTTTGATTATCAGGTCTGTTTGATGGTGTAAGAAGTTGATTAGCGATTGCGGTTCTCTGTTCTTGAGACTTCTTCTCTAAGCTCTCCATTCTACCATCTTCATATTGAATCATACTAGCACCTGGGTAGTTCTTTGGACCATTAATGACTAATTTACGCAGGTATGATACGTTAAATGGTGTGACTGGTTCTGGATAAGTGAGAGTCTTAGCGAAGACAGGTGGTACACCAATTTCGCTGGTTTCAATGTTGACATCTGGAGAGATAACAGATCTTGCGGCATAGTTGACACGTTTACCCATCATGTGTTTTCTGAAAAGACCTTCTTTCTTTTCGAGAACTTGCTTAACACCAGGTGTAGGTTCGCGACCTTGTGGGAGACGCGCTGGGTTCTTTGATGAATCGATGAAGGAGTTTATGCCATGTTGAAGTGTGATGAGCTCTTCTAATAACCTTTGGTAAGTTCTATCTCTAATAATCTTTATGCCATTTTCACCAAGGCTGCTATTGGCCGCCATCGTTTGAGCATAGTCTTTGTCATTCAAAGCGGACATTTCATTGTTATAGTCACGAATTCTAAGTGAGGTTTGGAGAACAGCACCAAGTAGCTCGTTTTGTGGATGTTCCATGAGAGCATCACCCATACGGGCAGCAGGTCTGAAACGAGTTGGTGGAACTGGGATAGCAGACATAAAGAAGATGTCAGCCATGGCTTCATTGGTTGGGAATGGACCATGACGAGAGAAAATCATCGACGTGAGTTCCTTCTCATTTGTGAAGAGACGATGTAAATGAGCTTGAACTTCAGATGCTGGAACGACTCTCTCAGATCTCTTAAGAAGAGCAGCATTATTTTTGTTGTTAGCTTTGATGGCTGCGATGTCTTCTTCGTCGTCGATGTTGACATCACCATTCGTGTCGTTGGAATCGTTCATTGTGATATCGCCGTTGTTTGATTGAGTGTCTTCTCCATCATCTTCATCTTCTGAGCTGCTATCGCTGTCTTTGCTTACCTGGGTTTGCTTTTTGAGTGCTTCCCTTGCGTTTTTGTCGACGACAGCTTGTTCTTTTAAGACATCCGGTCTGGACAAACCCAAAGCGTTGTGCTGAGCCTCTTGTTTTGGTGTGAGTGAGTACTCGATGATTTTGATAGAGCCCTCCTTCCTGAACGCGTGTGCGTGTGCGTTACAATTGTCGCACTTCTTTCTATACATTTGTCTGAATAACTGATGGAAGAGTCTCTTTCTGGTTTGATAAACCAAGCCGGACTTATATTCGTCTCTGGTTTTGCCATTTTGTTGCGCCTTACTGACGTTGAATTTTACCCAGCTGTTTACTCTCGACTTGTAGGCCTCCAATTCGCGCTCCTTTTCTAAGGCTTTCAAAGCAGATTTTGACATTTTTGAAGTCGCGTCTTCCTCTTCTGCTTCTGATACACCACGCTTGATGAGGTCGACTTGTTCAGCCTCGTCTATGAGACCGTAGTCGAGGAGGGAGAGCTTAGCGACGTATCTAGTGACCTATGTCGATGTTATTATATAGACTATAGTCTAGATTATTGACTCACAACCGCTGGATCAAGTTTGAAGTGATGGCAATACAAACAAACACCACGGAGCATATTGAAGCAATGGGTGAAGAATAGTGGGTGGTAGTTTACTGTAGGGAGTTCTATATGTCCAAAGTGTCCTGGACAGTTGAATGAAGTTAAACCGCAAGTAGCACAACTAAAGGGAGTGTAAGTAAGCAATAGAGGCTGTTCATATAGACTCACATATCTCCTCTATCTGATGGGCCAAGTGCTGGATCGTATAGACCACCGACGGTAGGTCTTCCTGTGTTATCCAAAAGACTAGGGTTCACTATCTGCTTAACGGATATCTTCTTTATTTCATCCGTCGTCAAGAACCCAAAAGAAACGCTCTTGGGCTTTGAACTGATTGGATGGGCGATATCCATCGTAGATGATGATTGCTGATTGTGAAGAAGACTTTTTCATTTGTCGTTATAACAAAAAAATATATCAATTAATACAAATTACAACTATCTTAGCTCTATATTCGGTAATTCCGTCCAAAATAACAGCTTATACCTCGTTTTTATCATCCCTCTAGTCGTGCCTCTTACCGTGACGGCGTAGCGTCCAGCCTGGAGTTTTCTGTCGATTATTAAATCATCAGTTTGGTAGATAACCGTGTTGCTGTCTATTTCTTTTATTGTCAACTCCACAGCTACACTTCTAGAATCCTTCTCCAATCGGAGTCTCACTTGAGTCTCTTTTGTGAGTTCAAAATGATATTCAGCATTTTCATCAGCTACACCAGCGACATCTCTAGCTGCAAACATCCCCGATCCTTCTTGTGGTATTCCCTTGAGTGTAAGCGGTGCCGTGCAATCAGCATAAAGCGTGTATGTCGACATTTGACCAGCTTCGAATGGCGATATGACAATCGTGTATTCTTTCCCTGCGTGGTTTAATTGGGGTAGAAAGCAATGAGAGTAATAGCTCACCTTCTAGCTCCTCACAATTCAATACAGCCAGCTTATGTGTATATAGTCCAGAATCAGCAACTACGTCCTGTTTCTTTAGCCTAAAGTCGATTCTATTTTAGAATAATCACCACCGAGTAGAATCACTTACCCAAAAACGCGTTCTTTGTTTCCCCACAGGAGTTTAATGTTGATCGGTATATCATGCTCAGATTCCAAAACCAGGCGCAATTGTGCGGTATTGCTAATACGTAAGGTATAATGTGGGTTAATACCGTAAGACTGCGACAAACAATTACCCCCAGAAGATCTGAGCGACCATGCTCCAGAAAGCTATGTCTAGATTAGTGATACATCTCCATATATGCATAACAACACGCACCATTTGAGAGAATGAATATAATTCATACGCAGATTTCATCTCCATTGGGAAAGAAGAGTAGGCTGTAAGCGTGTAATAACAATCCTGAACTGTCGTATCTTTGACAACTTGCGATATAACAGCATGGACATCCTTGCCAGGATTTACAAGCACTCTTACGAGACTGTTGATACTATCACTATGACTTGCATCCTCGACGATTGTCTCTGCTACATGTCGAGATGCATGCAATGCTGAATAATAACCACTATTATCTTTTATATGTCTCGAAAGCAGCAGCCACAACTCAGTCTGTGAGTGCGTATCGACGGAGATCGTATATTGTGGACAATGCTCTAGTGGATTTCCTTCTGTGTTCCGATACGCGAATGTCTTGCTGACAGATTGAGGAAAGATATCAGGATCCCAAGATAGATAGATAGAATCAAAATTGTTAGTGATGTATTCCCAATCTAGCCATGTTTTGCGTGAGGTTTTATTCCAAGAATCTATAACGCGCATTCTCCTCCTGGTGTCCTCTTCGCGGACTTCTTGGATAGCATAGGCGTGGTTCTCCACAAAACCTTGGCGGAGTAGATCTTGAGACATCAGTTCGCGATTCTGCTTACTCCCGAGTGTTATCAAGCATATACCGCTGCTGTAGCCATCCAAGATTCGCTGCCAGATTTGCTCCTGTTTGAAATACCTGCTATGAAAGTGTATATGCTCAGGTATCCAGCCTGTAATCATCTGCAAATCCGTGGATGAATTGCTACCACTAAATTCGTAGGTGCCCCAGAGTGTCATTATCGCCTTCTCTATAAGTGCCGGCCATATCTCGAGAGTATAACTAGCAGAGGTTGATGCTGCTGTCATGATATGTCCTTCTGGAGTAGTAGGCAAGTCGTCGGTGATAGTCACGCACCTCCAGGCACCGTTGAGATAGAAGCGGAGGTTGTATACTCCTTTAGAGGATTTCCGGTAGTCATCTTGAGGGTATATCGCATTCGATCCTAGTGAAGTGCCGAAACGCTGGTTATGAATGCTACAAGCTGATAGAGACGCGACTACTGAGCAGTCACTGATGACATCTTGAGTGATATCCCGTGAGGAGGCATAAGGATCACATATGACACTGTTTGGAGGAGGTAGACAATACCTAGCGCCTTTGTCTAGTTGTGCACGTGAGAGAGAAGGCGGGTATATTCTGGCAGATTGCTGATCACGCTGGGCTGCCCAGAGAGGGTAATTACGGTTGTTGATCGTCGATGATGCTTCCAATATGCTCGCCTCGTCTATTGATTGTTAAAACAGCTAGGATAAAGTTACGATTCACCTTCTGGTCTCTGTATACGTGCACCGGGCCGTCTGAGTTTCTTTGTCCGTTGTGCACGATCGAGTACTTGGTGATACCTTTTGTTAATTGCTATATAGCGTTACTATGTAGCTAATATAAACTAAGTAGAACGTACTAGAGATATCTGACTGCAGCGTCGCCTGCTTCCGTATGGACAAGTAGAGATGGGCTGTCGAGAGATAAGCATTGAATGCGCTATCGTAGTCGCCGTCTAGTTCTAATTTTATTGCGTCATTGAACGATTTGTCCCCATCTTTGATCGTTGACATTAAACTGAGGAAAATGCAGTCTTTGAAGCTTTTAAAGAGAAATTTAAGGAAGAGTACATTGAAGAAGCTCTCAGAGATTAGCAACGAGGCTATATCTCTACAGTGTGGGTCTATTCACTATTCTAGTCAGCCACTTAGCTAGCCTAGCACGCGCTGTGAAAGAAGAGATCTGCGCTTCAGATATATATAAGAGATCCACACGCATAAGCTTATACCTTAGTATGCAGTCTTCTGAACTCAGTACAGACGATCTAGCGAGGCAGATCATAGACGACGGTCAGTAGACAGCTTGCTTGAACATACACTGAGATCGCCTCAGGAAAGAAGCTATTTGTACCTTTCATCCACACAAACGAAGTCCCTACGATGTCGATGTTGAACATACCAACGGTAGAACAATTGCAGGCGCTCAAGAGGAACAAATGGGGCATTCCTGAGCCAGACGCGGCTGACGTTGATAAGTATCAGGACGGTTCGTCTGATGTTCCTCCAGAATAGAGCTGACATAGCCTTAGCATTGTCTTCAGAGTCACCTGGTTTGGATCTCATACTTGTACCTGCTGTCGCGTACGACAAGTCATTCAATAGGCTGGGTCATGGTATGGGTTACTACGATAGGTTTATCAAGGCGGCGACCACACATGCTGAAGGATACGCGCTTCACCCACCAACAATCGGTTAGTAGAGAATAGCACATGAGTATGCAGGCTGACCAGTCATAGTCGGTTTAGCCCTTCAAGAGCAGATACAAACGCAGGATAGCGTACCAACTGGACCGTTGGATGAGGTCATGGACGCGATAGCAACATCTGACGGTATAACCTGGAATAAACAGCCAGAGTAGCGAAATACATGCATTGCTAGTTATTCCTTTTATTCTTGCTTACCCATTGCTTCAAACCCCGCTTGCTCGCGTATGAATGCAATTTCAGATGGGCTAAGCGATGTTTTAGCGGACTGTAGGGTTGTTAAACTGTGTGGTTATCGCTAGAAAGGCATAACCTACCAAGAAAAATGTCTCAAGAGCTCTTCTACCATACTCATCATTCTTGAACTCCTGATTGAGGAAACCGCTGAGTTTCTTCCAGAAGGCAGGATCAGTCAGTGTCTTATCATAGTCGCTCTTCTTGACGGACTGACTGTCGATTGCCGGATCAGCTGCAGTGCGTGTGCTGTCATTGTCAGCGGAAGTGAGAGAAACTTCCGGCAGATTGCTGGCTTGACGAGAAGCAGGCTCTGTTGGAGGTGCAGAAGGGGCGCGCAACATGAGTGTAAGCGTAGCTCCAGAAGTGAGACCTTCATAATCCTTGACGAGTTTGTCATTCAAGAGCGCTTTACCCTTCAGAAGCAGCCTCTGTGCATCAATAGAGTCAGCTAAATGAGCATCTACAACAGCCTGTTTGATATCCTTAATAGAGGACGTTGATTGTGTTGATATATCAACTTTCTGAGCAGTTTTGATATTCTTTACAGTGAATTTGAGTTCAGATGGTACACTCCCGCTAGTACTTGGCTCCGCTGTTGGTATATCTGCCATAGGTATGTCTACAATGTGCGGTTTCTTCTCCCTATCGCATAAGTTCAACTTAGCGTGGGCAGGAATAGTGATAGGCTTAGATTGTATAGACTTATATATTGATGATAGCAAATCAACCTCGTAATTATCCACAATTGACATCGCCGATAATATCTTGAACGTTTACTATCAAGCGGCGACTCCAATAGAACGAAATGGTAAGAAAATAAAGTAAAACTGACAGATTTACTAACAGTTTCTAGTCATTTAGCAAACTGAGAGACCTACCAGAACCATTTGAAACCCTGGATGACGCTGCACCGAAAATGGATGAACTGAAAGTAGAGGACGACGATCCAACCGTCGGTCCACGCTCAAGGCGTCATTCTTCGATTAGCGGCAGACGTAGAAAGCTCTCTACGACAGCTGGATCGAACTCAAACAATGAAGTCGGATTACCACTCGAGCCAGTGAGGAGCAAAATGATAGGCGACAAGAGAGAATACGCCGTCGAGCCAGATGCAGACGAAGCTGTCATGATCGAGAAATCCAAGAGATTGGCTGCTTGGGCTGCCGTTGATCATTACATCAAACCAGAACACAATGTTAGTTGACTATCTACGCTAAGTTTGCTAATAATTCTAGGTTATTGCCATAGGATCTGGCAGTACTGTTCCATTCGTTGTAGAGCGCATTCTACAACAAGGCGACGACGTCAACAAGAAGAGGAAGTTCATTCCGACGTCATTTCAAGCAAAAGAGTTGATCGTAGGAAATGGTCTCACTTTGGGAGATGTAGAGTATGTCTATTTGATTAATCACTGCGATATCCTAACAAGCATCCAGCCAATACCCTATTATTGACGTCGATATTGACGGTGCAGATGAGTAGGTGGCTTACTTTTTACTACAAACACACTCATGGTACCCAGGGTTGACGTAAACCTCAACGCTATCAAAGGTGGTGGTGCATGCCATCTCAGAGAGAAAGTACTGGCAGAAGCATCAAGGAAATTCGTCATTGTTGCAGACTACCGTAAGAACTCTGCTGTATTAGGTAGCTCATGGACACAAGGTATACCCGTGGAAGTCGCACCTTTCGCTTACGCCAAAGTCATCGTCAACTTGGAGAGAATAACGGGTTGTCAATCAGCAAAATTACGTATGGGCAAAGCCAAAGCAGGTCCAGTTGTTACCGACAACGGCTGTTTTGTTATTGACGCTCAGTTCGATGAGCAGAGGTTCAGTGATCCTGAATTGCTTCTCTCAAAAATAAAGATGCTAACTGGTATCATGGAAGTTGGATTGTTCTGCGACATGACAGACGCCGCATACTTCGGAAATGTAGATGGCACGGTGACTATTAGAAATGCCGACGGATCCATTTACACGCTTAAGCAGCCAGGGGAAGAGCCAGTTCTTATTAAGGGACCGGAGGACGAAGAGTCCGTATGAATGTAAAATAGTATAATAACGAAATGAATGAAAGTTTTATCATTTACGCCCTTTATTGTTTAAAGTTATGCTCATAGAACTTTAATTTCATCCGGTACCGGCCACAAGGTCACTTGACGGGGTCTGACCTGCATCGCAGCGATAGCGGGGGAGAAGACGGATAAGTGATCAAGGATATATATTGTAATAAAGTAGCCAAGATATATTATAAACTGTATGACGTTACATCGATTCGTTCTGGTTCCCATTACGGTAATCGAGGTAACAAACGCCATGAATTAGGCGGAGGGTCACGTGAATGGTTAATCAGCTAACAAAGGTTAGTCTTATGTATGTGATATATAAAACACGCTCGATTAACCTCCACAAGAGAAACCAAAGAATCCGAGAATGTGCCTGTTTTCTTCGAAGAATGCACAAGATCTGCAAAGTTTGGAATGTATGGGGTGTATGATTAGCGCTAGTAAAGCGAAGGACTAGCTTCCCCTGACTTTGCAAAAGTCTACCCATATAAGACAACCTACCAGAATGAGGTACAGAACGCTTTGACAGTGGGAATGTGAGTTGGCACGTAAAAAAAGCATGAAAAAACTAAAAAGAGTAGATGTATAAATATATCAACGGTTATATAAGGCTGTGTACAGGGCGTCATGTTTTACCAAATGCGGCTATGTTGGGAACTCAAAGGGGAATATTTCGCGGGATTCTTTCTTCTTCTTTAACCGTCAACTACAAAAATGTTAGTATACTATTTCGGAAAGCACTGCGTCTAACAACACCCGCAGGTGTGGTATTTTCGCTTACTGCTCTCACAACGTCTCAAAAGATCGCAAATATATCATCGACTGCCTCCTCAACGGTTTGTCTAGATTGGAATACCGTGGATACGACTCAGCTGGTGCGTTTTACACGCTATACTTACGCGTATTTCTAACTTGTCACAGGTATCGCCGTTGATGGTGAGGATGACAAAGATACTTACATCTTCAAGCAAGTTGGTAAGGTAAAGGAGTTGAGATCACACATCGACAAGGCTAGCGTCGATTTCGAAAAGCAATTCTCCTCACAAGCTTCTATGGGACACACTAGATGGGCTACTCACGGTGAACCATCCCCTATCAACTGCCACCCTCACCGCTCAGATACCACAAACGAATTCAGCGTCGTTCACAACGGTATCATCACAAACTACAAGGAACTCCGTTTGGTTCTCGAAAAGAAGGGCTACAAGTTCGAGACCGACACCGACACTGAAGCCGTAGCAAAGTTGGCAAAGTTCATCTTTGACTCAAACCCAAAGATTTCTGACTTCCCTACTCTCGTTAAATCCGTCTGCAAAGAATTAGAAGGTGCATTTGCATTCGTTTTCAAGTCAATTCACTTCCCAAACCAATTAGTCGTTGCTAGACGTGGTTCTCCTGTTTTGATCGGTGTAAAGACAGACCAAAAGCTCAAGACTGATTTCGTTGATGTCGAAATTCCTTCAGAGGACACTATCCCTGCCGCATTCGAGGACTCTCCAGGTGCTGGCTTAATGAACAACTCACCAAACCCACAACTTAGAAGATCTCAATCAAGAGCCTTCCTCGCTAACGGCTCTTCCCCAGAACCAATTGAATACTTCATTGCATCAGACGCTTCTGCCATCGTTGAACATACCAAGAGAGTCTTATATCTTGAAGACGATGACATTGCCCATATCCAAGGTGGTGAATTACACATTCACCGTCTCAACCGCGCAAACGACAACACACCATCGGTCAGATCAATTGAAACTTTGGAGATTGAAATCGCTGAAATCATGAAGGGCTCATTCGACCACTTCATGCAAAAGGAAATCTACGAACAACCAGAATCTGTTATCAACACTATGAGAGGTAGAATCAACTTTGATACCAGACAAATCACCTTGGGTGGTCTCAAGCAATACTTGACAACCATCAGAAGATGCCGTAGAATCGTTTTCGTCGCTTGTGGTACTTCATACCACTCTTGTTTAGCTGTTAGACAAGTCTTCGAGGAGTTGACTGAAATTCCAGTTTCTGTTGAATTGGCTTCTGACTTCTTGGATCGTCGTACACCAATCTTCAGAGATGACGTTTGTGTATTCTTGTCACAATCAGGTGAAACCGCGGACACTATCTTAGCTTTACGTTACTCAATGGAACGTGGTGCTTTATGTTTAGGTGTTGTCAACACCGTTGGATCAACCATCTCACGTGAAACTCACTGTGGTATCCACATTAACGCTGGTCCAGAAATCGGTGTTGCTTCAACCAAGGCATACACATCACAATACATCGCTTTATTGATGATGGCAGTTCAATTATCAGAAGATCGCCTTTCAAAGCTCGAAAGACGCAACCAATTGATCGATGGTTTGCATGACTTACCTGAACAAATCAAGAAGGTCTTACAATCTGACGAAACCTTAACCAAGCTCGCAGCTGGTATGAATGACCAACGTTCATTGTTACTCATGGGTAGAGGATACCAATACTCAACCTGTCTTGAAGGTGCACTTAAGATTAAGGAAATCTCATACATGCACTCAGAGGGTATCCTTGCTGGTGAATTGAAGCATGGTCCTTTGGCATTGATTGACGAGAACATGCCTGTTCTCTTGGTCATGACTCAAGACTCATTCTACCCTAAGGTTCAATCAGCATTGATGCAAATCACAGCAAGAAAGGGTGTACCAATTATCATCTGTAACGAGGGTGATGAGGGATTAGTTAACAACTACAAGACCATTGAAGTACCAAAGACAGTTGACGCTTTACAAGGTTTACTTAACGTTATTCCACTTCAATTGCTTTCATACCATTTGGCAATTGGTAGAGGATATGACGTTGATTTCCCACGTAACTTGGCAAAATCAGTCACTGTCGAGTAATTGCATATATCAAAAATAAGAAGATTTGCATGATTTTTAAATTACTTTTTTTGAAGACAAACAAGAACAATTCGGTTTTTTTATTAAGCTTTTAATCTAAATTTGTTATTTAGCATTTTTTATTTTCTAACCAAACACGCTATCTTTATAGTCAATTTTCTTTGTTTGAGAATGTCATCATCGTGTGTTGAAGGAATTGAATTGAAATGTGGTCTTAAGTTAAAGAATAGGTTTGTTAAGGTGTGTATTAAGTATTCAAGCATAATGACTAACACATTGGTTAGTCTGCTCTCGAAGAATCACTCTGTCGATTGGGAGGAAGTGCACCAACAGCTGGTCTGATCGAGCTCTACAGAAAATGGGACAAAGGGGGTTATGGTATGATTATAACTGGAAATATACAAGTGGATGCACAATATATTGGATTACCATTTGACGCCTGTATGAGTTATGACGATAACGACGTAAACCAATGGAAATCACTGATTGAGGGTGTCAGGGACACGCCTCTAATCGTACAATTGAATCATCCTGGTGCACAATCACCCCGTTGGACACTCTCAAAGTCACCATTACAGCGTAATCTCGCACCTAGCAATGTAAACCATGTATTCCCATCGAATATGATGTTCCCAGATTCAGAAGAAATGTCAGAGGACGATATACAAACAGTCATTAAGCAGTTTGTCATAGCTGCAAAATATTTACATGAAATGGGTATCAATGGCGTACAAATACATGGTTCACATGGATATATGATATCTCAATTCTTGTCTCCGAAGACAAATAGTCGTAAAGATGTTTATGGCAACGATCGTACGAAGATAGTAGTCGAAATTATCAACCAGATTCGTCATATGTGTGGAAAAGACTTCTGTATTGGTGTTAAACTCAATTCATCAGATTATCTAAAAGGCGGTATGACTATGGATGATGCACTGCAAAATTATAAGGATATAGTTACCAAAACTACGGTAGATTTCGTTGAAATTAGTGGAGGCAATTATGATTCTTTGGTTTTCCTCGCAAGGTCTTCAGAAGTATTTTTTGTGTGTGTTATTTGCATTATAGTAGAGTTCTGACGAGATATTCAGGAGGAATTTGCTAAGAGGATACGAGATGAAATTGAAATCGACGAGGATCATAAACCTGCTTTGATGTTGACTGGTGGTATACGCAAGAGGGATACAGTTGACGGACTGATCAAACAAAATGTATGCAATTTAGTAGGATTAGGTAGACCTGCTTGCTTAGACGTGAAAATACCCCAGAAAATGCTTTCTGATGAGGAGTTTGAGTTGGATCTTTCATCTTATGAAGTAGATAATGTACTTGGATTCAAAACACTTGGTTTTGTCGGCGCGAGCGTACGCACATTGGCTTATACACTCCATCTACATAGGCTTGCTAGAGGAGATACTAGTAAATTTAGAGGATTCTTAACAGAGTTGCTATTAGAAATCTATAGAGTAATACCTAAATTTTACATGCTAGTCATTGTAGGATTAATCTATAAATTAATTTTTATATAATACAACAGACATTGATTCATTTATAACTACTTATGCAGCATAGTTACGCGTAGAGGCTACATTGCCATCAGCTTGTTGTTTTAAATGCTGTATCGGTGTGTCACCAAGATTTGAAGCTGCAATTCGCATCTTAGGGGGTGTAAGAGAGTATCTAATTGTCTGCAAGACTCACCCTGTCAGATCTTTCCTTGTTTGGTGTGAGTACCTCGCCTTTGAAGCCAATGTAGTATATTCTCGTATTTTGACCACCGAATGAGCTGGGGAAGAAGAGAACGATTGAGAATACATTAGTAAAGCGTGCTACCCTCATTGGATATTCTTTCACTAGATCGCCGCTACTCTCATTGGACGTAGCTTCTAAAGACATATCTTGTAGACAAGCAGTGCCATCAAGTTGTTCAAAATCCGGACAATGTGGGTGGTTACTGTATATTTTAACAGCACTCGGACGTAAATCACCACTATCTGTACCCAAAAGGATAGCCTTCAGCTTTACGGATGTAGTGAATGGGATAAAAACAATCAGTTGGTCATCTACCCAGCTTTCTATATGTGGTGTGACTGTATTACGCTCTGCGTATTCCTTTATAATTGACTGTACCTCGTGTTCTGGGTTTACATTCAAAGCTGTGACTTGAGACTTATGAATGTATTCATAAAGGTTGTCTTAATAATTTTCGTTATTTTTATTTTCTTCATAAAGAACATCTTTACTCACCGGCCATGACGTGAGATGTCCAAAACGATCAAACAACTCGTTAAAGTTGGAGCATTCTTTTGCATTCTAACGGTATTTGTACAATTTAACACCTTGAGATTAAAGTTTACTGGATACAACAATACAACATCAACTACATCAACAGATATGGCTACTGGTATGAGAAATGTTGGATACTTCGTTAACTGGGGTATCTATGATCGCAATTACAACGTTAAAGATATTCCAGCCGCTTATTTAACGCACCTTCTGTACGCTTTCGCTAATGTCGATCCAAACACCGGTGCTGTGCACCTCAGTGACCCATGGTCCGATGAACAGAAGCACTTCGACGGCGATAGCTGGAATGATAGTGGTGATAATCTATATGGTAACTTTAAGCAACTTTACCTCCTCCGCAAACAAAATCGTCACCTTAAACTTCTTTTGAGTATTGGTGGATGGACATACTCTCCAAATTTCCATAACGTCATTATTGACGAAGGAAAACGCGCTACTTTTGTCAATACCGCTGTTAAAATACTCAACGATTATGGTCTTGATGGTCTCGATATCGATTATGAGTATCCACAGAATTCGAACCAAGCATGGGGTTACGTTGAACTTTTACGTGAATTACGCATCGCTTTGGATCATTCAGGCGCTCAAAATCGTGTACAAAATCCCTATGAACTCACTATAGCCGCTCCTTGTGGTGCTTCAACTTATGAGCAGCTCTATGTTAGAGAGATGGACCCATATCTCACTTTCTGGAATCTCATGGCATATGATTTCGCTGGTAGCTGGGATAGCGTCGCCGGTCATCAATCCAACTTGATCGGATACCCTATGAGTGTTGACGCCGCCGTTAGTTGGTACAAGAGTAAAGGTGTACAATCTGAAAAATTGGTTGTTGTAAGTAGACAGCAACAGTCTGACGTTTAGCTAACAATTTTCAAGGGTATGCCATTATATGGTCGCAGCTTTACAAAGACCAAAGGTATTGGCCAATCATACTCTGGTGTTGGTAAAGGGAGCTGGGAAGCAGGTAACTATGATTACAAAGCATTACCATTACCTGATTCTCAAGAATTCTTTGAGTGAGTACTTTATGATTTCCTTCCTATAAGCATACTAACGACCAACTCAGCTCAGAGAAAATTGCAAGCTACTGCTACTCAAAGAACTCAAAAGAGCTTGTCACATACGATAACGTTGATATTGCACTTCGTAAAGCAGAATATATCAAACAAAATGGTCTCGGCGGTGGTATGTACTGGGAGTTAAGCGGTGATAACCCAGAAGTACCAAAAAGTATCGTTATTAACGTTGCATTAAACTTTACAAGATTGGATGGTGTAAATAACCATATAGAATACCCACAATCACGTTTTGATAACGTCCGTAATGGAATGTAATTACGTTTATGTATACAATTATTGTTTAATAAGTTACTTTCTTGTTAGGAGGTTTAACTGTGTCTTCATCATTCGGTGAACTGTATATTTCATTTGATGAAGAAGAATCATCATGATCAAAAGCTTGTCTATCCTGATTTTGAAATTTTGATGAAATTATTGTACCATTTTCATCAATACTTCGATTAGGTTGCTGTAAATGGAGTGATTTACCATCAATCGATATCGACCGACCCTGATTTAATGCATCGACTATCCTTTTATGATTAATTTCCTTAGTTTGTGGTACTCCCATCGTTGATTTAACTTTTCCATCAATCAATTGAGCGGTTCTATCTAAATTAGGAGTATTATTTGTTATTGTATTTTTTTTACGATTATTAACATCTTTTGCTAATGTTACACTCTCATCTTCAACTTCTTCCTCATCAAGTGCTTCATTATTTTCAGCTGGAACCAAATTGTTACGTTTCTCATTTCCACTGCTACTATTATCTTCTGCATCTGCATATTCACCCGCTACTGCAGAATCCTGCTTTGAGTCACCGCTACCCGAGCTGGTTTGACCATCACCACTACCTGCTCTACTATTTAAGGTAGGTGAAGAATCCTTAGTTGGTGGTGAATCAACTTCATTGAAATTACTATTAGTTACTTGATTATGTTGTTGAGATATATTCCCATTATTTAAATTGTTATTATGGACTTTTGCATGTCGTTTGAGGTTACTCGCAACCGAAAATGAACGATTACAACCATTAACTTGACAAACGAAAGGTCTTTCACCTGTATGAGAGTAGGTGTGAATCTAGAAATTAAGTTAATTTTGTAAAATATTTAATCGATGACGACTAACCTTCAATGAAGACGGCCTGTTAAAGGTTTTTGAGCAATACTGACAAGTATAAACTTTTCCTTTAGATGTAGACGCATTAGAGGTATTTTGTGATGTGTCTTGTTTACCAATAGATGAATTAGCGTATTCAAAATCCTGTTTTGATGCTGCTAAAGCTTGAGCGTTGGTATGTTGTTCATGATTAGCCATTCTTGCGTTTTGTACAATAGTTGTTGATTTACTGGCATCCATAGGAATTGCAGGAAGATTGTTACTACCAACTTTACGCTTCTTCCCGAGTGTCTTCTTCGATGGTGCATTATAATCCAGCGACCAATTTTGGAGAGAGGGGAGAGGTAATTGTGTATTTGATGAAGATGATGGGGCTATTTGATCAGGTGGTTGTTCACTCCCTTGTCCATGTGGACGGTGATATTTACGATAAGCAGGTGTGGGTAACGCAGCAGGCATTTGGGGTAGTGGCTCACTAGGTAGAGTACGCATATGCTGAGATTGTGGTTGCTGATAGTGGTGGTGGTGCTGTTGTGGCTGATTCTGGTGGTAGAACTGATGATCTTCCTCTTCTGCTCTCAGGATAGAAGCTCTAACTCGGGTAGGCGGGGATTGGTCCTGGTTAACCAGATTCTTGATTGAAGGTTGCACTATCGGACGAGTGAAATCAATAAACAAAGGTTTAGTTGGATTGCCAGAGAATGTATGTCTGCGTGTTTTATTCGATGAAGTAGTCGAATAAGATTCTTCTGATAAATTCTCGTCGTCTTTCTGTTTATTCGAATGAGGTGAAGATCTATCCGAGGTATAGAAGTCATCAGCTGTCTTCTGTATATTAAATTGTTGCTCTTTCTGATGTGTGAGGAATGCGAGTTTAGTAAGAGAGTTTGAACGCTTTCTAAGTAGCTCAGGCCTAGCAACATCTGATGCAGAAGTGTAGCTCGTTGATGCATTAGTATTCCTATTATTACTACTATTGTCAAACAGACTATTCGATTGAGAATCAGTTGAACTGGGGGTGACTGCAGCATCAAAGCTGTCAATATCCTAGGCGATAAATAAATATATTAGACTAACCTTCTTCTGAACTCCCAGTCATTTTTTATTTTGCGCAATGAAAATCGTTGGTGATCTACATTAATGAAAATTATTTTGCTTTAGCTCCACAGCAATCCAAATATCCGGATACAGAAATAAAAAATCGTACTATTAATTTTATTTGTTTTTTGTTCATCGTTCTAGTACTCTAAAGATAAAATTAACTCAATTTGACAAAGAAATAAGAGATTTTCCCTTTGTTATGACATCACTCAAGACTTTATTCGGCTTATTTGGTCATCCTTTCATTGCACATCACTTTGGGATGCAAATCATTAATTTTTAAATAAAAATATCTTCCCGGCCGCCGATACTTAATCTTAAAATAAACGTGTGACGACACAAAGAAAGACTTGTCTGTCTGACTTGTTGATGTACTCTTTGTTCGGGGTTTGAATTAAACTTTTCGCGAATTACGCTTATTCTCATGTTCAGACATTATACCTTCTCAGTCGTCACTTCTCTCCTTACATTCTAACTATCATCATGGTAAACCTCCCATCACCATCAGTCTTACAAGCAATCGGTACTGGCTTTGCAGGTATCACCGTCGGTATGACAGCCTCTTGGCCATTAGTTTGGTATTCTGTACTCGACAAGACCTCCAATAGTAACAAAGTTAAACTACTTCACGAGTCTTACCGTAGAGCCACGCTATTCATGCCACCTTCGATTATTTTAACAACAGCTAGCTACACTCTAGCAAGAAAGCATTTCAGTTTACCTGCTGTTCTCATGTTTTCTTTAATTCCTTACACAGCATTCGTCGTTTTCCCCGTAAACAAAAAGCTATTTGCAAAGGAGAACTACCCAGAGGCAGATGTTGATGCTGACTCAACAGTTGACAGCCTCCTCAGTAAATGGATGTATATTCACTCTGTCAGGGTATTATTAGCTGCCTCTAGCACATTCTTTGGATTCGTGGAATTATTCAAGTTACTCAAAAGCGGTGCATATTAGTTTAATTTCATAATCATAATACAAAGTAATTTGTAAGAATATCTATAACATCCAATTTAGTTCTCGTGTGAACGAATGAATTCCTCAATCTCACGCCATTGAGTATCTTCTATATTGTATGACTCATGAATTGACGGAAATTCTCTAGATCTGACTGCTTCTGCATACGCATCAAGCGCTTCCATTGTCACCTTACCAACATTTCCAAATTCCCTAACAAACTTCGGTTTGAAAGCGTCGAAACTGCCTAACATATCCGGTTGAACGAGTACTTGACCAGAAGTGGAATTACCTGCTCCAATACCAATTGTAGGTATTTGAACCATCTCAGTTAGGAATTTACCGAGATTTGGTGGTATAGCTTCCAGTAGGATAGCAAATGCACCCGCTTTCTCAACTGCTTTCACATCTTGTACAATTGATAAAGCACTCTTGGGAGTTTTGCCTTGTACTCTAAAACCTGATGTTTGCGTAGCACGCTGTGGTTGTAAGCCAGCGTGCGCGATAACCGGTACACCCGCATCAACAACTTTTTCTATCGTTTTTGCTTGTTTTAAACCTCCTTCTATTTTAACAGCGTCAACACCACCTTCTTGTACTAATCTGAGTGCAGCTCTCACTGATTCTTCGTCACTGACACCGATTGTACCGAATGGCATATCAGCGACTACGAATGGTGTGGTAGCTGCACGTGTAACAGCTTTACAGTGATGTATCATTTCATCAAGGGTTAACTGAGACGTTGATGAATATCCCAATGCTGTAAATGCTAGACTATCACCAACTAGAGCAATATCTATACCATTTAAATGATTGTGGTGAGTTTTCTCAATCGTCAATCCAGTTGGATAATCATAGGCTGTTAATACGGTGATAGGGTGATTCTGTCTTCTCATTTTATTCAATTTGGCTATCGTAACTTTACGAGCTGTTCTAGGATTAGTTTGGTATATTGTATCTTTATGTGTACTAACGCCTCTCTACAGCTTTACTCATAGATCTAAATTGTTGCTTTATTCCATTTCGTAATATCATCCCACTTGTGTTGTGTGTCCTGAAGAGAGAAGACAGAAATGACACAATAAATAAAACTATAAAGTATAAAATAATACAAATTTTAGTTTTATTATAAGGTCTTTTCTTATTTTAATACCGGTATTCGGTAGCTTATCTATCATAAAATACAGAGTGAGTTTGATACTCTATTTTACATCTTCCCTCTTTGTGACTAGAAGAGGTACTGACTGATCCAAATATAGATGCACAACCTAAAGTAAATTCATAGCTAATTAAAGCCCAATTTTAAATTCTTAGCCCGTACTTTTGTTATCTATATATAGACAATAATATTAATTCGTTTATCTCACTTGGCATCAACGGACAACATTTTAGCAACATAGCAAGATAGTGAAACAAATTTATGTAAGCATATTACCCTCAAATATCTTTGACGTAAAATATGCAAACCAACATAGATTTATCACTACCAAGTGTAGTTGTAAGGATACAATAAATGCATGAAATATGTTAAAACAACAAAGTTTATGTTCACTCTCAATTACTACCAGTTATCCAAAGAATCGCGCGTTTCACTCTTGAAGACTCACAAACTCAACAATTTATTATAATCTGGGTCAAATTACTTATTGCTATTTAGAGGTTTAACTGTTCATTTATCTTTCCTAACTTCGGTACGTTTTGAAAGACATGTAGCTATTTTGAAAAACAGCCTTGCTAATGTTACACATATAGTACACGCGACATTTTTTGCGTTGGCCTCAGTGAAGTATATGTGACACAATAAAATGACAATCTCTTACAGAAGAGTTATCTGATTGCCATTAATATTCACTATGCTAGTAACTTCGTCAGTAATTTGATAGCGATTTGCACGTGATTTACAGTAGATGTTTTCATTGGTACCCATATACCCCTCTATGATTGCATTGCTTTAACTTGCGTTTCTAATGCTGAAGTAAAAGAGGTAGGAATAAAACTGTCGATTAGATCGCTAGAATTGGTGTCTCTGATGGTGTCTATTCGTATTTGACTGGCTTACTTGAATGTTATATTGTTAGTTTCACAAAAATAAAATCAAATAGCAGTACTTTTGTTTCAAGAAGATACAAAATCGTCAACCATTATCTTCACCATGAAAAGCAAGCAAAAATAGAAATGCGAGACAAGTAAAAGGAAATTTACAAAAATCATTACCTTGATGTATATGCGCAGAATTGACTAAAGTAAGTTTAATAAATAAGTTAAGCAAAGTTAATTGGCTTTGCATGCAAATGGATGACTGTAACTACCCTCATTGTACCCCTCTTTGATACTCCCCGCAGAGCCATATACACCCAAAGGAGTTATAACCACAGCCAGAAAGATGATGAGTATCGAAAACACTGCCATGCATCTCTTTTGTCTATTTACGAACCATCCTGATGGTGATTTGTAGCAATGTTTCTTATTTTCCGCCAGCCAGATTACTCCACTCAGTCCATAGGTAAACCATACAATTGTTACGCTTGCAACTATCGATATAAGACTTGAGAAGAATGGTATTAGTTGAGATAATATAAATCCTTGCGGCTTGTCAGAGAAAAATAAAGAAGATAAAACGCGCTTACCGATCATCCACGTTATGAACGCCATAAATACCCACAAAGCATTGGCTTTCCAGCTGTTGCTCGTAAGCATGGGCTTCCCTCTGAACAACTCAACTGTGGATATTCAGTAAGAGACTTGAAATCTTATATGGGACTCATCACCCACGCCATAACTGTTTCAAACCGGTAAGGACTGGAATTATACCCGATACAATAATTGATATCATCGCGATCGCATATGCTATCGTCTCGACCTTGTGTGATGGGATAGATAGTGCTGGCGATACGACTAAAACGCTCGTTTATGTTGTCCAAACGATAAAATTAGACACACCATTTGCATCTCCGACTAGTACGTAGACTCCAACGCCGATTGTGATGTAGAACGCAGTTGATACAACTTGGACAACTGCAAGGCTTTTCTTGAAATCATTTGGGTTTTTCATCTCTTTATCTAGTCAGATAAACGTCAGCCAAAATACATACATACCAGCTGTTGCACTAAAAATAAAAGCGTGTCCACCATAGCTGAGACATTTAAGATATATTATATATGTTTTAGAGTTTTACTTACGCGAATACTATCTCCGTGAAGGAGTTTATGACACCTACTAGACCTGGATTATTGAATGCTTTCCATGTTACTTCGCCGTTGGAGTCGCCCCATGAATCTCTATTTACACCACATGCAATAATTGTTATCAAACAAGCAACAACTATACTGAAACATGATATGAAAGCTGCGTAAGCAGTATGTTCATATTTCCTAGGAATGGTGAACTAATAGGCGATCAATAAAACACCTAATAAGGGTAAGCCCTCACAATGAAACATAATAAAGCGATACACAATCCAAGTAAGACAGAGCATCTGGCGTTTGAACTCATTTCTAACAGAGCTGTTCCACCAGAATTTGTATGTGAGGCCGATATGAATATCCCGCTTAATAATACCCCAGTAAGCAATACCCATTTGAGTATAGGACCACCAATAAGTTGACCCACGTCCGCGAATGACATGACGCTTGGGTGATTCACTTTGAAATCTACGAGAATATATCCAGTAACCCAAGCCAGACATGCAAGACCAATCGTAGCGATAATCGTAGGCACAATACCTATCTCAGAGGCAATTTTTGGGAAATTCAAGACACCAAGTGCGAGTGTCTCTGCCAAAAGCAATGCAGCTAACAGCTTATTAGATGAGTCAAATTGAATAATACTATTACTCACCAGCCTGCAGTTATGTGAGTAGAGATCTATGTTTCTGTATATCATTCACCTGCCACCAACCTAACGTTTTGAATTCTTGATAGTCGCTATTATTTTTGTTCTGCTCGAAAGCGTCTATTTCCACAACTGGTTTATCATTTGCATAGACACGTGTCTTATCGACAGTACCTCTTTCCGTATCTGATTCCACACTGTCTTTCTCTAAAGGCTCTCCCATGCTGGCAATGCAACTGAGTTGAAGTATCTAATAGCTCTTCTATGGAGATCGTTCTTCAATAATAGTGATATCTAGAGCACTTGAAATACCGTCATCGAAGATATTTCTAGTCGGAAGTTTTAAATGTATTAAAAATCAACACATCCAAAAAAGGTAATACCGAATAAAATTTTCATTGATTTTGATCAGGTGTCTTAGCTTTGCGTTTGATTTAACCTGAAGATGGCTTTATAATGTTTCCTCAAAGATTTAATTCATTGGCGGACATACTTAATTCTGCTCTCAATACTCTTTTATGTTTGACGTATACTTCCGCTGATCGTTTCTACGGTTTCTCGCAACTTTTGCTCTCATAATAATTTATGTCTACTCTTATCCTAATGACACGCTAGGCTAGTTGTCTGATTGGTTTTTTTTATCGGTAAATGGTATAAGGTAAAACAATTACAAGCCCTCCAAAAACCTCAAATTGTCTCATTTAAAATATAAGCTATCCGCTCAAAAGTATTAGCACATGACATACACATCATCTGATATGTGAAGTTGCAATGCTTGATTGAGGTAATACTTAGAAAAGATTATCGTGATTGCACACCAAGTTTGAGTCACCTTTTGAATAATCTTTCTTACGTAAGGATCATAATGGAAGACATTAATACATAATAGTTTACAGATCTAAAGTAACAATGCATATTTATGAAATAAATAGGTAGAAATTTCAATCAAAATTAAGTAACTCTGCATGCAAATGGATGACTATAGCTACCCTCTCTGTATCCTTCTTTAATACTCTCTGCGGCGCTGTAAATACCCAAAGGAGTTATAACAACAGCCATTAGGACTATAAATGCCGACAGAAGTGTCATACACATTTTCCCAGTATTTCCAAACCACCCTGATGGTGATCTATGGCTATATTTCTTGTTATCTGCGAGCCATATTACACCGCTCAATCCAAACGTAAACCATACGACTGTTACACTGGCGATTATCGATAAAAGACTTGAAAAGAATGGTATGAGTTGAGATAATACGAATCCTTGGTTGTCAAAAAAAGCAAAAAGGTATAAGACGCACTTACCGAACATCCACGTGACAAATGCCATAAAGATCCACAAAGCGTTGGCCTTCCAACCATTACTTGTAAGCATAGGTTTCCCTCTAAACAGCTCGACTGAGGTATTTTATGAGGTGGTAAATTCCATACGAACTGATTACTTACGCCACAGCTGTTTCAGACCGTTAAGGACAGGAATTACACCCGACACAATGATAGATATCATCGCAATCGCATATGCTATCGTCTCGACCTTGTGTGATGGGATGGATAGAGCTGGCGATACGACTGCATTTTGCTCGTTAGTTTATCAAATGATAAGCTTGGACGCACCATTTGCATCCCCTACTAGTACGTAGACTCCAACGCCGATTATTATGTAAAATGAAGTCGATACAACTTGGACAACTGCAAGACTTTTCTTGAAATCATTTGGATTCTTCATCTCTTCATCCAGTCAGACAGGACTTCGTTAAATCCATACACACCGGATATTGCACTGAAGACAAACGCGTGTCCACTGTATCTGCGAAGATTGAGATGTTATATTTGTCCCAGCGTTTTACTTACGCGAAGACTATCTGTGTGAAGGAGTTTATAACACCTACTATCCCGGTATTATTGAATGCTTTCCATTTTACTTCGCCGTTGGAGTCGCCCCATGAATCTCTATTAATTCCACATGCAATAATTGTTATCAAACAAGCAGCGAAAATGCTGACACACGACGCGAATGATGCATAGGCAGTGTGTTCGTATTTCCTAGGAATTGTAAACTACGAGGTGATCAGTAGAACACATAATAAGGACAAGCCCTCACAATGAAACATAATAACGCCATGCATAATCCGAGTAAGACTGAACATCTCGCGTTTGAGCTCATCTCTGATAAAGCTGTTCCACCCGAATTGACATGGGACGCTGCTATAAATACGGAATTTACCAATATTCCAACAAGCAGTACCCATTTAAATATGGGTCCACCGATAACTTGACCAGCGTCCGCGAATGACATAACACTTGGGTGATTCACCTTAAAGTCAACTAGGATGTATCCAGTTACCCAAGCCAGGAAAGCAAGACCAATCGTAGCAATAAGCGTTGGTCCAATGCCTATTTCAGAAGCGAGCTTCGGGAAGCTTAGAACACCGAGTGCGAGTGTTTCTGCCAATAAAAGTGCAGCTAACATCACGTTATATGGATTGCATCGACTGTCATTACTCACTAGCCTGTGCATATGTAAGTAAAGTTCTATGTTCCTTTATATTCACATACCTGCCGCCAACCTAATGTTCTGAATTCTTGGTAATCGCTGTTATTCCTATTTTGCTCGAACGCATCAATTTCTAAAACTGGTTTGTGATCTACATAGGCAGATGTCTTGTCAACGTCACCTCTTTCTGGATCCGCTTCAAAGCTGGTCTTCTCTAAAATATCACACGTATTGACCATGCGATTAAGTTGGAACTGCTAACAGCTCGGTTTTAGAGGTCGTTCCTGGATAATAGTGATGTCCAAAGTGCTAGAGATGCCTCCATCACTGATGTCTCTATTCGGAAGTTTTAATTTTTTTTTAAAATAAACCAACCCAAAAGAGACAATATCAAACAAATTGTTCAGTGGCCTTGATCTAGTCCTTTAGCTTTAATTTTGATTGAGTATTTCGTTGGTTTTGTTGCACCCCGAAGATTGTTTATGTTGTTTTATGAAATGTTCTGATTCGGTGACCAACTAATTTAATTCTGCTTTTAACGCTTCCTTATATTCGACATGACCTCCTGAGTCATACCCGCTACTCCTTGCGAATAAAGTGCTCCAATTACGATTTACGTTTGTTACTGGTATCATCCTTATTCATTATCATAGATAACGTGCTAAGTTCTTTTAGTAAGCGGTAGAAAGCCAGAAACGTTAATACCTCTCGAGAAACTGAAGTAGTTTTAGTTCAAGCATCATCCATCTGCTTTGAGATTTTAGCATGTGCGTACACACCATCAAATGAAGCAAAATAAACTAAGTGATCATTACTGATACAATAATAATGATATAATAACTCACAGCTTAATAATTTTTACTGTGATTCTATAGTGTGACTCCTGTTAACACTTCTGAGCCTTACCTCTGACGTAAGGATAACGATAAGAAACATAATACAAACTTTGATGGAAATGAAATAACAAGGTACATACCCGAAATTAATAAAAATACAAAATAGTAAATAAAATTAATTAGCTCTGCATGCAAATGGATGTCTATAGCTACCCTCTCTGTATCCTTCTTTAATACTCTCGACGGCGCTGTAAATACCCAAGGGGGTTATAACAGTCGCCATTAAGACTATAAATATTGATAAAAGTGCCATAGAACTTTTCTTTGTATTGCCGAACCATCCTGATGGCGATCTATAACTATATTTCTTGTTGTCTGCAAGCCATATTACTCCACTTAGTCCATAAGTAAACCATACAGTTGTAAGACTTGAAATTATTGACAGAAGGCTTGAGAAGAATGGTATGAGTTGAGATAATAAGAATCCTTTGTGTGTCAGAAAAAGTAGAAAAGGAATAGGACAAGCTTACCTAACATCCACGTAATAAATGCCATGAATATCCACAAAGCATTGGCCTTCCAGCTGTTGCTCGTAAGCATGGGCTTCCCTCTGAACAACTCAACTAGTGTTTTTCGATAAGAGATGCAAAATTTCGTACGGAGCTGGAAACTCACGCCATAGCTGTTTCAGCCCATTAAGAGCTGGAATAACACCTGCTACAATGATAGATATCATCGCGATTGCATATGCTATCGTCTCAATCTTGTGTGATGGGATGGATAGCGCTGGCGATACGACTAAAACGTTCGTTAATGTTGCCCAAATGATAAACTTGAACACACCATTTGCATCCCCAACTAGTATGTATACTCCCACTCCAATTGTTATATAAAAGGCAGTTGATATAATTTGGACAACCGCAAGACTCTTCTTGAAATCATTTGGATTTTTCATCTCTTTATCTAGTCAGATAAAAGTCAGCCAAAATGCATACGTACCAGCTGTTGCACTAAAAATAAAAGCGTGTCCACCATAGCTGAGACATTTAAGATATTATATATGTTACAGCGTTTTACTTACGCGAAAACTATCTCTGTGAAGGAGTTTATGACACCCGCTAGACCTGGATTGTTGAATGCTTTCCATGTTACTTCGCCATTGGAGTCACCCCATGAATCCCTAGTTACACCACATGCAATGATTGTTATCAAACACGCAGTGAAAATGCTAACACAAGACGCAAATGATGCATAGGCAGTGTGTTCATATTTCCTAGGAATTGTGAACTACGAGGTGATCAGTAGAATATACAACAATGAAAAGACTCACAACGAAACCTAATAATGCCATACAGAACCCAAGCAAGACTGAACATCTGGCATTTGAGCTCATCTCTGATAAAGCTGTTCCACCCGAATTGACGTGGGAGGCTGCTATGAATACGGAGTTTACCAATATTCCAACAAGCAATACCCATTTGAATATGGGTCCACCGATAACTTGACCAGCGTCCGCAAACGACATGACACTTGGGTGATTCACCTTAAAGTCAACAAGGATATATCCAGTTACCCAAGCTAGGAAAGCAAGACCAATCGTAGCAATAATCGTTGGCCCAACGCCTATTTCAGAAGCGAGCTTTGGGAAGCTTAGAACACCGAGTGCAAGTGTCTCTGCCAATAAAAGTGCAGCTAAACTCGCGTTAGACGAATTACATTGACCGTTACTACTTACCAGCCTATACCTGTTTGAGTAAAGTTTTCATCATGTCAGACAATTCACTCACCTGCCACCAGCCTAATGTCCGGAACTCCTGATAGTCGCTGCTTTCTTTATTTTGCTCGAAGGCGTCTATTTCTACAGCTGATACATCACCTGCATTGACATCAGTCTTATCAGCACCTCTCTTCTCTAGATCCGTCTCAAGGCTATTTTTCTCTAAATTGTCGCTCATCGTAGTTTTCAAACCTAGCTAGAATCATTATCAGTTCCTTTTATAGATCGCGTTCCTGATTGATAAAGCTATCTACAATCTCTGGGAAAGTCCTCATATCACTGATACTGCCTAAATTCGGAAATATTAAAATGTATAAAAATCGTTTTATACCGAAGTAGGAAATTACAGTAATTTAGATGTGCATTACTCATCGTCATCTTCATCGCCCTCATCTTCACTTACTTCAAGTCCTGCTTGCTTCATTCTATTCTTATCATTTGATCGCTTAGTAGACATATCCTCTAATAAGATAAGTAAATCTTCATGTTCCTTTTCAGATTCAATGTGTTTTTCTAACTGCGTTTTCAAATGTTCGTTCTCCTTCTGTAGTGTCTCATTGGTATTCTTTGTCGATTGTATCTCGTTGGTATCTCTTTCATTTGTGGATTTAAGACCATCATTTTGTTCTTTAAGCCTCAGGACTTCCTCCTTGTTTGATTTTACTTCATTCTCAAGTATCTCAATCTTGGTTGTGAGTTCTCCTGAAGCTGACTTGTGCTCTCCCTCTTTCTGTTTGAGCGTTTCCAATTCATTGTTCAACTTGTCTAATTCTGCTCTCAAAGTTTCTTCACGCTTAACACCTTCTGCTAAATCACCTCTCAATCCTGCCACTTCTGGAGAGCCCTGCTCCCATAAAGCTTGAAGTTTACTCTTAGCTTCTCCCAATTCGTTATTCTAGGTGACATATTAGCAAAATTCAACACAAATTTCAGACACCTACAACTCTTTCCATTTCCATTTCCATGTTGGCATTCTTCACCTTTAGCTCTTCAATGCGCTGTTTGTGAGTTTCAATTTGAGAATCTTTCTCTTGGACGACTTTCTCATGGTCAGTATTATCAGTACTTTCTGGTAACGGTGAACTAGCTTGTGGTAGAGGTGGTGCAACTTTTGTAGTCTCCTCAATTTCTTCACTGATAACGCTTCTTTGAACCGCCATGAAGGAACCTTTGAAAAACTCAACATAGTTCCAGTCAAACCACCAACCATCTTCTTGAGGGGTTTCAGCGTAGGCGAGTGCATCATCTGGAGAACCAATTTTACAGAATCGTTTATCACTCCTGAATCTAGCGAGTGATTGGATGATATTGTCTACGCCTATCTGCTTTTCAATTATAGAATGTAAGTCCTTCTTTGATACTTCAGATGGACCAGTGTTGAATTTGTAGATAGCACCGAACGTGAATGCGCATAAACCTTGAATAAGAGCATCGACGCCACTACTTTGCTTAATTGGTTGAATAAGTACTTGCAAATTGGAGCTTTCTTTAAGGATATCGCTAACTGTTGCTGGTGAGTCCCACACCCATACGCTTAACAATATGAGATAGGAAACTGTCAACCTAGTCCAATCGATGTCAATTTGTTTGACTTCCTCTTCTTCATTCTCTTGATTACCTTGCTTTTCAGGCTCTTCAGTTCTGTTTATTGAAGAAAATTCCTTCTCTCTTAATCTAGCATCAGCGGCAGACCGTTCACGGGAACAAGTTATGAGATTTCCAAAGATACCATGTAAAAGACTAACAGTCTCATCTTCATCTGTGTCTTCAGATGGGTTAAATGGTATATTCCTTGCCATTGCTCTAGCATCTTCAGAATATCTCAACACGTGGGAGAGTACTAAACTGGCAAAGAAAACTTTCTGTGAATCGAACGCGCCATCTAATGATACTTCTGGTGTGGGCAAGTTAGAAAGTGCTTCTAAAAGAAGTGATCCTGCAGTGTGCGTGATTGAACCATCGTAGTTTACTTCATTTGTTGTGTGTGACATACTTGCAATAATCTCTAACTTGAGACTGTCGTTAGATGTGATAAGACTCTCGAATGCGCTCAATGCCGCAACTTGAAACATTAAATTATGACCTTTCAATGAATCAACATCATCAACCATTCTATTTTCATCACCAGATTCTCCGTTGAGAGCGATATCAATCAGGGATATGGTTGCTAGACGTGGTGGTAATCTTAAGTAGCCTGCTGCATAAGCATCGGAATTAAGAATTGGTTGGGTTTGAGATTGAGTGAAGAACTGTTGATTCTGTGGGGATGTTGAGAATATGGCGGTGAGTGCTGTGAGTGTTTGAGCTTTGAGAGTGACTGGTGCGTTTGAAGAAAGCGATAGATCAATCAGGCACTGTGTGAGACCTGACTGAAGTATAGACTGTGACAACGTCAAATACGAAAAACGATAGGGATAATTTACTCACCAAATTACCCTGTCTGTTACCTAAACCAGCAATGATACGAACAATATCGATGACGATAGCTGCATTGACTACCTTCTGTTCAGACCAGTATTGTAAGCTGAAGCTGTCTAAGTTGTCTGGGGAATAGAGAAGTGTATGGGTGAGGTTCTTCACAAAACCCATTTCTCTAAAGAAGGTGATGTTTGAGGAGTTATAGCGTAATAAGTTTTGGATACAATGCAAACAATCTTGTACTATAATAGTGCCATCGATTGAACCTTCACTGAGTATGATTTTGAATAATTTGTCAAAAATACCCTCGAAAGCTGCTATTTTTTGTAATTCTGAGTTATAATCTGTAATGTAGAGCAAGATGATAAGGGTTTCGGATCTAATAAAGTTGCTGTAGTCTAATAACTGGATCAAGTTGCTCAAGCCATTCTTTGCCATGAGTTCATTTATTGTTAGTGTCTTATAATTCAACAGAAGTAAATTGATGATTTGAATTGCGTAGAGTTTGGTGTAAGTGGAGTAGTTTTCTACCAAGACATCAAGTAATTTACTGAACTTATTGTTAGAGAGCAATGACTTTGTTGACTTGGTATTTATTTCGAAGATATTGAGTAGAGTGTCAAGCAAAAGCTCAAGTTGATGATTATCAGTCGTAGATTCAAATAAATCAAGTAAATCAACCAATAACTCCCTGCTAATAACGCTATTGTAGTCTTTGTTGAGTGATTTTATCGTCAAGAGCTGAGATCTCAGGTCTATGCCTTCCTTGAGGTTTGATTTCACGGTTGATATTACGCCGTTGACATTTATTTCACTTAGATTGCTATTCACTAGTGCGTTATTGAATTTATCGACTAATCCAAAAATGCTCATGGTCGAACTTGTTCAAGGACCGCTCTTTGAATTGAACGACGAAGGCTGGAATATAAAATGCACAGAATGTTAGACAGTCTTCACTAGACGAGCTATTCTAATATCCCTCAGTTCGATATCAACAAGCTGCCAGCACCCAGACATTGTCAAGAATGTGCTCGACGTAGATAAAGAACTGAAGCCAGATTTCGTTAGCCGGAGTATAGAGGTACAGGGTAGTAATCTTATAACGTACGTTGACTAGCAAACACTAGACACTTCTTCTAATCAACTATCAGAACATTTGAAGCCGTATCGCTCAGGACACTTCGGACATCAACAAACGCATTCCTAGACAATCTGAAATTGGTGATACAAGCAATAGACACTTTCGATGCACCAAACTACAGGCCGACAGACGTACCAGAGATCAAGGAGGGCTCTAAAGAGCGCGACAGACACGGTGTAGAATCAAAGTAAACATTAATACGTCATCTTTTCATTACAATTTATTACTTTCCAGTCAACCATGACCACCAGCTCTTTCCTTTGTCTAATCCCTGGTCCTTCCTCGCTTGGGCGTACTTCTTATCGAGCGAGTCTTTGACATCACCGGACAAGGAGGCGGCTGAGCCTAATGCCTTGGCGTATGCAGACTCAGCTTCGGCCTTGATGTCACTGGTTGAGCTGCTGGCGCGGCTACGTACATCATTGTAGGCAGCTTCTGCTCTCTTGACGGCGTCGTCGTATCCTTGTGTGGCGGCGTTCTTAGCGGAATCGTAGTATCCGCCTGCCTTGCTAGCTGCAGCTTCTTTGCTCTTATCAGCTGCATCGATAGCTTCCTTCTTTGCTCTCTCGATTTGTGCCTCCTCTGAGTTGCTATGGTTGTTTTGAGAGTAAAGGTAGCTGTCATTTTGTTAGATGAATGCCTACGACGTTTGGAAAGACTTACTATCCACCACCAGCGAGTGCACCTACAGCAAGCAGCTTAGGGAGAGCGCTGCCACCCTCTCTTGGTGCAGTTGAGTATCTGCGAGCATTTGCTTGAACAATTCTGGCTGATCTGACAAACATTTTTACTTGTTCGTTGTTTGAGTTGAAGGTGTTAGGTGCCCGCCTTAAGTGGCTACGACGTCACTCCACGATCAGCTAATGATGACGAAACGAATTATTAAATTCACAAGGAAAGTAAAATAAACTCCAATATAATATTATTCATTCTAGTACACGATATTTCTACTCATTCATTCTAACCAGAGGAGAGACAGACAACAAACTTATTGAGATTTCTCTTTCGTCGAGACAGAGAAGGCTTCAATGAACTCCGCTTCCAAATCGTGTAGCCTGCTCCCGACCAAAATCATTGAGTGCAAGGGTGGTCCGAATTCTTCTTCATCGACCTCTGCCAACTCTGCCAGGGTACCAGCTTTTATGACTTGCTGGTCTGACCCAACCCTCGACAAGCTGATTGCTAAGGTGTCCTTAGTGTATGCCTCTTCTGTGTAGCCTTCTGCACCCTCTTCAAGGAGCGTGAGAAGCTGATTAACAGCTGTGCTCACTGACATGTATCTTGGTGGTTCAAATATTTTCTTTCCGCGCGCTAGATTCTCAATTGATTGCTCCTTCACTTTAATATCGAGTAACAGGAGCGTATGGCTGCCTGTTCTCATGTTGTCTGCTATCCTTGGAACGAAACTAGCTGGCTTCCATGTCTCTGTAAAGAATGGTATACTAACAGTCTGTCCAAAGTTGTAGAGCTGTAATCCAGACGCACCTGCAGCGTTCATAATGCTAGCGTTGTGTATTACTTTTACAGGAACGCCTGCATTCCTAGCACGTAATATAAGGTCTGTGTGGGTGGTAGCTCTGTTATTGGATTACATTAGAACAATGGCGTAGCTGATTGTGTCACTCACCCGTATGGATCACCAACTACCAAGAAAGAAACATCAATTTCGCTAGCACGGTCGAGAATTGCATCAGACTCTGTCTCGACCATGTCTCTATCAGCAACTGTGACGGATTTACCGTAAAATTCTTCCAACTTGGGTACATCGACTAACAAAATAGAAGTGTAGGCTTCCAAGTAAATCCTCTCAGATTTTCTAACAGCTTCTAATCCATTGACTGTGATGTCCTTCTCATCTGACAATCCTAAACCGATTACGTAAAGCATTCTGTCTTCTCACTTGAGAGCAGCAGATCAAGACGTCTTTCGCACATTCAGGATAAAATATAATGAATGCTATTTAACAATAATCCAGTAAAAATGCAATAAATAAGTATTAGAATCTTGAATGTAGATTATCCAGGTATCGTCTTCCTTGCTGGTTTTCTACGGTATCTCAGTAGCTGAACATTCAGCATCTCCAGTGGTGTTTAATGCGTAGGAAGCTAAAGCAAAGAAATGATAGTTGTCAGCGTTGTTTATAGCAGCAGTAGCGTTGTTAGCTGCCAAGTCCAATGTACAGTCCATACCATAGCAGCTTCGTTCAATTAGCGACTTTAGACATATATCGCAAAAGACTCACATATCTGCTGTATTCGCAACTTGATGTGACAACTCATGAACCTATTGGTGTGTAAGATAAACACGCTCTATTACAGTTTAGCACCAACAATTATACCAGCTTTCACCCATCCTTTATCAGCTTCAACAGTGTTACATATTTCATCCAATGATACGTAGTTCCAAAAGTCAGTGCAAAAATTGATGACATCTTGATCCACTATGAAGGGAGTTAGTAATTATGCTGCTGCAATGGCCAACTTACTCGCCGAGTAGGCTATCACGCCTTCCTCGCAGTACTGTACTAAAACCACATGATTAGCGGCGGATCTATGAACTATATTAAAAGGGTTGTCTTACGCGGATCGTTGCAGCTCTCGCGCGGTTGGCCGGCGTTGGCGTAACTTGCATCATATAAGCTCATGGCCTATCTCGGCATGAGATCTTTTCAACAAAAATTAGATTAAACTAACCTGTATAGTCTCAACTGGGTTTGGCTGTTGGTTTTCAAAATTACCGAAGTATTTCGCTACTAAATTTGCATCGTTTGAATGACTGTAGTTAATAAGATTCAAGACATGTGGATCTAAATTGAATGACTCACTATTTAGCGATGGATAGAAGTGTTTCAGCTTCATCCATAGCTTGGACTAGTTCATCTTTATGCGGATCACAGCTCTGATCAACATCTGCTCGTGCCTGATTACGAGTAGTACTATTGATTTATCAGTTTGTGAACTCTAAATATCAATAGAATAAACTTTACGTGATCGATGACCCATGACGGCCGATTTGTTTGAGGTATGCGGCGTTAACGGCACATGCACCCATTTGAATGCCGAGCAGGATTGATGAAATTTTCATTTTTAGGGTTCTCAATAAACGTTTAGAAGAAGATGTGAAACGAGGTCACAGCATGTTTTGAATCCTAGCTTACGCCCCACGATCGTATTAAGACATTTTCCTTTTCCAGCTCACAATCTTTCCTTAATCGGGTAATTATGAAAATCTGCGCAATGACGCGCGGCAATCCGAAACCTAAATAAGGTTTGATTAAATAAGTTAAAGATTGATACCTAAAGATAAAGGGATTATTTTGATAAAAATCAAGCTAGAATTTTGAAAGTTTTATGAAAATGCTTTTAAGGTTTTACGGTGTAACACAATGATCTAGAGTTAAGGAATTGGGGCACTCCGCAAGGTCCGTCATACCGCAGAAAAGTTCTAAAACTTCGATCAAGACAACTAATAAGCTTTCGGCAAGCTAACACTTATGGCCAACGATGATTCGTTGAATTCTGATTAATTTAGGATGTACTTAGACGCGGCTCATGTTAGACCTGATTTTAATGCCCCTGAACCTCATTTAGTTGGCCATGTCTCTGATCCGCCAATATAAATCTTATTGATCGAAACTTTCGTTTTCTTTATAAAAACCATCAAGATCTTTGATAAAAAATGCCGGCTATGAGGATGAGAGTTGATCCATCAACAGGATTGGTGAGTCGTTCTAATTCACGCACACTGCATGATGATTTAATACTCTATTAGAGCACAGCAAAACGCACATGGATTCCTAGGTTATATTGTGCGCTTAAGACACATCATTCTGGCATCGAGTTCTGTCCATCGGGAAAATGTATCATTATTAATAAGGTAAGCAGTTGTATTACTAGTTTGGTATGTAACTAACAGCGATATAGACACAATTCATCGAGTATCTTAAAGAGATACAGCCCGTAAACTCAAAATCTGGTCAGACTAGCGATAGATGGGATGCATGGCAGAGGAGTGCTGCTAATTATTCACTCAAAGTTGAATCTGAATGCACCTGTGACCCTTGCAATCCTGTTAGATGTTTCAGTGATTTATTCATCTACACGCACCCAGACATAAAGAGGGGCCAATTACCACATCCATCACTCATTAAAAAGAAAGTTCCAAAGAAGCAACAACAACAGCAAGCTCGTCAACTCCAAGGAATTTCCACTGAGAGGAAGAAAAGGTCATATTCTGAAGCTGACACTAAAGCGCCATTCACTGGAACTTATTTACCAAAGAGCGAGATCCTTGATCATAACCGGAGGAAGAGCACCGGAATTTTGCCTCCACAACCATTTTATATGCCTTCGAGTAGATACCCAACACCTAGCTACTCACCAATAGAGTATGAAGCTATGTTACCAACATCTCAACAGCAGCAATTTGACAATTGGCTTCTAAGCGATGTCGATATTTTCGATAACTCTTTCGGATCTGTTGGAGGTGTCGGAAATGTTCAAAATGTTCAAAATGTTCAAAATTTGCAAACTTTGCAAACTTTGCAAACTTTGTCAATGGATAACTCACTTGGATTAGTACCAACGGATAGAACTTACGGTATATTCCCAAATTACACTCTTGATATGTCACCTCACTCTCAACCACAAGCCCAATTACCATACAAAGCTTATGAAGGTACTATGCAAGCAGCCGACGCGATGCAACATCTGCTATACGATGAGAGTTGTCGTTTTTTCGGACCAAACACGACTTCTGATTCTTTCAACTCAAATTACTACTAAACTTCATTCATTAAAATTCGGACATTATTTACGATATTTCTAATTCTTATTGCGCTTTTTTATATTAAATTATCCATGTTGTACGAACAAACAATGTCATGAGTATAAATTAAAATAAAAGTTAATCTTCAATATCCGCAAACCATTCATCATTTAGAGACTCAAGGCCATCTTTATCAGCTTTCATAATTGTACGATAAACAGATATAGTTTGACTAGTTGATGGTGCGCTTATCCAAATTTTGCCATTCATTGCTGTTGCTAATTCAAAGGGGAAACCGAAACCTTGCATGAGTGTGTTCATAAATGGACTATTTTTCTCTAAAAGTGATTTACACTTATTTATATCAAGGTTATCAGCCAGTATACCTCCTTTGAGTTCACCATATCCTTCTGCTTTCCCTGTAGTTGGGTTGAGACATTCCAACTCTGTTTCCATATCCTTATGTGCAAGACTTATACGAGCGTATACGAGTGAACCAACCTGTTTATTGTCAAATGAATAAATAAATCTATTATATTTTATCATACCTTTAGATTTGGCTTGTTACGTTTTGTTGCACCTTCGAAAGCGAGTGCGTCGAGGTTGGCGGTTGTAGCGGTACCTATGTCAACTCTATAACCTTCTGATCCTCTAAATATCACTTGTCCGATTACGCTATCACCCGTTCTTGCTAAATACTGAAAAGTTCAGCGGATATTGACAATTATCAGGATACTTACTCTCCGCTGTTGTGCTACGTTTACTGTATATTTCTCGGACTTCTTAGGACCATCTATATCCATTGAATCAACGTTTTTTGATGTACTGCTAGTGAGAACACCAGAACGGGTGCTGATTGAACCAGATTTAAGTGTGGAGTGTATACCATTCACCGCACTAGCTGATGTACTTGGTACATTTATACTGTCACCTGGGAATACTCTCATGGATGTTTATGAAGAAGCTTGAATTTGTACGACGAAGTCGAAATGATAGGAAATATCGCCAGAGGAAATATCTTCAGAAATGCTATGAGATCTACTAGAAGTGCTACTCTAGTAACTCCAATGAGAAATTCACTTCAATTCAGAAACGCTTCTGGCTTTGGATCATCTGAACAAGCCCAATTACTTGAGAAGCTCTCAAAAGCACCAAAAGCTTTAGATATTATCAAGGAATTAAGTCAAGTTATGCAAGAGAAGGGTGTTGAACCAGGCTCTAACCCTTCAGTTCAAACAATGTACTCTCTCGCTACTGACACCAGAGTGAAGGAGCTTTCTACCGAACTCAATAAAGAACTCAAGGAAGCCGGTATTGATGCTAAAGAAATGGTAAAGGAGTTAATGCCAGGCAGCAACTCTGGTGAAGAAAGTGATAAGTAAATTGTTTATCTTAGTACAAGGTTTAGTTATCAGATGGCTCATATAAATATTCGCCTTTCATTCTCTCAACAAGTGGTTTGACTTTCTCAAAGACAGAGAAAACGACAGCTTGTCCTGGTGCGACGCGAAGAATTCGCGGTGCGATACCTTTATAGAATGAGGCAACACCTTCTTGCTTCCACATATCTGTAGCAACACCCATTAATCTCGATATAGCAGTTTCACCTGGTACTTTCTGAGCTTTCTGTATACGTGTTTTGATTGTGTCAATTGGCGCGTTAGTTAATGGACCAGCTGCACCGGAAATTAAACCGAGTATGACCGTTTGCCAACTTGGTAATTCCGTGCCATTGTACTGTGGTTGATAACTGTATGATACCGCTTTGAGTTGCTGGTATGCTGTGAAATTAGCACCTTGATTTGTAGCTTGACGTAATGCAGTGAGAGAAACGCCACGATAGAGAGTAGATATACCCTCATCTTTTACAATGGTATAGAGCGCATGAGCTGCGTTACGATACTATTTAGTTTGTTAGTATTCAAATTTTCAACATTTTCTCACACTCACTTTCGGCACATCCAAAGGATCCATCATCGAGTGCTGTTGAGATTGCAGACGAATCTTGACGACTTCCATCGGTGTTACTACGGCAACCGCTTCTGTTGTACCTGCACCGAGACCGGCAATAAAAACTTTACCGGGTGATAGAGTACCTTCATGACTACCAAGCCATAGCTTATATTGTTCAAATGATGCGAATCTGATAGCCATTTTTGGTACAATTCCAGATAAAACAGCACCCAAACCTTTGTATAAACCGAATACAGATTCACGTCCAATGATGTATTTACCAGTTTGATAGAAACCAAGTGGTTTCAGACCCTTTGCTTGTCGTGATTTCGAAAGCTGCATTCTAACTTTTATCGTGTCCAAAGGGTGACATACTAGTGCTTCTGCTGCACCTGCTACACCACCGGCTATCAGGTGGGTTGATAATGGTACTTTCTCTTTAGCTGGTTTTGTCATCGTTGTAGCTAAACAACTTCCTGAATTGTCTCTTAAGTCTGGAATTCCTTATTTTCCCGAATGGTCATGAGGTGGAGCACCGAGTGTGTGAAACATCCGGTTTATTTCATGAGTGTATCCAATTGGTAAATTGTCAAAAAAACTTTACAATTGTGTACACATAAATTGACTGCACTACTGTTTCTCACTGACATCATAACAAAAGATAAACAAAATCTGCGCAAGATAGAATTCATTAAGATAAAATCGTGTATAATCTAACTTTGTGATATGGTTCTTTAAGATATCGTTATAGTCCTGCGTGATATCCTTATGGTGCTGCGAGTGCTCTGTAGGGTCTCTATTAGCCGATATTTTAAGAAGAAAAAAAGTCGTACGATTGCAGGAATAACTCGTAGTCCATATTGACGTAGCCACTCTTGTGTACATCGAGTCTGTTCGTCGTTAGCTTATTTAGTATTCGAACTTGATTAGACACACCTTTGGAAGTTCTCTGAGAGAGTTTTTACAGCTACACATACGCGAATGAAGCTAATAAAGAGTTAGCAAAAGTAGCTTGTAAGAATTTCAAATTCACCGGTCAAATGAAATCCCTTGAACACCGACACCACCGTAGCGACCACCTCTGTTCATATTTGGATTGCCTGAATTCACTAAATCGTACATAATATACGTAAACAGTATGATTAGCAGTATATTGATTAGCGATGATATCAGATTTGATATTGAGAATATAAAGACATTTGAGAAAAGCGTGAAAATGAAAGAAATAAAGAAAAAGAAGTGAGAAGAAGAAGCGGTGAATGTCAGCCATAACCCTCGACGATGTATAGGGTACTCGCCATATTTGTCTTCAAGTACACGGAGGGTGAATGGTGAAAGTCTACACTAGTTAGGAGATCAATCTTCACGGTAAAGCAGCCCACCTGTATCCAAATTGAGCCAAAGCATTTGCTAACTCGTGGCCCTCAATTGAGCCTGATCTGTCTGCGTCGAAGTGTTGGAAAACGTTGCGCCAGTCGTTGATATACCTTGAGTGGTGAGTTAGGGAACAAAGCCTAGTGAATCAATATCGCGACCTACTTGAATACACCTGCGAATTCTTCAATTGAGATTGTACCGGTCTTATCAACGTCGACTTGAATTTTGTTAGAGACCATGACTCGTTTATAAGCGTCACCCACAAATTCCAATAAGCATCTTTGTAGTGTCTAAGTCAAAGTTTCTGCACGTATAAGCGAAAGAATGTATATGAAACTAATGACGCACGAATAGTCACCATTAACCAAAGCCATTTGTAACTCCTGTGCGTCAATCTGACCACTCTTGTTCCTGTCAACTGTCTCAAACCAATTGCGGATGGTTGGATCGATGTATGTCGTAGGTGGGCGCGGTCTGGAGTATCCAGCATTAGCATATGTGTTTCCTGCTGTGGTACCGCCTGCATAGCCTGGTGCACCGTAGCTGCCTGCAGGGCTGCCATAACCAGGAGTACCACCGTAGGATGCTCCAGAACCGTAGCTGCCTCTAGCTGGTGGTGGTGGTGCAGCACCTCCATAGCTACTTCCATAGCTTCCTCTATGTGGTGGAGCTGAGCCGTAGCCGCTTGCTCCGTATGCACCACCAGCTGGTGGGTAATTTGGTGCGCCGCTTTCTCATTCATTAGAAAGTATAATTAAAGTTTTAGTTTATCTTACTATCCTGAGTAACTCATTTTAATTGTTTCGCCTTCGACGTCAGTTTCAAGTAACTCGGATGCGATGCAGTAGAAGCTAAGGTACAAATTTGAGTCTAATATGAATATGGCAATAAAATATGAAATTCGATTTATTACAATATTATGAATATTCTTAATGATCGGACTATAGGCCTACAATCTAGGCGATAAAGAAAAAAGTCTAACGAGAGTGAGAATTGTTGATTAAAATGAGATATATAACATTCCGTTTGTCCAGTGGTTTAAATCCAGTATTAAATTGTATTTCTTGCTCTTCTAATAAGGTTATCTATATTATTATCAAGTGTTCGTTTAGATTTGATTAGTCACATCTTGAAACACAGGGCTGGTATCAAATGAAGGAGTCGAATGTGGACTTGGTGAAGGTCTTTGTGATGATTTACCACTTACGCCATTCGATAATGACCTAGGTGGATTTCCGCATCTATCTTTACCATAGCTTATCTTTATTCCTGCTTTTATGTACTCGTCATCATTCTTGACAGCTTCTATTGCTTTTATTGCGTTTGATATATTTGTGAAATTAACAAATGTACATCCCTTTTCACGTAATGAGTTTACTTGTTCAACTTGACCAAAGATTTCGAAATCCGCTCTAATCTTTTGCTCGTTGAAGGTATCCATATCGGTTAAGGCCCCAACGTAGACGTTTCTAGTTGCGCCATTTTGAACTGCTAATGCTAGTTGTGGTGGGAGTGGACCAGAGTGCTTTCCCCAGCCTATCTTCAGTCTGCGGTTATGGATTGTAATACCTTGGTATGAAGCTACTTGGTAAAATGTCAATGCGTTTGTTGGATCGATGAAAGTCTGAGAGAATATGTGAGAAAGAAGTTTGAGGAAAAAGAATCCACTTACAACAAATGCGATATGTTTGTCAGACAAATATCTAATAGATTGAAGAATACCACCACGAATAGCATTACAGAGCTCTTCAGCAGTCGTCTCTTCTGATAAATTACCGAGGTATACAGTTCTGTTTCCAATATTGTCCAATGGTACACCACCAATGAGATTGTTGTTTGATAGTTGAGGGTTGAGGTAGTTATCATAGGTTGAAGAACTGAGGAAAGCAGCAGCAGCTGATGGGCTAAAGCCAGCCATCGAGTAAGGGTATCCTGAGCTTGCAGCGATCGCAGCCGCAGTCCTGAGAGCTTGAGTGGAAGGTTGTTGTTGATTGCGTGGAATGTACGCGCATCTATCTTTACCATAGTTTATACGCTTTGTAGCGTATTTAGGGTCATGGGGGAGCTCGTTAACGACTTTGATAGCAACTGCAATAGATAAATAATGAATAAAGGCGATATTTTTATCCCTAACAATTTTGATCTGATCGATTGGTCCAAATTTGGAGAGGTCCTTTGCCAAAGACTCCTCAGTAGTTGTGTCGTCTATGGCGCCAATGTAGACGTTCCTAGAAGCGTTACTCTGTTGTACTGCGAGTAAGACATTTGTAGGAATCTGCGAGTTTTTTCCCCAGCCAAACTTAAGCTCTTGACCGTGGAGGGTAATCTTACGAGTGGTAGCGTCGTGGTAGAACTGGATAGCTATTGTGGCATCCAAGAAAGCCAAAAAAGCGTAAGACTTTTCAGGGAACAACTTTATAGATTCCAAAGGACCAAATTTGACTAAGTTGAGTAATTCATCTATTGTAGCGTCTGAGGGGAGATTGCCAACGTAGATATTCCTTCCTGGATGTTGTAGCTGTTGGCTAGGGTTCAAGTACTGGTTTGGGGAAGGTGAGAGGAAGAGAGATGGCTGCAATAAAAACTGCTGGTAGTCTAGATTATTTGGTATATTATCCGAATTCAATTCCATCTCTATGGATGATGGGTATTTCAGCTCAAGATTAGAGATGGGCGTCAAAGCGTTCGAAAATACAAGTGAAATTTATATCAAGCCGACGAGCTTCTTTTGCTGTACAAGTGCAGATCTGTCTAGTTTATCCCCGTTTAGGAGCTCTCGCAGGAGATCCAGCTGCGACTTTCTCTGCCGCTGCAGGCTGGAGATCTCGTCGTTGAGTACCATTTTGTTGTATATGAGAGTGGTGAGAACCGTCCAGGAAAATAAAAATCTTAGTCTGCCCCTGTGTTCTATTTAGTTTGTCTTCTCATCTCTTCTCTCTACGCTCACCGCAACAGCGACATCTGGGAGATGAAGAGGAGTATAAATGAGGAATCCTCTAATAAGAGATATAAATTTGAGACTCTAAATAAAAAATTTAGTTCTATCAATATCAAAGCCATCTTGAATAAGCATCTCCACGAGATTGATTATACAGACAATGACGATCCAAACCCTTTCAACACGAGGTTAGCACAATTGAAGGATATTAACTTGCACGCTGGCTTTCAATCTCTCGCTAGGGAGATATCCCCTTTTACAAACTCCTTAGAGCAGCTTATACACTATAAATCTAAAATTTTAGACTCTATCTCTCACCATTTATCGTTGAAATACGGTGACGATCCCTGGAGATCTTGGCTAGGTATCTTGGAGTGAGTTCTCCTGGCTTTTCGCTCCCCTTTGATCTAACTTGCATCCAGTTTGATACCCGCGTTGGCGAGATCTCTGTCATCTCTCTTGCATCCTCACTTACCTCAACTGTTACCAATCCTATGCAGTCTACCAACTTCTGATATTGCCCACAATAATCCTCAGTTGTTGGAGAAGAGTTACGTCGTTTTGGCCAGCCTCTTATCGCAACTCAGTAGGGACCTCCTCAAGGATAACGCATCATCCGCAATTGATATCTACAATCTGCTCATTCCATTCATCACGAACACTTCCGAACATGCAAAATGGATCGCTCAGGCATGGTCTGCTTTTATCAGAAGAAGTAAAGGAAATGCCTTGAATGCTCTACTCACACATATGCTACAATCCACTTCTTCTTCTCCTTTACTCGAAGAATCTATTGCTATTTCGATCTCTGAAGCTATCAAATCTCCAAACCTTACTTTACACTCGCGCACTCACGTTAGTTTTTCATTCTTGGTAAACTACTCTATCGATAACCCTCAGTCAAATACGTCTGCAAGCATCACCATAAGGGTTTTGATTTCCGCTATACATCACATCAGAGATCCTGCCGCATTGAAGCCAATGTCTGACGTCGTTGTATCAGCACTCGAAACTCAAACACAATCAAAGGAAAGAAATGGAAGCATCTCAATTGCAATGCGTTTTGCTCAAGTCCTCTTGGGTGTTCGTAAAGCTACACGTGTTGATGATGGCTCAAGAAGAGCCATCTTTAAGTTGCTCCTCAGCCTTATATCTAGCAAGTCACTCGAGGGTGTTATCTTCATCCATTACTTGCAGCTGTTGGCCACCGCTCTCTGCGCAGGTAAACTTGAAGATCTCTTGAGTCCAGGTATACAAGTTTTGGATAAGGTGTTTGCCCATTCAGACAAATGGAGTGTTTTAGGTTTCTGCATGGCTTTGTCAGAACTACAGTGGAGCGGTATAGAGCAATTCGTTCTCCCACCTCTCTCCAAGACATCATTTGCAGACCATCAATATGAGTTGTTCACTTTGTTGGCTACACTTGCTGAGCGTTCACAACTACCAATAGCTTCAACAGTTGCACACCAGAGATTCCAGTCTTTTTTCAGATCCCTAAATAAAGAACTTGAAAAATGCGTCAAGGAGTCCGTCGACCGTATCATCAATGGTTTTTCTGAAGATAGCGATATTGATTTATTGTCTAACATCGCAATACTCGTTCACGCAAATGTTGGCATTGAAGCTAAACAATATTCCGATGATATCTTTAGGCTTTTTGATCATCTTACGAGCAATATCGAGGAGACAGTCCAAGATGAATTCTCCAAAACCCCTTACAATAAAGTCTGGTTGACTTCTATATCGATATCTATCATCTCAAAGCTCGGCAAAGAGGATCTAGTTCGAGAACGCATCAACAGTATTGTATTGAGATATTCCAACTACTCAATCATAGTTAAGGCGCTTTCACAATTATGTGAACAAGGAAATAAACCGACGTTGTCTTCTGAAGCAGTTGATAAGTTGAGGGTAAATATTTTGACGTACTCCACGGAATTGAGAGTATCATCGCTCAAATTGCTCAGTCAGCTTAGAGGTGACTTTGACAGCATATACGAGAAATGTTATGAAGTAGAAGGCGTCCCACTGACTGTTCAATCATCACGCGATCGTAACATGACGCTAAGAAGAGTTGGTCAACATCTATTGGCTGCGGATGCCACTGAAGAGTCTAGGAAAGTTGGTGCTATGTTTATGCTTTGTGAGTACTAGTATCTGTTCCATCTGTCAAACATACTAACTATTTTCAGCTCAATTCAAGGTGAACTTCCGTCCAATTTACGAACAGGCGTCTGATTCACTTGGTGAATTGATGGGTGCACATACCAAACTTCTTTGGCCAATATTTTTACCTGAACTTGAACATGCGGCTGGCGCTACCCAAAGAAGCAACACAAGCACCCAGGCACCATCATGGATGACTAGTGACGATGTATTCAAGATTAGTGATCAGGGTGTCATGATTTCAGCTGATTACGTTACCGACGATTCAACATTCAGATGTACAAATCTAGACAAGTGGGTCAAGGGTCTGCAAATTGCATTCAATGATCTTAGCAAACCAGTGAAGAGATCGGTAAACGTACGTATTTGAACTTGTTTTAAAATTACAATATCTGACAATTGTCTAGGCACAGAAGGCTCTAGATAGATTTGACATCAACAACTACGAGGAACTCCTTCTTGAAACGCTCTCAAAATGTAGTAACGTGGCTGAAAAGAACACCAAAACTCTCAACGTTCTCTTCATGAAATTCACTGACAGGGAGAATGCAGACCTTGATGATGATGAAGAAGGTATTAAAGAACGCCAATCATTAAAGACCCTTAAAGGCAGATTAGTCAGCTGGTTGAAGCTCTACGCAACTTTCAACAATCCTAAGGCGATGTATAAGTCGACTGAAATGTGGAATCTCTTCTTAGACTTTTTAAGCAAGGGTGACAACAACATTCAACTTAAATCACTTGAATGCATTTTAACATGGAAAGACGTCTCGATAAACACTTACGAAGAAACTCTCAAGAACCTCCTTAATGAGAGCAACTTTAGAGATGAATTGATAAACTTTTCGCTCAATATTGAATCACAGGCGATTAGTCCTGGTCATCGTGAGGGTCTTATACCTATAGTAATTAGATTACTTTATGGTGTTATGACTTGGAGAAAAGGCAGAAGCTCAGGAAATCAAGGCTCAAGTGTACGCAGAATAGCTGTGCTCACTGCACTTAGTGGTTGTCTACCACAGGAACTATCCACACTGATAGATTTGATGACGGTATCACTTAAAGATGCAAGACCTACTATCACTCAAAATAGTGTTCAATTGAAAGATCTTGATACGCCACCTGCGGGTAAACGTCAAATTGGTTACCTCAGTTTGCTCGAAGATCTTCTTAAGTATATGGGCAAATCGTTAGTGGATTACTGGCCAACTCTTCTCGGTATTACTGTCGAGTTGATACATGATTCACAAAGACGCATCTCATCTATGAAAGATTCACAGATGGATGTTGATGGAGAACCATCCCAAGAGGATAGTCAAGTAGCTCAGCATACTCCACTCCGAAATGTCAGAATATTAGGTTTGAAGAGACTCGGAGACTTCTTTAGAGTCCCTTCAGTAGAATTTAATTTTGAGCCGTATCTTAAATCATCATTCGAATCCTTCATTGCCCCAAGAATTGACTTGCTTTCAATTGAAAATACTCAAGCACCATCATCTCTTTTGGAACTCTTCGCTATTTGGTCAGATTCACCACTTTATTTACCATATTTGCAGAAGTTTGACCAAAGATTATTGTCAAAAGTGTTTGAAATTATTACTGCAAACAATGTCAAACCGGCTGTTGTACTCAGAGTTTTCGATATCGTTGACAATATCATCCAAGTTTCAGAGTTTGAGGATACAAATGACGAAACTGATGAAAGTATTGCCTTAAGGAAGCTCGTCAGGGAACAAGTTCTCAAACCAAACGTCCACTCCCTTTTGGTTTCGCTCTCTGACAGATTTGATAAGTTCAGCGTTGGCTTAAACAAGGGTAATGCAAATGCCAAGGATGATATAGCTAAACGTCAAATTGGCATTCTTAGCAATATTTCTAAATACATCGATGATCAGTATCAAGCTAGGAGAGTACTAGACCTTCTCCAACCTTTATTGAGACAATCACATAAGGTTGTAAATGAGAAGATTAAAACAAATTTGTTGTCTATCTACAGTAATCTCTTGAAATTAGTACCAGATTTTAGTGACATATCCTCAGAATTCCACATCAAGAATTATAACCTCTTCGTATCACTCTTCTCACTTCTGAGATCACGTCAAGCTAGAAATGGTCTCATTGATATCATGGAAGTCTTCACAAGTGTCGACAAATCTTTCAAAACTACATACGGTATTATATCTGCACTGAATAGTTGGTCGACTAAGCGCATCGGTGAACCAGATTTCGACAAGCGTTTGGCTGCATTTGGCAAAGTTGAAGATCAAGCATATGACTGGAAAAAGAGAGATTGGTTGGCAATCCTCCACAACATGCTTTTCTTCATTGGTGATCCTGAGGAATTATCCATTAGATCTTCTGCTAGCAGCGTCATGAGAAAGTTTGTCCAGGTTGTCAGCGAAAGTCAAGAAGACGAACTCGAGGAAACGCTCCTCAGGATGCTTTACCCAGGTTTACGTAGAATATTGAAAACTAAATTTGAGTTGGTTAGAATAGAAATCATCTCAGTTATTGCCAGAGCTGTTGAGAAATGCGATAACATTTCAACATTCACTCAAATGCGTCCATTGTTAATGGATGGTGATGAAGAGGCTAACTTCTTTAATAATGTTCATCACTTCCAAGTACATAGACGTTCTAGAGCATTACAGCGTTTAGGTGATTTCGCAAGTAAGGGTATTTTACCAAATGACGCACTTGTTAAAGTTTTCATACCGATTATCGGTCATTTCGTAAGTAACGCATACATAGAGAGTGCAAGGCTGATGAATTTTAGGTATCTGGTGCTACTGATAAGAAGGACCATAATCTCACAACTGATGCTATCAGAACACTCGGTCAATGCTCCAGCAAGCTCGGTTGGAGCGCTTACAACAATCTCGTTAGATCTTACTTGAAACTCGCAAAAGCAAAAGATAGCAACGAGAAGGTTTACATCAGAGCTACTATGTCGATTTTGGAGCATTTCCATTTCAACATGTCAGAAGACGTTGAGAAAGAAACTGCTGAGAAGAGTGACGATGAGGGAGAAGAGGAGAGTGATGATGAGGATCTCGCTATACAGCAAGGTGCAAGTGCTGCTAAGGTTTCTGAGGCAGTTACGAATCGATTACTCCCACTCTTGCTTAAATACTTAGAACAGAAAGATGAAACTGAAGCAAGTATTCGTATCCCAATCGCAGCTGGATATGTTCGTGTCGCACTCTTCTTACCTGCCGAAACTAGAGACATGGAAGTCAACCGATTGATCACTGTCTTGGCTCAAGTATTCAAGAGTAAAGACAGCGATACGCGTGTACTAGCAAGAGAGGTATTATGCAAAATCAGCACAATTGTTGGACCTGATTACCTACCATCTATCATTACTGCCCTCAAAGAAGCACTCACGCGAGGCGCACAACTTCACGTTTTGTCGTACACCGTCCACTCTGTTATACTACACCTAATTGAGTCTGAGGCAGGAAAATATGACAACCTTGATCTCGTTTCACAGGACGTTATTGCTATTATTACTGAAACTATCTTCGGTAGATCAGCAAAGGATGCTCAGAATGAAGAATGGAAAACACAAACGAAAGAAGTCAAATCAGCTAAGAACAAGTCATTGGATACCTACCAGATTTTAGCTAGATTATGTTCCCCTTCGAAGATGCCAGTCCTACTTCTTCCGGTTAGAGATATGATCACAGTCACTGAATCAGCAAAGACAATTCTTGCCGTTGACGAAGTTTTGCGCAGGGTTAGTTTAGGTGTCATATCGAACAAACAATTCAGTCCAACGGATATTCTGTCATTGTGTTATTCGCTTATTGCTCAAAAGAGTAAATTTGCAACGCCGTCAGAGAAGAAAGGCAGGAAGAAGGAAAATGTAAAAGAGGGTGCTATTGTTCAATTGAAGAGAGATGTTCGTCAAGAAAAGAATTACTTTGAGAATAATTCCCATAAGTTCATTAACCTCGGTTTGGATCTCTTCAATACCTCTTTCAAGCGTTCCCAATTTGATTTCAAGAATACAGACCATCTCGCAAGAATGGATCCATTGGTATCAGCTATTGGTAATGTTCTATTCTCATCAAACACTGATACTGTTATTCTCGGTTTGAGGTCGACTTCGAACATTGCCAGGGCACCTTTACCATCTATAGATAAAAGTTTGGGTGTTTTCGTCAAGCGTATTTTTGCTTTATTAGACGATTGCGGTGGTACTCAATCAGAGTGAGTTCATTTTCTTGAATATAACTTTTTCTAACCAAATCGAAAGGCTTGCTCAAACTACTTTACGTGCTTTATCGGTCATCCTTCGGGAAGTCAAAACAGCTACTATTAAAGAGGAGCAATTGAAGCATCTCCTCGTTCTCATTAAACCAGATTTGGAGGAACACGACCGTCAACACACCTTATTCACACTCCTCAAGTCAATTATTAATAGGAAATTGATTGTGCCAGAGATTTACGAAATAATGGAGAGAGTATCAGAGGTTATGGTAACCAATCAATCATCTCAAGTTAGGGAAATCTGTAGAAATATCTACTTACAATTCTTACTTGATTATCCACAAGGAAAAGCTAGAGTCAAGAAGGTGTTTGAATTCCTCGCGAAGAACTTAAGCTATGTTTACGAATCTGGTAGATTATCAGTCATGGAATTGCTTTCTGTTATCATTCAGAAATTCGATCCTGATAACTTGAGAAACAACTCGGATATCGTCTTCCTTGCTTTGGTTATGGTTTTAGCGAATGATGATTCTGCAACATGCAAAGAAAGTGCTAGTGCGATTATCAAAAGTATCCTTGGAGTTTATGATAAGAGCGGTAGAGATAAAGTGGCCGCGATGATGCATAGCTGGGCACATCAAGTGCAACAACCTAGCCTACAGAGATTATCAGCGCAAGTTAGTGGTATTTTCGTCGATGCTCTCGACAGTACCGTTGGAAAAGCTTATCTTCCAGATATGTTATCTGATATGATGCAATTGCTCAAAGTTGATGAGTGGCAAGTTGTTTACCATTCGCTTAACTCGCTCCTTAAGGTTATCACGACTTATCCAGAAACCGTTGGCGAGATTGATTGGGTATCCATAGTTGAAATTCTCAATTATCAACATGTTTGGGTTCGTTACCAAACTTCTAAACTCATCAATTCCTTGTTCACTATCAAGAAACCATTTACTCCTAAATTGGGCAAAGATGGCATCTTATCATTGGAAAGTATGGTAGAGCTAGCTAGGAAGTTCTCCTTTGAGCTTAGGTCTAAACATTTGGATAACGATATCGCGCACCAAGTTGTCAAGAATCTCATCTTCATTTCAAGATGTTTCGCAACTGTACCAATTGAAATAAAGAACGAAAAGAAGGAAGAGGATGACGAGGAGATCGCTGAGAAAGCTGCTGAGGAAGAAGAAGGTGATGAGGAGGAAGTATCCGCTGAAGAGAGCTGGAAACGTGATCCATTGGGCTGGTTATTCAGGAAACTATCCTATCAATCCAGATTGTCATTTTTCAAGCGTTCATTTGAGGATAATATGCAAGAAAAGAAATTGTGGATCATGCAACCAACTTTCATCTGCCATTGGATGGGTTACATGGTCAACACTCTCGATAGTGATAGAATTACCATGTATATTTACCAACTTCTTCATCCACTTGTTAGAATTACAGGTGATGAGAATATCAAAAAGGACAACGAGTTGGATGAATTGCAAAATCTTGCTCAAGAGGTTATGAGTATGATTCAGAGCAAGGTTGATAATACACTCTATCTCCGTGTTTACCAGGCTATCAAGCAACGTGTTGTTGCTGTTAGAGATGAACGTAAATTCGCACGTAAACAGAATGTGAGTATTTCTTGGATTACCACCTAATAATGACTAATCATTACAATAGGTGATAAAAAACCCACAACTTGCAGCTCATCAGAAGAGTAAGAGATCTGCAGCGAAAGTTGACTCGAAGAAGAGGAAGAATAAGCATTTTGCGTGAGTATTCACCGTTTACTTTGTTAAAAAACTAACAAACATTTTAGATCACAAAAAAGGACTGTTACTTAAAGTCAATTAATTTATTGTTTTTATATAGATCTTATTACATAAGTTATAATAATACAACAGTGGGATTGGTAATTACTGTGTTCTCAGTCTATACAACAAATCCTGGATAAGGCGAGGTGCTGATCCATGAAGTTCCGCAGCTTCGATAGCGTCATCGATAACTACCTTTTCCGGTGCATTACGCAGCTATAAGCTATCAATATGTGTTTCTATTAGAATTAATGATAACGCACCTCTGCTCCTACAAACCTCCTAGTTTGTGGGTTAAAGTTTAAGAAAAGTGTGCACTTAGGATGCATATTCTCCAGAAATTTTCCTTTGAGATCCTTACGTGCATCGTATTCTATTTCTAGAGTTGCTGGTTCAGGTGTATTGACGTTTAAGATACCAATTAGGTTTGAATATACTTCACGCGCAGCATCAAGCCTTTTAATGCATGAGCGACATATTATCGCATTAAACCTCAACTCACCATGTGTTTAAATCTTCTATACCATCCTCAACGTCTTCCTTCGCGCGTTTAGCATCTTCTCCCATTCTCTTCGCGGCTGATAACTCTGGTTGCAATCTCTCGTCTTGGTCAGTAAGTGTTTTGATTTCCTCTGTCAACTGGCTACGTTCAAGTGCTTGCTGTTCTTTAATATCAGAGAGGTTCTGCATTTCAATAATCTAGATTCTGTTAGGTATGGACGTACTTCATGAATATTGAACATACCTGATCATCAAGAATTTCTTGCGCAACAGCGGGTGTTAATCTTTGCTCTGGTGGATGCGTGGCTCTCAATTTGGCCAACTCGAGCTGCATTTCTTGGATTTCGCTGAGAAGTTCATTAGCAGAGGACAACTCTTGAGTGTAGTTGTCATGTTCTTCTGCTACCACCTGTACGAGTTCTTCTAAGTTCTGAGTTTTCTTATCAGTAGCCTCTTTTGCCTGTTTGAGTAGCTGTTTGTCTTGCTTATTTGATTCCTCTAAGATCGCGTTATCTTCTGGTGTTATAAGCGGTGGTTGAGTAGAGAGAATCTTCTTCAGGAAGTTTTCTTTTGTTTGCTGCTCTACATACTTAAACTTGAGCTTTCCGAAGTAGTCAACACTCTGAAGTAACTCAGATTCGAAAGAGAGTGGATCTGTAGGTAATTGCTGTATGGACTGGTTTGAGCTAAATGAAGTAGAGTCGTCTACCTTCTTATTTAAGAAATCGTCTTTCAACTTCTCATTAAATTGTTGCTTTATCGTATCTAAATAGAGTTGACGATTGTTTGATGTCTCTATTAATCTAATAATGAATTAATATAAAACAAAAAGGCTTTAAAAGTCTCACTTTTTTGTATTTTCCACTAAATCGCTATCTGACATTCTACGCGTTTTGATAGTCTTCAACCAACGCGTAAATAATGTCAAAGTTAAACGAAATATTAAATCGGATTTCAAGTCAATCGAATGAAATTTTAGAAATAAACAAGAAACCAAAACCAGTCAAGCAGTCCTGGACAGTTAAAGCCGCGCTTGGATATATCGACATATTGGATTACTTGAGGGATGCTGATACAACTGAAGTTAAACTGTTTAAATCACAGCAATTGGATACTTCTGTCAAATCTGTGAACACTTTTGATGATGATCAATTCAGTAGTAAACTCATTAGAAGAACGATTGAAGCACCGACGCCATTACGCGTTAGACCTCAAACAGGAAAGGAATACGATATTGAAGTTTTACTTAATGCAGCTTCAAAGTTGATAGATGAATAGTACGTATTTGATTTCCACTCAGCTCAAAACTAACCGATATTCAGTCGTCCACTACCACGCACAAAGCAGCATATCCGAAACCTTAGAAAACAATTCCAAGAAGTAGAAGAGCGTATGCAAAACTATCAAAATATCATTGATTCAGTCCGTATCAGCGCGTTTTTTTGGTGTCTTCTACTAACGTTTATATTAGCCACTTGATAGCAAAATGGAAGACCTTCCTGAGCGTCAGCAGTTACAGAATGATAGCGCTTCCCCGCAGGAACTAATACGAGTACAGACAGAAGAGGTTAAGAAGATGCAAGCCAAAGTGATTGCACTGAAGAAACGCAAAGAAGTATTGAGTGCAACCGTAAAGGCTCAAAAACTGGAAGCCCAGGTAAAATCTACATCTAGGCAAGCACCCCCAACACCAATTCAACTTCCTTTGCGACAAATGAAAGAAATACAAAAGAGAGCAAACACACCACGCAAACCGAAGTTGGCTACCGATCAACGTGAAGCAGAGATAATGAAAGGCTTACCGCAAGATGATGAAGATGATTCATTTAAACTTGGTAATGAAAACACTTTGAATCAATCAACATTATTGGGTAATACATCAGATGAAATGAATCTAATGCCGTCCACACCTACTTTACCTAGCGGCGGTGGAAGTGATATGTTTATGAACATGGATACACCACAGCCCCAGTCACATGCACCACCTAAACAGCCCCAATTTGAATTTGAAGATGAACCTGAGAGTATTGATTTGACAATGCGTAAACCAACTCCACCAAGCTCACCTGAATTTGATCCACCACCTAAATTCAAGGATATTGAGAAAGCTGCCTCGACTACGCCGATGGCTACACCTAAAGAGAAGACACCAATTCCTGAAGCACCATCGGCAATACCAGAACGAGATACTACTCCTATGATTGAAACAACTCCAGAAATTGAAGCAGCTATAGTGAGTTATGAACTTCGTCTTTTGCATCTGATACTTACGATATCCAGAAATTGATATGGAACGGCTTCGGTGATGTGGTTAAACCAAAAGATGCGACATCAGAAAGTATGGACACGCCTCATGTTGATAGAATGGTTCAGCTATTGAGAGATGCTATCGAAATTGTTCCCGCAGCCTCACAACAGAACGAACCTGGATCACCAACTCACTCAATCTTGAGTATAGCATCATCACTTACGAACGCTAAGGAATTAAACAACCCTCAAACAGCCACAAGTGCAGCGTTACTACTGAAGTTGTTGACAACCTCTGAGAACAGACTGTCTATGCAAGAAGCCAAAGATCATCTTGGATTACTCATCCAGTCGAAAGGATGGCCAAGCGAATTACCAACTAAGTCCATCTACGCGTTAGTCGGTAAACGTCTCATCAAGCTGGATAGGAAGGGTGCATCTGCCACACTCAGATTCAACATCTAACATATCCTCTTCCATAATGTACAAATAATTCTGGATTTCCTCCTATCTCTCATTTAATCTATTGTATTAAAAAGCATCAAAAGAAGACAGTATGCATAGATATTTACTTTCTCCCCTCTGGTATCATACGTATCATACCTTATTTGAGATCTTTGAGGTCGACGTCGTAAGTGCGGATATTGCCGTCGGCTCCTGCCACAGCTATCGATTTAGCATCTGATGTCCATACTCCACCGATGAGACCGCCTGCTGCTACGTTCTAACAAGTCATTAGATATGCGTCATGTTGTTATATCAATATCTACCTTAATTGAAATATTGCGTGAAGGCTTCTCGATTGAGTAGAAGTAGATGTTAGTATCACTGTAATGTGTTAATAGAAAAACTTCTGTTATCAGAGATACCTACAGAGATGTGGTCATTGCCACTTGGGAGTCTGCTGTCCATTCAATAGAAGTAATTCTAGCTGTGTGGAATGCCCATGAGCTAGTCTTGACCTCGCCAGCGCGATCATAGACGGTTATCTTGCCATTGTTCTAGCAATGCATTAGCGACATTAGGAATCAACGAGATCATCATACCTCTCCAACAGCAATGAATTCACCACTAGGTGAAAAAGAGATAGCTGTGATTTCAGATCTACCTCTTTCGAGTGTTTTGGTTTCTTTACCTAAAACACCATTGGTGAACTCAAGAAGATGAACTTTACCTGTTTCGTCACCAACTGCAACTAAATCCTTGTCAAGGGTTATTGCACTTGGTGTGTACTTAACAGTTGTGGACTTCTTTGGAGCCTCACCACCTTGCTTGTACTCAACGATATCAATTGTGTCGTTAATGCAGGTTACCAAAGCGTAGTTTTCGTCTGCTGCCAGACCCTTAGCAAAGGCAGAGAGTGGGACACTAAGCGTGGTAGTGTTTGACAAAGCTGTATCAACAGCGCGAAGTTTGTCGTCAAATCCGACCGTAAGTGCACCAATGTCTTTGGAAATGCCCTTGGTGAACAATTTTGTGACTGATTTACCTGAGCCGCCCTCAATAGGCTTACATTCTCCTCCCTCTTTAGTGAATGAGCGAAGGTTACCGTCAAATGAACCACTAATTAAAGATGATTCAGTTTGCGCAAATGCTGTAATTGCACGCGTGGCACCGTGAATTTCTCCCTTGGTGATACTATCTTTATTGCTGACGTCGATCTCGTTAAGCGTTCCATTGACACCCAATGAAATGACCTTTTCGGAATTTGCTGGCCAGACTACACCGACTTGTTGGTTATCAATTCCTTGGCCAATTTCATATGAGAGGAGCTCGTTGTAAGTGTTTGCGCACCATACTTTGACGTACCTGTCGGCTGAGGTTGTTACAAACTTGCTGGAGTCGCTGGCCCAAGCAACGCCGTAGATTGAACCTGAGTGGGCCTTCAGTGATTCGTGTATGATATCACCCGATGAAGCATCAAAGACAAACAATGAGCCATCTGAACCGACACTAACGAATTTGGAATCGTCTGGGGAGAATCTAACATCTTGAACAAACTTTGTATGCTTTTTGATTGTCTTGACGAATTTGTAAGGTGTGCCATGGTAGAATACCAACGTAGAGTCGTCAGATGCAGTGACAGCTCTGAATGGACGCTTGTTGCGTATTGCTACGGCATTTCCTGGCTGTCTCTATGTCAAAAGCGGCTTCAAATTGATAAATTGACAAACCTTTGAGTGGCCTGTAATTTCACCGCAATTTGTACCGCTGTCCATCATAAATGCTCTACCAAAGCTATCTCTACCCTCACCAATTGCAATAATACGTTGAGAATCACCATCCCAATCGAGATCGTTGCTGTGTATTATGAGATCATTGATCTTGTAGATGAAATAAAACGCCTTACATTCTACCTGAAGTTACTTTCACTTCAGATTTCAATACTTTGTCTTCACCGACGATATCCCAGACGCGTACAGTACCGGTGACGTCTCCAGAAGCGCAGTAGAAACCAGATGGAGAAATACGGGCTACTGTGACTGGCTGTATGTGCCCCTGGTATACGAATGATTTTGAAGGGTTCTAGGTCGATGATATCAGTGCACGTATAAAGTGTTGAATATCGCTATTTACCTTTAAATCGCGTATCTGAGAGATGTTATTGAGAGTATTATAATAATAGCATATCACTCACGATAACAGATCTACCGTTAGCGTATACAAGCTTCTCACCCTTTGCATCGACTGCGAGCTTCGTAGCACTGCCTCTCTCGCTGTATGGGTTGATCGGATGTGTATCTTCTATAAAATAACGTTAAAATGGAAAACACGGTTCTTGTTTACTTACTTAATGAGATGGACATGATGATTGAAGAGATGGAAGAGAGATCTATCTGATTTGATAGAGATATAGTGTAATAGTTAGATATATAAACTCAAATTACTTATATCTGTTAGTATATCTTTAAATTCATACCATCATTATCTCACAATTGGAAATCACGCTACACGGCACAGACGCGCTATTCTATCGTAGAAATGGATAATCAACCATTTGAAACAGTTTTAGGCAAACTCCAGTTCATTGATATCAACGATCACTCATATGATAGCATTATTACTATAAAGTTTTGGTTCTTAAACTTAAAAGCTGCAGAGGAGGGCAACGATCTAGTAACAGAAAATAAACTAGACATTTTGGAAGTTGTCTCAGATCTATATCCTGACTTTGCGTTGCCTGCAATGTACTATGTCATGTGTATTAGAGAAACATTTCGTCAAAGAACTAGTCGATTACCCGTCGTAAGTGGAATCATATAGTCTAATCAAAACTAACAAACCAGACTCCAGAAATATTAGAAATACACCACGATATAGAGGCTGAGAAACTTGAAAGATCAAGACAAAGCTCCCTAAACTGGATGAATAACGCATTTATAAATGATTCACAACCTGATCTTTCATTCGTAGAGCAGTTGGTGAATGACTATGAGGGTTTCTATAGACAGCGTCCGCTCATTCCTCAGTTACCTCGCACTTTCCATCGTACATCTGACCGTCAGAGAAAGGTAGAGGTCGATAAAAGGTTGAGATTCATTGAGCAGTTCATTGAGCAGAATGAAGACAAAGTAGACAAAGTCGAAACCAGGCATATCCTTCGAAATAGTCTTGAGCAGAATGAAAATAGAGAAGATCTAATTAAATCTAAACCTGCTCTTAGAAATAGTCAGAGGAACGAAAGCCAAGAAGAAAAAAAGGAAAGAGCTTTAAAAGATTATATGTTGACCAATGACTTCAGTGAGCATCATGACATCATTATTTCTCTCAAATCTCGTAGCATTTCGACGGAACATCTAAACGCCTCTGAATACCTCGTTCATGTAGGGAAAGAGTATGCTGATCGAGTTCGTAAATCTTATCAAACACAACTTTGGCAAAATGATTCTAATATAATTCTATCGATAGATTCCTGGAAGTTGAAAGATTCAAAACACGATATAATGACAATACATTCAACACCATTAGGCACTGATGAAAGCAGATTGGTACATACCTGCATGAAAGATGGTCGAAATGATATTTTGAATTCTATTTCTCGTCCCAGTAAAGCAAACGTTACTACTCTCGTAGTAGATCATTCATCTTCGTTTCCTTATGTGAAACATTCGTATGATATTCTCTTGCAAGACGTACTCTCGGCATATAATTCAGCATTCGTTGCTTGTCTATCAGCTGCAAAGTTAGATGGTGTCGTCGATACATTGATCAAACTGGTAAAAACACTTCATAAATCAAAGCTTATAAATCATGTTCTGAAGAAGTTACTCGAGGTTCGGAAACAAGACTTACCTAAAAAACCATCCCACTGGCGGTATTTTGGTGTTTTTCATTCAGCAACGCAAGTATTACATGTATTAGAAACTATTTTAATGATTGGCGAGAGTAAATCCGCGAAAGTTAGGCAGATTTTCGATAATAAAATTGGTCAATTGTTAAAAGCCAATCTCGAGAAGTTCATCTTAGGCTTGCACTTTATTACCAGAGTGTTCTCACCGTTCGATTTCGGTTTTGAAATGCTCGAAAGTCCCAAACTTCGACTTGATCAAGTGCATACTCTCTACTGTTGGACGATCCAAACCATGGCAGACTTGATGCGTTCTCAATCTAAGCTCGAGTTGACGTGGTCGTTTGATGCTCCTTTGATTTTGTCAGCTTTTGCTGAGAACTATAGGTGGTTAAGAACCATCAACAACGTGAAAACATCAATAAATCCACCTTTTAATACACAGGATATTGATTTACACTGGTTAGCGTTATTCCTTAATCCTAGTAAGTGTCAAGTAATGAAATATATAAATAGTTAACCTCAATAGATATGCAATTGTCTGATTTCCAAGCACCATTCGCAGATGATCTTACAAGATCACTACGCGGAAGATTGAGTCCTTCGTCTTCATCGAACTATTTCTTTTCAATATCTGAAGCAATTAAGAACATGTATATCGCAACGCATCAAAACATCAGTAATGAAGATACAGCTAACGTACAGTATACAATTAATTCAGATTTATACCGATACATAAGCAAAAGTGGAGAGTTCGCTAGATCTGAAGGCACTGATCCTTTCGTATGGTGGTCCGAACCATCAAGGTCTAAAAGCCCGTTAGCATTCGTTGGTGCGCAGCTCCTTGGTACAAGACCTACCACGATGACAGCAAAGAGATACAACAACACGTTGAGATGGTCGATAGACGAACCATCAGAGACTGCAGATTCTGACTCTATCTGCGAAAAATTATTGCTCCGAGAGTACTTCAACGATGAAGAGAACGTTCCGGATATATCAGGTGATTTCTCTACCGCCGAACGCACACAATTTATACCTACCACTGTTCTGGATGCCAAGGTCAATATTTCAAAAGGAAATGGAACAGATTATACATTAGAGCATACGTCTACTGACTTCGAACCATCCAAATTGCTTGAAGAAGTTGCAGTAGAATTATGTATGAACACAGATTATATTGAGACATTTTTGGAACCTTAACCTTATTTGTTTAGATTTGTAATATTCAGTGTTGTATAAAATATATTTACAATCAGAAGCTAAACTTCGTCGCTGAAGATGTCCACTCCCCAACTTGCGCTTGGGTCTACGATACGGTTGGTAGGTGTTTTATAGGCTTCTTCTTGTAGTGCGTCAAATACGTCCTGTGGGAATTGTATATTCATCGCTGTGATGATATTAGACTAGAAATTGCGACAGAAAATCAAACTAACCTTCTAAGTTTTCTTGGAGATGCTGTTTATTGGTTGATCTTGGTAATGGATTTATGCCACGCTTCAAATGCCAGGCTAAAATGAGTTGAGTAGGAGAGACATTAAGCTTGTTGGATAACTCGACTATCAGTGGTTCTTTGCTATAGCTTGCCTGCTTCGCGTCAGAACCAAGCGGAGAGTACGCCTGGGTTAAGATATCATTCTCCTGGTTGAACTTAACCAAATCTGGCTGTGAACAGTGAAGATTGATTTCCACTTGATTAACTACTGGCTTTTCCTTCGCAAAACCAAGCAAATTCTTAGTCTTACCGATAGAAAAGTTACTAACACCGATTTGACGAACTTTACCCTCTTTGACGAGATTCTCGAGCGCTTCCCAAGTATGCTGGAGGTTTTCCATCGCTTCTCTGTCAATAACAGGAAGCTGCTTTCCATCCCTCTTCACAGGCATTTTGTCGAGCTTCTTCTCAGGATTTGAGAAGGCAACTGGCCAGTGTAAGAGGAGGAGATCCATATAAGGTGTCTTGAGCTTCTTTAAAGAATCTTCTGCACTTGCTTTAACCATTGTCGGATCCCAGAAACTGTTCCATGTCTTGGACGTCAGCCAGAGGTGTTTCCTGTCAATTCCCTTCTTTTCAAGAACCTCACCGACAATGTCTTCATTTCCGTAAGCAAATGCACCGTCTACGTGTCTATATCCGAGGTCGAGCGCGTTGCTCACAGTTTCTGCAGTTTGCTCGCGCGGGACCTTCCATAAGCCAAACCCAATTGAGTTTATTACGGATCCGTTTGCTAGTCTAAAATTCTTAGGAAGTAATAGTGGTGATCTTGCCGTCATTGTAGTAATATAACCTGTTCACAATACGAGAATGGATAAGAGTGCATTACGTCATTTCAAAACTAAAAAAATCAAAGATATAAAATCGTTAGGATACACATATGCATAATATTTATTGGTTTGCGTGAATCATAACAAATTTAAGCTTGAGCTACTGACGGGCATCCTCTTCGACCCATTCTCTGTCCTGTGAATTATCGGTGAGGAATTCCCCAAGGTCGTCGTCGTTTGCCTCGTCTTCGTCAAAAAGATGTTCGAGCGCTTTCGCTGCTCTAGATCCAGCTGGCGGATACCAGTCTTTTTTGTTTGATGGCTGTGGACTTCGTTAGCCTTACGGAAGGTAGACAAAACAATGACACACGTTGGCTTCCATAGTTTCGTCAAACAGCGCATATCCTTTAAAGCTTTCAGTATTATCTGAGCTCATAGTTGTAGTGATGGTTTCTGTTGAGAAAATCGCACCTGCTGACACAGATAAGTCTCGTGGTTATGATATAAAACTTGTCTCTTATTGCTACGTATTGAGCTATTTGCTTTTTGATTACTGTTTGGGTGATAGGTAGTGTAGAAACCGTATGCGTTTTCTGAACCTTACTCCAAATTTTCATTTCACACGAAACACTTTTCGCCCGAAATATAGCGACATCGATTGAACAGGTGGCAGAAATCAAGCGTGATTTTTATAAGTGAAAAACTGCGTATTTGTATAATGTTATTGGACTTAAGCTACAAAAATTTTCCCCCTTGATACAGAAAAATGACAAACACTCACAGATACATTTTATAATACATTCAGAAGTTGTTATGCTAAGCTAATCCACTTAGTATTTCACCTCCTCATATAGTTGTAGTTTCTTGGACGTTTTCGTCAAATATCTGGGAAGGAGACGCGACAGGTAGTGTGGGTCTTTTGGGGTTATAGCATATCTCAAATTGTACCAGCTGTGCTTTAAGTTTACAGCTACTAGCTATTTCTCAATCATTGTCTAGATCTTTTCTGGTATTTCCGGAGGTTCTGTTCAATTTATGGATGTAATATCAGATCGGTTTAGACAGTCCCTACGAAAAGCGAATGTCCTTTAAGTTATAGGGCGCGCTCTGGGAGATGTATCATATGTAGCTGCTGAGGCTCTCGTTGGTTTTAATAGTAAGATAATTTGGTGAAAACTACCATCCCTGTATGTTTCAAATATGTTCAGGAACGGAGAACGAATAAATCTACTATTCACAATATCTATATTCAAAGGCTTGATTGAGAAACTTAAATACTCCCATACTTCTCTTTACTTTAGATTTGTATGGTTTCTTAATTTACATTATGCGGCGTTTCAATAATTTATCACACAATTTAGATGTACCATAAAGGGTAATATAAAACAAAAAGAACAAATACATGAAAATACATCAATACATTAAGAGTTCATTAGTAATACATTATTAATCCATCATATTCGTAATTCGTCCGAAATGAAAAAAGCTTGACGAGATACGCAACCGCTCTTCCTTACTTGTTACTCTCCGTAAGGTACCAAACCTATCGGCATAAAGAACGCGTAGTCTATCATAGCTGCTACCTTTCTCCCATTTAACTGCTATTCCTCGCAAAGGCAAACTAGCAAGCTTTGCGATGATAGGTTCCATATCTTGCTCGTATTTGCTTTGCTGCTCAAACACTACCGCAAATATCTCTAGACTTGGTAATTTCAATATTATCTCATCTAATATTAACCTGTCGCGATGTATGTCATTTGAGGAGTATAACCTTAATGTTAACCCTTTCAAAGTGTTTGAAGCAGGGATAAATTCTGTTAATGAAAGGTCCCCAAATGGTCTTGCAACTAAAGCATTGCTAAAGTTCTCCATTTCACGACTAATAAACCGTAGATCTATTTCTAAGAACTGTAATTGATCCATACTTGCTATCTCATTTGGTAGTTTTACTGTATATTCGCAATCTACAGTTAGCTTTCTGTAGATTATGTTAGACATGACGTTTGATTATGACGTTTACACATACTTTACATTCTCGATTACCCTAGGTGATTTTAATATTGATATACCATCTTTATCAAATTTAGAAACAACCAAAGTCTCTAATACAGTTATGCTGCTAATTGACGTAAATTGTTTGATTAGAGTGAGATTGCGGATGTCTTCATGTGCCAGATATGTTATTATCTCAGCAATAATCTCGTATGGTAAACTTATCATGATAGTGAATGATCAGCCTTTGTGAACGTTAAATGACCTCATCATTTTCCGTTTATGGGAATAGCGGACATTAACAAAAGTGGGCTGCATCGCCGATCCAAGACAAAGTCAAGACTATAATGCAATTAAGTGGGAATGCACTCTAATGGTTTTATTTAATAAAAAATATAGTTGTTGCGTGGTATATTTGCCTAAAAAGATAATTCTTCATTTGCGTTATGGCCAAATCTACCAATATCTAGGTGACACTTCGGGATTAAATTTGTCAGAATGCATTGAATTTGTATTGTTAAACCACACTCAATTGCAACCAACTCATTTATTGAGCTAATTTCTGATGTGTCTCGCCTAGTCTGGACGAAATTAAGTAAGGCCACATCCGTTATGTCTTTCTTGAAAGATATCTTGAGAGCTCTCAAACGTGGCCAGAAGAGATCAAACATGCCACTGTTGAACGCGTCGGTAAAGGTTGTTGGTGGAACTCTACTCAGATCTAATATTTCTAGCTTGTTAAGTTTGGCGAAGAAGCTAGAATGGATTGTGTCAGGATACCTCAAAATAATAAGGCTTCCTTCAAGTGAAAAGTAAATCACATCCGCACAGAGCGTGGGTCTGTGGAGCTCGAGATCATAATTCTTTATACTGACTCGTCTTAAGACAGGTGACTTGAAGTATTGCAGCAAAAAAGGACTTGTGTTGTCAAGATGAATGGTGTGTAATAACGGAAACATGAAGTTGTTTTCGTCGTGATCATAATCTCGTGGACCTAACATCAGACCGATGTTGGCGCCTGTAATGTAAAGAGTTTTCAGAGCCTGCATTTTGGGAACTTCTATACCGAGGAAATACCTCAAATGATGGGCATCCAGGTTAGAAAACTGACGAAAGTCCAGCGTAAGATGTTTGATCTTCCAAAAATTAGCTGTTATACTCTATAAAATTTTCAGTGTTATGCTTCATCGCAAAATCATATCATTACTAACCGGTATTGGAATGACAGACTCCAATGTGAGCGAAACGCCAGCTACGTGGCTGACTATATCGGTTGGAATGCATAATCGATGTCCGTCCTTGGATACTAACTTGAGATGTTCGATATTCACATTATGCGATGAGGTCTCAAAATTCCTATACTCTGGACCAAGAGTAGGTTGAGTGTTGGTTACTAACGTAAGCCAGGAAACTGATCTATCGTGGAAAATGCTTAGTAACTTGCAAAATATAAAATAGTCACTCTCTAAATTCAAGTTGCTGATTCTATTATTTGAATGTCTCAAATTTCTGTAAAAGTGTCCTGGGAAAATTGGTGGCCATTTAGTGTTCCTAAGTTTAAAAGTAAAACTAGAAAATGCTTTAGGGTATACCAACAAAGACCCCCTCCAGTGTCTATTTAGAGATAGCATGTATCCCACATTACTTTCATGATGGTTAATTATCAGGATATCGACTATCGTGTAGATAATATCAGGGTATAAATTGCTAGCTTTATGAGCCATCGTTTTTTTGAAGAGGAAAATTCCTCTGATTGTATTATATGTAAGAACAATGGTGAACTTTATGATGAAGTTTCTTTGTCATAAGGCGATGTACTATGATTTATGATTATACATGCATAATGTAGCGCAAATATATCAACTATACCCAAAATAATAGATGTTTTCCTGTATCTGCGCAATTTTGTTTCTACTTCACAAATAAGTCGATCTGAGGTAAACTACAAACAAAGCCAGTCTAAGAAAGAGAAAAAGAAAGAAGATTCAAGATAAATCTTCATCCTAAAGTGTATTAAGTATGCACCTCTCATAAGTCTATGCTCTTGTTCAAAACGGCCACGGCCAAGTGTCGTAATGACCTCACAGAATTACACAAGCGACGCTATAGAGTCGAGGGTTACACCAGGTGCAGGTAAGTTTTTATTGACGGATATACCACAGACTAATAATATTAGGCATTGGTGTATTCTCCAAACGTCAACTCGAAGCAGATGAGAAGCTATACCAGACAAACGATGAATACTTTAGCGTAATTTACAGAAGATATTGGAAGGAAGTATGCGCTTCTTGTTACAACTACGATAGAGGAATAGACTGGAAAGTGAAAGAGAATAACATAGGGCTTGCCTTCTGTACAGAGGACTGCCGGAATACTTTTATGAGTAAACTTGATGATGATATGCGAGTATTTCTCGCTAAAGTCGAAGAGTACGCAAGGAAACGCAAGCAGGTCAGGGAAATACCTGACCTGGAAGACGATATCATTCCGGATAAAAGAATTATAGAAGAATCCTGGAATGATTCTCAACATACTCTATTGGATATCGTTGACGTAATTAACTCTGAGAAAATTAATAAACGTCAGCGGAAATTCATAAATGAAATCCAAGCCGCTGGTTTGCAAGCGTATGATGAAGATAGTGAGGCAGATATAGATAGTATCAAGAATCTAACCAGTTATATATTGACAAATATTCAATCGCCGTCTACAGTTGCACAAACGCTCGAGTTAAGTACTACACTAGAGCCTTATACGCTCAGTAGAATGTTAGATCAACAGGTCAATCACTATTTGGCGATAGTTACCCTCTTGCCACCATCATTGTCGAGATTTGCATTAGCTGCGCCATCGATTGCAAAAATACTGGCTGTTGATCGTTCGAACAGTTTTGGTATATGGAGCGGAAGCTCAGATAAAGCCTCCGCACAATCAGAAGAGCGCAGTGAACTACTAGGTTCAATGCTCGTGCCTTCTCTCTCACGTTTCAATCACTCTTGCTCTCCTACAGTCTCAAAGTCGCGTTATAGAAAAACATGGACATTCTCTACAACTAACACCGTAAACAAGGATTCTGAACTTTTCATCACTTATCTAGGTGGTGATGAAAGTATGTTGAAGGTGGAGGACCGCCGTCAGCGTTTAATGAATGGATGGGGATTTGTTTGTGAATGCTCAAAGTGCACTAAAGAATCAAACAAATCGGATTAATGTACTGCAATTAATTTATTACTTGTAATCATTTCACTCATGGGATAAAATTTCATCAACTAGATATTCTCTGATTGCACTCGAGTTATTGTTGTGGGCGTAAGCTTCTTCAATATCCCATTCAAGGAATCTCCTAGTGATATCCTGAGCAACTAACAGCTCGTCTGTAGGGTCCTCATCGAGTGTATCTGTAGCTACTTCATCTAGTGTGTTCGATAAGTAAAGTTGTCTGCACGTCATTAAATATTCTTCATTGAGATCATCAAATCATTACCTACGATATGTGTCTGGCTTTATCGACAATATCAATAGGTATGTTGTTTGACAATGCACAGTCAAATGCTCCAGAGTCTTCGCTGAGTTCCAATTCCAACCTGGCTCTTTGATCAGAGGGCACAACACTAGATATATTTATCTCACTTATGCAGGTGCGTTAATGTTGTATTGCCTTCGTCATTCTTGCTTATTTTTACACGCATATGTGTAATAACTACCGATGCAGCCAGTTTGATATAAGAATTTTCCCATAGATCTTGATGAATTCTAATTAAGTGCACTTATAATTTAATATCCTCACCATTGAAATGTGTAGTAGCAATTATGAATGGACAATTTTCACCTCTTCTCATCAAGTAATTGATACTTGCTGCAAATATACCAGCGCCATCTATTTTGAGTGTAAAATTGCTAGACAGAATAGATGCAGACAAACCAGAAGGCAGGGTACCCTTTCCAAACTCGTCCCACAAAACGAGTGAACGGCCAGTGGCATTACGCATCGCGTGTGTGACCTGAGCCAAGTCGATCATGAAAGCTGACTGCATCTGGAGGGGTTTTTAGATAATCCTCACTGCTTCTAGATGTTTACTTTTGATGATGATTCTCTGCACATTACACGTGTGAACACTACCATATGAAAACACTAGTTTGTAGGACACTAACCCGCTTACATTTATCAATGATGCCAATCGTTGCAGACTCAGCTGGAACATAACTAAAATGTCAGCTAAATAGCCAGAACTTGATGTAACATACCACCCAATTTGAGCCAGTATCACAATCAAACCTACTTGTTTGAGGTACACACTCTTACCACTGCCATTAGCACCTGTGATTATCATCGTAGAGTGAGCGATATCCTGCATCTTATTCTGAACGACATTAGACAAAGTTCCGCTGCGCTGTTTATTCGGCGTCATCGGGACTACTGCACTGAAAGGCGTTATTTTTCTACTTTCAATAATATCGATATCATCGTCGATTTTAACCCTCATCTCGAGGGATTTCTTGAGATGGGTGTCATTCTGTACGAAAGTCCTCACACAGAGCTCCTGGAGAGGATGCCGACCATTCGATATGCGTATCATAGGATTGTCCGTCATGAGTGGCTTGCTGAACCCATGTACTTCGCTAACGCGTGTCATAGCAAGTAATCTATGGAGGTTGAGACGAAAATACATTGATAGTGAAGTTTACAAACACATCTAATTCGGAAATATTCTCCGCCATTATTGACAACTCATTAGAGTAACCAAGGACATGCTGCGTAAGCTCGTATATAATTTCTGTTTCCCGGTCTGCGATAAGTGTTGCCATATCACCCAGATGGTAGTCTATGCATCGACTGTCATGGAAATCTTCCACAATGTGCTCTTATTCACCTAATTCGCGCATCCTGTCTGACTTGAAATAAAGCGTCTGCGGGAATTTGGTTACGAACGCAGGTCAAATCATTGCAGACTGTACCATTTCTGTCATGAACTACATACTAAGGTCACGAACCAAAGGGTTGATACCATCTTACCTGATATTCCCAGGCGATTTCAGCACCTATCATGTCCCTGTCTTCAATATTCTCATACCCATTATTAACAATATCAAGAGCTATTAAATACCCGATTTGAGGGAAATATACGACATTAATCTCGTTTGCTATATTCGACGGTGTTTCTTCGTGTATTTCTTGAGCTACTTGCACTAAGAAACTGTCTAGTTCATTAAATTGCTGGCGAAGATTGTCTTAATTATCAGTCAGTTAACAAGTGATAGAGGACCTTTGCTCACCAAGCTCATCATCCAATCCAGTGGTAATTATCAGTCGGTGTTCCGCTTTTGAGTCATTGAAATCAATAGTAGATGTGATGACATTTTTGACAGTGTGACAAATATTTATGTCAAATGCTTTGAGTATCTGATATCTAAGTCATTGAACTAACTGGGTTTATGGTACCCACATCTGTTATCAACTGCTTCGACTCTAAAGCAGCAAGTGCAGCTATACCTTCGTAGAGCTCCTCCGTGAGAATTACTAGATTCACCAAACACTTGAAGGACCTTATACTTGTTTTACCACTTTTCATAGAATTCAGTACGTGCATGACATTCACTCCCTTGCCGACTTTGGAGAGACTCATTCGCATATCGTTCACAGCGCTGACATTTTGAGGGTGTATCAGTATAGCTATTGCGTCGAGTCTGTCATTGATATTACTTATGTCACAGCTCGGTTGTCTTAATCTCCTCTGTAAAAGTTGAGTACCGACGTGGGTTTTTGTTTCAGAAAGGAGATTGAAGAGTGACAGGCCCTCTTTGCTATTGTTGGAATGTATGGATGCATGCTGCTCACTAGAAAATACGCTGAGGGCCATTAGCGCATCATTGTCGATCTGCATTACTTTATCACTATGGTAATTGAGACCAGTTACAAGTACGCAACGGTAAGGCTCACATCTGCCATGTCTCTAAACCAGACAAGTCGAGATCTTCAACGCGACAGCTCGCTGATGTGATGGTAGTAGCAGAGTCCTGAGCTATATGACGTTGAAGCACCAGAATAAGACATCCTATAGCTCCTATTGATAGCCTGTAGTTAAAATTGATAAAGCCTGAAAGGTACATCTCCTTAAGTCGGCTATCCATTGTATCACTTTCCATTTGGCCCAAGGGATCCACCCACGATGGCTGTGAAGTGCTATCTAAGTGACTGTCGCTGCCGATGCTCAATTGTAATATGCGAGATTTAGAGCTTTCGTATGAGAACTCCTTCCAAGGTGCTAGTTGAAGCAGAGCATCTGGCTTTACGTTCGCGATAAATAACTTGATAACTTTTATGAACCCATCTGGTACTGTCAAGGAGCAGTAAATCTCGTTTGGCTGGAGTTGATGCAATACTAAAACCAATCAGTAACGTCATCGGCGGGATATCTCCTGACTGCTCATCGCGAGATCGTAATTCGGACTATCTGATGTGTCCTGCATCACGTATATCTTACGTGTCAATGTATCGAAGTATGCAGCTGCCAACTTGTCCTTGTTTAGGTTGAAAGTGACTGTTATCTGAGGGGGAGAGATGAGAGGATATAGACGGAAACGAAACAAATATACCTTTTCTATGACAATATTATCCACTTCTGTATCGACGTGTGATATCTCCGATGGTGTATCTCTGTCATAGCTCCCGTATCTCTCGTATCTCTGATATCTCTGGGATGACATGATGGTCGCGTATGAGCAAGATGTGAATTAATACAAAATAAATAAATATACAACATTACTGAACTTCTAAGTGGTATATAGCTTATTGTTCGTTGCTTGGGCTGCTCGCTTGCTTCTTGTTCAATTCTTCTACCTCAGTCGCAGTGAGGAATCTACCACCAGCACCTCTAGGACGTCTCTTAGCATGTCTATGTCTCGATTCGTGGAGGTATGGCTGGATAAGTCGTTAAATTATGACGTAGAATGAAGGAAGACATACTTTTCTCTCCTTCGAAATCCTATTGAGCTCTTCGAGACGCTGTCTAGTTTGCCTCCTCTTGAGTATTCTATGGTACTGCTTAGCGTTCACGTAAAGTGGCTCTTCATCGCCCGTTTTGTCGAGAAATTCTTCGTTGAGGGGGACAGCAACTGGCTCTTCAACTTGATGGCTGTAGAGCGTGTTATCCTCTACCTGTTCATACTCCGCTTCGTATGATTCATCCTGATCATCTTGATAGCCTGCGCTGGAGTCATCTTTGTTGTCTTCGTTGTAGTCGAAATCTCTATCCTGTACGGAATCGCCGTTTGAGCTGATTTCTTCCGGCAATAGAGAGCGTAATGTTGGTAGTTCTATAGTCGAGTTAATATACCTTCACGATTGCTATTCAGGATAACGGACCATTGTAGTTTTGTCCGCCGATTACAGGCAGACCAGTGTATGCACTATTCTGTGGCCTTTGGGCGTAGACAGCGTACAAGTCCCCAGTTGTGAGGTCATCGAAATTGTTGCCTGCAGCCAAGCTCATGATAGTATTTGATCAAGATAACGATCAGAGAGAAAAAGTATTCGCTGATTTCGTCCGAAGTAATCCATATAACAAAAATACGCGATAATTATTTTTTTCTCTCTACTTATTTCGCTGGCATATCAAACACCTTTAAAGTACTCTTTTACGGGTTTTATGACGCTTCTATGACGCTCCAAAGTGGACATACTGTAATGCGAATGTATTAAGATAAAAGTATTAAACAACACAATTAATTACTCCTCTTTGGGACTATCAGCACGAGCATCACTATCACTTGGTGCAGCTGACGTGTTATTTGAGGCAACATTCTCCTGTGGTTGCAAATTTTCTTGAGAAGTAGATTGTTTTGACTCCTTCTTGGCCTTTTTCTTACCAGTTTTCTTCTTCTTTGGGTAATCCCACTCGTATAATGGTATAAATGAGTCAATGAATCCAACATCCTCAAAAAGATTAGGGAAAATCCAGACACCTGGACTGGCCGTGAACATAGTGATGATATAAATGATTAGCCTGATGATAGCGATAATGAAAAAGACTCCAATTAAGCCGAGTACAGCAACCGAGAGATACCAAACACCAATTCTCAAACTGGTAGGCCAGAGAGGGAACATAACACCGATGAAGATCACAGCAACCAAAGCAGCTGAGCCTAACATCGCCCTCAATTGTGATCCAGCATACAACCAAACGTAGTAGTCGTCTGGGTTGAACAACTGCTGGTTGTTGATTTTGAGCTCCCTAGGCGAATCCTTTCCGCCAATTGGATTGCCTCTGTCAACACGAAGGAAGTATGCGAATGGTATAATGCTATGGAGGACCTTGTTTGCATCTGCCTCAGTCGTGATTGGTGGTACATTCTTCAACTTTGCATAGCCAGGTGAGAGGAGCGCCTTTATAGCTGATCTTCCTATATTCTATTAGATTAATAGCAAAACCCAGTGTGGACACACCCTTAAAGTACTCTGCGCGCTTTCCGGAGAGTGCACCATTACGTATCTTCATCCCAGACTTCTCTCTGAGGAAGCTGACAACATTTTTGAGATCGACGGGGCTATTTTATTGTTAATAAATTGTTATATTCCTACTTCCACGCTCTCCTCACATCTTTTGCTGTTGTTCCATAATCGCTGTGTTGGCAGTTTGAAACAAAAAGCGTAACGTGGCCTTGGAATGCAATTTCATAGCTGGCATTTCCAGGATGGAGAAGAGCTACAAATTTCAAATACAGCCAGAATTTGAACAGAAACAGACGCGTATGTCTTGTATCTGATAGCGTGTATGACAGTTACATCTTAGCAATACCGTAGCTACATAGACATACATTCGATATTAGTTTATTGATTTTTAAATAGGAAATGTGTACCTCACAAATCAGGTCTGAAAACGACATCCAAGAAACGCTTTCGTAATCAGGAAATGGCGGGACTAGAGAAGACTCTAGAAAAGCCTCTAGTCAGTCGTAGCTATCGATTAACGAAAACCTATCTGAAAGTTATCCTCGATAACCCAGAATCGAGGCGGATATTTCAATTCTTATGCTTGAATTTCAGTTATATGTTCATACAGTTAGTCTATGGTGTATATACCAACTCATTGGGGTTAATATCAGATGGTACGTTCATATTGTAGTTGTTGTGATATGCTGATAAGCTTATAGCTATCCACATGGGTAAGTTAACGTATGTTCAACTAAGCAACACTATAACGGCGCATAGCATTCGACAATTTAGCTATAGCAATCGGATTATTCGCTTCTATTATGGCCACTTGGAAACCAGACTCTGACTTCACATATGGGTGTGTTGATTTAGAATTGGAATGATATATTCTAACGAAACACAAGTTATGGACGTGTAGAGACACTTAGTGGTTTTGCAAATGGCGTCTTACTTATCCTAGTATGTTTAACTTTCCTAGAGGAATGTTTCTAACCTAATCAAGATATCGTTATTCATCATTTTTGAGGTATGACAAGCAAGTGGTGTTAATTTCGCACTAACAATTACATAAGAGTATCGAAAGAATTATAAACCGTGCGTTTGTCTTTGACCAAATCGATTGTTCTCACTTACACACGAATGCAGCACCTGAAATGGAAGTTTCACAACTTATGGTTGTCAGTTTAGGTGGTTTATTCGTTAATCTCTTTGGAATGTTTGCTATGGGAGGAGTAAGTCGCTTCCGCTATCATATGCGCTTGTTGAATGGAAAATAGCACCATCATCACCATCACGGACATGGCCACTGCTCGCACTCCCACGATCATGGGCAAAAGCATGTGCATTCGCCAATACAAGCAGATAGTGAGTATCTAGCTAGGTATTTATAATATTGATGTCAGCTATAGCAGTTCATTCATATACAAATGATGAAAGTAAACCTTTAAAGGCTTCCGCTATTATGTCACATAGTCATGCAACTGAAGAACCTAAATCGCAAGATTATGGTGGCTTGTTCGGTAGTGCCGGAAGTCACGGCGTGAGTTGCCCTTTCTGCAAATAATTCACCGCTCAATCTATCTCAGCATGATGATGAGCATGCCCATCACCACGAACATTCACATACCCATACAGATCATCACAAGGAGCACTCTCATGATCATTCACATAGTCACTCACATTCACATTCTCACTCACACTCACACTCACATTCACATTCTCACTCAAATTCGCACCATTCCCACAATATGCGAGGTGTATTCCTGCACATACTCGCTGATACCATGGGATCAGTGGGTGTTGTAATCAGCACACTAATGATCCAATATTGGGGTTGGACAGGTTTTGATCCCATTGCATCTTTGTTGTAGGTGTTGACATCTCTGAGGAACTTCTCTAACACAGCCTAATAGCATTGCTGTGCTCATTATTGCGTCTGTCGTACCTTTAGTTATCGATTGCAGTAAAATTTTGAGTTTAAATGTTGGAGAAGCGAATGAGGCAAATATTAAAAAGACATTGACAGATGTGGGTGTTGACGCCTTTAAATTGATCTAATATTGATGACAACCCAGCTACTAAACATTGAAGGTTTAGATTCATACGAAAATGCCCGTTTCTGGCCTCAGGATGATTCAACGCTCTTGGGAGCGTTACATATAAAGATAAAATCACAAAATAATACTTTCGATCACGCTCATCGTCAGACTAAGAAACACAGCAGTGTTGAAAAAGTTGTCGACAAGGTTGAATATAAGTTACTCAATGGTATACCAGGATTGAAAGATGTAGCAATCCAAGTTGAACCCAGTTTGTAGATAATAAAATACAGAATATAAATTATATTTGTTGTTTTTTATTTTATATTTGCCCTAATGGATCCGCGCCGCCGTCAGTGATTCTTATCTGTGCTCACCGACGATGGATGCAGGACCGGCGGGAAGCAGCAAGAATTCCGATATGGAGGTGAAGCCGAAGAAGACGAGAAACAGGCAGGCCTTGAGTTGTACTGAGTGCAAGCGGCGGAAGATCAAGGTACGTCGTCGATTTCGCCGGTGAGAATGATGACTCAGTATGTAGTGCGATAGACAGCAACCCTGCGGCGCATGTACCAAGCGACATGAGGAACACAAGTGTGTGTGGGAAGAGAAGAAAGTTGTGAGTTTTCACCCTCTTTTGGCGTAACTCTAATAAAGTTTAGATAAAGCCAAGGTAGGGGTTATGGCGGAAATTATAGAATCCCACTAAAAGCCTTACAGTAGGACAAATCACCCATATTCAGACCAGGTCGCTTATCTACAGGAGCAACTCGCCGAGACACAGTCTTGTTTGCGGGGATTAGCCAGCTTTTTGCGATTCTCTGGCATACCAGTACCAAACAATATGTTTGACAATATGTCACGCCTCTCTCCTCCAAGTTCTGCGTTTAGAATGAACGATTTGGATTTGGAGGATGAAGAAACAGCTGCAGCATTCACGTTAGAAGGTATAGCTATGGGACGTAGACCAGACGATGATTTCAATGATGAGGCAGCCCTGCTGAGGCGCAAGAGAACGGACTCCGTCAATTCCCTCAGCAGAAGGACAGTGAAAGACACACCTGCACCCTTTTCAGGCGGTAACTCAGCACCGCTCTACTGTGATCCACCATCCGTTACAACTTCTCTGGATCAAAATGCTGGTTTCCCATTTACGCCAAAACCACAAGAAAGTATGTTCATGACAAAGGGAATATTGCAATATTTGCCAAATAAAGCCAAAGCAGACGTTTTGATAACATTCTATTTGCAACACCTCGAGTGGCTACATAAACCGCTCCATGTACCTACGTTCATCAGTGAATATAACCAATATTGGCAAGATATGAGCATTGGTTTTGCTACTGACAATATAGATCCAAAGTGGATGTCATTATACGCAAGTGTATTGTGTGTTTCTACGCATTTTGGCGGTGAATATTATTACAATAATGACCGGGTATTCGGCAATCCTGAAGTAGAAGCACGAAACGAGAAAGAAGCTGATATTTATTATCAGATTTCACGATCCGCTCTCTCACAGAGCGATTTCTTGATCAATCATTCATTAGAAGCTATCCAAACTATCATCGTAGGTCGTGTTTTCGCAGTAAGTTTGCAGCTAATGATATTTAAGATCCTAGGTTTATATCTTCACAACAAAAACCAAACTGAAACTCACTTGATATTGATGAGCACTGCTAGTATGTTCCATGTTTGGGACTAAGAGCAAGCTAACCCTTTCTTTAGTTAAGATGGCACAGTTGATGGGACTATCGCGCATACCGGACGAGAGTGCGGGTAGTGAGACTCAAGGTAATGTTGTCGAGAGAGAGGTATGCTGAACCTTGCTGTTATAATCAACTAACATCGATTCAGATGAGTCGACGCCTTTGGCACTCACTCGTCTTCCAAGATTCTTTCAATGCTTCTGCTAGTTCTTACAGCTACGCCATACATGTTGATCAGGTGTGTACTCAAAATTAAGTTTATCCTGACTAAAGATGATATAGATGACGACAAGCGTGCCTGCCAACGTTGATGATGACGAATTGATTGCCAATACAGCCATTCCTTTCGTTCCAGATAGTGTTTGGACAGATATGAGTTACTTCAGGAGCAAATTGGTGGGTGAAATGAGAATAAGACTGATAAAATCTTAACGAAATCTTAGCATTTTGCAAATATAACAGTGAGGAATGATAATTCAATTTGGACTACTCTGACTTAGACAATAGCGTAAAATTGTAGATACACTCAACCGGGATAGTAAAGGCTCCTATGAATTCGTAATTGAGATGGATACAGAGTGAGTTCAATTTTCGTTCGCTGTGTAACCAACAAAGCTCATCATCTATAGGTACCGAGCTGCTCTTGATCGTATTCCGTCGTTCTTAAGGCTAGATTTGACAGATTATGACCCGAAGGTGCTTTTAATGAAGCCATGCAGAGCTGTAAGTAATTATCTAAACAAGGCTATGTTTTACTCATAGTCTAATAGTGGGAACGACTAATGATGAGCTTTACTATACACAACCGACTGATGAGATTACATCGAGGCTATATGATCGAGGGTTATTCGAGTGAGTAATGAGTGTTTTCGTTTCCATAACTTATTCCAAATTCTACAGAACCAGAGTATTCGTGGGTTAATGCTTATAAATCATTCATCCATACTTAATCGTCACGCAGGGTCTCCACTCAAGCTTGCGTAGCTTCGGCCAAAACTTTGTTGGCCTTGATGAAAGAAGGAAGGAAGTACAATTGGCCAGCTAGTCGCTGGTGGGTTGTTCTCATACAGTGCTGGACAGCATCGATAGTAATGTGGGTATTATATACTGCTTTTTGATGTTCTAACAGGTAACTGAAGTCTTATCGACTTGTTCTACACAAGTGATGTCCATGAAGCAGAAGCAAAGAGCAAAGAAGTGCGCGAAGCACTTGTTATATTTAGAGATATACAACATGTTTCGACAGTTGCCAAGAAAGCAGTACTCACCCTCGACAGACTACTCGAGGAAGATAAAGAGAGAAGGGCAGACAGTACAGCATCAAAGAAACGAAAAATCTCAATTGAAGGATTCACACCTATTGGTTTAGCACCTAATTATCCGGGTCTACATGGTGATAATACCAACACCACTCGTCAACAGCAGTCAATGCTCAACACAATATTACCTGTACCACAATCAAGTAGTAACGTAGACAATAGTGGTGATGTTTGGGAGAATATGTTTAAGCAGGAGCTCGGGTTATTCCAAGATAGCAGTCTTGACTTTTGTTGGAAATTTGACGAATACGCATAGATATTATTGTAAATTAAATGTAAACTTTTTATTCATATGCTTTGCTAAGTGGATAGATATTCAATGGTCTTCTATCTTGAAATACAAGCTAAACCAGAATCAATTTTCATCCATCTTGTTTGACTTATAAGAATATTGCTTCTCGTTTTCAAGTTAAAAAGCTTACTTCTCATAATGTCATTTTTCTTATTCTTTTTACTTATTTTGAAATTGTTTGTCTCAAATATGTTGATATTTATTGTCTTGTCGTCGATTAATGACAATAGAACCAAATACTGTTACATCATTCGAAGTCAAACAGAAGTAATTATCAGATCGTGTACAATAAAGGTCGATTAATGTTGATTCTGACAAGAAATATCACTATTTCAGATTCTGGTGAATATTTTAACTTGTTTATATTGACTCTCTGGATTTGATAAGATCCTCTTACATCTATCCAATCGAGTTTAGTGTGAAATAATTACCTTCTCCACTTCAAAGTACTTCATTTACTAGTGTACAACTCTTTCGACACTGCCGTCGTATCTGTAATGCATATGACAGAGCGCTTACAAAGACATCAGATAGCTTGATCTACAAAAACTTCGCTACAAAAATAAAAACATTTGGATGATTTCATAATTCAGAATGAGTGTTATCTTTCAAATTACGTCGTTCATGTGGGTGTGACGCGAGAAATAAAAATAAGGATACTGAGTGAATGAATGAAGGGCTTGGATGTGTTCTGCTAAATCTAATGTTGATGTATGCCACTGACAAGTTAATACGTCATTTCTTACAACATAAACAGCTAATCAGCAACTTGAGAGCGTCTAAACTTATTTCAAGTGATGCAGTTGTAGCCGCTATGAAGAAAGTTGATAGAGCCAACTACGTCAGGATCAAATCGGCTGCTTATGAAGATAGTCCACAGTGAGCCCACGGTGGCACAATTTTGTGGCGCTAAATGATAAATACAGGTCTATTGGATACTCAGCTACAATTAGTGCACCACATATGCATGCGCACGCTACAGAGAATCTCCTCGATTATTTGAAACCGGGTTCGAAAGTATTGGATGTCGGTTCTGGCAGTGGATATTGTGGGTGTATGAACAAATAAGGTCATTCATTAACAGTACAGCTTGCGCTGTATTCCATCATCTAGTTGGACCTACTGGTAAAGTTGTCGGTGTTGACCACATAGACAAACTCGTAGAATTGAGCGAGTATAACTTGAAAAATGATGGATTAGGTGATATGCTTGATAGTGGGGCTATAAAAATGGTTACAGGTGACGGTAGACAGGGTTATGCAGATTCTGGTGAGTGTCTCATTGGAACGAAGGAATTTGTTGAAGAATTTCAGGACCGTATGATGCTATACATGTTGGCGCTGCAGCACCATCTATGCCAACCGCACTCGTACAACAGCTCGCCCAACCAGGTCGTATGTTCGTCCCTGTGGAGAAGAAATCTGGAAATGGCCAGTCGATCTGGCAGGTGAGAAAAAATGAGTTTAATAACAACGATATAAGTTAATATATATATGTAGGTCGATAAAGATGATAATGGTGCGTTACATTACGAAGAACTCATTTCGGTGATGGTATGTCGACTGATTAGACCAAAGAAGTAGCTAACAGCTATCTAGTACGTGCCATTGACAGACAGGAAGCAACAGATTGATTTTTAATTTTCTAAACACTTTATGATTTAATAGTGATTTCATTGATTCATTGCCTAGAATAATCCTTTGACGCATACTACAATGAGCTCAGTAGATCTAGAAGCTCAGTTCGGTGTGTAATGTTTGTTAGTGTAGTGCTAGTAATAACATAGCCCTCAGACGCTGAGTACTTCGCTGAACCATCAGAGAATAAGAATCCGCATGAGTCATTAGAAGAGGTGAGCAATTCACTAAACACTTGCTGGTCACTCACATCCCTTAGATACGTTGCACTATTGATCATCTGATAGATGATTACAAACATCAAGGAATAAATCTCACCGGTCAATTGATACATGTTTCACACTATTTGCCATTCGTATGCATGCTCAAGCACACAGACGATGATGAATTCAAAGAGGAATCTGAGCCAGTCGCCTCCAAGCCGATTCTCACTGAAGTCGATCAAGTAGGATTCGAAAGAAGGAGCGAGAACGCAGCAACTAGCGTACCACTTGGACCGTCTGGTTCTACTTCTGAACTACCAAGGAGGAGGAGAATGTCTGCCGTATCAGCTTATTCAGAGACACATCGGCCAAAGTGGACATTAGCCCAAAGAAGAGGTCATACAGCTATGAATGCAGGCATAAGAAGTCTTGGTAGCCAATTCCGTCAGACATCCATAGGCTGGCCGGGTGATTTGAGAGTAGGAAACCAAAATGGTGAACTCATAGAAGCATCATCTCTCACAGAAGTGGACAAGAGAGCCTTAGAAGAGGAACTAGAAGTGCAACGTGAGAGTCAGGTTGACGATATGAGCTGGTTACCAGTTTGGTTGGAAGACAAGATTGCCCATATGCATTACGAAGGCTACTGCAAGACTACCTTATGGCCATTATTTCATTACTTGATATGGCAGGAAGTTTTCCCTGAACAAGATGAATCCGACGACGCGACTTACCAGGCTTACTTGGAAGTGAACTGGGCATATGCCAAGAAAGTCGCAGAAATTTGGAAACCTGGTGATTTGGTTTTGGTACATGATTACCACTTATTATTAGTTCCAAAACTATTACGTTCACTTATTAATGAGGCTTACATCGGTTTATTCTTACATTCACCATTCCCATCGTCAGAAATCTTCAGATGTTTACCACGTCGTAAAGAAATTCTTGACGGTATGCTCGGGTCTAATCTCGTTTGTTTTCAAACATACTCTTACTCAAGGCACTTTTTGTCAAGCTGTATTAGAGTTTGTGGATATGAATCAACGAGTTCTGGCGTTGAAGCAAACGGATTCAATACCGCTATTTCCCACTGTCCTATTGGAATTGACGTAGAAAGAGTCTTACAAGATAGAGACGCAGATGGCGTTGAACCGAAGATAAATGCTCTTAGACAACTCTATCATGGTTGTAAAATTATTGTCGGAAGAGATAAACTCGACGTTGTTAAGGGTGTTGTTCAAAAATTACAAGCATTTAGAAAATTCCTCGAAGAATTTCCGGAATGGCGCAATAAAGTTGTGTTGATTCAAGTAACTTCACCATCAATCCACGAAGATGCAAAATTAGAATCTGATGTAGCAGATTTAGTTTCACATATCAACAACGAATTTGGTAGCTTGGGATTCACGCCTGTACATCATTACCATCAGATGGTAGAACGTGATGAGTATTTCGCTTTACTATCAGCTGCCGATTTAGGGTTAATTACTGCAACAAGAGATGGAATGAACACTACTTCACTAGAATATATAATGTGTCAATCTAAGACTTATCAATCACCATTGATTTTATCGGAATTCACGGGTATCGGTGGTATTCTTAACCAAACTATTAGAGTAAACCCATGGGATATATTTGGTACTGCCAGAGCAATCAATAAATGTTTGAAAATGTCTCAAGAGGATAAAAGTAAAAGACAAACAGAACTATTTAGAAGAGTGTCTTCACATACCTCCAAAACATGGGCTTTTACATTAATAAAAGAGTTACTGCGGAATTTAGGAGTTGGTCAAACCGCTAGAGTAACGCCATATTTAGATCATAACTTAATTAGTGGAAAATATAAAGATGCTAACAAGAGGTTATTGTTGTTTGATTACGATGGTACACTCACACCTATTGTTAGCAGCCCGTCAGCTGCAGTTCCAGGTGCAAAACTTAAAGAAATATTACCAAGAATCACTTCAGATGAACGTAACATCGTTTTTATAGTCAGTGGACGTGATGCCAACTTCCTTAGTGAACATCTCGGACATATTCCAAATATTGGTCTGAGTGCAGAACACGGTTGTTTTATCAAGGAGCCAAACAGCAAAGATTGGTGGAACCTTACTGATAACATGGACATGAGCTGGATGGATGATGTAGAAGATATTTTCAAATACTTCACCGAAAGAACAATTGGATCGCATATAGAGAGGAAAAAAGCTAGTATTACTTGGCATTACCGTAATTGTGATGCCGAATTTGGTTCTTTCCAATGCAAGCAATGTCAAGACTTACTGGAGAGCAACGTTGTTAGCAAAAAGCCAGTTGAGGGTGAGTTGAGTTGATATTTAAGTGATTCACACTTACGATTGACAGTATTGGTCGGTAAAAAGAATCTTGAAGTTCGTCCATTAGCAGTCAACAAGGGTGAAATAGTCAAGAGGGTACTCTACAACCATTCTGATTCTGAGTTCGTTATGTGCGCAGGTGATGATAAGACAGATGAGGATATGTTCAGATCATTATCTGATATATTTGTTTTAGCACCAGGTTCAACACCATCACTTAAGCCAATAATGAATGCGCCAGTTAGCGCTACCTTAAGTAATGAAGATACTGAAGAAACCCCAACTAAGGAAATTAACGCTAACCCTGATGATATCTTCACAATCACTATCGGTCCAGCATCTAAACGAACACTGGCCGGATGGCATTTAACCACACCTGAGCAACTTATCGATGCACTCGAAGTTCTCTCAAACGAGTAATTTATAATTTCTATTTTTTATTTGGTTTTTTTATGATAATGCACGAACAGAACAATCTTAATTATTATTGTTTATTCTCCTTAAACCATCCTTTGCTTGAAGTTTCCCCTGTAAGAGACCAATCTCTTCGGATTTTGCGATGGCTTTCGTATATTGCTCCTTAGCTTTATCTGAATTTTTGAGCATCTTGGTGCTTTGTTAGCGATTAAATCATCTCCGAAGATAAGTACTCACCTCATTCAATACACCCAAGTTGAATAATCCAACTGCGAGTGTGTGATCACAGATCCTACTCCGTTTATCATCCCTTTTAGTATTCTCGACTGCATTTTCGACAATATCTACGCTCTTATCAGCCCAACTGAGAGCCGTCTTGAGATTTTTAGTGGATGGATGCGTCGTCAGAACTTGTGAAAGATTACTCATGAGTAAACCAGCTCTACAACGTTCATCACTTGTTGGATCACGCGTTCTCTTCTCCTTTGGTGGAAGGAGTAACGAAATAGTCTGAACGTAGAGTGGTACTGCGTCAGCTGGTCTTCCTCTTTCCGCAAAAAGACCTGCTAGGCGCTCTAAAGAGGCACCTAAATCAGACTTTGATACCCAATTAGGTAACTCTAATTCATGTACTAAGATGACTTCACCATCTGTAGCTCTCTTTATTTCTGAATTTTTGTCCATTTTTAATCCAATTTTCAACATTTGTTCTATTCCCCATTCGTAGTACTTTTCAGCAGCGTCTTGTCGACCAAATCTAAGGCAAAGATCACCCATTTTCTGACTGAGTGCTATTGATCGATGTTGTTCACTACTACTAGGTGAGTCTAATGCTAATAGACTAGATAAAGCGTCCTGTAATACTGCTAACGCATTTTGTGGTGTATTCGCTAATTCATATACATTTGAAAGTGAGATTTGTAATCCAGTGAGTGCAATTGTTTTAGATACACCCATCTGTTTGTATGATTCATCCGAAAGATTGCGCCCTTTCTCTATTGCAGTTGTGAATGCAGCTATTGACTTATCAAAATCTCCAACGTGCTTGAATTTAATACCCAAACGAACATCGTTGCGTATATCTTCTGGCCATTCTCTGAAAAGCGAGTAATATTCAAGTACTGTGTAGATCGTTACTCCGAGACCTGTGCATGCGAGCAAACCAAATAGTGTACCCTGCCTTATACCTCTAGGTTGCTGAGCCTGGGTTTGTGTAGATCTGATAATACCCCGTCTCGTAGCATTCAAGCATGGTACGCGAGCATATCGCCCGAAATTTCTCAACATGGTGGTATCAAGGGAAGAAGATTACGTAATTAAGATTTTACGTATTTATGAAAAATATAATTTTATCACATTGCTTTTCTAAATATGACTGTGAAGATCAGACCTTAATTACTTAGATGTTTTCTTCGGATCTCTTCTGCAACTGAAGAACGATTTCGGAATGAAATACTAGGGCAAGATTAACCATAGATTGGGAATGAAAGTGGATTATGTAAAAGAAAGGTATCGCTACTCTAAATCAGTTGGGATAAATTACTAAGGCGTTAGGCGATCTAAATCTATAAACCACAAAAAGAAAGAGTATTCCAAGGGGTAACAGTCTATACTATCCAATAAGGACTGCCAAAATACATAAGACGATAGTGATGAAATGAAGACCAAATTATACACACAAGCAATAGGAAGACTAGATTGGTGATCCCAAGCGTCAAGGGGAGATATAGCCTTCGCATCAAGTATGTATTGGATATACTTAAACCCCCGTATCAGTTGTGGAACACTGTAAGACAAATATCTAGTCACCTCGAGAACACCATAAACGCGAAGATAGGATTCAACAGGATCATATAGACGTTTGCTCGAAACTTTAAAGGAGTTATATTAATGAACATGCGGACAGTGAAAAGTATAAAGCAGGAATATTCTGTACAAAAATATAATCTGAATGATCAATATATAACATTTTATCTCAATAAAAAAGAAAAACCTTATTTTTAATAAAAGATTAGGTATTGGTGGTTGTCTTTTAACTATATTGTCTGATAAATCATGATTAGGAGGACACACTTTAGACAAGAGAAACATGAGGTTTCCTGCCCAGTCTTTGCAGAAGTTAGAAAAGGAAATGACAATCTATATATCAAAGACGATGGTAAAGAAAAAAGGCTATTTGGAATTACACTACGGGCGTACAAGGACGCACAACTACCTTTATTTTTTCTTACCCTGCCCATGGTATTTTACAACGTACTCTGGTGTGCTAAGTATACTGGGCCTGGTGATAGGTTCCCCGACCCCACCATTATTTGGCCAAAAGGTGATTGTCGTTGGTGTTATAGATCCTATGAAACATCGGATGATTCGCATATCTCATTGAGGAATAACCTGAAAAGATGGTATGACGATAGTATATTTGAGATTATCTAAAATTGTTACCAGTCTTAGCGCTAACCTGTATTTTATGTTACATCATAAGCCTAAAGTCTCTATTTCCTAATAACATAACCAACACTAAAGAGTCCCTATATAGATGTCTCATTACCTGTTATTCTCTTTGTGCCAAATAACGTGATTTAATAACAAGAATAATCGTAGTTCTGTAAGATGTAGATGTTATCGAATTGCGTACTACTTTTTAGATATATATCAATATCATCTCAACAGGAAAGTTGAAGTATTTTTGATAGATCGATTCGTAATAATAGTGTCTAGTCAAAAGGTACTCGTGAGGTCAATAATCGTATGGCGACGATATCAGTGAGCACATTACATTAGAATTGTGATATCAGTGATTTACCAGGGGTTTAGATAACCCCTGGAGCTGTAACAATATGTATGAGACTGGTAAGCAATGGAGAAATCATCAGTTTTAGTGCCTCATTAGACCGAGATCTCCTAGCAGTTCCACCTTTACTTGTTTCAGGAGCTAGCAAGTTTCTGACACTAACGCATCCTCAAATGGTTCGAATAAAACACGCTGATCGTCGTCATTTTGTAACACAAAGTGTTTTCATAGTCTACAGGTGCTTAAAGATACATGCTTCACAGAACCTTCGTACCTCATTTATTGTTTTGCTTGCACATCATATTGGTTACTTTACTTTATGTGGGGGTTTTCATCTATTATGTTTCACATAAAACTACGGAAAATTTGAATTGTCAGCGACGACCCGGACAAAAGTGCAATAGAGAAGCTTAATCCACTCTCCAAATCTACTTTAGCCCATACTCATATTTATCGTGCGTTACACCAGTTAGTAACAAATAAAACACATCAAACATACTACGTCTTCTCGTGACAAGTATTGGCTTCTTCCCACACCGGCCGCCTCTGTATTAGGAATACGAAGGCCTGAAACAGTGTAAACACTTGTTTATAATATACCTGTGCCATTTGTTACTCTATGGACAGTGGATCAACTATCCCACATGCAGTTTTCTGATATGGAAAATTTTGACCCCTCAGCGACGAACCGGGAAAAAGTGCATTTGAAAAGCTCAATCTGCTCCACACTTCAGTCTAATCCTATAGAGCCATACTTCCCAAAAAGCATACCTAACCGATTTTGAGATGCCTTGCATTTACCCGGTTCGACCCGATTCTTATATGTCTCCTTAGAGGACATCTGTTATTCAGCTATACAAGTGTATGAAGGTTCTTTCCGTCTAACTTTTTGGGGCTTAGGTCGACTTTTACTAGTTTTTCGATCTTGAAACCTTGGCTGTCTTCGATGGGACGTTAAGCTTTAAATAAACCAGCGCATGGACAGCGGGTATCTTTGGTGTGATGTAACATAATAGTCGCTCATTGAAAGATAAGAAGTCAGGAACATACGGAAATTTCGAAGTCATATAATTCTTTGTATGTCCTTTCTGACAAGAGAGGAGAAGATAAGTACGTCATTTAATGGAAATCTTTAGGCAGAGAAAGGCCACCAACATTTTGCACAAATGTCACAGTCGTGAGTATTCCGAGTGCTAGTGTACACATTAGGTGCTGCCACACTATTTGAGATTCAACTTAGCATGAGCAGAGTGAACATTTGAACCATAGACAGGCGGTAGAACAAATATGACAAGTGAAATAAACACATCCTAAACCAGTCACCAGTTTCCCGGGCTCCTCGACTTAATCAAAGAGTTGCCAATATAATAAATTTTCGATCGGTTGTTATACTTATATTGTATGACCAACAATATCGCAAACATTGTATATGATAGCAGAACATCATGTTCATCTCAGTAAATCTCTCCTGAATATCAGCGTTTTGACCCCCAAGGAAGTTTTATAGAATTGTGCGGACGACCCCAACGCCAAGAAATATTGTCAAAGTTCAAACTCGGACAAGTATAAAAGTAGAGGGTTTAATACCTTATATCGGCCATATGGGAGCGCTTTCTGGTTTTCGGTTTCGTACACTTGCTAATGCGGTATCATATCGGTTCACTAAAGATCAGTATGACACAGGCCACCAGATGATCTTGATTTTCAAAGAAATGTAAGAGAAATAATTGGAACTTTAGATAAATCAAATGAGTATAGCTATTATTTTATTATTCGCATAGAATGTATATTGTTAGATTAGTTTACATGAAATGGAAGATAACACGGTCTCGATAACCATTCGTGATATTTGTGACAATAAAACGAGACAATATATGTATACGGATTACTGGTGGATTTCAACACTAAATCAGTGTAATAGGCACCTCTGTGGTATAAAATAACTCAAAAACAGGCTATTCAACGTCGAATGTTTTAATATCTATGAATGCGTAACAAAATTGAAATTTATAATGTATCTCCAGACTAGTTCTAAACGTTCTTTCTCTATAGACATACAGTTGCTGCTAAGCCAAAAGCTAGAATAGCGAAAATCTTAGGTACTTGGCGTGTAGCAGAAGAAGTTGGTCCAAGGTAATTGCTGACTACTCGAGTGCTTCTGATGTTAAAATATCGTTGGATACAGTAAAAACAACTTACTATCCACAATCTGCGATATATGTACCATCGCAATCACCTCCCACTAAAAGGATACCGTCACGTATCTTCTCGTACTCGGGTGGTTCATCAGAGCATGGGCTGTCACCTAGTGGTCCGGTGTAAGTACCATTTTGAAGATTTCCAGGTTGATCCACGGTGTCATATTTTACACAACAATCAACGCAAGAAGTAACATTGGACGCTTCTATTTGCCCTATAGCATTAGTAAACTTCAATTCTAAAGCGACCATGGTTTACTATAAGGGATTATGTATAATAAAAGTCAGATTTGATGCAGTTGCCGAAGGAAGGACCCTCTTTTCTAATCGACAATCCGAATTAATCAAACTGTCGGTAAAATACGAGTTTACCGAATAATTTGATACTGATCATAACTAACATGTATAATCGAACACTTAACCGAGATTATTGGGTTATTGGTACATTATATCACTAAATTGATTGTGTTGGTATTATCAGTCGAGTGAATAAACTTCCGAAATGGTTTTAATAAAATTTAGCTTTTTTACGTGATTGACATGTTCTAAATGGACTCAAGTTAGACTGCTACAGACAATATGTAATAAAGTCTTTTCAGAAGTGTGCAGCATTGGTGATCACCTAGAACGCCTTATATAAACTATGTGTTTTATTCAATAATACATTCATTTAGATTGCCTAGGTTCTCTACTCGTACCCAGGACGCTTACCTCAAGCGATCTGAGGAAAGAATATAATGCATTATTCTCGTTACATATCATCCTTTAAGTTTATATTCAGGCATTGTAAAGAGAAAGTAGAGTATGTCGAACATAGGCCCCTCACCTTACATGTTGAGCATTAGTTAGTCGTCTTCAGAACCTTCGATGTAATGTAAATCTGATTTACTAAGGATGTGACCAAAGGTAGTTTGAGCCGGAGAGCCTTCTTTTCTCCGCGGTCTCCAACAAGAAGGAGCGGAGCAACTGTTCCTTACTCTAGGAGAAAATTTTTAAAGGAGTTCACAGCCAGTTCCAATTCAAACAAAGATAGTACTTAGTACTCGTCCATCTGTTAGGGGCTTCTTAAATTAGGTTGGATCTTTGGAAAGAACTCAACAACTTTATTTCCTTGTTTGGCAGATTTTGAAAGTACTATTATATATCTGGATTACATATCGATGTGGTTGTTTGGTAAAGGATTGAGCTATGTATCTCAAAAGCAAATGATACAAATATGGATCAATATGGGAAATCTTGTTTTGAGCTCATATTCCGCTTATATTAAACGTTGAAAGAATTACTAGTGAAAAAGCTATTAAAGAAGGTAAAATTATCGTGTGGAGTGCCCAACTTCTAGCGCTAATGTAAATTCATGATCTTAACTCAGACGACAGGGCAATGATTATACATGAAGAAATCTATGCTTTTGATTATGGAGTATAAACCTAGATATACCCTTCGAAATTATCTCGACAGATGTAAATGGCCCCAATTGCATGTAAGTCTTGGACTCATACTACTGTCGTTGAATGTCTATGTTATCGATGGATGCCATGAGGTTATTTCTAGCATGATGAAAGCATATCTCGACTATATGAATAAGGCTAGCTAAGACGACGGCATTCCTACTAGTGCTTGTGCTACGTATCCTTCGTCAATTTCGAATGCTTGCCTAGCTAGTTGAGTGTTTTAGATCTAACCCAATGACATACAGGAGAAATGGGTTACCATTATTTAGTTTTAAAATTAGCTGAAGCGAATTTGCGTTAAATCATATCACTCTATCTACTTCAATTCCTTCTCTCTTAGGAGGATTTAAGTTATTTCATCACTGACAGAACGCAATATAGACAACTGACATAAAGTACTTTAGAATTTATATATTTCAACAGAAAACAATTTTTCGTAAACAATTCGTAAAAGGTTATTAAGAAGCGCCAGCTGTGGTTGTTGAAGGTGTCATTTCTTGTTCCGAGTCGACGTTGACGTTATGGAAATCCAAGATCTCGGAGTACATCATAACTTTCCATTGATCAACGGGCAAATCAGCATCATTGAAACTCCAATCGAACCTTTCATTAGCGACAGGTTCATCGGATGGGTCGTGATATGGTGCTAAGTAAGGATGTTGAATAGCATCAGCAGCCGTTATTCTCTCCTTTGGATTGAAATCTAACATTTTCTCTAATAAATCTATTTCTTCTTCGCTGGCGTTAGGGAAACGCTGTTGGAATGGTATTTTCTCTCTCTTCGGGAGTGCGTCAACGAATCTCCTTGTGTTTTCAGACGTGATTGTGTTAATAACATCTTCAGGTGGTGAACCGAGCAACTCAGTGATTACTGTCAATTGATGAACGTGATCTTTACCAGGGAAGATCGGACGACCGTCGATCATTTCAGCGAAAATGCAACCAACTGACCAGATATCAACGGCACTGTCGTATTCTTGCCAGGTGAGCATAATTTCAGGTGCTCTGTAATATCTTGTACTGACGTAACCGGTCATTTGTGGATCTTGCAATCTAGCTAAACCGAAATCACAGATCTTCAAATCGCAGTTCTCATTTATCAAGATATTTGAAGGTTTAAGATCACGATGGACAACACCAGCTGGGTGTACGAACTTGAGTGCTCGTAACATTTGATATAAGAAATATTGTACGAATTGTCGCTCTAAAGGTCTCGAAGAGAGTAATCTGTGTAAATCTGTACCTAACAACTCTGTAATAAAGTAAATATCCTCGCCCGGACTAATAAAGACATCGAGTAATGAAATAATATTCTCGTGTCTAAGGTGTTTTAATAACTTGAGCTCTCTGTAGGTTCTCTTTGCTAAAACAGCTGCGGAGAATGGCTTCATTACTTTCTTTATAGCGACTGGACCAGAGGTTTTCTGATCGATTGAGGAGCACAAGAGACCGAATGCACCTTTGTGATATTAGAGGCAATATGCGAGTCTATAGAGGCTAACTCACCCATACCGATTGGCTGCAAGTCAGTATACCTCGTCGTAACTTGGAATACCTATAGCTGTTAGTTTAAACTATTAAAAAAAGGATTATGCATACATTTCCGAAAACGCTTAATTTAACGAAACTACTGTCATCTTGAGACATTTTTTTATTATTGTTATAAACAAGAAGGATGCCTCTACGCCAAAATCTGGTGAAGGGGTTAAAATGGAGTGCGGTGAATGACGTCATAATGAATAAATTAATACATGGCTAGATATTTATTGAAATTATTATTAATGGATTCTTCAGGTTCTGTAGATTTTCTGGACAATTGCGAACTCTTTATTAAGTCGTATAAGTCCGCTGTGCCAACGTAGTTTATGTGTTGTTTGTTAATTAAATGTAGATCTTCTGCTTTTACCCTATCTAAACAATGTTGTTTTAACCTCGATAACTGAAATCTGCAAGCTATGCTGTACAAATTTATTAGTTCGAAATCACTGGAATGTAACAATAGTTCAAGCTCGACGATAACTAATGAGGTTTTATCTTGAAACTTATCAGCAACTACGAGGAGATCCTCTATCAAGAGGAGGTTGTAATGCAACAATTGCGACTGCTCTAGTAAGTGCTTGTAATCTGATAGCTGCTTGGTTGACTCAGTTGTATCGATTGTATAATCCTTATCATTAGCTTCTACTACATCCCTCAACGTTACTGATCTCGATACTAGTAGATTATAATCAAATTCTATGACATCTGAGTAGACACTCTTGAGCAAGATCATCGATGTCGTCAGTCAAACTAATTGAAAGAATAAAAAACTACGATAAATACAAAAATTTAAATCTGAAAGATAAGATAAAGCTACTAACGCCTCAGTTAAATACAAAGTTAACAGGTTACATGCTCTTCTTGAAATCCACAAAGTTGGATGTGAAATCTGCCTCAGAAAAGTGGAAAGCGCTTTCAAAGGAGCAGAAAGATGAAATTAATAAGAAAGCCCTAGAGTATCCGCCTATAAACAATAGGGAAGATATTCCTAGAAGTTACTACAACCAGATCAGACAAATACAACTCGACTTGGCCGAAGAATGGAAGGTGAGCCATCCTAATAAGAACATCCCCTCCCGGTTGCAGCCTATCTATTATCCTAGGTCTAAGAGAGACCCTCCAACACCCTGGCAACTCTACCTATCGACAATCAAAGCAGACAAATACAAAGGTACAACTCAGGAAATTTTCAGGCAACGGATGAAGGATGCCGCGAGTCAATGGAAGAATCTTTCAGATGATAAGAAATCTATGTTCATATCACAATCTCAGTTACAGAAATCAATCAAGCAGTTGAAAATCTAATATACCTTTTTGTTCATGTAGACCATCTCTCTACCTCTTTCTAATCCAATCTCTTCAGCTGTCTTCATACCAGCGCCTTTCTCTAATCTTGGGACTCTAACCATGTCAGATCTGCTCATCAATTGTGGTTGTGAACCTCCGTGGAGTGCTTTCAAAGTAGCTTTAACGACTTGCATTGGATTCCGACTTCTGCGACATTTTGCGCTCAAGTCAGTTATACCTGCTGCTTTTGCTACTTGGTGAACGACTGGACTGCATCTTAAACCGAAACCTGCTGGTCGACTTCTCAGTTCAACGAGACTGGATCCAACTTTGCTCTTCAATTCACCGTATATTGTCCTATCTTGGAATCTATCGACGAAATCCATTTCTCTGACTGCTTCAATTGTTGCTTTGCGGATAGCGTCGCCATTGCTATCACCTTTACCTTCACCAACGCCGACCATACCTTTTCCATTACCGCAAACGACGAGTGCGTATTTCGACATAATCTTACCCTTGCTCGTTTGTTGCATAACACGCTTTGTTATAAGTGGGAAAGTGTACTCTGTTAAGCTACGGAGGTGTTGCATACTGTAAGGCAACGTCTTTGACAACTCATTCAATGGATCTAGAGGGTATATTAGTTCTGTTTTACTGAGAAGAGCTCATACTTACCACCCTCGTACATTCTCTTTACTGCTTTCTGACGCTCTATTTCAAGTATCTCAGCTTCAGTTGGTAAACCAGCTTTCATTGGGTCTTCACCCTGTCCAACGTCTAATCGTGGCTTGAAAGAACTCAAATCTGGCCATGATGATAGCTTATTGAATTTTATATCTTTTCTGAGTAAGTTTGTAGTAGAAGCTCCTGCTGTATTACTAGCGACCGCGCTGGTACTGAATTTCTTGATTAAATTTTTGGATATCTTCATTGTAACGATGAAAGAGTTTTGCTGTAGAGAGGGAGTGTATATCACTTTGTACTATAATGAATATCTAGCATAGACCATAGCAGCTATTTTTAATCTCATCTGTCTACTCTCTTACAATGTCTTCTTCGGTCTTCTTTTTGATGGCTTCTGGCTTTTGTCTAGTGGATAGCTAAGATATAATATCTACAACAATTAAATGCCTCATATAGACGTTATATTCACTTAATTCTGATCTTCTCTCACTTCACTATCAACATCCATTCGATAAGAAGGATGTTATGTAACAACTGCAAAAATACCAACGTAGAATACATAGACGAGGCTAAACAATTCATCTGCCTCACATGTGGCGTTGTCATAGGCGTAGATTTAGACGCTAGCACTGACGAACGTATTGGCCAACACACAGGAGAAAGAGTACTCTACCAGCAATCTAAGACTGTTGGTCGTCTTTTTATCTATATGCTTCCCTCTAAGATGCCATAGGATCAAGTTCAGATCGTGTTTGAAAAAGCACTCGATAAGCTCAATATTCCTGGTGTATTACCACACGCAATGGATATTTGGAAGAAGGCTAGCAAGAAAGTGTACAAATCGACGCCAGCGCGTAAAATGTTTATCGCTGGATGTATCGTCATAGCCAGTCGCGAGCAAAAGAAACAAACGCGTTTAGAGAACATTCTTGTGAGTGGGTAAAAGCGAGAACGTTTCACTGATAATGTAGATGGCAGTGAATCAGCAACCATCCTCTGAGTACATGAAGTTGTTACTTCATGTTGTCAAATTGACAAAGCGAGCACTGAATTATAAAGCTTCACTGAATATATCCGAGGATGTCCGTAGCTCCGTACAAATATTGCTTACGCGTGTAGGACAAATAGCAAATGACTCGATTAAAGCTTCAGAGGCTGTTAGATCCACCTTATCAAGCGTAAAATTTCACAGTCTGCGACAAATAGCCCACAATTTGTTAGAGATTGCAATTAATTCTGGATATCTCAAGAAGCGCTACAGGGCTAACCCAATAGCCTTATCAATCATCGTCTTAGCGGTCGAATCTCAAATAACAAAGTTGGCGACAGACGTTAAAGTAGACATGATAGAAACACTCAGTATGGCACTAGATAAGGTCTCTATGCAGACTGTCAATGCAAACTTACTGGATATGCTTAATTTGTTGCGCAAGATAACGAAAGTATACATGCCATGGCTCGAAGACGAAATAACGGCGAGAAATAAAGACAAAGTCGGCGCAAGAATACATAGACATAGGTACAACTCCTTCATATGGATTGCTGATGTTGCTAAGTATGCCAAGAATGCCAATTTATCTCTAGGATATGAATTTGCAGATGACACAAAAGTCAGGACAGATAGGAATACGAGTGCATTTGTACGATCTGCAATACAATTCGTTAGAGATAACCAGGAAGGTACAATAAGCGCCTCGCTTTCTGAAGAACTCATAGAGAGTATAAAACAGGAGTTTATGCCCTCTTATAGTCATTCGAAAGCTCTGAAAAGGCTAGGAGACAAAAATGTTGACAACGCATCGGATGATGAGCTGTTTAGTGACGAAGAGCTCGCTTCGTACATCAGAACAGAAGATGAAGTCATCGCCAAGCAGCTTGCAGTGGGCGGTATGTATGACTATCAATCGAAGAGTAAGCGTCGTGTGGTCGACAAAAGCGAGAAACGCCAGAAAAGTAATAAGACGACAGCACCTGTGGAAGAACACGAAATTGAAGAAATAGTGGGTTCTATAGACCCCACCAGTTTGTATGAAGAAGTAGCATCACTAATAGATACCTAATTTACTCTGGTAACTTTCTCATTGGTCTTCTGAGCTTGCCCAAAATAATGCCTGATGTGTTCTCCGCTTGTGCTATTACTTCGCCCATATAAAGTGGTGCAGCGTTTATGTAGTACATTCTGTCCAACGCTTGGAGGTGTTTCTCACGCGATTTGTGGGCTTGTTTCGATTCTGGTGCCGCCGCTTCAACAGGTGGCTTCTGTGCGTTCCAGCGACTGATTGATAATGTCTTCCGTCGTTGTCTAATTCCCTTCCAATTTGTATGTGAATGGTGTATGTCCGTTAAGTTCTTCACCACTTTGTGAGCCTTCCCAAGGTTCTCTCCAGCGCTATTGTAGAAATCGATTGACTGTTTAACTAATAATAGATTAGAATTTCTAAAAATATCTAAAAATTACTCACCTTTTTCGTTAAATTCCTTAAAAATTCCAATTTTATCGTCACTTTGATTGTATTTATCAATCATATCATCAAAATCAGTTCTTATTAAATCGTATATTTGCTTCTTTGATCTTTTAGATGGGTATACTGCTTTATAAGCGGATTTCAGCGTCCGCCGATAAGCTTCTTGGAAGTTCATAGTTAGGAAGGAATGCATTAGCTACGAGAATGCTAGGAAACGCTATGTAAAAGATCTTAGGTGATTTCATCTTATTATTTCGCAATCAATATTCGCATATGACTGCAGCTGACGTCTCAGCCTCTTCGTCGAGCACTACGGTGTGTTTCCCAGACGATAACAGTTGTAGCAGCAATAGCAATAGTATTGATGGTATAAATGTACAATTTGACAATTTGGATGACAATGGACATAATGACAACCCATTAAATTGGCCTAAGAGGTGGGTTTCACATGAGAGACATCCAGCCCTACTCACTGATGTAGCCGCAAACGGGCACTCCTTATAGCATGCATTGGATTCTGCTTCCTGATATCAGGATGCTCGAGCGCATTCTCACAGGGACAATCGCAGATGGTTTCTGACCTTGGTTCATCTGATCTTCTCGGAGAACTTGCGTGAGTGCGGACGTAATAGTATAATTACCTAACACATATCAGACTAGGCATGTATATCGTTGGTTATAGTGTCAGTCCACCTCTGTTAGCTCCTTGTTCTGAAGAATTGGGTCGAATGAGGATGTATCAGATTAGTTATGGGTTGTATTTTCTACTATTTCTTCCCATAGCTCTAGCGCGAGATATGGCAACAGTAATTGTATGTCGTTTCATACAAGGCGCCTTTGCCTCGGCTGGTACATCCCTTGTCGCGGGAACAATAGCAGACTTACTCCCAAATGGTCATCAGAAGGATTTGTAGGTCTTGACTGGAGCATTTTGAAACTTTCTCACACATTAATTCAGTGTAGTCGCTATATTTGCATACTCTGCAGTATTTGCAATGGGTCTCTTCCCTATTCCTCTCGGATGGATTATCGTATATGATTCAGAGTCCGGTTGGAGACTCATACAATTCATTCAAATGGGTATGGCTGGTGTATGGGCTTTGTTCATGTTTGCAGTAATGCATGAAACCAGACCACACGTTATCCTAATCCGCAAAGCGCGTAAAATGAGGAAAGCTACAGGTTTGAACTACAAATCTAAGATAAAAAAGCCCAAGTTAAGTTATTTGATTAGGGTATCATGTTATAGACCTATAGTAATGCTTTTTCGAGAACCAATTGTGGGTTCATTCGCTTCTTTAAAAGATTAAAACTTAAAAAAAAAAACCCCAGATTACCTTCTTTAGCGCTTGGTTAGCCCTAGCATGGTCATTTTACTTCGCGATTATCGGCTCCATTTCTCACGTTTTTGGTATTCTGTATGGTTTCAACCAAGGTGAATTGGCAGCTATATATACAAGCCTAGCAGTAGGGGTAACTATCTCGCTAATATTCAACTTTGTGGTACAGGATAAACTATTCAAGAAGAAATTTGAAAAACGTGGACCGGAAGCTAGGCTATATGCTACCATGTTCATAGGTCCACTACTACCGCTAGGATGTTTTGTTTATGGCTGGACATCCTACTCTTATGTGCCATTTATAGCGCCTTGTATTGGATTGGGGATGATCAGCTGCGCTATTTTCACTATATATCTTGCTGCCACTCAGTATGTCATGGACGCCTACGGATCTTATTCGGCAAGTGGTGTAGCTAGTCTCAGCATAGTGCGGAATTTATGCGCTGGTTTCTGGCCACTTTTTACCAATACCTTTTTCGATAGAGTTGGATTCCAGTTCGCGCCTACTATTATTGGTATTGCGGCGGTTGTTTTCACTCTCTCGAGTTATATTTTATTCTTTCAGGGTATGTTTCACTATTTTTCAACTTCCTTACTCACATAGACGCTTAGGTTCAAAGATACGAGCAAAATCCAAATTCGCTCAAGATTTAGCTACGGATGATAAGACATTCTCAAAAGCAAAGGAAATAAAGGAAACAGCTTAAGGGATAGGAATTATTTAGATTTTATTGTAATTAATGCTACTAATATGTAATAATTTAAGAAACAAAGGGAAAGCTTTTTTACAATATAATGCGATTGTCCAGTTCGTTAGTTTTATTTATATGGTGACATGAATGGTGATGGTGTTGGTGAAAGATGCGATGAGGGACTGTAAGTTGATTGCGAAATTGTCCTATCCTTTGAAGGCGTTTGAAGTAGATTTGAGGAATGATTGTTTGTGTCAAATAGATGAGAAAAATGGGTCAATAGGAATCTATAATAAACTGTCAGAAACTGTCTTCAAAAATGTTCTATAACTTACTTTGATAGCTCCTCCCAGCCACCTCCTACACGAACCATGACCGTACTCGATCTGAGAATCCGACAGAAACAAAGCTTTGGATCAGGTGCACCTATCCAATACTTTCCAGAATCACATGTTGCACCTTTAGCTCGTTCTATTTTGACGGACAGTGGTAATGAATTAACAACCCTTCCGACAGCCACTAAAGAGATGTTCAGTTGAATACATACGGATAGCAAAATAACTCACGATCGAGTTTAGATTTCGGATTAGCCTTGTAGACGTTCTTCAGACTCCTCCGTGGTGAGCGTGAGGAGTGTGAATACAAAGACGTTGAACTCCGCTTTCTGATGGCTTTTCTCGAGGGCGTAGCATCGATCGTTGCAGGTGGTTTCAACGATGACGCAGAACTAGAACTTGATAGTACACGCTTAGGAGCCGTATTTTCATCCGTTGGAGCTTTTGATGGCATAGGATTTGATACCGCTCGATTCTTCCGTCGGGATATACTCATCATCGTGGCTTTTGTGAGTGAGTGTTTACGCACTGGAGTGGCATTAACATCCACAGGTGGCTTGAGTGTCGGCGTAATAGGTTTTCCTTTTCCTTTTGACCTACTCGACGCTCGTGGTCTCGGCGTCGGACCTGGTAAATTGAGTAAACTTGCCGACCAATCTTTTCCACTTGGCAATGGTGGCACAGGTGGTATATCCTCATCATGTGTTACCTCGAAAAGCCTTCTGTGTGTTGATGTAGAGGATAAAGTTCTCTCACGCGGTTTGTTATAGTCTATCAGGCTCAAACTTGATAAAGCACTTGAAGACGATTCGATAGAGCTTGAACGAAGTCTGAGTGACCTCTGTGATGTAGATGCTGAATCGTCGTCGAGAATCATCTCATTTATTTCTTCATATGTCGATTTTAAACGGTTGACATGATGAGATACACGCTTGTCGTGCAGGTTAGGTAGGCTATCCAGGACGTTATCAAAAGTAGTTTGTAGCTCTTGTGTACTCTCATGATGGTCGATTGCATTGAGTAGCTGTGATAAGATCTTATCCGCTTCGTCGATGCGATCTTTTGAAGTCGAAAGACTAAAAAGGCCGTCGAGATTGCCTTTCGTCTCACGCTTGAGTTCACTTAATGGTGCAGCATCACTTTGTGTTCCGTCTAGATGTCTTATGAGTGTTGAATGAAATTGACGGGTTGGTAAAGGTCCGAGTGGGTTTTGATCTTTAAGCATTGTACAAGCTTGCTTGCTGATATCTAAAATGGTAGTGTACTTGACATATTCCGAATTGAGCTTTTCTAGGAAATTACTGGCATCATACTTGACTTGATTATTAATTTGGGAGAACAGTTCGGATCCGTCACATGGCAGGTAGTTTATTTGCTTCAAATCTTCGGCAAATTGTGAAAGTGAATCTTTGGATGGGGTTAAATCGAGTAAATGATCGTGTTTATGTTTTAATGAAATCATTGTTCTTGACTGACACCTAATCTGTTTCAAATGGTCGATTACAGTGTGTAATTGAGGGTGCATATTAATCAGAGTATCTGAGTTGTCAATAATGAGTTGAAATGAGTTCAAGTCCTCGAATTGGTGAGCAGATGAGCACGTATGAAGCCACGAATCGAGGTATAAATGATGTAAGAGTGTTTTATATACTTGTATGAGAGATATAAGCTGGTTGAGAGAGTTCTCAAGTCTATCTTGCTCATCTAATAATGCTTCTGGCACTTTGTTGAGATCGACCATTTCATCAACAGCATTAGAGGAGGAGTGGAGGATATCGATAGCAATTGGTAGACACCTATCTGAGTGCAGAAAGGAGAAGTTAGTGATGAGTTTTGAGAACTGCTCTCGCTGTTGATCCCAGACTAGTCTGAAGTGAGTGAGTTGCAAATTGAGATGCTTCTTAGCGACCAATTGTACAGCTGACTCGAATGATGAAATGGTTTGTAGAACCACCTCGAGGTAATCTGTGTCCTCCTTGGACAACTTCTTGTTAGAAGTCGACATTGCGATTTCCTTCAATCGTTTGTCATTGAAGTTCTCTAGTATGAGGTGTATAGATTGCAGCTCTTTGTTGTAGCTATCCAGACTAGTCTTATCAGTAAAATTGTCTATATCGTCGTTGTATCCAAGGAATGGGTTGAAGGTGGGTATAGCTTTCAGAGACTGTCGACAATAAGAAGAGTGCTAATAAAATGCTACACTCACCCGTATATGCTCATTTATCTCCTCATACTGCCCACGGAGAGCGTCCATGAAGTTGGTGGTAAGAGACAACGTCATTTGACGTGCAGATACAAATAAGGAATTTAATTTGGCATAAATAGGAGCAATCTAAGCAATAAAATTTTCTACGCCCCTCTTTATCTCTCTATATCTTTTATTTCCCATTATCTTTCTCGTAAATCTTCACTATCAACCTCCATCTCTAATGGGTCTCGGTGGACGCAGAGAAAAGCAAAAGCTCCGTGAAGATCCAAGGAATCGTCAATGGGCAGATGATACTAACAAATTTGGCTTCAAAATGCTAGCAAGTCAAGGTTGGAATCCTGAAGTTGGTTTAGGTGCTGCCAAACAAGGGAATGTCAACAATATAAAGTCATCTTATAAGTTTGATACTATGGGTATAGGCGCAGATTTAAAGAAAAAGGATGATTGGAGTGGTGGTTTAGAATTTGGTAACATTTTGGCCAAGTTGAACAAGAAGAATACGCCTGCAGCTACGCCTGCAAGTGCTAGTCCATCACCTGCACCTTCTGCTAGTTCGACATCTAAAAATGTGTAAGTTTACTCATCCTTTTCTGCATTTCTCATGTCTTCTCAGCTCGAGAACAAAATATCGCAACGCCAAATCTCAATTGAACAACGATGCGATGAGAGAAATTCTCGGTGTAGATGCTACTGGATCAGTTCCGTCTACTGCTGATCCCTCCCGAGAGGGTACACCTACGGAAATCCCAACGATGAAGAACAAAAGCAATTTATCTATACAAGAATACTTCAGAGTTAAGCTTTTACTCAAATATCAGCAAGCACAGAATGCTCCTGCTGCTACTCCAATTATTAATATACCTCCTCCAGTTGAAACTCCACTTGAGACACCTGAAAGTAGTAGAGACAGTACCCCCTCACTCAAAAGAAAACGTTCAAAATCGAAAACGAAATCATCCAGCAAACAAAGCGCTTGGAAAGATTTACTATAATTATATTTATTAAAAGAATAGTTTAGAATTAGAAGTCATCATTGTTATACTTGTAGATTACATTAAGGTCATCATCATCAATTAGACTAGGATGCAAGCTGACTGCGTCCATACTTTCCTTTAGTCTAACTTCGCGTGAGTCATCTGTTAGTGCTTCAGTTAATGTCACACCATTGATATTCATCTGTGATTGAACTGGTGAAAATGTTGCACTTTCCGTCAACATACTAGGTGAATCTATCACCTTAGTTGGTGAAACAACGCTAGCCCTTCTTGGTGCAGGTCCTGTAAAAGGTGAACCTGGCATTGAAGACATTAAATCATTCTCTGTTGCTCTGTCCTCAATGATCATCGATAAGTGCTTTTCAAGTTTGGTTATAGTATCGTAATTATCGTATAAAATCGGGTCTTCTATCTTCCTTTGTGGTGGCATTGGTATTTTTTCAATTGAATCAATTCTAGATGCAAAAATTTGTGATTCTGGGAATACGTTAGATTGCGATAAAGCTAATGATTGATTTTGTGATTTAGATTGCGTGTAATTGCTTTCTGATTTATCCAATTGCGGTTGTGAATCTGCGAATTGTGAATGTGCCTGAGCTAATTGTGCTTGCGATCCAGCTAAGCGTGCTTGTGACATTGCTTGGGACTTAGATTTCGTCAGTACAGATAAATCACGTTTAGTTGGTGAATATGTTGAGTTTGAATACGTTGACAATTCTTCATCACCACTATCATTAGATTCTTCTTTGTTGTCTCTACTGTTTTCTTCCTTTTCAACCTCCTTCTTATCATCAGGTTTTAGTTCAACAATTACTGGCTCAATTCCTGCTTTCTCGTTCGAGGAATCAACGTGAGAGTCATCAGAGCTAGATCCACTGGCGTAACCTAATTTCTGCACACCGTCAAATTCACTTTCGAGTGGGCTTTCGGGTACTTTGTTGAATGTCATAACTGAGGATCTTGTCCTGACGCGTGTAGGTGGTGCTGGTCTTTGAGACATCATAGGTTTCTTCATTGAACTCATAGAAGACGTCATGGAAGGCGTAGCTGTGCTACCTCCGTAGATGATGGTACCATTTGAAGCTGGTAGAGATGGTCTGTAGCGTTTGTCTTTGCTAATCCAACGTCTATTACAGCGTTTCTCTTCGTCAACACCCCATTGATGCTTTGGAGATGGGTGGAATTTGTGTTGAACGACAGCGAGAATTGGACCAAATGTTATTCCTAAAGCGCACATTACAATTGTAGGCGTTGTGAGCTCATACGGCTTATCAAGGTCCTAAATATGTCTTAGAATTTGTTCGCTTGGAAAAAAATTTACTTACTATGTAATGATGGAGGTTGCTATCAAAGAATTTACGTAATCCCAAGCTGAAACCATCTTGCGATTCAACTAAGATGTCAACACCTAAAAAGAACATGAAGAGACCAGTCCAAGAAACACCAAGTGTCTAACACACATTTAGTCTCATGTATAAAATTAAAACTATACTCACCTGGCCAGCTCTTCTTGTTGGTTTGAAGAAGAAAGAACCCAAACCAACACCAGCGAGAAGACCAACAAGGAGTGCACGTGGCCAAAGCTCATCTGTAGCACTTGAAGGGATAAGCAACATCGCCAGAAGTCCTAGTGAGGTAACTATAACGGTTTAGGTTATGAAAACACAGAAAAGTGAAACTTACATCCAACAGGACCCAAAAGAGCCTGACCGACTTTAACACCGCGTGCAAAAACGATTACGAGCGTGACGACAAGAAAAACAACCTATTTTGATCATAAATATGTGTTTTTATACTTAAAGTGTCGTATCTTACGGCTGTAGCGACAAAAATAATTACATCCGAGTTTTTGTCGGTGTTTGCCAAGCTCTTTTCGCCAATATTGTCAATAAATACTATCCAAATGACTATATTTTGTCAGCTTGTCTGTAAATGTGGCAAATTTACCCTACTCATTGCTGCCACAAGTGCGACATTAAAACCTGCACCGACTCTCCATTTCTCTTGCAAACCAATTGATGATAAAACTACTCCAATTATGATTGAGAAAACGCCATAAAGCTTTCCAGCTACGGCTGAACCACCATCTGTCGCGTTGCCTTGAGCTACTGTCTCTCCAGTTTTGCTATCAACTGCTGTTACAGAGCCATCTGGTGCTGGTGTACGCTATAACTAATTAGATAACGCGGAATTGGTCATTTAGTTGCTTACGTATACCTCTGCACTAGCATAGCATGCTAATGCTAGCAATATTATAGAAGAAAGTTCCAAATTTTTCATTATGTCGTTATATGGGTATTATAAACAAAGTTATATTTTCACTTTGTTTTGTACAATTATAACGATAAAGTAACAATAGTTGATCATTTTTCCACTAGGCCGACCATCTTCAGACTAGTCTGAATATTCATACCTCCTGTGAAAAATTTAAACTAATAATATTACATTGGTATTTCTACAATCTCAACAAATCTTTTAAGTTACTTGCAATTGATATAAGAGTGGATAACAACTTTTTACGGGTGTCGCCTTCGAGTACTTCATCACCTGAATATTCGGATAAGATTGAGTTTGAATTGTGCAAGTTATCGACTGCTGTGTTAATTCTAAACATTTCCTCTGAGTCTTTAATATTATGACATATATCTGTTATTATGGATGTCGATGATATGATTTGATGGAGGTAGTTGGACAGCTCTGGTAATTGGGTGTTGCGATGTTGACGAGAAGATGAGAGTACATGTTCGATCAATGCAGTGACTTTATTAGAGTGCTCCTCTATATTGTTCTTGGAGTCATCCCAAGATCTTTCAATCGACTTGTCATCGATAATCCTATGACCAACAGAACCTGAAGATGTCTGCCTCAGACCGACCAACTTGGCAATCTCAATGGCAGTCATGGAGACATGTGAAGCCGCAGCATCTAGGAGAGATATAGGCGATAGTCCACCACCCATGGCGTGGTTACGAGTTGCTGTCATCAGATTATCGAGTGTAGCGATTATCTTCTCCTTAAGAACATTGACACGATCACTTTCTGCCTTATCGGTATTATTCTGCCAGGCTTCTACGTCAGATTGGATTAATGTGACTTGATTGACGATTGGTTTCATTACGTTGAGCACCAATGATGGAGATGTTGATCTGCCAGCTACAATAAGGTCGTCAATCGCAGTCTGTAATCCTGTAAGAGTTTCGAAAGCGACGGCACCATTCTCGTTTATGGATATATTAGCGGCGTTGTTATCAGGAAGAGGTGGTTGCAAGCCGCTTGAACGCTTAAACCTGTCAAGTTCGGACTTAACAAATCCGAACTTGTCTTTCAGCTCCTTTAATTGTATTTCTAAAGAATGAATATAGTCTCGTGTTTGTTCCTCAGCTGCAAAACGAGCTTCTTCGCGTTCACCAAGATTCTTGACTTCTTCTATAAGTTGTATAACTTGATGCTTGAGCTCATCTCTCTCTCTTCCAAGTCTCGATTCCTTCTGGGCAAATTCGAGCCTCAGTCTGTCCGTATCGCCGTTATCGAAGGTTGTACGGAGGGGTGAAGAAGCAGCAGCGGCAGGTCTTGGTGGAGGATAAAAGAGCGGTTGGGTTGTACCTTCAGCTAGTTCACTATCTTTAATCTCTCTTGTTTCTATAGTCTCTCTAGGCAGACTGTCATCTGAAGAACGTTTGCTGAGATTAGTGCTGAAGTCCCTTTTCGGTTCATTCCTCATGTCATTCTCTAAAGACGCTTTGAATTCATTCAAAGAGACATTGGAAAAAGATGACACTGTCTTATGATGATCGTCGCCTTCCTTCGGAGCCAGTGTGAGACTTGGATTGGTCGATTGGGGAGGCTCGAAGTCGCCAACTGAGTTGTCAAAGTCTGCTATAGACTGTTGACGAGAATCTTGATTATCGAATGGCTGATGCCTTTAGTATGATTCCACTCATTAAGCAAAAATACTCACGTTTTGTGATTCAGATGGAGCTGGAGGGATCGAATTACCGACAGAGCTGTAACTGATGCTACGAGAGCTGAAACCATCAGCACCATCGACACTGTCTACCCTTAAACTGTCATGGTGTAAGCGGTCGACTGCGGGTGGTGGTGGAAGATCGAACTGATCATTCGATTCTTGCAAAACCGAGACAGTCGAGTGCCTTGGAGTCGCCTTGGTAAATGGAAGAGAGGAGGTGGAAGCGAGTGAGCCGTTTCTGTTGTGTGGTGCGCTTGCTGTACCTGCGTTATGATCGAGCAGTGCCTGGCCTCCGCTAAGTGGACTATTGAATGGGTTGTTTGTCAAGTCATTCGAAGATCTACGCGATGACTGAATACTATTGCGTTTCTCTGCCTTACTCTTATCTTCGCCTTCTTTGTCAAGTTCTTCTCCGCCTTCTCTGTTCTCATCCTGCATTTGTTGTTCTTCTTGCTCCTCGAGTAACTCAGGATATCTCCTGACAAGCTCGTAGTAAACGTCTGAGGCTAAATCCTTGAAACGCGTCTTTGGTAGAGTCGCAAGCTTCTGTCTCGCTTGATTTCGCTTTGGATGAAAGTCATCTTTAGTAGGCAAGTAAGGAGTAGTTCCAGCGCCCATACTATCTGTCTTGCTAGAACGTGGTGTGATGCCTTCATTACCCTGGATTCTCCTACAAAGCTCGTCGTATACGTCGGTTGAAAGTTCTTGAAATTGTTGACGTGTGAGTCTAGTGAGCTTATCCCTAGCAGAAGTGCGAGAAGAAGGAGCTTCTGTTATGACAAATAAATATAAATCACGTGTTTCTGCTACCTTACTCACCCTTCCTCAAATGTGTCTCTAAGAACTCAGAAAGTTGCTTGAAATGAATGCGGGCTATGCGCCTTGAATCCTCACGACTGGATGCTTTTGGATGTTGGTTTGAATAACTCGTCGAGAGTGAAGTCACTGGAGTTTCATGGCGCCCTGTCTTTGAGGCTTGCATGACGGTTTGAGATAAGTTCTTACTGGAGTACAACCAAGTTGATATAAAAATGGCAGCATTCGCGAAAGCTTATCAAGTGAGATTTACTTCTATTTTATAGCCTTCTCTGCTCACAATCCAGTCATCCTTCAATCGTAGACCTAATATCACATTATCACTCACAAACGGTACACTCTCTGCATTAGCAGATAGTATAGCCCAGTCTATTAATGTGAGCAATACACATCCTCTATTATGGCTCTTAATCCCTCAAACAGCCTGAATTGGATGAAAATTCTGAAAAACTATGGAACAAAAGACGAACAGTCAACTTTTTCATATTCGGTGCAGCTATGGGAACACCACTTAACTATTGGAATAAGTTTTTAGAGCGTGCTTTTCCTCTTAGACGTGCGGGCGCATTGCCGAATTCACCAATAAGCCTCAGAATGCTCTTCACAAGGGTTGGAGTAGACCAAGCTGTAATGTATGTCTTTCAGTGCTTAAATTTACAAGGATTTTACTAATATAACTATAGGGCACCATCAGGTGTAAGTCGTATTTTACGTCATATTTCGATTGATTGACATCACCAGTTAACGGCTTTCATTGGAATCATCGGTATCTTGGAAGGAAAAACTTCAAGAGACTTGAAAAACAAGTACAGCGATTTATTCGTCCCTGCTATACTTGCTAACTGGAAAGTCTGGCCATTGATTCAGCTTTTCAACTTCCGCTTTTGTCCTTTAGCGTGAGTGATGATACCTTGATCGACACATTATTCACATTTTTTCAGCTTCAGAGTACCTTTCACAGCCTCATGTGGTGTTCTCTGGACATTATACCTTAGCAACTTAAACTCAAAGTAAGTCAATCTTCCGACGAAAAATCTTCTTAAACATTCCTTTAGGAAAGGACCAACGGAGGTTCCAGCACCAGTTACAAACGAAAAGACATCAACGAAGCATCAATGGGAGCAGAAACCAACCGGAGTATACTCAAAAGCTGAGCTGGTCGGTGTCGCCAGATAAACATCGGTCAACAAAAAGAAGGAAGTGACGTGAAGTAACATACATGCCATTTGATTGAAGTTAATACAATATATCTTAGAGGGTAGAACCACCATCGAGAACAATGAGATTTCCAGTGACGTGCGCACTACCTTTGCTTACGAGGAAGAGTAAAGTAGCAGCAAGGTCTGGACCTTCTCCATACCTACCAGTAGGTTGTGAAGACAGGATTTTGTCCTTATACTTGTCAAGTCCATAGCGTGTCATACGTGTCTCAAAGACACCAGGAAGAATAGCATTCACCATTATATTTCTCCTACTAAGAGTCTGTGCGAGCGTCTTCGTGAGTGAATTAAGTGCCGCTTTGCTAGCATTATATGACCACACACCAACTCCACCACCTGTTAAGCCTCCATTTTGAGCAGTTGTCGCCAATCCAGCGATTGATGAGATATTCACGACGTGTGCTGGTGCTGTATTTGTCTTTCCCTCCGCTAGAAGACTAGCCAAACCTGCAATCATGTAGAATGACGCTTTAACGTTGAGTGCCATGACGTTATCGAATCCAGCTTGTTCTGGGAAATCCTCGAGCTTTGCTCCCCATGTAACACCCGAGTTATTCACTAGGATATCCAATTGGTTTTCTCTAGCTTTGACGTAATCGACTACAGTATCAACTCCAGACTTTGTGGATAGATTTGAAGGGATACATTCAACGACGCAGTTGTTGTTCAAACTCTGGAGATATTTCTGTGCTTCTTTAAGCTGGTTAACATTCCTGGATGTAATATAGAGCTTTTTAGCTAAGTTCTGCACGAGTGTTTGCGATATCGTGAGTCCTAACCCACTAGCACCACCTGTAACTACGCATATTGCGTCTTTAACGCTATATAACTCCTGCAATTGAAGTGTGGCTCGCTTATCAGACATAACCGGTTCTGATCAAGAGGCGGAAGGTGGAATTAATAAAGAGTAAAGCTATGTTACAAAATATTCAATGTTTATCAATGATTTGGATATCAATATGCAGTTATAGTCGCACAATCTTGTCAAGTTGTAGATTATAATTTAGAAGGCGTTGGTTCATCCATAACGTTATTAAGCCACGCTATAACATCCCTGGCGACTTCGTATTTGAGCTCACCTGCCTCCATGAACAGTTCATGCCTTGCGCCAGGATATGTCTTAAGCTGCTTAGATCTTGCCATCACCTTATCAATGAACTGACTGGAGGCTTCAAAAGAGTTCAAATTGTCGGCATCACCGTGCGCAATGAGTAAAGGTATGTTTGCTTGGTAAAATTTGTAATTGTTTGAAAGCAAAAGAGGTCCATTGTAGAGCATGTCACTTACACCACGTAATGTACCTATCTTAGAGGCAAGCACATCCTCTTCTATCGCTTTCTGCACTTCCTCATCGTGTGTTCTATCTTTAGGATCGATCATTGGTGATATTGTGAATGATCCAAGGAGACCTTTACATCTTTGTACCATTTTGATTAGTAAGTTTGGCGGTGGGTTTGTCAATTTGATTAATGGTGACATAGCGATTACGCCCTTCAATTCAGGCAAATTGAGAGGCGGATTGCGCGTTTGAGAACCCAGAACGAGTCCACCACCCTTTGATAGTGTTAATGTTATTATATTTCAATTGATTTTAGCTCGTACCATAGAGTGACCCATCAAAAACAACGGTAAACCTTTGTTCTGCTCTGCGAATCTGAATATGAGGGTTTGGAGATCCTTCAGACCATATTTCCAACTAGTTAATCCAGGCTTCGGATTTCCAGATTTCTCATGTGCTGAACGTCCAAAACCGCGCTGATCGTATGCGAATAGCTACTAGTGTGAACGTACTGACGTGTGGGAAGTAATCACGCACTTTGTAACCCGCTTGTGCAAACTTTGGAAATATAAGCGTATATCTGTCGATATGCTCAACAAAACCTTTAGAACTGTGAGAACTGCCGGTTATTATGGTAATTACATACCATGTACAAAAAATATGAGAGCCTTGGGCTCAGCAGGGCTATAGGTTTTGCTGTAGAGCTCTACGTCATCCTGTGCAGCTATCCATTCTGTTGTTACTTGTACATCGGTCATATTTGACGGTGGTGGAGGCGGGCAAAGCGGGTAAATCTATATATATAACTCTACATATATCTCTGCACATGTATATATTTTGCGATATTCTACGCATTCTAGCTAGCGATACGCGATTTGTCTTGACGAATATTCCATAGGCACAATCGACTTTGACGTAATTCTTCGAAGTGGATTGAAACCACAAGAGTCGATGAGGTTGGTTTATCCTAGCGAGGAAATCTTAAAGTCAAACAAACAATTTTTGATCGAAGACAGACGACTAAGCTTTTAAGCACGTCGTTGGGTTTCGGAACTGCGAAAGACAACTGTGTCATCGGATGTGTCATTGTAATAATACTAGCAGTAATAATATTATGATTTTAATAGTAAAATATATATATATAGTATACACATTGTTGCCCCAGATGAGGACAGTTTATCCGCCTTATGACTTTTATGGTACTAAAAACTGATAGAACGTGTGATTTCTATATAGAAGGAAAAATATTTTCTATCATGACGCCCTCTTTTGTCCCCTTAAAGATCCTCTAAAAGACTGGCTGGCTCCTACGATAATGACATAAGTCTTCGAGACGCACATCATTTCGCGGGGAAGGAAAATTTTATTGATCAAAAATTTGCAAAAATGTCAAGTAAAAGTGTGGTAAATGAAGGGAAATTAATTTATTTGCTATATTATTACAGTAGAAAATTTTTCAGAGGTTTTTATAGTAATTCTCGCCAAAAATCGATGGGCCTGTGCACTGCTCCACTCGATCAGATAGCATTAATTTAAAATCAGGTTGAAACATTTTGAAACTTGTTTTTCATCTTCGTATAAAACTCAATTCGACACTCTTTTCAACAAACAACAATGTTATCTTTCGACGACTACCTCGATGACAACGTATTTTCATTCGACATTCACTCTTTAGATCCAATAGACGATTTCACAACAACTTCCTTCGATGGTAGCCACAACCCATTTTGCTTCGACTGGATAGTACAACAGTCACAGGCCTATCAACCACCAACTATGGCAAAGGATGAGTTCTGCGTCAACCCTTCCTTAGCAACCAGCATCCCATCATCCTACACGACTTATGCGGAGTCAGAATCCACCACGATGTCTAGCTCAGCATCAGCTTCACAATCAGTTACACTTTCTCCTGCTATGACTGAAACCTCAATCGATTTCCAAAACACAATGGATAGACTCGGTTCAAGTGCAGGCTCATCTTCTAGCGCAAGTAGCTCTGAGGAATCACAGGCTGGTCCTATCAGAAAGTTCAAGTGTCCAATTTGTCCAAGAGCTTTCGCCAGACAGTTCAACTTGAAGCAACACATCCACACCCACGATCCAGATAGAATTAAACCACATGAATGCACATACAACGGATGCGGAAGACGTTTCTCAAGAAAGCACGATTTGGTTAGACATGCTCAATCAATTCATGGTGTTGCTGGTCCACCTACAAAATCAACGAAGAAACAATCCCCTCAAGCGATCGCTGACATGATTGCAAAAAGACAAAACGCTAGAAAGAAAACTACCGCTTAAGTCTTTCGGTGCAATTCTTTATAGTAAGTTATAATCTACCATCGAGGATCGTTATCTAACAAACATCAGACATTCTCACAGACACTGTGATGGCTCAACTTTCTAAACGCCAGAGATACCACTCTGTTCTTTTTTGAAAGCGATAGGTCATTTTGCTCTGTCAATCCCTTCAACCTCGTCGAGCCGATTGATATAATCAAAATGATAATTCTTTCACTTTCATTAAGCTTTCACTCATTAGTTTCTAGTCTCTACAATTATTCTTTCAAACCCTCCCCCCTGCCCGTGGTTATAACGGTTTTTCTTCTCAATTTTATAGACAGTGGCTAACGTTATAGTCACCTTGAGCAGGCAATCGGGTATGCATTTTTAAAAGCCACAAAATATATAAAGGAAAATTTCTTCTCTTTCTTTTTTATATCGCAATCACGCATTTTGTAGATTTTTTTACATTGACGGAGCTTTTTTTTTCTTAAACAAATATAGGAATGCATTGTGAATTGAAGTTATACAAATGTTATTGATTTGTTCAACAAGGATATCTTTACTGCGTTGATGGCTTTGGTATGTGAAGTGTCTTTTGTGTCGGAAAGCAATTGATTGATAAAATTGTCACCTGGTTGTAGATCTGAGAATGAATCAGAGGTAACTATGAATGTCTTTAACAATGATATGTTAAAAATAACATCACTATTGAGTAATATTGTTGGCGCGAGTTGTTTGTATGGCCTGCGGTGATTGCAGAGGTATAGTTGTAAATTGAAGAAAAGGTCATAGCAAAGAAGTGGATTATTCTCTATTGTTGCTTTGACGGTCGTGTTAGCCTTTCTATTGACGATGCAGAAGAATTCGGGATAATCAGATAAGTATTCATCATTATTTGTTGTTGTAAGGACATCAACGAGGTCTTCACTCTGGTCTGTCTTGATATATCTCAGGTTACCATACTCATTTACCTTATTCTCGCGAATACTGATAGCTGTAATTGCGTAATCATCGATAGATTGCGAGAGTGTATCACCAACGTGATTTTTGATACTCTTGAGCAACTCATTCACTACTTCGTCTGATAAATTCCGATGTAGTACCTTTACTGGCAAGTCTATAGCATTCTTCTGTTCATAATGACGTATGACTTGATATGCAAATTGACGAGCTTCATATGTCTCTTCATCGATATCCTCCTCTACAATTCCTGACAACAGGTAGACGATCTCACGAAGCCATAAACAGAATAAACCGTCTTTGGCGCTTAAATTGATAGCCATTTTAGCACCCATTGAGTAGACACTGTATTTGAATATAAGTAGACTATGGTATCTCAATTCATCATAATCGATAGCTGTACTTAGTAGAACGTTGACGATATTTGGCTTTATAAGCTCTTCTATGCCCATCCCAGACAGACTTATGGTTGTCACAAACAAAGAGAGAATATGTCGATAACTGGATTTTAATGAGCGTTTTAGAAGTGAAAGTTAATAATGTACTCACTTCATCACTCTAAATGCAACGTCCATTTAACATCCTTTTCTTGGGTTCAGACAGCTTCTCAGTAGATGTTTTCAAAGCTATATACCAGAAAAAGCGTGAGTAATCGGATATAACGTCGTAAAAAGCTAGAAGAGACTTAGATTTATACAACAATTTGTCTGTGATAACACCCCCTCCAGCGAGAACTGGTAGGCGGTTGAAAGAATTGAAAATACCACCTTTATTAGCATTATCGAATGAACTACAACTAAGGAGCTTCACCCCCAGAGACGTAGAATTGGCAGATATCTACACATATTTGGATACCCGACCAGATGTGATACTGACAGCGTCCTATGGACACCTCCTACCTTCTTCTCTCCTCAATTTAGTACCGCCGAAGCAGGCTATCAATGTTCACCCTTCTCTCTTGCCAAAATTGAGAGGTGCAGCACCGATTCAATGGTCTATCGCTAGACAATTACATGAGACTGGCGTTAGCATACAGACAATGCAGGATGACGTATTCGACAGTGGTGATATCCTCTACCAAAAGTCTTACAAAATAACAGACAAACCGACCTACAACTCTCTTTCAAAAGATTTAGGTCAGATAGCAGCAGAATGTGCAACAAATGTACTCGAAAATCTCAACTATTATATAGTGAGTTGAATCATAATTAAAAATTGTCAATTTAATCGATTATAACAGCACAATTCACGTAAACAAGATCCTAGTGAAATCACACACGCACCGAAAGTACACAGAAAGATCGGTTTTGTTGACTTCAACAAAATGCCAGCAAGTGTTGTCGATAGTCGTTATCGTGCATTTGGGCATCAGCGTCCATTATCTGGTAATCTCCTCCAATCTAATACATTACATCAATTTCATGATATCGAGCCATACCCAGGTATTATAGAAATATTAGAAGACGTTCAGCCCGGATCTGCGACATTACTAGGTGATAAATTGATCATAAAATGCGCTGATATGTCATACCTTCAAGTCAAATCACTTAAACCACCAGGAAAGCGTATTATGAGTGCTCATGAATGGTGGAATGGTCATAAACATGATTTAAAGGTCGTGAATTTCACAAAACCATTATTATAGAATAGGTAAAATCAGAGAAGTGATTATTTTTGTAAAAATACATTTTATTGTACAGTAATATGCTTATAGCAGACTGAACTGATCGTCACTGTCGAAATTCATCCATCTTAATTCATCTCTAGCAGTGAATGCCGTTCCTGGTGCTATATTTACCTGTTGCTGTCCTTGTTGTTGTTGTTGGAAGGCGTAATCAGGGTTTATTGTCGTCGCATTAGCTTCAAATACAAGCTGCTCGAATAATGGGTCATTCAAATCTTCAAAGTCTAACTGAGAAGAAAAGTCACTTGGTTGCTGAACAATCGGCTGGTTCATTTTCAACTGGTCGGAAATTTTCACTGGTACGCTATTCTGTGTGAACTTCTTAATCAATTTATTCAAGGCTGTTAAGGCAACTGGTATTCTCGTCGACATTCTACGATAGACTTCGACAATAGTTGACAACTCGAGTGTAATCGAGTCAGCTGATACTACATCTCCAGATTTTATTGCCTGAAGATAGGCAGCTATAAGAACATCACTGGCGTGATTGTAGATTGATACGACATAGCTTGGTAATTTAGACATATCCCAACTTGTGCCTAGTAATCTGTAGATTGTTGATAAAATTATTCGCGCGCACGATAATAGCCTGTTCATGGAGAATTGATCATGGATGAAACCACTATGCAAGCTCATCATGGCTTTGACACCAACAAGATGTGCCAAATAGATTCCAACGTCGAGTCCACCATCGACAATCTGTACGGAGTCACCCCAGCTATCCGGCACTGATGCTCTGTATTTCATAATAAGATTGTCTAACTCCATGAAAGTACTCAATTGATTGGCTGATTGAAGACCGTTCTTTACTACGTTCCTCTGACAAACATGCTTAAATCTGTTCACCCTGGCAAGTAAAACTGATGATTTAATCACAAAATGAAAACCATCTGCTTCATGTCGAGTGAAGAAGTTTTCGCTATCTATATATTGATTGTATTCAGGTATTGTTGATGTCGGTAGTAAATTGTTGTAATCCGATGTTTTGATTGGGAGCTTTGAGAATACTTCGTCATCATTGATATTCGGAGGGTAGATACCGGATATGTCAGAATAAAGTGTATCAAATACGTAAGCCAAAAAGAAAAGGAATTTGCGACATTCCCTCTCAATATCATTTCGAGGTTGACGTAGTAGTAATCTATTTGGCGTCATATCCTTATCTAAGTGAAGTCGAAGAGCAACAGCACCTCTAATACACATAACGTTGAGACGATAATGTTCCGCCTATTTGATAAGTAAAATATAATAAGGATTAGATGTTACCTACCCAACTATCCTCAATGTGTGTAAAATGAGACATGACTATCAGGGCTTTCAAAGCTTCTGCTTTCCTATTGAAGTTGGCATTTGATACTGTCTCTTCTTCTATAGCCTTTGTGGCAAATTGAGCATGTATCTCCAAAAATGTCGTGCTTGGTGCATTGAACAGTGGCTGAAAATCTGTTCCACAGGGATCACTGGGTGAAACAATAGGCGGGTTTGTTGTACGGGGGGAATGTCTGCTAGCAGAACAGAAAATAGCGTGCATTAAGGCTGGTGGGGGTGCATCTGGATGTGTGAATGGTAATGTCGCCCGCTGCATGAAAGTAGCTCTATGGAGGAAACCAGCGACAATTGGACAAGCATTGAAGAAAGTATTGAGCAAATGCATTGTCATATCGAGCGATGGATAATTAGGATGCCATCCAGGAACACCCAACGATGTGTTATAGAATGGATTTGTGAGTGCAGCGGCCTCCAATATTAGGTTAGCTGAGCCCATACTATTGTGATTCTCAATACCATTGAAAAGACCGTTAAACGAAGACTCGGGCTTGGAGCCCGGACTTTCACGAGCCCGAACCAACTCATCCTCTAAACTTTCTAAACGATCGCTTAGATTTGCTAATACATTTGCTATTCACTTACGAATCTTTTCCTCGAGTGTCTGCACTTTAGATTTACGCTTTGCGCCGCTAGTTGCTGATTTATCGATAGGATCTGTTTGGTAGACACAATCTAGACGGCTTTTAGTGCATGCACCACAAGTTGGCTTTACTGCGAATGTATTTGTGAGTATATATGTGTATCATAGATATATATACACACCTGCATCGCATTTCTGATTGACGTGAGATTTCGTCACTAAAATAGTACGCCAAGACCCACCATTTTCCTACGTCTGCATGTTATACAGGCTGATCCACGCTTCAGCGTATTCTCGCTCTTCGTTGTGCGAGGTCTCTTATCTTCTCGTTCGATAATGATGAAAGTGTGAGTTGAAGAAAGAAGCAAGCATTTATTAAGTAGAACTATCAATTTACAATAACTAATAACAGTATGGCTAATATAGCATATAGTTTTCCCTACAACCAGTATAAACAAAGAGGAAATAAATTTATCGAAATTCTTAGACGTCATAAGCGATACGTGAGTAGAGCTTCTCCAAGCTTTCTATACCTCTCTGAGCTAGGATAGCCGGTGCGTCTTCCTTATCGTCTTCGAGACAGGATGAAAAGACTTCTAACGACCACGGTCCAGTATATCCCAAATCCATTATTGTGCGCATGTACTCCTGTACTGGAAGATAAGCACCTCTGTTCTCCTCGCATGGGAAAAGTCGTGATGTGCGCGACCACTTCATCTTCGCTGGTGCATTACGCGACGTTTGGAACGTATTATTCTCTGTAACTCTCTCAGCATCTGCCACTTGTAAAAGAAAGAGCTTATTTGGTGGTATATTGTCGAATATGTTTCCTAAGTATTGATATAATTTATCTATTGTCATGCCATCCTTAACTCCGTATGCCTTAGAGGGGTCAGCGTAGAAATTTGCCCTAACATAACATTAGTGGTGTTTCTAAACTTAGTAAAATACCCACAGTGAGTTAAATGTGTCTAATATCACACCCACGTTGTCCATATTGACGCGTTTGACGACATCCCAGACCTGCTCCCAAGTGTTTATGACGGTACCCCAAGCGAGCGGCTCATAACCAACGCGTAAATCCAATTTTGATGCCCGTAATCCAAGCTCCTTGAGTGCTCGCACTTGAGCATCCCTATATTTGATATAACTAGCGCCGGGAAGGGAAAGTGGGGAAAGTGGAGCGAGGTTATTAGAGCAAACGAGTAATAAATCTGTATTTAGATGTTTCATTATTCGAAGATATCGATCAGCCTTTGTTAAGGCATTGTTGAGGAGACCGGCATTATCGCCTATGTTTTCAAAGTCTCGCAAAGGCTGGAGACAGTGTATCTTTAGAGAGTGCTCTTTGCATAGTGCGCTGATTGCTGACGCACAACCCTCCTCAAAGGATGGCGCTAGAACATGTTCACTAACGATCTGGCTGTGCATACCAAATCCGCATTGGCGAACAAAGTCCTCAAAGTCCGGAATGAATATTTCTATTCCATCGAATCCGTGTCGTGCAGCTAACCTGATTTTCTCCGGGAGAGTGTGGTGTGTCAGTGTACCGAGTGATAAACTAGATATACCAAAGTCTGGCTTCTTGATGCTGGCGCAGAGACCAGAACTCGATGAACTTGCGGATGTCGGGAGGGACGTGCCTGGCGGGAATATGGATTGTCCAGCGTTATAGTTTAGCCGGTACGCGTCTAACTTGAACGACTGCTGTATTCTTTTAGCAATCACCATTTAACGTTTAATGATCGCTTTAAGCTTTCAAGGGACTATCTCCACTATCAGCTCGTTAGGAAAACTAAAAATGCCTGTTTTCGGTGGAGGGGGAGCCGGATAGAGTGAAGTTAGTAATCAATAAACGCTGTACTGTCATTTAAATGGCGTAATTTATTTTATTTTATTATCCCTGTGTCTTGCATTCTCGATTGCCTTGCTAGTACACACCCATGGACATTCCAAAACAAGCGAGCAGATTGAACTTATCAAAAACGCCAACTGGTAACAATTTCTACGGTTCGACACCTGGCGGTACAAAGATAGTTTACAGTAGAGACCAGTTGTTGTCCTTGGCTAGCAGCCCACTCTCTCATACACCTCCTAAGGGTATGACGTGTTTTTATTTTCGATAAATAAGCAGTCTAACATTTAACGCACAGGTCTCAGTCACTTCCCAGCCGCTATGTCACGTTCTGAGCACAAACCGGTTGAGCTAGCACAACCAGGAAAGGAAGCGACGAAAACTAACGAGGATACTACATTCGAAATGGATGACTAAGATACCTGTTGTTGTACACTTTGTAATATTTCCCTATATTTCTCCTTATCCATACCAGATGCGTAGGTATTTCTCGAGTGCTTGGACGGACCCTTAACTTTGTGTTCTAAAAGGAGTTTCGAGACTCTCTTTTTACCAAAAGCACGCTCCAATAAGTGTATCTCCTTCTTATCCTTCTTGTTCAATCCAGACTTTATTTGTTTGTACTCGTTGAGTGACTGAGTCGTTGATTCAAGCACCCGCCTAGCTTCATCCTCAGCGTCTGCAGACGGTTGATTCTGCTTTATGAGATGTTCAGCTACCAATATTGACCATGGCTTATCGATTTCTGCGTTACGCTCTACGTATGGCTTCAAAACGTGTTCTTCTTTGTGGAAATTAGCTGGTGCAACGAAGACTCTAGCTTTTTTATCGTCTATAATGAAAGTATTGCTTGATTTTCCTGCATGTTTACCGACAGGGCCAGTTCTGTATCCATCAATATAACCCGTTCTTGTACCTACAAAGTTTATGAGTGAAAATAAATTATAAAAGCAAGTAAATACCTTTATAATACTCTTTATTACCACCTTTAGTCGTTAATTGCGTACGTCTAGCGCCTAATCTAACAAAACTCGAAAACATCCTGGTAGATCAAAGTGAAGAGTCTTCTCTCCTAACTCCCAACTTCAATTCTATCAAAAAATGGTGAAAAAGTTGAAAGTATCCTCAGATAAAGTTTTAGAATTAGAGAGAAAGTTATCCAGCCTCACCGATCTCAATCCTATACAGGATTTACTCACTTATCTCGAATCTGATAGTGTAGACGGCAGAGTTAAGCATAAAACGCTATTCGTTTTACAAAGAGTCTTTAGTAGTTTGCTAGTATCAGATAGGATACTCGGTTTGAAATCAACCTCCGACAATGAAGCTATCACTATCACTAAAAAGTGGTTACTCGATAAATACACCAAATTCTTTATCATTTTAGGTCAATTACTCTATTCCAATGAGCACAGTTTAAGAATTACTTCCTTACATATATCAATGTCACTCATACGCACTGAATCATCTTACATTTCAAACAAAACTAAACCAGCTACACCTCAATTCGCTATTGAATCGTTTAGAAGATTAGTAAGATCCTTGTTGGTATCTGAAAAGCCAATCATCGATGATGTACGCAAAGAGTGGATAGACAAATGGCCTGGAAAGTGTGACGATATTCGCTACTTCTTCTTTAAAGAAACTATTTCATTACTTAGAGAGTTCGATATCAAAAATGAAAGTCGTCCAAAGTACCTCACAGCTAATGTCTTGAGTATATTAGAAAACATCCACACTATGCCAACTGATCAATCAGAAATTGACGAGTTCTGGGTACCTGAAATAGCCAGACAGGAGAAAGAGCAAGTCAAACAATCCAACCTCGAACAAACGAAGCTCGATAGTCAGGATTGGACTGCATACTACGACCAGATGGTTACAGAAGAAGACGAAGAGAAGGCCACAGACAAGAACGCAAAGAAGAGTAAAGTGCGTGACACTATCAATTTGAGTGCTCACAGGGCGATGTATTCCGGTGTCTGGCTTACACTCTTGAAATGCCCAACGGGTTTGGATGTCAGCGAGAACAGAAGAGCTTTAGTCGTTCTCCATCAACTTGTCATACCTTTCCTTAAGCCATCAGAAAGGGCTAGTTTGGCAGATTGGCTTAGCGATTGCTGTGACATTGGTGGTGTAAATGCCCTCCTAGCTTTGAATTCCTTGTGGAGATTGATGAGGGATCACAATCTGTGAGTAATAGACAATCCATCTATCACTTTTCTAATCATTCTTAGCGACTATCCAGATTTCTATAGACGACTTTACGCACTTTGCGATCGCAACGTCTTACATGTGCTTTACAGAGCGAGATTCTTTAGAATGTTAGATCTCTTCTTAAGCTCTACGCATCTTCCTGCACTTTTAGTTGCGGCTTTCATCAAGAGACTCAGCAGGTTGTCCATTTCTGCGAGCCCAGCCGCAATCGTTATGTTGATTCCATTTACTTACAATCTCCTTAAGAGACATCCAGGATGTATGCATCTCATACACTCCGAGAGAATGGCTCAAGGAGAAGAAGCGGATATGTACAAAGTAGAAGAAACCGATCCAATGCTTTCAAATGCTTTAGATAGCTCCCTCTGGGAGATGTCTACCCATCAATCACATTATCATAGCAGTGTTAATAGAATGTCACAAATTTTCTCACAAGTTTTCTCAAAGCCTAATTTCGCAATGGAAGAATTCCTTGATCATGCTTATATTACCATGTTTGACAGTGAAATTCGTCGTAGAATAAAAAACAACCCTGCCTTATATGATGGTAAAACTATTGGAATTTTCGGTGGACACAAGCGTAAACTTGATAGCCTGGAAACCGATGAAGAGAAGGATGCAGTCAGTGGTACACAAGGTGATTTAGTCGCTGAATTGTTCGAATTTTAATCATTATTTATATAATTATGCATTTTTACTATTTATACGCTTAAACTCTCTCTGAAATTGTGATACAGTCTCCGACAACACCCATAGCAGTTACTGCAGAACCTGCACCTGCACCTTGTACGATGAGGGGGCGAGCACCGTAGCGTTCGGTGTGGAAGAGGAAGATGTTGTCTGATCCAGTGAGTGATGCGAGAGGGTGAGAAGATGGGTAGCTATAATGAATGTTAGTAATTTTCAAAATGACGTTATGAAACTCACGTTTCTAAACCACACTTGATCTTACCAGAGGCAGCGTCAATGACACCGACGTATCTGAGTACACTGTCGTTATCATTGGCTGTCTTTCTGAGTGACTCATAGTGTGCGTCGTGGTTCTTGAGTCCAGAGAGGAAGTCTTCAGGACTGATATCACCGTCTAAGCCAGCAGGAATGAGTGATTGTACATCTACACTGTCGACACCATCTGGGAGAGCGTTCTCAAGTCCTGGGATGTGTCTTGAGAGAATAGCAAGCTTCCTAGCGACATCACTACCGCTCAAGTCTGATCCTGGGTGTGGTTCAGTGTATCCCTGATCTCTAGCATCTGAGACAAGTTTCGAGAAGAGAATATCATCATTCTTTCCTGATTTTGAGTAGGTGTTGAAAAGGTAGGACATAGTACCAGATAAGACACCTTCGATCTTTGTTACCTTATCACCTGTCTTGAGCAATGTCTCGAGTGTTGAAATAACAGGCAAACCAGCACCAACTGTGCTTTCCTTGTAAGCGAAAGCACCGCTTGCTGCGCTAGTTTCTTTGATATGGTTGTAAAGACTGAGTGAAGCACTGAATCCGACCTTATTTGGAGTGACGACGTGAACACCGTGTGATAAAGCGACTGGGTAGAGCTTTGCGACATCTTCTGATGAAGTATTATCAATAAAGATACATGGTTGCTGCTTTGCTAATGCTGGTATAACCTCCTTTTCGAGACACTTTGGTGAGGCCTTAGCCAATTCAGATTTTGCAGAAGCGAATGGGATACCAGATTCATTGAAGTAAGTACCCTTAGAGTTTGTGATGCTAATAAGCTTAAATTGCTCTAATTTGCTCAATTGTTCAAGGACAGATGTACCGACACCGCCAGGGCCTACCAATGCGACGTTGACGACCTTCTTAGTGCTTTGAGCTGCGTTGAATAAAACCATCGTGATTGTTTGAGAAAAGGCTGTGATATCATCACATTTTTTATTTCTGCTCTCTATAAATTTCAGTTTTACAAAAATTCCTTCTTCAACTCAAACTACAAAGTGAGTAATAAGAAATTGGGTGACAAGGAAGACATTAATTACCGGCAAATTCATAACATGATGATATTTATAAGGCTGTATTTTTAATACACTGAGTCACCCACCCCTCTTACTTCTTTGCTAACCATATCTAGTGTAAGAGATATATATTCCCACCCAGCAGCTCTTTATTATGTGGATGACTTACATCTACGCGATATTTCAAACTAGAGTCTCTGAGCCAAGTGCCTTGAGGTTATTGTGGATTTCTGAAGAAAGAAGACAGTCTGGGTGTCTTTAGAATAGAAGCTGACATTATACTTAGTATATATATACATATATTATACCAACATTACTATGGTAAGCAAATCTATTTCACATAAGCACGCATTCAAACGCAAATTAAATGATGTCTTATCACGACGGTCTTCCGACAATTCTTGAGGAAACCGCCCGTACCAACCAACGCATATCTTCGGGCAAACCCCACTGATACTCTTTGCTTTGCGGCTTATGTCTTCCTTTGATCTTTATTGACTTTTATCTTAGATATCACAAATACTGTTAAAATTTTAAATTATCTTACTATTAAATAAAGATGCATGCTATCAAATTATAAAACTTATTACTCCTCGTCTGAAAAAGACATGTAGTGTCTAATTGGTCTAACCCTGACTTTTCTGGGGAATGTGTTGCTATTGAGTGTTGTAACTATTGTTGGCTTACTTTCTCTAGAGTATCTAGCTTTAGGTCGTGGTCTTAAACTGCGTCCCCCAATCGTTTCAAAAGCCAAATTCTTCATTATTGACTTCGCACTTTCAAGTAAATTCTCACCCGCTTTTTCATTTTGTAGTGATCGATCTTGTGGACTTCCAGCTTCAGAGTGTGCGTTCGTGGCTTTTTCATTAGCGCTCTCATTTGTATCGTCATCCTCACTATCACTTACGGATGCAACATCGTTGACAGGTGTTGAATCAGCGAGTTGCTCATCAACGTGTGCTATACTGTTCGATTTCTCCCTCATTATCTGACCATCTGCAACCTGATCATCTTCCTCCACATTTGAGCTCAAGAAACGGTGTTTAAGTACGGGTGATCTATTCATTTCTACTGTTTGGACGACTTCATCATTCTGCAAATCGGTACTCAAACCTCCTTCTATTTCAAACATCTGCATAGGACCATTCCTATAATCGTCCATTTGTTCCCGAAGTTCTTCATTCATTTGTCGTGACCAATCTTGCTGTAATTCATCGGCTTGCTCTTGTTCGTATCCTCCTGATAGTTTTTGTTGCTTCTGCAGTTCAACTGGTTCTACATCTAAGGACTTCTCGTATTGTGATAGGTGAGAGTTGATAGGAATAACTGGAGGAAGTGGAGTTTCATTTGTGGGTTGTTCTACGCTAATGTTTTGTTCAAAAGCACGTGTTCCTCTTGATTCAAAGGAAAATTCAGGCTGGTTAAAGATCATAGGCGAGGTAAGCATTTCTTGTTCTGTATTTTCATAATGAAGCGTATCATTTGGCTGATCTTCTAGTTCTTGAGATTTTTCTTTGATAGATAGCGGAGGAATGTTTTGACATTTAGGATTTATATCTTGAACAATACCCTTTGGTTCTCCTACCTGAGTTGATTTCTCCCTTTGTGGACTTCTGTCTGTCTGGAATTTCTCCTCATTAGTCTCCTTGACCATGGTGTTCAACCACCACTGGTGACTTTCCATATCTTGAGTTTGTGCTTGATTGACATAATCAATACCTTCTAGACGCTCTTTTTCAGTTGCATTCCTCTCTTCAGCTTCTCTGTGATCTTCCAATTCTTTCTCTTGCATACTTATTTCGAGAAGACGTTCCTTTTCCTCACGAAGGCGGCGCTCTTGCTCTTGTTCTTCACGGCGTAGACGTTCCTTCTTTTGTTCTTCACGACGGACTTGTTCTTGTTCCTCCTTCTTCTTCTGCTCTACTTCGAAGAGTCGCTTCTGATCGTTGTACATTTTCAGACGTGCTTCTTCTTCTTTATACCACTGTCGCTCAGCTCTTTGGCGTATTTTCTCTTGACGAATTTGCTCTTCTTCATCCTCTTTTTTTCGTTTGACGGATTCAAGCTTCTCTTTTTCTTCTCTGTCACGCTTCTTTCTCTTTAGGTAATTTCTTTCAAATGTGACAGATTCATGCTCAGGTAGCTCAAATGTGAGACCTTGATCTTCAGCAAGTTTGCGGAAAGGCGAGTTGGGCTCATCGAATAAGTTTGTTGGTCCTCTTGATTTACGCTTGTCAATACCATGTATCCTCTGAGTGAAGAGGTCAGTGAATGGTGCTGAGTTTATCATCAGTATAATGTAATATGGATGATGTTAAAACTTACTAGGTGTGGTACCTTGTGGCTCAGAAGGTATATTATTAGCTGCTTTGTTGAGCATCGGTGCGCTCTTCCTCTTTTTCAGGGTTTCAATGCTAGGCTTAGCCTTGACAGATGGTATCAAGTCTAATTCATCTCGGCTGTCATCGCTGCTTACCGGTAGCTTCTGAGACGCCAGTTTGCTTGGTTTGTCGTGCATTGTCTTTCGCCTTGCTTCTTTTTCCTTCTCGTTGTGTTTCTCTTTCTCTTTCCTCAATACTCTCTCTTTTTCCTTCTGCTTTTGTTTCTCCTTTTCGCGCTCTTGTTGTCTCTTCTCTTTTTCACGTTTTTCACGTTTTTCACGTCTTTCTTTCTCTAATGCTTCACGCTTTTCTTTCTCCCTAGCTTCACGCTTTTTCTTTTCTCTCGCTTCACGCCGTTCCTTTTCTTGTAATTCCTTCTCTTCCTTCTCTCTAGCCTCTCTGAGCCGCCTTTCGCGAGCCTTTCTAGCTTCCCGCTCCTTTAGTTTCGTGGTTTGAGACTTTTGAGGTGTCACAATTGGTTTTTCATCAATTTCAAGGTCGTCAACTTCCATTTTAACGCTTATGTCATTTTCAGGTACTTTGCTCATACTATGTATCGTACGATGGCGTTCCTTGAGTTTACCTATGTAGAACTCATCTTCTGCTCTTGCTAGTATAGTTTTCCAATTTTCTGGAAAGCCACTAGCGAATAATTCATCAACGCTCTCTGGAAAACCTTGACAACCTGTCGAGGATAGCATACCTATCAAATTGACGCGTATGTTCCGACTACCGATCAATTCTGTCTCTGTTGTACGTTTATGTATATCAATTGAGAAGAATTTAGAACGTGCTGATTTACGACTATTCGAGAAATCTAATTCGTAACCACCTACTGCAACACCTACTCTGCCTTGATCAGATATATGACGCATTATGTACCAATTCGTTAAAGTAACTTCAGTGACGGCATCTTTAGTATGAGTAGCTGATAATTGCTGGGGTGCTGGTTGTTGAAATTGGGTGTATGATGTTGAAGGTTCAGCCTGCTGATAGTAACTCTGATCGGGGGATAATGGTAAATGTGTTTGAGATGCTAGTTGAATAGGTGGCTGTGATTCTGGAATTGACTGCTGTTTTATTGTGTTAGCCGCACCAGGAAGCCACTTCAAAGCTGATAACGAGAAACGAGACTGACGTGGTTGGCGTGAAGTGCTACTCTGGGTAGACATTAAGTTATGCGATATATTGTATGGGTTATTCATTGACGCGCTATTCCGTGGGGGAACGAATGTGTTACGTGCTGTTTCGATTGCCTGGAGTAAGAAGTTAGAGATTGCTAGAAAGCCATAAAGGGATATACTTTTCGCGTTGGTTCAGATATGAATACGTCGTCAAAACTCTCATTTATAGTGTAATCGTCCATATCTCATCTATGCGACGATGAAGGTTGAATGGGAAGGGGTGAATCTCAACTGAATAGATATTCGCGCGTGTACTAATAAAACAGGCTATTTGGAAATTCTCTGAACTATTATATCATATCATCTCCCCGTGCATTGACCAGACGGGGATATGTCCTGAGATATATACGAGATAGAGAATATTTATAATCCAAGATACACGATCTCTAAGTGAGCACCCTAAAAAACTTATCCCGGTTCCAAGGCGGGGAAAAGGATTTGCACACCTTTTTCTTTCGTACCTCATTCACTCCAAGTACCAGGTATACACGGCTTAGTAACCCACGACAAGGAGATAGACAGCTAAAACGCCTCTCTCAGCCCGTATTGATAGCCCGAGTGTCTGATGAGCCATGCTTCAGTTGATTCATATGCTGGAGACGGTTGCAAATACAAATTAGTAGACGGTATTCCCCAGACATATTTACTGTGAGTACCGAGATATGGGAGATGTCAAAAATGCCATAGACAATACGCCTTTCATTCCTATCAGCCAACTGACTATCAACAGCGATAATAACAGACTGGATATTAATGCACACTCAAATATGAGTAAACAGCCTAGGAAATCTTTCTCTGAGGCGTACGATAACAAATATAAATCACGTACGCCAACTTTATCTTAGCCCGTGTCTTCTGACTTGGACTTTAATTTAGCATTTAAACCATTTAAAAAGATCTCTAACTTCTTCAACAACTCTAGTAGCACAACCGATAAGGACGTTTTCGCTGAAACCGAACGCTCGAAAGCACTATACCCAGATCTTCTTAGGAGAGCGAAATCGCTAGACCACAATCAATCCAAGCAATTGAAGCAACAAAAACAAGAGAAACAAGAAAAATTAATGAGAACGCACTCTAGAGTTAGAAATAAGCTCCGTAAGACACCAAAGCAGGAGACTGAACAGCAAGACAATGATACCAATAGCAAAGACAAACTGCGCAAAAGGAGCACAAGACGCAGTAAACGAAAAGAACTTGAACAAAGTGATGAAATACACGCTAGCTCACAAATTCCTTCAGTACCCCCAGTACCCCCAATTCCTCCAGTTCCTAGAATACCAACTCCCAAGAGTTCCACTCCTTCTAGTACGACCTTTCCCTCAAATAGTGTTACCTTCACGCCCTTTCCTGGTAGCCATATCCATTCTCGTCCTAGTCCTCCACCTAGACTTGACATCCCCAAAATCTCACCCTTCGCGCAAACGCTCGACTTCGTATCACCTCAGCAGAATTTAGAACACTCACAAGCCCAGTATATTCGCAACAACCAAAGGAGGGATCCGAGAAGCCCTACGCACATGCTTGGCGTTAGTAGTTCTTCAGACCATAGTAGTCCTACTGTAGCTACCAATTCTGGCCCCCCAACACCAATGAGCAACTTAACCAACCTTAGCAACTTCAGTAATCGCCCACAAACATTACACTTGATCACCGATGATAATCTATTCTACGAGGCACTCAAAGATTATAGAAAGAGATCAATTGTTTTTGGTACCGCTGAAAGCGATGTTGTTGCAAGCCTAGGTGGTAAATCTAATGATAAACATGTGCGAACGCCTTCTCCATCGCCTACCAAATCGAATTTTGAGGATATACCAGCTAATGAAGATCAAATTATGTCTGATCCTGCTTGGAAGAGTGAGGTAAAGAGGCTATTCATCATTCGTGAAATAGCAAGCACGGAGAGGTCATACGCAAAATATCTTTCACAGCTGCTTGAGGTGAGTTAAAGTTTTTCTTTAGTTCTCTATATCTAACTTAGTTATACAGCTTATTAAAACATCCTATCCCACATTTCAAACCAGACCTTCAACTACATTGCAAATAATCGATGAGAATGGTAGCAAGAATCCTGAAGAGTCCTTCAAGCATATCAAACTACTAGCGAAGCATTTACCAGAGCTCATACAAGTTTCACAACAACTTCTTCAACGTCTGGACGACGACCCTTCAGCCTATGGTGTAGCAGTGGCTTTCATAAGCTTAGAAACGGACTTAGAGTCTGTCTTCATTAACTGGAGTAGGGCTTACCCACATGTGATAGATTCAATATCACAAAATAAACTATTGCGGGAGCAAAAGGAGAAAAGGAACAAAAGAGGGAAATCGATGTCGTTTGTTGAATCAAACAAGTCGCAACATTCAGACTTTTACCTTCAATCACCCCATGATAAGGTTGAAAGTTACACTATTACCAAGAAAGGAAGAGTAAAGACGGAGCCAACTAGAACAACAAATGAAAAATCTCTTACTAAAAAGAAACGAAAACAGGCTATTGAAGAGAGTTTAGAGAGGTTAACACTTAATGACTCCCAGGTACACCAAAGGCTGAAACTTAATGACGTTGCAGTAATGCCTTCACAAAGGGTAACTCGATACGTCTTGTTATTAAAAGGTAAAGTAAAGGTATGAAAATGTCTTTAAAAATCTAACGAAAGCTTCTAGACCTGTCAAAACATACTCCAGAATCCGCATTAGCTAGTGGACTTGTAGACAGGGCATTAAGGGGGGCACAAAGGATAGCTAATGACTGTAATGAAGCAAGCGCACGACAAAACATCTAATGACATTCTATTCACATAATTTCTAGCGATGTATTCTAGATATTGAGATCAACTAATAAAAATTTCGGGGCATTCACTTCTCTGATATACATTAACATTAAGATCCTTGGTTTACTTTAATTTACAATTTTCTTTTTACTTAATAATTAATTTCTTGTAAAATACATTTTGGTTCTCGCCCTGATTTAGTGACTGGAATGACGGTCGTGCATGGACGTTGGCCTTCAAAGACATGGCAGACGTCACATACCTGTCATTTAAATATCCGTAAATACCCTTTGAATAGTAAATCCAAGATGGATGAAATAACAATAGCAGATGCTTTCTCTAATAGACTTTCAATTGATGTTGAAAGAAGTCTGATACATCAAGACATTCTAACACCGCCAACTTCTTCAACATCCACTAATTTTAGTGTAAATTCAAGAACTTCGGATATTCTACAACGGATGCGTGCATCTAGAGTAATTCCACCACAGAAACCAGCTCCTAGAATGCCCTTACCACCAGTACCTTCACATCCTTACGCGAATCCATCATCAAATTACGCGTCTTCACTATCTTCTTCTCAAGCATCACTCGATCGTCCTTCCCATAAATTAGGAGCTCCTAGCACCTCTTCAGCTCAATCATTAGTTCTTCTACCTAACTTCGACGAATGGAGCGTTAAGAGTAGCAATATGAGCACGCACGATGGAAGAGAATCTAGACAATCTACATCGAAACTTTCTAAACGTAAATCTAAAGCTTTCTCTTTAAAGATACGAAATTTCTTTAAGGAATAACGTCATTATATCAGACACGAATATTACACGCTCTTTACACGCTCTTACAGCATATCAATTGCAGTCATCAGTTAATTACCCTCATTTATAAACCTGTTTATTGCTTTGGCCTTTATGAATACCAGCACGCTCTTTTACAGACAGACAATTTCAATTATTGTTTTAGTATTGATTTATATTGTATACATAATAAATTCAGATATCAGCGATTACTTTTCTTAGTGTGTCAAGTAATATTCCCGCTTCTTCTTTACCAAATATAAGCATTGGTCTTAATCTCACAGCTCTTTCACCACATCCTCCAATGTTAACACCTCTAGCTCTCATACTAGACACAACGAGATCTCTTCCTTGCGATGTTGGCATATCGAACGATATGAATGTACCTTGTTTCCAGCCTCTGACATTTTCAATTGGTGTGTTTCCACTGAGGTTCTTGAGAGAAGTGTAGATGAACTCTCCAACATCTTCTGTATGCTTGACAAGATTGTGATTATCGATATATTTTATCATCTCTCTTGCTTGTAAGGCTCTAATTGGATCACCCATCCAGGTGTTGAAGTCTTGGATATTGTAAGCGTTAAGTATTCACTTAATCCAGCACTCACTTCTGTATGGTAATGAAGGACGTAAGTCAAAGTTGTGGTAGAAACCAGCAGCTTGGGCCTTAACAAAGGTTAAGAATGGTCATCGTCGTGCCAAATTACCTACCTTCTTAGAGAAAGTGACGATATCTGGTGGTGTCTCGAGGTTCCACTTGTCATGAGCCCAGAATGAACCAGTAGCACCTTGCAGGGATCAGCTGATTCCAATAGTAAGAGTACTATACATACCGAACCCAGTCTGTACTTCATCAACAATCATATAGACGCCTTCCTCTTTGGTGATTTCTCTCAAACCTCTAAAGAAATCTGCAGAGGCATGGTTATCTCCACCTTCTGATTGGATTGGCTCGACTACGAGTGCTGCTACCGGTTTCTTGGTTTTGCTATGACGTAAGAGTAAGAAAAAGGGATATGAAAAACGACATAAAAACTCACTGTTCACGTATAGTCTGTCTCACCAATTCTAGAGATTTAGCTTCAGCTGCTCTATTATAGTCCCCATATTCTTCAAGAGGGTATTTGACAGCCGGCCAGGCAACTTGCGGCCAATCAAATGCAGGTACGCCGATCTACACTAATGAGCTTCGCCGCGATAAATGTGAAACGTGTCACTAACCTTATGGATAGCTTTGGAGCGTGTAGTTGAGAGCGAGCCGAACAATCTACCATGGAAAGCTGATTCAAAAGAGAGGATAGAATATTCTGGTGAACCTGGTGCGGCATTTTGCATACAGCTTTTTAGTTCTTCCTCACTGAAACCAGTTCCGTGGTGTTTATCGCGATAGGCCATGAAAACTGCTTTGTATGCGGATTCGTTGGCGCAGGATCCACACATTGCGGTGAAGAGCTGCAAAAAGCGTAAGAAGACACGTCAATAATGATAGTAAACCAACTTGTTCGAGCCCTTTAGGTGTCTTCTTGAGTAATCCATCCTCGAGTATTTGTTTCCAGTTCGATGGAGGGAAGTTACCCAAAGCTGGTCTGTTTATCGCTGCTGTGATGAACTCTTCCTGTTTCAATTTAGTTGCTATGTCTTCTTATCGCCTGCAAACCCACAGATTTAGCGAGTTCAATCAAAGCTGGGTTGTTATATCCTATCGCGATTGAAGCTACCGATTGTTAAAGTAAGTCTAGCATAATGAAGGCATATTTACCAATCTAGAGTAGTGCTCAGCTGTTATATAGACCAGTTTGCGATGAACTCACCTGTGCAAATGCATCGAGCAGTGTATTACCATCAGCATCTACAATGTAGTTACCAGAGCTTTTACCGTAATCTAGTAGGCGATAAGACTTGAGAATTTAAGAATAAACCTATCCTACCAACTATGAACTGATGTGCTCTATCTTCCTGAATTTCTGAAATATCCTTAGATATCGACTTAGAAACCGGTCCAGGGAAGCTTTTTGTTACAATCTCAGGTCTGAGTGTTGCGAACCGTCTAATAAATGTACTCTTCATTGTACTTAAGTAAGAATTGTTATCTGATTGGTCAGATACCCAATGAAATCACACAGATTATCAAAAGTCGCTTAGCAACCGAATTAAATGCAATAATCAGCTGTTTAATTATCTGGCGGATGTATGACACCCTTTATAGTTTTGAGAGTGAAATATATTATATTTTCTATTACATATGCAAATTGGACCTTTTTTATTTAGCTGCAATGCTTGCCCTGGCTTGAGCCAATGCTTCAATTGCTTCATCAGCCCTGAGGGAAACGACACGCATATCTGCTTCTGTCTTCGCTTTGTCAAATATTCTACCGAGTTGTGGGAAGAATGGCTTGACATGCTGTGGAATACGTTGAAGGAATTTCGTGAGTGTAAGCAAGATTGCTGATTTGATAGATGATGCAACCTTTTCACCCTACAAGTCATGTTAGTTTGCGACATTAATAATTTGAAAACACTCACTTGAATTCTGATGAGAGGACCTGTCAATTGAATAACAAATGGTTTAATGTTAACCTCATCTGTTCTTTCAATAACATCTCCAATTGCGTATGCTGCATTCTCACGTTGCTATCGTTGTTATTAGCGTTTCATCCTTAATAAAAAACACAATGACACTCACTTCGACATTTCCAGTAAGTAAACCAGCCAAAAGCATTGGAATAAGTGGTGCAATACCTCTTGGACGACTGAATCCAGCTACAGTCTTACCATATGATCCGAGGTTTTCAACTGCAGATCTCAATGGAACGGCAGTCTCATCAAGTTCATCTTTAGGTATTGATTTGACGAGCGCATCAAGAGCTTCTCTTGCACTTTCGATTACCTCGTCAACTGGATCATCCATTGCGCCAACCAATTGTCTCAACCAGTCATATCTGTAGTACTCAAAGTCCTCTTCTGTTGACTTGGCGAATATTGTGAAGAGCTTATTACCGGATACTCTTCTGGTAGATTCGACATCCTTAGCCCAGCCAATTAAAGTCATCATAATGATGTTAAGACCTTCAATACCTTCAACAACATTGAACATGCTTGATAACGCCTTTTCAATTGCTTCTCTAACTTCATCATCAGGCTTGCTTTCCAATTCTTGAACATATGCACGAAGGATACTTGTGATTTGCTCCGTAACGGCATCACCAGCAACTTTGATAAGTGAATCCATTGCGTTCGCCTTGAAAGTTGTGATAGGAGATGATGTGAGTTCTGGAACCAAGATAGGGAATACTGTTGCAGATCTGACCGTCATAACCTCCTTCAATGCCTCTAATGCGGATACAGATAATTGTGAATTAGATGAAAGTGCCTCGACCAATGTTGGAATCGTTTCATCAATTGCGCTACCACCAATGTGTAATTGCATAGCATCAAATGCTTGAGCGGCTGCACCTCTAACTCTCTTGTCATCATCAACGAGACATTTACGGACTGAAGATATGATGGCGTTATAGTGTGCCTCAATCTTGTCACCATCGACATTCTTGAGTAACTCACTGAATGCGATACAAACACCTTCCCTATGTTGTGCTGAAATAGAGTCAACACCTGATTGCAAGGTTGGAATAACATCTTGTAAGATCTTTTCACCAAGTTTTCTACCAATTTCACCCAATGTTCTTGCTGCTGTTTCACGCATATCCCATGATTCACTTGCAAGAATAGTAACGATTTGTTCAATGAGAGTTGGCATAATTTCTCTAACTGTTCTTGGAGTGTTAGGTACCAATGCCTTCCAGATTTGTACGGTTGCAATTCTAACAGCGTGTGCTTGGTCTGAACGTGAGAGGTAAAGAGCTGAAAGAACCTTGTTACGTCTATCAACACCAAGTACCTCAACCAATTGGTTCTTAGCAGACTCAGTTTGTCCGTAAGTATCCTCTGGTCCATCATCTTCTTCATTCTCTTCATCAACTTCAATCTTGCCTGAGATACCAGTGATTCTGAACAAGAGATCACCAATGAGTTGAGCAGATGATAATCTGATTCTCCAGCTTTCATCGAATAATCCACGTTCAAGTTCAGGTAAGAGAAGATCAACAGCTTTGTTGGAGTAATTGGCAATAATCATTCTTGTTGCTCTCATAGATGCTTCTCTGACATACTCAGATTCATCAGCAATACCACCTAAAATTGGTTGGACAATTCTACCAAGGTGGACAGTAAATCTGTGACCGAATGTAGTTGGCAAGTAAATAAGCAAACTGATAGCACCTTCTCTGACATATGGACGACTGTGTTTGGTGTCTTCCAAGAATGAAGGAAGGAGAGATTCCATTCTCTCCATACCCAAACCGCTCAATACTTCTGCCAAACCTTGAGCAGCACCTTGTCTATCAACACCTGAAGTATCAGATCTAATCATACTGATCAAGCTTGGAATCATGTTAGGGAAGTTGTTTTCTCCCAATCTCTCGATCAAGCTTCCTAATGTCTTTGCAGCAGTAGCACGAGCTTCAGGAACAGGATCAACGAGAACGTTGTGAACGAGTTCAAGGAGAACCTTCATGTATGGTAAGAAGTCCTTTGAATCGGTCAATGATGCCAAATTACCAATAATTTGAGTAGATTTTCTCTTCATTTCGGTTGAACGTTCACGTAAACCTCTTTCGACAATTGGGATGACAAGTGCAAGTGAAGGCGCATCAATGTAGTGAACGAAATCAGTGTTAAGAAGTGTAGTCAAAGCGACAGTCGTCTTTGAAGTAGGATCGACAAGAGCCTTGATAAGGATGTTTGACATACTCTTGATTTCTGGGTTGTTGATAACTTCACCGAATTGCTTAAGTGCAGCATTCGCAGCTGCACGTACTTGTGAGTGAGTGTCAGTAAGAACGTCAGCGATTTGTGGGATAATCGTAGGCAATGAAACAGATAATTGCTTTGAAGACATGAAAGCCATCGCACCGAGTAATTCAATAGAGCCCTTCTTAGTTCTCCATTGTTTTTCTTCAAGACCTTCTAACATTGATGGTAGGATGACCTTAACACAGTATCCCTAATACTTCGGTCAGTGTTGAACGTAAAGTCAATAGTCGATACTCACACTAATCTTACTCATGATGACCTTGGCAGCATCTTGTGTGGCCTCTCTAACATCTGGTACGGAATCACCGAATGAAGTGAGCAAGATTGGCATAAGGGTAGGAATCCATGGCTCAAAGAGACGTTCGAGAGTACCTGACAAAGTCTCAAATGCGAAAAGAGCACCTTGTCTAGCTTGCATATTCTTCTTATCTTCTGCAGATTTCTTCAATGTGCGAAGAATGTCGAATTCCTTGAAAGAACTTAAACCAGCACCTTTGACAACACCAGCAAGACCATACGCAGCACCTCTTCTAGCGGCGTATTTCTCCGCGTTGATGAGCTCGTTGAGGAGATGCTTAACTAATGGTGCTCTCTGCTCTGATCTAGCTTGTACCAACGGTGGTAAACAGTCGGCTACGGCAGATTGTACAAGTTCTGATGGTGTCTTGAGCGCATCAACGAGTCTGTCAACGACAATTGGTACGCGTTCATCAGTTGGTTCAAGATGTCTAGCTAATCTACCAAAGAAGATAACTACAGCTTCGAATACCATATCCTGAATTTCGGTCGTAGAGGTTTGCTTGAGGGTTTGTTCAAACATTTCAATAAGCTGTTGGAGAGATTTCTTGCCGTGTGAGTCGATAACAGTGATACCGACTTCAAGCATCTCTCTTCTAACACTTGGATGAGCATCACCAAGTGCTTCGCCCGTGATTAAGAACTCAAAGAGAGCAACGACTTCATTTCCACTGAAGAGTGTCGAAAGAGTAAGTAATGAACCAGCAATAGCATTTCTTGTTTCCCAAGGATCGGTTCTGTCAAGCGTTTCTGGTATGATCATACCGTATTCGTCGTATTCTGGAGCAAGTGGCTTGGCTCTTTCGTAGTAAAGTTCTTGTAAAGCTTTCTGAGTGTCAGACACCTGTGCAGGGAAGTTCTCAACAGCACCAGTGATGGCTTTTGCTGATGCAATTCTAACGTATACGTTTTCGTGGTCGAGGTAAGGTATCAACTTTCCTAAAAAGTCTTCTGAAACATCCAAACCATTGTCATCCCAGAGGTGATTGGCTAATCTTGAATTCTGCTCGTCTTCGTCGTGACAAGCAAGCCAGAGCTCAGTTGGGAATTCAATATCGGTGATATCGATCGGCTGAAATCGTTAGTGTCGCTTTGACTGATGAATAAAACATACCTGTAATGCTTGCAAGCAAGATGAACGAACATAAACCTCATCAGCAAGAGTACCTTGGATGAGAATGCCACATTCTTCAAATGTAGCGTTCTCACGCATTGATGCACCGATGTTGATCAAGGTGCTTGAAGCCTCCTTTGAATGTCTAGTATATGTACCGATAGCCTTAAGAAGAACCTTGATTATGGCTGCACGTGGGTAGTTGATATCAGAGAAGGCAGCACTGTGGGAGGAGAGTAAACCTAAAGACAAAGTTAATTGCTCTTCAGCTGCGTCGGAGTCTTCTTTAGACACTCCAACACCAGTTTCGAGGATGACTTTATCGATGAGCGGCATCAAGAAACCTAATGTGGTAGCATCTAATAAGCTGTTATCACTGATACTCTTGACACGCAAGAGAATACGTGCTGTCAATTCACCCAAGTTCTCAAACAAGTATTCTTGTGGGATGAACGGAATGTTGTAAGCACGTAAGGTAGCGTAAGCGATTGAGTGCTTTGTGACACCCAATTTCTCAGCGCAACAATCAGCAAGTGTCTAGGCTATGTTAATTCAGTTATTAAATGCGAATAAAACCTACCAAGTAAGCATCAACGGCATCATGTTCAATAAGCATACTACCCTTGAGTAAGGCACCCTTAAGGAGAAGCAATACCAAGTCGTAGACGTATGGCTTAAGCTCATCGACACGAGCAGCTGAGATTGCCTTCACTGACATCAGACCAATGCGCAACTTCTCGTAAACTTCCTGAACATGGTTTCTGACTGCTTTTTCTTTTTCAAGTTGGGCATCAACGGCAGCCTTGTCTTTTGGTGACAGCTTTTGCGTAGTCTTCTTCTTAGCTGCAATAGATTCTCTAATCTCATTCTCCCATTGTTCAATAGCATAACCCTTCCTATTCTTATCCTGAGCTTGATTGTTTTTGGCCGCGAGTACATCGACAAATGCAATACCTTCCGGCATTCTCCACATACCGACTGCAACGGTATCGATGAAGTGTAAGGACTTTGGTTCGAGATCTTGCTTGACTTGTTCAACTGCCATTGGAACGATTAATGAAGGTGCTACAAAAGTGAGAGTAGTAAGTGCTCTAGATGCGGCTTGAGCAGTGTTTGGATTAGCTGAACCTGCTTTGGTAACTTCGAACAACTCCTTGGCGCGTTCATTTACAAGTGTACGAGCATCAACTTGAGCATGTTGAGTCAACTCAATCCATGTACCACGATTGTTGCCATCAACGAAGGTGTGATGGGCGAGAAGAAGTGACTTTGCGACTGCTTCTTCACGCTCGGATTTGTCCGCTAAGGTTGAGACAGATGCGACCAGCACTGGTCCTGCAACTCTAGAGGTGCTCAGACCAGACTCTACAGACATGGCGATAGCATCGAGTATGAAGCCAGATGTGCGAGCGGTCGATTTCTCGGAGAGCACACGGATGGTCTCTTGAGTTTCTCTGCGGGTCTCGCTGTTTGGCGAGTTGATAGCAAGGTGGAGGAAGGCTTGTCCAACCGCTGTGGAAAGCTCGTGGCTGAATTCGATGTTGCTATCACCTGCTACAGCTTGCAGCGATCTCCTGAACCATGTTTCCTCAGTGTATGACGTGAGCTTTTTATAGACTTTGTCATTCAATACAAATGAAGGCTTGGCTCCGAGAGTCGTGATAGCCTTCATATTTTGGCTCTCTTTGAAGGCCTTCACATCAGATGAAACACCCTCGAGGGTAGCGAGATGTGACATAGCAGCAACAACAATGTAACCTACAAGTGCGCCAGCTGGTGCAGTGAGAGCATTCGTTGTCATAACCTTAAGCTCAGCGTCGAATGCTGGCAAGATCATCTTAACAAATGGTTCAATCGTTGTGAAATCGTTGATAGACCAGATAGCTTGACCAACACAAGCACCAGTTGCACGTTTGACGACAGGCTTGGTAGAGCTTAAAGCACTAACAAGAGGAGTGAAAGTGCTTGCAGAGGTGCTTCCAGTTGAGATGGCATGGGCAAGGTGGGGTGAGAGCGCGCTTGTAAGTGATTGGATGGCACCATCATTGTTTTCCTTAGCGATAAGTGGTGGAAGGGTTTCTGTGATAGACTTGGATACTTCATCACCAGTAGGAATGTAGTTCAAGAGAGTGAACAAGGTAGACCGATGGTCTGGTGAAGCTGTCTTGTTTGTCTTTGGAATGTTGATAATATCATTAGCAAAAGGCGTCCAATCGAAAGCTCTTCCAAATTCGTCATTTGCTTTAACAACAGTCTGTACGAAAAGTGGGCCTAGTGCTCTAACATCTGGGTTTTGGTTCTTTGTGACAGAGACCAAAGCTGAAATGAAATGAGTAATGATACCTTCAAGATCTCCCTTGTACTTGGTAAGAATGGAGATCACAATCTGCAGAGTGTTGTCAGGTAAACGCAGCAACATCTTTTCTGTGACTGGGATGATATCCTTCTCTAACTCAGTCTTTTCGACAAATTCGCCAACGTAATCGAGCAAAGCGTCTCTATGACGTGCAGAAACTGGAGTCTTCGACGCGACGATGTTGTCGACGTAGAATTTCCTGATATTGTCCTTCTGGTCATTGACATATGACCAACCGAGACCGCCTTTCGCACCTTTCTCGGTCTCGCCTTTTGCTCTGAGGCGCAGAGCGACATCGATAGCTACACCAAGCAATGGTGCATATGTGGTACTAGGTTTGTTGAGTATATGCGACAAGACTGAAGGAATGATGGAATGATGTTGACGGATAAGTCTACGTGTTAACACGAATGCAGAGAGTGACATAGAAGGCTTCATTAATTGAGCATCCCTTAAAGAAAGTTGAATATCAAGCGAAAAAGCCAATAAGTTGATTGACTGCTCAGATATGGTTCCCTGTGACTCCACCTGGGCTTCGATGATAGCCAATGATTGGTGCAATAACGTGTGAGTGTTATTAGCATATGCACTAGTCTTTGAGAGTCTAGTAAACTCCTTCGATTGCCAGCTTATCGCATGGTCTATGAACTGATTGAATTGCTTGAATAACTTGGGAAGGAAATTGAAGTATTCCAATCTAAATTTTTGTAGAGAGAGAGTAGATGCACTATACAACCCGAGCAATTCATCTAAACTTCCTTTGATGGTATTTTCGTCGACTGTGATATACTGTCAGCGTCGTTGGCTACACCGAACTAGCTAGACAACTCACATTGCTTCAAACGAGCTTCAAATTCATAGATAGCATTCATGGCTAGGTTAAGCTTAGCAGATCTCGCGTTGTCTATAAATTCTAGGATGAATTCATCGTCATTGAGCAGATCTTTCTCCTCATCTCTATCATCTTCATAGGATACACCAGCAGACCAAGTAGCAATTTTAGACATTTTATCGTCTAACTTATTTACTTTATCTAATTTCCTTAGTTTTATCGACTTAATTTTATTGGATCCTGATGGTCGTGAACAAAGATAGGATAAGCAGACTAATCAAAAAAATGAAGGGGAAATTCATTCAGTTCTAGTATTTTACAAAGCACAGTAACCACCATCTGTTGTTTTGTAAGTTGTGGATAAAAATCAGACGATAACACTCACCAACGAGAACATCCGTTCCTGTTACGTAGTTTGATGCAGGTGAAAGCAGCCAGATAGCAGCACCATTGAGATCAGTTACGTGTCCCATTCTACCCATTGGTGTTCTTTCGTACCAGGTCTTCTTGAGGTTAGGGTCAAATTTGTCGGTGATGGCAGTGTTCATGTAACCAGGTGAGATAGTGTTGACACGGATCTGTCTCTTATTAGACGCGTAACCGGCATAATTCGCTCAACTTACGTTGTGTGGTGCCCATTCACAGGCAAGTGATTTGGCAAGGTGAATAACAGCGGCCTTTGAGGCATTGTATGCACATTGTGGTTGTGGGTAGTTGACAATGTTACCAGACATTGATCCAATAAAGACCATGGAGCATGGCTTCTTGTTTTGAATTTGAATGTTAGCGATAGCTTGTGCAACAAAGAAAGTTCCGTTTAAGTTAATATCCATTACACGTCTGAAACGGTCAGCTGGGTAATCCTATGCTTCTGTGAGCTAATGTGTTGTTGGAAGGTAAAATTTTCGCACCTCGGCAGCAATCTTTTAGTCATGTATCAGTAATCGGCGCACCGAAACAAAGTTTTTTACTCACGTTATCTGCAACACCAGCAGATGTCAGAAGAATGTCAACTCCACCGTAATCTCTTACGATACCGTCTTACATATTATTAATTTTCATTAGTTCTAAACAAAGTTTCACGTACCGACGGCGCTGACGACTGCTTTTTGGTCTCTAACATCTAATTGGTAGAAAGAACTAAGGAATATTAGATATTTGTTGTTATATTGCTATATACGCACGCGCTAACATTTGGGAATGAAGCGTGTAACTCCTTGACAGCAGAGTCACCCCTATAAATATCAGCATATGATAGAGAATCGAGAGCTATCTACTAACCATTCTGAGAGAATATCAAAAATACCTGTTGATGTCAGCGCCATATACCCCAATGTAACCCCACATTACGCACCAATTGAAGTACATCCGGCTTCACAGAGTGCACGAGTCATCTCGAATCCCAAACCTCTAGCACCACCTGTGATAACGGCAGTCTTTCCTTGGAGTCTGTGTTATGTGCGATTAGTGTGTGTCTTTAGTAAGATAACAAAGTAAATACATACTCAAACTTTTGCAGCGTAGTAAGCTGTGATGATTGTTGGACAAGTGGGTTATCGCTGAAGGACATTTTGCTCGTTTTTGCGATGATGGGTGTTTAAGTTGGAGAGTTGTCGCTAAACTTCACAGACACGTCATACAAATTTTACGCCCTAACAAGCAAGTTTCTTTATCGTATTATTAATATATCCTAAAAATAGTCTTATATGTTGCCTTTCCCGTCAAAAAGAAGTCATGGTGCTATGACGTATGCCTGATAGTAAGATTTTTACGTTTCAGCCACTTAAAAGCTCTATAAAATACATAGAATTTACATTTCTTACATAACTTATTCATATACTGCCATCTTCTCTATAAAAAAGTCTATCTATTATATGTTACAATTTTAGCTGTAAACATGCAATCCATTCATCCAAGGCTCGTAACGCACTTTAGAGTTTTTGCGGGCAAGCGCCCAGCCTTCATACTCCTCTCTAAAGGCTTTCTCTTTTGCGATGCGCTCTTGCTGGAGCTCCTCTTCAGACTTCTCCTTTCTTTCATTCTCCTTGAGTTCTCTAGAAGCTTGCTCGCGGGTCTTCTTAAGTTTCTCAATCAGGTTATCATAGTACTCCTTTCTTCTCCTTGCTACACCCTTTGGAACGTCCTCGAATGTCTTCTTAATCTTCATTTCCGAGTCGACGTCAAATCCGCAGAGAGTTCCACCTTGGGGTTTGAATTCTAAAACTTGTGGTTGTTTCCATGGTTCGTCATAGCTAACTCCCTCTTCATCGTCTTCGGCATATGGTGGTTCGACTTTCTGGAGATTTGGATTGATGAGTTTCATAGCGGCCTCACCACCCAATCTAGCTTTAGCGCGGTGGTTAAAAAAGCCCATAAGCATCTCGGGAACTTTAGAGAATCCAACGAGCTCGACGAATGGAACTAAGAGCACTGGTGGCTGTGGTGGGATAACTGCTGGTGCGGAGGTCAAATACTTTGCGACACCGGTGCTAGCACCTGTAACAGGGATATCTATTTCTGGGATAACAGTCTCCAATTCAGCGTATTCCTTCAATGTATCCTCCTCGCCTGCTTTTGGCAATGAAGGAACAACTTTCGACAATTCTGCGAGCAAATCACGGGAAATAACACCAGATTTCCAGCCTTGTGCTAAACCTGCAAGGTACTCCTTGACAGTATGTCTGCCAATTAATACCACACCGCCTTCTCTATCGCGCTGGCTTTCTACTGCTTTTGGAGGCATCGACGGTGGTTCAAGGCCCATAGTCTCCCTGCGTTCAGCCTGTATGCGTTCTCTGATAGTAGTTGCGAGTGCACCGTGTCTATGTCCCTTCTCTACGATGTAATCCATAGCCGCTGCATTCAATATCGGCTGGGTATATGTTAGAATCTATTCTACCAATGCAAATGCACACACCTTAATGTAAAACTTGAAGAATTTCGCAGCTGATGGCTCGTCATATTCTGGATATAAAGCTGCGTAAACATGCACTCTTCTTGGTAGCTGAGAAGGCCCTCCGATTGGTTCTTGGGACAAATGGATTACTCTGTCCTTGTATTCTTGCATGATACGCTTTGTTTCTCTCCTGTCGTATGCATATAACGCCGTAGTTGAACCAGTGATGCCCAAAAAGATGCACCAATTCCTCGATGGTAACCGTGGCTTCCAATTGATAACTGACTCTGGTACACCGACGTACGTCAGTATACGAAGACTCTAGGGTGCTCTTTGTGAGATTATACAGATTATTCTCGATTAAGCACTCACTTCACGAAATTTCGACATTGTGGTTGTCTCTTAAGAGAAGACAGGGAAAGAAAGCACAAGATAGTCGATAATGCAATTAGATTTATTGTTTATAAATATTAATACATGTCTCTAGCACCTTCTGTAGGAGGCTCTCGTTATGTAATACGCTTATCTAGCTTGACGATGGATATATTCTCTTGCTTCTACTATCCTCCTGAAGGCGTATTATACCAGAAGTCGTTTAGTTCCTCCCTGATAGCGGTAACTTTCAATGCTTGAGCGTCCTCCACCGGGAATGCATTTGGTTGGCCGTGGCTAGAATCTCTCAGTTAAGGAAAAGATAAAGGGACTGTCCACTCACGTGCCAGTAGTATTTCTAGAAGGTATGAACCAGACCCACCAACCCCATATCCTGGCATTATCATCCCAGCCCAAGACATCTATGAAATTCTTCTTGGTGCCTCTGTCGAATATATTCAGCAGTGCCAACTGTGTCAATTTGCTTCTCTCCCAACCACTCAATGCTGTAGACGGTGGTGGTGGTGGGAGACTGATACTTTCTGGTGACGTTGGTGGCGCGGTGTAACGTGGACTGTGACTTCTATGCGCTCTGTCTGTTTCCAATGCCTCTATTGTCGTTTTATTGCTTCCCACAAGAGTGCAGTGCCAAATAAAGAAACCTAAGAGTGCGAATCCCAAAGTAAAGGTTTCGATAGCGACAAATGCCCACTCAAGCTGAGCATACCACGGTTCGATTGACAAATTCAGCTTTATTGATTCGACTAAAATGTATGTCGTCATCCCGAACGCGTATAAGCAAAGAAGTGCACCGTAGAATAACAGAAGGAGAAATAGCTTGTAGTTATAGAATCCCACGCATTTATTCAACACTGTGGGTTAGTCAGATTTGCTTTATGAGAGATCAAGATACTGACACCAAGGACAATGATGGTCCATCTTGTACACGCATCTGTTGCACGATGAGCAATGGTGTGAGCGGTCTGCAAGCTGTAAGATTTGAACACTGCGATAGTAAGACCTCACCAGGCTTGTATATCCTGCACTTGCGGCAGAACCTCCTCGATCCATCTGATTTGCGCTCCCATTCGTGTACGCGTGATTCTTCATCTGTATAATATATATAACCAGGTTCTATTACACAGGCTCTGTAGTAGCTGAAGCCAAACAATGAAAGTAGAAGAACGTATAAGATATTGTAGCCAAAATGAAGTCCAAGTGAATGAAACGAGTGGCTGGTAGCAACCACTAGCAGCAAAACGAGCGCTGTTAATCCGTACTTTTGTATCAGTTCGAGCATTTCATAGTACGTAATGACAGTGACAGCGAGAAGAAACCAGCTGAGGAATATAGAATATGCATAAAATACAATATATACATTTGTTATTTGTTCACTAAAAGCCACTCTATATCTACTCATTCATTCATTCATTCATTCATTCATTCCTGTCTGCATTCTACAACGACCCAGACGTTCTCCACCCGGTGCCTATTCATTTTCAGACTAGTATTTCTTGGCCGGCCTTAGTTCAGTTTTATCCGGGCAGGAATGTAGACTAGTTGGGTGAACATTCTATTCATACCAAATATGAATCATGCGAACAACTTTATTTGGTATCGTCCGCTTTGCATAAAACTATATCAGTGATGGTGCAGTTGCATAGAGAACAACTAAATATGCCTGCATACGATGCAAGTTCAAAAATATCGTCATTTAAGAACGAATCAACTATAACTATACCAATAGAAGATGAGAAAAAGTATCTTGTCGAGTTTACTCCTAATGATTCCGATAACCCGAAAAACTGGTCTGGCTTGAAGAAATGGTCAATTGTTTTCGCAATAACACTTATCAACATATGCACCGGTTTAGCTATGACTGTCTATGCTAGCATTGGAGACACACTAAAAAGGGATACTGGTGCTAGTCAGCTTGAATACATCTCGGGTATGACCACCGTAAGTTAGCTGGTGATAATTTTGACCTTAACTAACATTTTCAAAGTTTATGATTGCAGTTTCATTGCTCCCGTTGATTCTCTCCCCTATGAGTGAAAGTTTCGGTAGGAGACAGATATATGTCGTCACCGGTACTTTGCATGCCTTACTTTTCTTGCCGCAAATTTTAGTAAAGAACATCGCGGTAATCGTAGTAATGAGATTGCTACAAGGGTATGTTGTCATTATCATCATTGGCTAAACTGAATTTTATATCTTAGGGCATGTAGCTCGGTTGGTAACACCCTCGTTGGCGGTAGTATTGCCGACATGTTCGATGCCAGCGATAGGGGTCTCCCTATGGCTGTTTTTTCGTTGTTTGCCATTGGAACACAAGGTGTGGGACCTTCCTGGAGCGGATATACTCAGATGAACCTAGATGGTGTCGGTGGATTTGGAGGATGGCAGTGGGCGCTCTGGATAACTTTTATAATCAATTGCATTTCTTGCATTGTTAGTATACTCTTCTTGAAAGAGACTAGAGGGAACATAATTGTCAAACATCGTGCAAATTCTCTCAAAAAGAAGACCGGCTTGCCTTATTATGCGCCAGACACTGCGAAGTTCAATGCTGCTGGCATTGCAACATCTCTCAAACGCTCTTACCAGCTTTTCGTCGAACCTATTGTTTTCGCTTTGTCACTTTGGTGTGGTTTCTTATGGGGAGTCGTTTATTTGTGAGTAAGTGCTTTATATTGAGCACTGTCTGATCGTCTGTAGAATATTGGCCGCAATCCCTTGGACGTTCGAGAGAGCTTATCACTTTAATTCTGGTCAATCGCACTTGGTATTGATCTCAATAACGATAGGTTCGGTTATTGGATTCCTGAGCAACTTCCATCAGCAATCGGTATATCGTAATAGAGCAGCAAGAAGTACGAACAACAAATGTGCGCCAGAAGTGCGTCTTTACTGGAGCTGTGCTGGTGGATTACTCTTCTCTATAGGTTGCATTATCATGGCCTGGACAACAACAAGAGATGTACACTTTACGATACCGTGCATATTCGGATTAGTAACCCTCATTTGGGGTATTTACGTCGTTTATACCGCTTTATTCAACTACTTGAGCGATTGCTATGAAACATATGCAAGCTCAGCACAGGCGGCAACTTCAGCGTTCCGCAATTTCTTAGGTGCCATATTCCCTCTGTTTAGCATGAAAATGGTGAGTATAATTATCCAGTGATGTACCATTGCTGATAAAACTCGTAGTATGAGGGTATGACAGCCCCATGGGCATCCACGTTGATCGGATTGCTTGGATTTGCGCTGTCCATTATCCCATTCCTTTTGATAACAAGTAGGTCATGTTATCTCATGTTTATCTATATTAAGACCCTGCAGATGGATCTAAGATCCGTGCGAGATCAAAGATTGCGAGCCAACTTGCCAAGGAGGAAAGGGAAGCCGAACGATCAACATTCAGAAATATACCTACATTAAGTAAAGTATAAAACACCACGGACACCTATAAGCTCGGACATTAACTTATTCTTAATAAATTACTTCGTGCATTGTACATAATTATACATAATTTACTACTTGAAGTCCAGTTTGCGTGCCTTTTCTTATTAATTACATTCAAATATTTGTAAGATACTCACAACTTTTCTAAGATCGGGCTTGCCATCTTGTTCATGACCCGCTTTGCGCTTATTGGCACCTTGTTGCTTTGCTACAACATCAGGCTGCAACGGCCTTGGCTCGAGCTGCTTTAATGGTTTTGGAAGTAAAGGTGGTGGCGTAGGTTTCGGTTGATTAGAAAAGTAAGGCAATCTCAAAGCCTAAGTCGATAACATGAGTAAAATTGTGGTATACCATGCAGACATACCTCTTTAGCTGTTATTCGTTCATGTGGATTATAAAGAAGACACTTTGCCAGTAATTCAATGGCATCATTACCAGCCGCACTGAAAAGATCCTCAAGTGGCTGTTTAGGGTAGTCTTTGAACTTGATATATGATGGTAGTGAGGTATGTCCCTGTAGTGGGTTAGGATGTTCTATGAGTATGTCTTACTACTACATACAGGCCAATCACTCTCTTTTGGTGTGCCCAATGCCCTAAATATCGTGTTTAACTGTTCTATGTCATTCTCGCCAGGCATGTAAGGAGTTCTAAGCATTAGTTCCGCGAAAATACAGCCAACACTCCATATATCGACTGAAGAGGAGTATGCGCGTGCACCGAAGAGTAATTCGGGTGGTCTGTACCACCGAGTGATAACTTGCGAGGTCATTTTCATGCCGGGCTCAGCAACATCTCTCGCAAGACCGAAATCAGCTACTTTAAGGATACCTTTGTCATTGATAAGTAAATTGTTAGGCTTCAAATCCTGTATAGAGTATAAGCGGTACTTTAGTGAAGAAAGAGTGTCTATGCTCACCCTGTGTAGTACGAAATGACGGTGGCACCAGTCTACGCCTCGAAGGGTCATAGCCATCCAAGATTTAATATCACCTGGTCTGAAAATGATAGAGCGATCTTTAATAATGAGTTCTAGGTCGGTAGTCAGGAATTCCAATACGAGGTTAAGGTTTTGTTTGGCAGAGAAGACGTCTAACATCTGAGAGAGTGAGTGAAAATACTTATAAACCAGACGACGCACTTCTATTACGTTCTCATGCTTCAACTCCTGCAGGAATTTTACTTCTCGCACGGCAGACATATCAAGGCCATCTTTGAACTGTCCAATTTTAATCTGAGGGAGTGTTAGACTGTAGATCTAGCACCAGCGCTCTAATGTACCTTCTTAATAGCTACCATTCTTCCTGTCTCTACACAATGGCCCTGGTATACTGACGCATACTGGAATGAGAGATAAGGAATGCGAATGAGAGATCTGCACTATTTACTCACTGTACCCTCACCAACTTTACGCTCTTTCGAGTATCTCTTCATAATAGCGTTATTCAGCTGCTCCATTTTGTCATACGTCGCAGTTGAACTACAACAAGCAATCTCTCACTCGAACGACCATCATGACAGAAAGCATTACACCGGAGCAGCACAACACAGAAAATACTAGCTCTACACACCAAGAAGCTACTTCATCTCTGCCTACTTACGCAATGTACCAGCGGAAACCGCACACGATATCGGCCACCAGTTTGAGTGTAGAAGCGAGTTCTAGCGCAGGCCAGGGAAAGGACGCTACACACAGGCTTCAGATACAGCAGCTCAGAGCGTCGGCTCAGAATCTTGGGTTGCCGAGCGATAGCGTTGGCTACAAGATCTTAGAGGCTTTAGCTACAGCACCCCCAAGCGATGAAGACATCTCTTGGCAGGATGTTCTTAAGCTCGCGTCTTCCGATAAGGTGAGCAATCAAATGGTTTCAGAGCTTATCTGATAGTGTTCCAAGGCTACTTTGTTGTTACCCAACATACCAAGCTCATTTAGTATACCCATCAAGCCATCTTTGATTAGAAATCACATTATTTTCACCCTAAACGCTCCACATGGCGCCAGTGCAAGTCCTTTCAAACAGCAAGCGCAGATGCTCGTGACGAATGGTCTACGCGGTAGTTTGGATGAGTGAGTATCTTAAACGCTTTCATAGCATTCCAGCTCATTCAAAATAGAGAGAAATTGGTATTTCACGGACATTTGAGTCAAAACTATCTGAATAGTAATCTCTTTGATAGTAATACGAGAGCGTAGGTGGTTTTGTTTAGGTATTTTGATTTCAAGTCTAACATAGCTTAGTGCTTTGCTGAACAACCTAACGCCTATGACAAATCATGTTGGCTTCGAAACAGAATTTCCAACACACAAATGTTTCATAACTAGCACTTTGACTATTCCAACACCACCTATACCGAAACAAACGGCACGTTCACGTTCATCTTCACTCACAAATGCTGCTAAGAATCAAAGCAAGTCGACTTTCGCTACTTTCTTCGGTGGAGGCGACAGACGCACTTCATTCCTCTCACCTTCATCACTATCTGATGTAGCACGCAACGAATCTGAATATGAATATGGCCCACCAGTCGAAGTAAACGTGAGGACAATAGACGCTAGTGTCAATTATGACGACGTTAAACGATCACTCATAAAATCAGTCATGAATAGAATCAGAGAGAGACTTGAAGGTCTGCCTTCTAAAGCAATAGACAGGGTCGTTCAGTTTGTTGTGCAGTTTTATCCAGATACGCCGTCTTCTGCTACTTTGTTAGCGAAGCGTGCGCCTTCAAAGAAGTTGGGAATGGTCACTCCAAACTTGAGTGATCCTGATGTTAGCACTGCAGTAATTCAAGAATTATATATCAAAGTTCGCGATGAAGTTAGTTCATTGTCATGGAATGAGCAGTTAGCTCAGAAGGAAAACGCTGGCGAAATCATAACTGAGCGCGAAAAGGAAACACTTGAAGAAGCTGTTGAAGATGAAGCGTCATTGGCTGTTGAGAGAGTAGAAAGCGTTGTAACTACTGAGATATTTGACCTGTAGGTGTCATCCAATCGCATGACCACAAGGAAATTAACATACTTTAGACTTTACGTTCCTAATAATGCGGAAATTATCCGGAATGACACATTGTCGTCTAGAATTGCAGCTTTGAACATGTTAGATCTCAATTTGAACCACCTGGGCGTACAAGTTCCAGACGCACCTCTTAACGGACAGGATGAAAACGAAGCTGAAGCTGACGCTAGGAAGGGTCTAGAGGCTGTCGTGAATGACTGTGGTCAAGAGCTACAGAAAATTGGAGGTTGCTTAAGTCCAGCTGAAAAAGTTGATATCCTCGTACAAGCTCACAAGAACATTGTTGATGGATTAGCAGTTTTACCTCCCATCAGATTGCGTCCTGAGGGTGACAATCAAGAAAGTGATTCAGCTAAGGACGAAGAGAGTAAAGATAGAGAAAGAGAAGATAAGAGCAAGCCAACAAGCAGTGCAGATTTAATACTTCCTTTACTGATATTCTCGATGGTGAAGTCAAATCCAACACAAATGGTTAGTAACCTACTATTCATTCAGCGTTTCCGAGCCGAAGGTCTCATGTCGGGCGAGGCAAGCTATGCATTAGTCAATGCAACTGCAGCCGTGGAGTTCTTGAGCTCCGTTGACCTTTCGGAGCTGGGCTTGGGAGGTAGTGATAGAATTATTGGATTTGGAGAAGATATCGCACAATCGAGTCTTCCACTTCGACCAGTCCAGGTAGAATCGGATGAACTATCCAGCAAGATAAGGAGTAAAGTCACAGCTGAGATAGGAGATCTTGCTGGATCCGCCAATAAAGTTCTATCAGGTGTGGTAGATTCAGGGTGGGGTGCACTGAGAGGATTGATTGATCGCAATGAAGATAACATTCCTCCACCTACGATAATAAAAACAGCAGACGAGCTCACAAGTAGTCCAGTTAATAGTAGACCACAAAATCTTTTTAATAGACGCACAAGTAGTATCTCAGTAGCCAGTATTGCGGCAAACGTAGCTAATATTGCAAGCGGGAAGGATACCAAACCGCGCTTGAACACCTTCCCAGACGCCTCATCGGATGATCGAGAGCTTATGAATATACCAAATTCTGCTACAACTGGTAACCCTAGTAAGGATATGCCTGTCTCGCAAAGCCTTGATTTCCAACATAAGCGCAATGACTCAGATGCACGGAGTGTCAAGTCTATGAGCAGCTTTAAGAGCAACAACAGTAATAGAGAAGAAAGTCTGGGCGAGAGGATGAATATTGCGAACAGGTTGGCTAGTATACCAGGCCTTGGTCGATTGTCAATCAGCCAAGGCTCACCAACTAAAAGTCAGGAAGCAACTTTGAGTGTATCGCCTTCTCAAAATTCGTTAGTAAGTAACATAATTGTTAATTAGAGTGAGCTAAATTTTTCAGTTGAATTCCATATTCCCATTCAAGCCTGGTCACTCAAGAACACAGTCATATAACAGCCAATTGGCTGCTTATGAGCCACCTAGCTCACATTTCCTTAATGCTAACGCAGATGACTTGAAAGTCAGCGAGGTGAAGGCGTTATTAAGTGACTATAAGCGGTTGGCAGGTGTCGTTGAGTCTTTGCAAACTTTACTCGCCCAACAGCAACAACCACAGCAACAATAAATGGATTTGCGATGTTTACAGATACACGATTCCGTGATACATGTATGACTTCATTATAGATACTGATAAGTTGATCAAAGATATATATTGTAACTTTCCGATTATAGTTTTATTAAATGAAAAAGTGGGGGATTGTTATGTTCATCCGTTATAGATATTATTCAAGTTTCCTAATTAGGCAACGGTGATTGCTGAATTTGGTTTCACATTCAGAACTGCCGGATTTGGAATGCTATAATAAACGCAAGTAGATAAGCGTGCAAGTCCTCTTCATACCCTCAAGGCTACATTCTTGAGTCCCGTTCCATTCTCATTCCAGGTCCAAGGAGCCTAAAATTAGGACAAAGACACTCATCAAGATAAACAATGAGCTCCGTAGTAATAGCTGCACTATTAACAGTGACCGCTTTGGTGGATAGTTCTGTCATCACGAGAAGTCAGGTAATATCGAGCCTGCAGAGACTGAAGCACATGTTTAACAACATCACACACCTCATCCATTCTGTGACAGCAATCAGAGGGAAGCTGACGATAAACTCAGTTGGAAGGCTGTTGACATATACGCCATTCAAGACAACGGCAAAGCAAATACTACCTGTATCAGAGAGACAGAGACTGCGGACGACTGCGATAAAGAGATCCCGACGTATACAAACTATGCTGAACCAAAAGCCGAGCCGGACGATACCAGCGGTAGATAACATGCGTATCAACATGCTGGAAACGAACCTAATCAAGCAGGTATTTGCTTAGGATCTGTATGATGCTTATACTACAATTGAACAACTGGCTTTTGTATCAACTGTCCTTTATACACCATTTCTTTTATCTAGCCTTTGAGCAGCTGGAGCGTGTGGGCGTGAACGCTACAGGATGTGCTCTATAAAATATACAAAAGGCCTCTAGTTATGTATTTAATCTTGAGATTTTTTAATTTCTGAGATAGACGTTAAAGAATGTTCGTTGATAAATCTTCAAAGTCAACTCTCAAGATGGTGAGTCTAAAATATCTGAACATAACTTAAATATTAATTAAATGCAGTCTTACGGTAACGGTTACAACTCATATGGTGGTTCTGGTGGATACTCACGCGGTAATGACAGAGGTGGCTCAAAATCATACGGCGGTGGCGGCGGCGGCTACGGTGGTGGCCGTGACAGAAACTACGGTGGATCCCGCGGTGGTTACGACGATGGCTTCAGCGACGGCCTCAGCAAACCAGATTTCAGCAATTTGACAAAGTTTGAGAAAAATTTCTACGTCGAAGACAAGCGCGTTCAAGGCCGTAGCGATCAAGAGGTCACCGAGTTCAGAAAGAAGCACGACATGTCTATCGTCGGTACCGGTGTTCCTAAGCCTATCACTGCCTTCGACGAGGCCGGCTTCCCTAACTACATTTTGAACGAAATCAAAAAGATGGGATTCCCATCACCAACTTCCATCCAATGTCAAGCCTGGCCTATGGCTCTCAGCGGTAGAGACATGGTTGCTATCGCTCAAACAGGTTCTGGTAAGACCATTTCCTTCGCTTTGCCAGCTATGGTCCACATCAACGCACAGCCATTGTTATCACCAGGTGACGGTCCAATCGCATTGATCTTAGCTCCAACACGTGAGCTTGCTGTCCAAATCCAAGAAGAATGCACAAAATTCGGTAAATCTTCAAGAATTCGTAACACTTGTGTATACGGTGGTGTACCAAAAGGACCACAAATCAGGGACTTAGTTAGAGGTGCCGAAATCGTTATCGCTACCCCAGGTCGTTTGATCGATATGCTTAACATGGGCAAGACCAACCTCAAGCGTGTCACTTACTTGGTTATGGATGAAGCTGATCGTATGCTTGATATGGGTTTCGAACCTCAAATCCGTAAAATTGTCGAGCAAATCAGACCTGACAGACAAACACTCATGTTTTCAGCTACATGGCCTAAGGAAGTTAAGGCCTTGGCCCACGATTTCTTGACAAACATGATTCAAGTTAACATCGGTTCATTGGAGTTATCAGCTAACCACAACGTCAAGCAAATTATTGAAGTTTGCTCTGACTTTGATAAGCGTGGTAGACTTGTCACCCACCTTGATCAAATTTCCCAAGAGAATGCTAAGGTTCTCATTTTCATCGGTACAAGTGAGTGTTCGTAAAAATCATATAGCATTTGCTAACCAAATAATTAGAGCGTATCGCTGATGATTTGACTAAGTACCTCCGTCAAGACGGTTGGCCAGCACTCGCCATTCACGGTGACAAGCAACAACAAGAACGTGACTGGGTTTTATCAGAATTCAAGTCTGGTAGATCCCCAATTGTGAGTTTCTTGAATTACATAAATAACCCAGCTAACGTCGCTCAGATGCTTGCTACTGATGTTGCTTCACGTGGTTTAGGTACGTTTAATTTTTTACAGCGCAGGTTCTGTTGTTGTCCATCTTGAGCGATTGAGTGAGAGGTCAGAGAATCGTATCAGACGTGGATCTTTTATCTAGATCTATCTCAAAAATGAAGATAGGCAAATTAGAGAAGAAGTCGATCGATGTTTCCTAGATAATTAGTCGACATCGGTTTCAGCTTTCTGCACGATTATTATAGCGAACGTCTAGTTGTCTTTATGCTGTATAGTAGTATAATGGGCAGTGATTATGATATTGTTATAGTAAGCATATACGATTCCTATAAAACCTCGAGATGAGGTAGCTTTTATTTTGATAGCTACTCACAGAACTCGAAATTTCTTCGATGCAGCAGCAGCAGCAGCCTTTTCGTTGTTAGCGCTTTTTGAACAAATGCTCACTTTGATTTTTTTCTACTAATATAGACGTCAAAGATATTGGTTATGTTATCAACTATGATTTCAGCAGCAATGTTGAAGATTATATTCACAGAATTGGTAGAACCGGTAGAGCAGGTACTAAAGGTACTTCAATCACATTCTTTACCACAGAAAACGCAAAGAGCTCCCGTGATCTCGTAAAGATTTTGCGTGAAGCTAACCAAAATGTTCCACCAGAATTAGAGGAAATGGTTAGTCTTGATTGAGATAGTATTACATATTGCTAACTCACTTGCAGGCATCATTCGGTGGCCGTGGTGGCGGCGGTCGAGGTGGCTACGGCGGTCGCGGCAGAGGTTCGTTATCTTTTAATGTTCTTTAACATATCTGACGAGCTAATCAGGTCGTGGCGGTTACGGCAGAGGCGGCGGCGGATTCAGCAGTGGTGCTAACAGCTACTCTGGTGGTAACATGAGACGCTGGTAATGGCAACCACGCTGTTCGTTAGCTTATCTATCGTAATTTTTATTTCATCTTTTTGGTATACAAAGAAATTGTAGATATACATTATTATTTATGCATAGACGCATACTTCTAGAATTACAATTAAAGAGAGGAAATTGGTTGTACGCCTAACTTCTTTAACGATGGAGGTGCATCGCTAAGTTGAGACTTGTAGACATTTTCATCCTCATCCATCCAGGTAACTTGATGGGCATTCGATTCTAGTAGGTTCTTGACTGTCGACCAACTAAATCTGGCCAATTGTGGTAACCCAAAGACATCATCGAGGTTGTTTTTAAGCCAAGCGACGGTGTTTGGATCTTTAAAATGTGAGATATGTAGCAGATTCATATAATAACTTACCACCTGGATATCCACTGCCTAATTTCATCTTCTCGGGTTGCTGTTCTGAGACATCAACTGAAGAATCCTCATTCTTGAGCTTCTTTGAGGAGCTAATCGCGTTACTAATAGGTTCCAAGAAGGACCAATTGTCGATAATTGCATCTCTGGTTACTTTAGCCGCTATGGAAGCTGCTGAAACAATTGGGAACAATGAATCAGCTTTCGACGCGACTGTAAAGCCGATAGAAGGGAATGCGGCTTCTAGTTTCGCCTGATAGGATTTAGCTGGTCCAACTGTATCAACATATACCTATTAAATGACTTCAATATTGTTAAAGAGGGGTTGGTTATCGCTTACATGTTCTAATTGCACACCTTTGGCTATAACATCATTGATTAATGAGAATGTAGCATCGTGTGATTGTGCATTGAGATTATATGGAACTTTCTTAAGCATTCCTGCGCTGATATCTTGAGGAGACATCACGCGAACTGACCAAGCGAGTTGATCTGAGAGTGAAATAAGCTTATCGAGAAGCGTTTGACGTGATTCTGCTGTGAGAGCTTTCGAATCTGCGAATCCAACATCTTTGAGTGTATCTTCATAATCGAGATTACAATATGCAATACCGTAAACAAGTGGACCTGACGTTAATTAGACTGATGAATGTGAGGATATAATCGATTACCTAAAACTGGACCTCTGCCTGCCTCATCAACTCCCATCATTACTTTGTTATTGAGGAGGGTTTCTGGGACATCTGAGTGATAGCTGTAGGATGATACAAGCGGTTCTCCAGCGTTCATAGATGGTGGTAGTGCATGCACTTCTTCATCATCATCTAATTTACTATCTTTACGCGTCCTTTTAACCATTTTGTCGCGTCTTCTTTGTTGATAGTTTGTCAAGTCGAAAATAAATGTAGGTTTTACAAATAAAAAAGTACTCTTAGTGCTTTTACTTTTTTATTATATGAAATAGAATATTAAACTCGCGTATTTATCTTTGTTCTACTTAAACTGAGAAAACAAAGAGAGCAAAGGTAAGGTCTAAGAACAATGAACAGTTATTTATTATAATGTGTATGACTCCTATTTGTTATTTTCAAATTCAGTACAGTAAAGATGCAATTTTCGTCGCAATTTGAGCTTACAGCGAAGGTAGCAACTTTGTGAGTTGTATAACGCCTACTAGAGCAGAGCTAAAGAATCTAACATAGACTTTCATTTGTGTTGTTGATAGCTGATTGTCTCGCATTAATGATAGATGCTATAAAGAGCTTAGACAGCAGATTAACAAAATATCAGCAATCAGTAAATGAAATTTTAGTGGTTTTTGAACTCGGATTTTTCGGATACGTTAATAGTAGGACATCAAATTTGATTTATATAATAAATATCATCGTTGGCTTATTAGTTGCGTATAACAACTTGTCACAGTCGGATGCAACATATAATCTGGTTGTTAGCTACCTATCACTGTCTATAGTCCTTATAGCTAACTCTACAGTGTTGATATTTAAAAAGTTCTACAACGACGAAAGTGCACAAACCCAGAGTAATTTCAGTACAAGTGGACCAACGTATGTTAAAGATTTTGAAGATTATATAAGAAGAATGAAACCTAAGAAACTAGAAAGGTGTAGAATACGTGATAAATGTAAGTTAAGATCGTCTATTCTGTTAAAATAGCTCTTTAACCCGTACAGCCATCATCAGTCAACCAATATGAGCTTTAAATTCGAGAATAAAGAGATAAATATAGATAGTGATGCTTACGATAATTCAATAAATGATATAATTTTAGAAATACGTAGATTGCACTTTGATAGTCAGAATTATGAGGATTTGGAAATGTTATTAGAATTTGAAAGTTTGGAGAAGTTGACTATCTCAGAGGTGAGTAGGCAATTGACTAGCTAGATAGATCTCTTATTAATTAATAGGATAATGCTTATACGCATGATATTACCTTACACGATTTAATTGAATTAAACTCACGTTTAAATGAAAATCAAGGACTTAAGATTAATATATCATTTAGTAACAATAGATTTTTCACTCACTATAACAAACTAGCTAATAAAAGTGAGTATTTCATTCTTGTTCTAACATAAGTTAACCCCAACGCAGCATCTGACGACGAGGATAGGGAAATTAAATCCAAATATATCCTTGAATATAGGGCAGAGAGTGATGATGATGATCCTACTTTCTATGAAAGCGTCGAATTCGAGGATGATGTTGCCGCCGAAATTGTACAAGCTGAAGTGGAGGACGACTCAGATGAAATTCAAGGTAATTCTGGTCAGGATGATTTAGTGGTTGAGGATGTCACTACTGTTGAGAGTGTACTGCCTGCGGAGGATAACGAGGTTAATGGTCTCGAAAATAAAGGTGTAGAGGTTGTTGAGGTTGAGGAGGCTGTAGAGGAAGTTCCTCCTGTAGGCTCAGCAGATAATAAAGCGTTGAATATTGAAGAGCAGGAAGTTCCTGCTGAAGGAAGCACCGTTGCTGCACAAAATGATGAGGATACGATCAAAAATGATGATAAACAATCAGATGCTCAACCAGATGTTGATTTAGAGATTGTCGAGGAGACTCAGCAGACAGAGCAGACACCACAGGTTCAACCACATGGTGACATTGAGAGTGTTGAGGAGGCTGGTCAAATTCAACAACTTGACGAGCAGAATGCTGCCATCCAATCTGAAAACGAAGTCTCTACGGTCGACGCTGAACGTAACTATGACTCACAGATAAATGAAGAGGCTGTTAAATCTACTGGTAAGTTGTATTTCTTGTGTAGAAGACAAAACTAATGATAACAGCAGAAGTTGATTTGACGACTACAAATGATGACAATACAGGTATGCAGGTCGAGGAGGAAGGTGAGTAAATGAACTTTGAGCTACATGACAGACGTAATTAATTATAATACAGTTGTCGAGACGGTTGAAATACCCGATCAAACAGCCTCTTTGACGACATCAAAGCGTTCCATCGATGATGTCGCAGGTGAGGAAGAATTACTAACAGATAGTGAGTGCTTTTGCTTGAACGTTTACATTTTCTGACTGCGAAATAGTTGACAGCAAGCGCCTAAAAAGCGAGGAGGTATGAATGAAACTAAGGTTTGGCTTACATAATAGAGAAACGAAGAGTATTTATTAGCATATTACTAACGAAAACAGGTTTACTGGTGGACGAAGTTTCTCTGAACTTCAAATTGTACCACTTGTATGAATTATACCAGAATTCTAGAATGTATTAATTTACTTGAATGATAGCATGGTTTCTTTTTCTTTGTCTTTCTATTCCATCATCAATATGGCCAATGAGCTGCTTATTAATTTCGAAAGGAATAAGCTCACTGACAGGCGCGTTATACTATTGCTGCTATCTTTTTATTGATTCATTTCTGCTTAGAGATGTCATCTCCCAGTTGAAATTGATTAGAGAAGGCATTGTAGCTAAAGATAAGGTACTCTGGCAGCAGTTAAACATAACTGGGGATATTCTAAGATGTGGGAATGTCATATCTCCTCCTTAAATGCAACCATTGATGGCATCTCTCAGCAAATATGCTTCTCGTCATAAATTATGTTTTGAACGCATTAGAAAGCAATAGGAAAGTGAATATACGTGGTATTTACTATCAAAATGTGGATACGTTCAAAAAGCAGTCAAATGTACAGGCATTACTGAAAAAGTTAACAGAAGTATTGGAAGTAAGGAGAGCAGCTTTGAATGTGAGGCCATCTCATAAGGGTTTATTCTTGTCATCAGCTTTGTCGATCCAACTCAACAACGGCAATGTAGTGATGGGTAGTGACACATCTGCTTGTCATATACCCACATGTGAAGACATAAGTCAGCTTGATGTGGTTGGTAATACATTTGTATTGTTATCACAATCAAACCTTTCTAAGTCTCAAGTTTCATTCGTTCTGGTAGTCGAAAAAGAAACTGTCTTTTCAGCATTACGCGAGATTCAATTTTCTAGAAGTTCAGTACATGGCCATAATATAATTCTGACGGTAAGGAATTTCTGACTTTATACTTAGTAGCTTAGCAATAGTGCAAAGGGGAAAGGTTACCCAGATATTGCAACACGCGATTTATTAAATCATTTGGCGAACGTTATACCAGAGAAGTACATATTAAGTTATCTCAAGGAGTAAATTGTAACTTTACTTCAAGTGTCCCTTTTATTGGCTTAGTTGATTCGGATCCGCATGGTTTACGTATTTTCCTAACGTATAAATTTGGTAGCGAAAACATGCAACAGGAAAAGCTACAGATGGCATGCCCAAGATTGAAACTTATGGGTTTGCGTAATGCGGAATTTGATCTGTGGGTATTTGACAAACAACCTTAACCACAATAACAAAACAGGTTGTGCATTCCTCCAAACCAGGCTTTAAGTATCACCAAAAAAGAGAAGACGATATGCAAAAAAATGATTCAGCGTCTAGATTTGATGGATAGATCTGCATTCGGTGTGAAGGAGCTCAAGTGGGATAGGTATCTGTGAAATGACAAAACTAAATGCTATAACAGAGACGAGATAAAGCAGATGGTCACATATGATCGGAAGTTTGAAATAGAGGCGCTTTACAGTGCCCCTACACCTAACGGCGAGACTGTATTTAGTGGACAGGTGCTTGGGGAGTACATTGATAGCAAATTAACTATATGGCTTAAGCAACAGGCTATACTAGATGAAGCTGGCTTTGAAGATATGTCTAGTATTCTATCATATTGTGAACATTTTGAAAACTACACAAGTAACAGTGCCACGGACTCTACTCTCGTAGATAATTTCCTTGTCCTTTCTAATAGTCAAGACGAGGACGACTTTATCCTTGAACAGTAATACACTACTAGACATGTAGTATAATATTATCACAAATTCCATGATAGTATGTGATTTTGAACATTGATGAGATTATTCGTAGCTTATCACAGTTCATTCAAGAGGTTTTTTTTTGGCAAGGTCTGTTCACTTGAGTCACCTTTCTATCTATATCTAGCAACAACGCTTTATTTCCACGGTTTTGTTATACAATGGACTCTACTTAAGCCTCTTTGATTCGATAGATGTATTTCACTCTAAGTTTCTGGACGGGCTGAGCACTTTTTGGTAAGGTAATGTGTATACATGTTTAAACTTGAACAAGCGACTTCACGTGTCCCTGTCTCTGCGTGAGGCATACCAACTTCTTACACATCTCCATATCATGTTCCCCTGCGCATATCGTACAACGTAAGAGGGTCTGCATACTTTTTGGTTATGTCTCAACTTGTCACATTGAGACATTGCCTCAGAATGAAGCTTCTGGTTCTACTCTTGTAGTTTCGCTGTTATACGCCGCTTTTAACCTTAATTTGCTACCTTATACATGAATAGTTCAACCTGAACCTTTTTACAATTTTGTTTACATCTAAACAAATAAATAAATACAATGGTTGTTTTATAAATCGACTTATTAAATTGGCAGTTAATTCAATTTCGGTATTCATTCGTTCACGTTCTGCACTAAAAAGCTTAGTGGAGTGTCTCCGTGGGGTACGTAATATATTAGTTGATTTCTCACATTAGATGTGATATCATAACGTTCCAAGGATTGTATTCTGGTCTTTATTTTCTCTATTACTTAGTCAAAGAGGAGAAAAAATATTTGATGGAAAATGAATTACAACGAATCCTCCATTTTGCATGACTTCAAGAACTTTGTTCCTGGTCTTCCAATTTATACCACACCACTTAGCCCAGAGTTTCAGCATTCCTGTGAATTTTATAATCGATCCCTCACATATCAACCCCTCGCTGTCGTTCAACCCCATAAAGCAGAAGAGATTTCGCAAGTGGTGCAATTCTGCAAAGCAAAAGGTATTCCGGTTGTTATTCGTTCCGGTGGTCATGATTTCTTTGGTAGGTCATTAGTGGCTGGGAGCGTACTCATTGATATGCGATCTATGGATTCGATTATCATTGAACCTGACCGAGCAAGTGTCCGTGTAGGGGGAGGGGTCATTTCTGGAGATCTACAGCAGGTACTGGATTCGCACCGTCTTTTCACTCCGACAGGGCAGGCTAAATCAGTAGGTTATGTGTCGTGGGCATGCGGGGGAGGTTATGGCTTCTATGTCGGAACCTATGGCTTTGGGGTAGATCAAATCCTTGGAGCACGAGTGGTTGTGGCTAATGGTGATATTGTCGATACAAATGAAGATCCAGAGTTGCTCTGGGCGCTTCGTGGTGCTGGTGCAGGAACGTTTGGTGTCATTGTTGAACTACGCGTCAAGACCTACCCTTCACCAAAACTGTATGCGGGATTACTTGCCTTTCCTTTATCTGAGGCTGCTAATGTATTAGCTGGATTTGAGAAACTCTTAGTGGAAGGTTATCCCGACGAATTCAGTGGAGACGCTATCGTCGCACGCCCAGAAATGCTCCCAATTGACATAGCAGAGCCTTGCTTCGTTTTTTTGTGGTGTTGGACTGCTGTAGATGGTGATCTCGCCATGGCGAAGAGCTTCCTTCATCAAATGATGAACTTAGGCACAGTTTTGGCAAATACGGTAACAGAGAGTAAGTCAAATATTAGAGCGAGTTTGACGGTTCGACTGACGTTTTTCTTCTCTCAATAGCCACGGCAGCTGCGTATGGAATGGGCAAATCTTCGTCGGCAACCTTCTTTCGCAGTAGGAACATTGACAGACTTCAACACGACATCGGATCCATTCTTGCTCAAGGCCCCCCATCTCAGCCGCTATCTGCTGTTGTGATCCATAACAACCATGGTAAAGGAGTACGGGATGGAGTCGCAGATGGAATTGGGACTGCCTTTGTAAATCGATATCAGCACGTCATTCTAGGCCTGCATGGAGGAACAAATTGGGAAACCGTTCCAGACAGTCAAGAGACAGTAGACGCAACTGTATGGGTCAAACAGCTGGAAAACAAGATCGATGAGAAGAATTTTACGTTAAGAGGAGGATTTGCCAGTTTTTTCTCTCCTGAAGATATCGATGTGGTAGAGTTTTTCGGAAGAAAGTTAGCGGAAAGACTCAAACACTTGAAGAATAGACTTGACCCCGGAAACATTTTCTGTAACTCTTTACCAGGACTTTCGACATAGATTAGGGTTTGGCCATAGTTAGAAGTATTTAATTTGGGACTAGAGATTTGACTGATGGAGCGCTGGTTCTTGCTACAGCTAAAATACGATAAGCATGATTTTCACATTGAATACATTTTTTTCAATAACTGATGTTATAACTGAAACACGAGGGCTAACCCATATTGTGCCAAATTCTAGTAAGAAGATTAGAATAGGGAACTATAGATGGTGTTGAATGCGTGGTTATTCTCTGTGTTGTTGAAAATGCGTTTCGTCCACCTTCGTTGTAGGTTGTCGTTCTGCATATATGATGATCCAAATTGAAATGCAGAGGTTGTACTCCAAACGTACCCTGCCGAAGCCTAGCGCGTACGTTCAAGTGAGGTGCTAGAGGGGTACTTAACAGTGTGAAGTTGCTCTGCAACTTTAAGTTATCATAGATTAACTTGCTGACTACTGACGATGTATTTATGTGCATTCAAGTAATTTGAGCGAGGGACACGGATATCAAGCTATAATTGCTACATTATCGAGTAACGCATTAACAGCATAGAATTCAAAGAAATGTCAAGATTTTGATCTGTTTTACAATAACCCTTGAGACCTTAATATATTTAGGTGACATGCTTAAATTCCTTATAGAGTAACACCTGAACAGATAGCTTACGAGGAACATACTTCACGTAAATTATCCTAATAATCTGACATTCTTTCCGTCAGTTTATCCGAAACATTTTGTGGAAAACTTTACAGGTTATTCGATTTATTTGTGACTACCATGTTTATTAATATTTAGCGACCTATATGAAGCTTCATTTTACCATAAACCAACTCTAGTTTAGATATTACGCTCCACAACCCCTTTCTGGTTCATTGTCATACTCTTGCTTTTAGACAGTGATGACATATCTATATATTCTTCAACCTACCAGTCCGACGCACTCAATATGATCGTAAAATATTCTTGGATATGAGATCTGATGGTAACCAGTATATTCGCACTTTCGCACTTTGCTTCGCTATCGTAACTACTTGAAGTAGAATGTTATCAGCGAAATTGAAGATAATGCCACTTATGAAAGAGGAGATATTGTAAACGGTTGTCTTCTGAAAGTGTCTTGTGTTTGCATATTGCTTCTAGACGTATGAGGTTTCTATCAACGCTATTCATTTAGTCACGCATAGGCGTATAGAGTTAAAGATGAGATGAGTAACACATAGACGAGTAATTCACAGGTGGGCTGCGTACTACGCAGTCGATCATGCGTGTGATTGTATGCTCTCGTTTCATGAGTCCTCTTTAAGTTGACATGGATGGAGTCACATAATTTCAAGTCACAATGCCAAGTTTAAGAACATCCAATCACTTGTTGCTCGGTCAGAAAGCTGTATTGCGTTATATTATGATTTTGAAACACAAGTGAGTATCTTAGTAAAGCTCGTATATTATTTCATATTTATCGCTTCGGGAGATCACAGGTTATATCGAGCAAGACGACAACAAATTGGATAATTATGGGAGATTTTATTCGAATAAAGTATTCTTTCAAATATTTAAATATATGTGTGTATATATCTGCATACATACTGATTTTTATTATTTGAACGTCGATCATGCCGATCATGCCAGGGCAGGTGTGCAGGTTGTCAATTGATAGTGAACTCGAATGCAATATATTCATCGTTTTAAGCGTTATATTCTATATAACATTATCTAACAGCTAATTCTATGTTCTATAGGTAACTTTCTAGATCATCTCCTTCCATTTCGGGAAGTGCGTCTAAATAACGCTCCAAATCTTTTTCAACCTTCATACCAAACCGCGACTAGCAAGCGTACTGTTGTTAGAAGCGTGGCTCTTTTGCCAATACAAGCGTCGGTTAATCCGCTGGAACAGGTTGCAGTGAGTATATACTTACTGTAACACACGCGTAAGTGATCTCGAGCACTAAAAATACGTTGTACTGTTCTAGAGCTTAAAAGGTGATCAGTCTTAGTTTAACAGATGATATGCGAATCGAAACAGTGTAGAAACAGTATCGAGTAGCTATCGGATGTAAAATAAGATTGTTTCGGAAGCACATGCTATGCTTGTACTCACCTTAACAACTGGTTTGATTAAACTTTCCTGTTCTGTTGAACTCGAATGTATGAAACAACCCAGGTGTCTTGGTGTCTTGCTTTCTGCAAACACCTTTAGTGTTTTGTCGGCCTATCAGTTCGTCTTTCATTAGCTTAAATCAAATATGATCGACACTGTAAGTTGACATTGTACTCTGAGTACATACAAGCACTTTCTGTTTCTAGTTGAGTTATGTTAGTAAGCATCTCACTAGTTCAGCTGCAGCTATATGCTGCTTTGGCAACGGTTTTTTGAGTTGACTACGTAAGTCATGTTCCTTATGACTTAATTTACTGACATTTCATAGTCACTGAACAAAAGTCAAACGTGGGTTTTATTTGTGGGAATTTGTTATTTGGTTATGTCGTTTTGGTTATGTCGTTTTGGTCTATCATTATAATTTCAACCTTCGTGGTATATTCGGACATTATTTTGCAGCGTTTAGTTTTTTCGAGCATTTGGTTCCTGAGGGGTTTGGTTACTGAGGGCATTTATTTAAAAGGTCATAAGCGATATCGGGTTAGTTTAACGGTTGTAGACGTATAACCAATGGATTAGCTCAGACATTATCAGTTTAAAGGCAACTGAGAAGTCAGGCATGGTTTTTGTTCATGGGAGCCTATTTTGGGCAAGACTTTTTGACTATGAGACTCTTCAATACCTCCAAGGTATATTTGCAAACTATTTTGCAGCTCTTTCGAATTTAATTTGAGCATTTGGGTTAAGGGGGTGTTGGTTACTGAGGGCATTTGGATTATTGGGGGAGCTTGACACATATAAGGCATCATAACTACTCTGCTGAGTCGATTATTTGAGGAACTGACGGTACTCACTTTACTGTGAATATTACTTACACAAGTCATAGCTTTCAACGTGTCAAGACTTATAGATGACATCAAGACTACATCAATTCCTACGGAGGCTACCAATCAAGATGTCAGTGTTTATTTCACTACGAATATTATTGAACCATTCCACAGGCTAATTCAAACATTACAAGAGTTGTGAAACAAGACAGCAAGATTTTAGTGAACGACATTGCAAGGTCAAAACTAAACACGCTAAGTGAACGATACTATACACACTACTTACAAGATCTAGAGCATTATTCAAACAATACACAAGATATTCATAGATATTTTGACCAAATGGTAAACGATAACGCAACAAGGATACCTCAGGAATACATCTACACAAGCCATACACCACAAACGCTGAGTCAAAACATACTGCAATACTTCACTGAATCACTCATAGGTTATCAAATCTCATCTCCGCAAGCAACAAGAATACCTCAAGAAATACATCTACGCAAGCCATACACTACAAACGCTGAGTCAAAACACACTGCAATACTTCACTGAATCACTCATAGGTTATCGAATCTCCACCCGCAACAAGAATACACCATGCGCAAGACTTAATTTTTTCTGAAGACTACAAGACTTAACGACAACAGCTGAGCTTAACTACTTCATATTTATACTACTGACAATACCAATAGATTTCATTAGTTACCTTTCTGTTTCTGGTTGAATTGTTCACTCACAACTCACTGGTTCAGCTTTCGTTATGCACTTCTTCGATACGGTACCTTTGAGCTAGTCACGTAAGTCCCATTACGTATTGTCTTAATTTACTGACATTTCGTAGTCACTGGTAATGGCAAATGTGGGTCTTTTTCATTGAAACGTTGGTTGTTGGGCAAGTCGTTCTATCCTATCATAAACTTCCTACCTTTACGGTATATTTGCAATTTATGTTGCAGCTCTTTGAGTTTCATCGGAGCATTTGGGTACGGGGGATTTGGTTACTGAGGGATTTTTACATTGCAATTGGCAACTTTGGGTACGGGGGATTTGGTTACTGAGGGATTTTTACATTGCAATTGGCAACTTTGGGTACGGGGATTTGGTTACTGAGGGAGTTTGGGGCAATAATTAGATTCATTTGGGTACGGGGGCGAGTTTGGCTACTAGGACGTCTTGTGAAATAATTAGATGCATTTGGGTACGGGGCGAGTTTGGCTATTAGGGCGTCTTAGGAAATAATTAGATAGACTTGGGTACGGGGCAGTTTGGATATTGAGGGTAATAAGCGTTATAACATTGTTCACACTTTTTCTAGAAATCCTGTCTGACTTTGTCGGACTCCCACCACGTGGCTCTGTTTTATGAATATTGCTACTTAGTAGGTTCAAATGGATAATCTAGTAATTACTAGTTATTGGGTATCTTTCCAACTGTTCTAGATACTATCTGGATGTACGTTGAAATCTTCCCCAAAATTGAATTGATTGAGATTTTCAGAAATGACATTGAGAAATGATTGCTAACCAGGCCCTTGAGTTTCAGTAACATTGAATGCTAAATTCGTGCTTTAAGTAATGTTTTATAAAATTTATAATAAAACGCAAACAGTTCATTTACCGTCATTTTCGTTTCTTTCAGTCAACAATAAATTTGAGATAAAGGTACTCAGAATGAAATCGTTCTAGGTATACTCTAATAAAATTACTATATACTACCATTTCGTAATGATGAACGAACTTCTAGAAATACATCATAGAAGCTAGATTATTTCATTCAATATAGTAGCAACTGTCGTAAAAAAATTAATTTAGAGATGGTTAGCCACTACCAAAAACAATGTTTATACTATGGATTATGTTGCTTTTGATTTGCTGGAGATCTACTAGGCTAGCATGTATATAGAAGGAAATGTGACTAGTGTTAATCAAAGCCATTATAGAAAAGGAGATGGCGATATTATATATACTTTACAAGTTATTTACTATATAATTGACATAAATCCGAGAACCTTTACTATTATATGACCGATTGTTAGTGTAAGCATAGCAAGGAAGTGATCCAAAAATCTTAAAGTATGTTTCAGGGGATAACAATAAGATAATGTTAATAATGAATGGTAACTGACAAAGATAAGACCCCGTTGGTCATCATGACGTTCTCATTTATGATGTTTACAGTTAGAAAAATAAGATGAGTATCGCATGCTAATGTTTTCAACTTAAACAGATCATTTTTGCTTGGTACGTAAAGCTTTACTAGTTGGCTTTTCTCTGACGATTTAATAGTACATATATACATTCATCTTATAATATCGCATACAAAGTATGATCCAAAGACTAATGAGAGAGTTTTAGATATACACTATAAACTTATGAATGTCCTGTGTTGTTGTAGCTTTCGTAGCTCTTATAGATCACACCATATTGGGCACTACAACCACAGCCAGATTGAGCCTCAGTGTGGAATGGAGCAAAGTTAGCAAATGCAGCACATGCAGCACATTCCATCCTTCAGAAATGTGCTTTGGGATCACAGGATATTCAGGAGGCTGCGTCGATCTAGCTATTATCCGATCACCTTCCTTTTTGAGACACATTTAGTCTAGATATCAATAGATGTGAGGTTATTTCAACTTACTTATTATCGCTATATTGCTAATACTCGGTATCTTTCATAGATATCGATTTCTGGGCTTTGTTCGACGTCTATGTACCGCAGCTGGGCTCGATAAGTAGCACGGAAAGTGAAATTCTTTGAAGTGTGGAATGAGCTTTAAAGAGCGCAGCTATATTCAGCGGACTAGTACATTTACAATCCCATGCCAAACATTCATTTCCCTTTTAGGAAGGTCCTAATTTGACTATTTAAGAGGATACTTCCACCTCTTCCTTCTTTATCTGCTACCACCAACATCTCAAGCTCAAACAAGCATTATTACAATTGCAATTAAAACTACAGAGAGTTATCCCTTTCATGCGAAACAACAAATAATGTTGTTAGGTGGGTACCTGTTGCACAACAACCTCACTAACGTCAATTGACAGGTAGACAAGCTTAGATATCTATTTTTGGTACAGACTTTCTTCAACTTGGATTCAATTGGCAATTAAGGTGGCATAAGATGGCAGATACATACGTATCTCTTGCATTTCACAACAAAGTAATATGTCACTTTTCTGTGACTCTTGAAGCGTTGGACATCACTGGACATCACTGGTGAGTCCCAGTATAGCTTACAGAAAAGTAGACTTATAAAATCCCTTAGGAACTGTTGCAGCTTTGGAAGAAACCTTGAATCATATTGACATTAGGACAGTTCACAGCGAAAACAAAATCATCTCTTTTCATCAACAACTCTTCTAGTCATGGTGGCAGAGCTCTTAATGGCATAATATATCATCTTACAAAGTTAATCTATAATTACAATGCTTTGTTCGTTAGGGATGTTGACACAAATCAGAATATCAATTACCTGAAATATGGTAAAGCCTCAGAAAACATATATATGGGGTTAAGATACGTACATCTTTCCCATCAGCTAGGTAATAATCTCTGGATTCCTATCGCAAAGTTCATCCCTGATCGTACATCTCAATTAATTCACCAGTCTAACACTGTAATCGATTAGATTACACGATTACAAAGTTGTAGACAAGGAAGATGATAGAGAAGATAATTGAGGAAGTACAAATATAACTAATACATTTACTACTTCGCATCAATCTTAAAACATGCCCATGGTGCTTAAAGAACAATTACAATTACAATTATAGACTACGATATAGAGGCTCAGGTAGTGATTTTTGATATCTACACCAAGCATTCCAAGCATGATATAGAAGACACCAGAAATAACAATATTATCGCAAAATTTTGCAGGACACGTATACAACGATCAGGAACAGAAGTGCAATAGTAAGACAATATTACGCATTACACGTCGATTGCATTCAACAACCCAACCTTTATTCACTTTGTCACTACACCTGTTCTCTTTATTCAAGACTACTTCAACAAGTAAGGACTTCACGAGGATGGACAATCCAACAGTTTTTTTTTGTGCCTAGAGTAAAATGCTCTATTGTGATAAAACCACATGACATATTTATTACTATGTATAATGGTTGCAGATATAAGGTAATGATGTTTTAGGTTAGCAAGCTTATCAATTAGTGCTGTTACAATGTTTTACCAAATATAATTCACGATTGTCGTCACCCAAGAAAGTGTAAAGCTGTATCAAACCGATTTTGACTACTTCATTGCGCAACAGGCGAAAGCTGGTGACTCTCTCCTTGAGAAGCGCCAATGAAAATAAGAACACTACATATTTTCCCATTTTGAAGTGATTTTGTACCATTTCACAGAGTAATTTTTGTACAAGAGCTAAGCGAACCTCCTGAACCAAGAACGATAGATATAAAAGCAACTAGAACATCATGTTGATATTTGAGGACCTTATTATTGGCTTTATGAGGGATGCTAGTGAACTAGTGCTAGTAACTCGTTGAAAATTACCTCTTTATCCTATGGTGTTACATACGAAACAATGATCAATCTAAGGGATATTATTTAAATGTTCCCTTTAATTATAGCGTTTGTGAATCCCATTGCAAAGAGAGTATGCTTTACTCAAAAGTCTCCAATCTCCCGAAATTCATTTTGTTCAATTACCGAAAAACACTCCTTCCTTTTAATCTTCTATCTTGAACTGTTCGGAATTACGGATAAACAAAGACTCTTCCAGTTAGCAGAAACTTATCGTGATAAATATACTTATATAATCAAACTGTATGTCATAAAGAAGAACACACAGGTGTACTTAATATTATACTGGTTGATTTATTTTTATTGTTGATTATGCGGTCGGCGGTGTTTTGAAATAACATTGAAGGTACTTTAAAAGGAGAAAACCAGAAGATGATCAGCTGCTAGTGGTTTATATACCTTTAGAGGCATTTTTAGGTTCGCTAGAGTAATTACTTCCTTTAATATGTAGTAAAAAAGGTAAAGATTGAATTAGACAAAATTTTGGTTTATTTGGAAATTGTAGGGTATTGTACTTCGAATTCAACCATCAGGTGAAATAATATATTAAGCACTGACTAAATTAGACGTCTTTTTATTTCCACATTAGATATTTTTCATTTGAATACAAGATCAATTGAAAATTTCACGTATGACAGCAATTTTACCAGCTTAAACAGTGGTTTTAGTTTGGAAGGAACAACTCTCTTTCCGGCTTAATCAACAATTCTAAGATCTATTGCACACCATTTCAACCTAAATAAGAAAATTAAGACAGTCATTTTTAAATGAAGCACAAATATATATACGAGAGACACGCAAGATACAATGATGATGGAGATGTATGAAAATGGCTTAAAAGTAGATCATTAGTTGATAGTATAGTCTATTGAAATTGGTGAATCTTGAGGTCTTCAGTAAAATGGGATGGTAGGATGATATTGATAAATAATGACAGATATAAGCATTCAAGCCGTTAATCATGCTTGAGCTTGAGCCTTAGCAGCCTCGCCTTCTGATTCCTTGGTCTGGGCTGCTGGTGCATGAGCGTGTTGACCGAAGATACCGAATTTGGCTGACTTCTCATCCTTATTCTTCTTACCCTTCTTCTTACCAGCTTCAGCGACTAGTCTATATTAATTGGTTAAGCTAGATCATTCATTCAGTAAATGTACCTACCTTTCAAGTTCACGACGCTCTTCATCGCTTTCATCTGGTTTGACATTCTTGAATAAAGCACCAATGATCATCATACCCTGTGCATGTTAGTTATGGACTGTTAACAAGAAAATTACCCACCTTAGCTCTCAACATAGAAGTGTCATCTGAGATCTCTGGATCGTTCAAAACGCGTTCGCAAACTTCGCGTAAGACGCCGTTGGCTTCGAATCTTGCTACTTTCCAAGATATTAAAAGGAGCTAATTATGTGTTAATTTAAATGGCAATATATCTAATAACCTACTTTGGCAGTTACATCCATTCCTAATGCTTCAACTTCATCTTGTGGAACTTCTCCAGCTTCTTGGCGCTTGTTCATTTCTTCGACAGCTGCTTGAGCGCCATATCTAGTTGTTGTCAATTAAGGATTTCTCAATATGATAATAACTCACGCGCTACCAAGCAAACCCCAGCCTTCTTTCAAAATAGATCCTTTCTCTTTAACACGTCCGAAGAAACCGCTCAAACCAAGGAAACCTTTACGACTCTTGATGTGGTTTTGACCTTTCGTGAGATATACACTACCGATAGTGTGTAGCAACTTGTATGCTGTAAGTAATAAATATTTCAAGATAAAGAACACGCACCTCAATACCGAATGATTCCAACTTCAAATCCTCAGCTTCTCTTTGGATATTCTCTTGGAATCTCTTAGTCTCAGGGTCATTCTCAGCGCCTGGGTGACGAGATTCAACGAAAACTCTCAATCTTTCCTTCATACGATCAGTCAGGTACTTGATTCTCTGGTTTATTTTTAGCATAGGCGTCTCGTCATAGAAAGACACGCACCTCTTCCTTCTCCTTCTCAGATTGAGCCTCAACTTCCTTCAATTTAGCCTTCTGCTCTTCTGTCAACTTTCTCTGTTTCGCTTTTTCTTCCTCAGTCTGTTCCGCGGTCTCGGCGTGGGCTGTCTCGCCGATAGTAGCTGTTTGTGGAGTTGGCTTAACCTCATCCTTAGATTCACCGCCTAGAGCTGCGTTTGTTTCCTTCTCAAGTTCAGCTTTCTCCTCGTCTGTCATTGTCGCCTTATCAGGATATCAGTGGGGGTGTCTCTAAGTCACAACTACGTACTTCTGCACGACCAGCTAGGTCTTTAATGAGTGAGAAATCGCCAATCTTGTTATTTGTTATAAAATAGTGAAAGCGACTGAAAGAAGACTTACGTAGTCTTTGAAAGCTTCTCCACCAAACATTTGACCGAACAAAGCTTCAGGGTCTACATTCTCAGCGTTTACGGCGCCAGCTTCCTTCTTTCCGTTCTTGTCATACCAGGCTCTCTCTTGTGGTTCCTTGAGGATAGCGTAGGCTTCACCAATTTTTTGGAACTTCTCTTCAGCGCCCTCTGATTGGTTCTGTCGGGTGTTTATTAGGGACTGGGATAATGAGCTAGTCTGCATACCTTGTCTGGGTGCCATTGTATCGCAGCCTTTCTATAAGCTTTCTTGCTATTGGGTGATTAGTAAGGGGCTACTGGTGGATAATATACTAACAGTTCTAAGTCAGTTGCCTCTGGTTTTACGCCTAAAAGATCGTAGTATTCTGTGTCTTTCACCATTTGGTAGTTCCAGTTCAAGCCTTATTCAGATACGACGATGAATACAGATAATTTATATGACAATAATAATAAATTTAATACGCCATTCACAGCTGATCAGCTAGCACCAAAGTCTTCGACTCAAGATAACGTCAACATCCAGGTCTGTTTACTTTATTTACCGTTCTTTTTATTGATATTTTATTAGATTATAGACGCTATAAGGACTACAGAAGGCGCTAAGTCTTCTTATATCACCTATATAATTCAGTCTGATGTTCGTAATCTCTCTTTCATTAACACATCATCTAATAGTAACACAGTCACAGCAAGTCTCGAGGCGATACTCCGAATTTGAATCACTCAGGCAGATCCTCGGTAGACTCTACCCAACGCTTATTATTCCCCCTATACCCTCAAAGCACACACTCGGCGACCTCGCGAAGACGAAGGAGGATGCTAAGATCGTAACACGACGTAGGAGAACACTACAGGATTTCCTCAGTCGTGTCGCTCGCCACCCTATTCTTGGCAGTGAACACTTCTTTCATAAGTTCCTTTCACCTGAAATCAGCTGGAAACACGTACTTGCAAGCCCGCCGATTAGTACTCTCCCTCGTAATCCACTCCACGTTTCTTCAAATGATCCAACCAATGATTCCAATGTCGCTGCTTACGCTTCTTTGCCTACACCTTCGCCTTCACAGCCGCTACGTCATCCAGATCAGCGTTTCCTCGATAGCGAAATGTTCACAGCTAAGTTCGCACAGCACTTTGAGAGCTCCTTGGAGCGAGTAGATAAGCGTACTACTAAGAGGTGGTCGAGTAGGTTTATCTTAATTACTGTTAATCATTTTCTCATTTTAGTCAGCTGTCGCGAACGATTATGCAGAATTAGGAGCAGCTTTTAATGGTTTCAGTTTGACAGAATCAGACCTTTCGGTTGCGCTTGAGAAAGTTGGCCAGGCTGTTGACTCAACGTATATTTCAACGAACACTATGGTATGTCTTACAGTCAAGGTTATTGTATCAGCTGATTAGATTATTTAGTTGCAAAATTGGGAGAAAGATTTCTCAGAGCCACTACACATATACAGTCAATTCGCTGGTATAATCAAGAAACTACTCGAATACAGACATCAAAAGCACGCTCAGTATGAGATGTTAATTGACGCATTGGACGCTAAACGCAGCACACTCGAAGAACTAGAAAGAGCAGAGCAGGAGGCTAGTAGACTCGATGAGGCTCTCTCCCGTGGATTATCATCAACGAAAATGCTCGATAGACCGAACGAGGAGGAGGAGGCTACAAATGGTGCAGAAGCACCATCTGATAGTGAACCTCCCGCTGAAGCCGAAACTGATGCTGAGGCAGACCAATTGCCCTCACAGTCTATTATCACGAGTTCACCACCGAAGATCCGGAGATACAAGAGTAATATGAGTTTCCTCGGTGCAATTTCACATACATTACATGGTATAATGGATGTTGATCCTGAGGCAACTAGGAGAAATAGCATTGGAAAGACGCGAGAGTCGATTCAAGGGGTGAGTTTTAGCTACTTTTAGGAATCGTTAGCGTTACTAACTTAATAAATTAGCTTGAGTCTGCATTAGAAGCCTCAACATATGATTTGAGTTACACTAGCCAAATAATTCAGGCAGATTTGGATAGATTCCAACGACAGAAAGTTGCAGATATCCGGGAGATGTGCATATCATACGCCCAATTCCACTCAGATTGGGCAAAAGATGTGAGTTGATATAGATTAGTCAAAGCAACTGTATACTAACGAATAATACAGAATGCATCCGTTTGGGAAGAAGCTCAAAGGGAGATTGAGAAGATAGATATTAACCTAAATGATGAAGAAATAGAGCAATATTCACATCAATTTGACAACGTTTAGTTATATATTTTTTGTATTTCTCCTTATTTCATTGACCTTTATCACGTTTGATAGTACAACGATGAATGTCTTCGCACCGAAAGCTAAAGCGAGTAGGAAAGTGAACACGAGTGCAGCTTCTACGACATCAAGTAAAACATCTAATAAGTCACTTGATTTCAACGCTGTGAAGGATTATAGGAAGAGTGAAACGAAGAAGAAAAGAAAGCAGGAGAGTCCACCAACGTGTGTATTCTCTAGTTTATATGATATACTAATATATAACAAATCCCTAGTGATAGCAGTAATGACAAAGAAGAGCTTAGAAAACCAACTAAACGGACATACGATAGAGTGAAAAGTCTAAAGGACAATATCGTCGATATTACACCTGAAAGTTCATTTAATGCTTCTGATAACAATGATTTAACGTGAGTTTCCTCAAATGCACCGTGTTTTCTTATCAACGACACGATAGTCATTACAATCTTAGAATGCATAGACAGAAAGAACAATATGAGAATAAGAAGAAAGAAGCTGAAGAGAGGGATAAGCCACAGAGAAATCGATTCAATTGGATGCTAGATGATATTGGAGACGATAGCAGAAAGTGGGTGTCGTTTTTTTTATTGATAACACGCTCAAAATGTATAGAAATTCATCGGATTTGAACGAAAGGGACATTGAGGAACCCTTCGAATATAGGCTAAGTGATACAGGCTCGGCTTCACCACCAAGCATGGATGACGCGATTTATAATATACCCTCCACTAGCAAAGATAAAGACATTCATCGTATACCAAGCAAAGAAAGTGGGAAGGCATCATCCAAGAAAGATAAACCTCAGCTACAAATGAGACTAGGTTCACCGATGTCCAAATATTGTAGAAACAAAGAAAAAGAGCAACACAATGCTAAGGAGAAAGCTAAGCAGAAAGAAATAGCAGAACTTAGAGAGAGGTATAGAGAGAATGAGAATTCAAAACGATCGGCTAAAGATAAGGATAAGGAGACTAACAACAACTATCATACCAGAATACATATTTCAAATTCAGCAAACTTTGACGATGATGACGTGGAAAGCCGTGAAATATCACAGCAGAGACATCAGACTAAACAGCGAATTGAGAGTGACACTGACAGTGATGGTGTTCAAGTTACGAATCCAATCTCACGAAAGAAGAAATCGCCAAGGCAGGATCATAAACAACCTGAACGAGCTGATATCCTCGGCAGCTACATAAAGGCACAAGCAAAAGGGCAATATGATGAACGGCCGCCTGAAAAAGCACACAATTCTGCGAATACAGAAAAGGTGACGGATAATATAGCAGACACTATCGAGAAACCATATAAAGGAACGTCTATTGATATATCTGATGAAGATTCATCCAGGAAACTAATTGATAAACCAAAGGGTAAACCACGGGCGAGACCTAGAGCCATCGTTAGAGAACCAGCAGCCGATCAATCATCATTGAAAAGCTACTTTAAACCAACTATTAAGGCACCAACGAACAACCTGTGTCCAGTTTGTGATCAAGTTTTACCACAATTTAAATCACAACATTTCAAGGCTGTTTTAAAGGAATTCCTGAACGTTGCGAAGGTTTCACCGAGAAGTAGCAATGCATTTGGAATGAGAGCTCACGTTTTAGCAGAAACTGAATTGTGTACTGCACATGAATTGGATACGAAGATTATACCAGAAGGACGCAAAAAGGGTTATCCATTTGAACATGATTGGAATGAATTATCAGATCGTATATTAAAGTTATCAAAGAGTATAAGAACAATAGTCAAGACAAAGGAGAATAGCAAATTCTGGCAAAAAGCTAAAGAAGAATATCTCAAACGAGGTAGTAAAAGAGCTAAGGGGTTAGATGCACAATTTGAGCATTTTGAAGATGAGCAACCTGGATATTATGGTGAAATTGGATTAATGGTTATACTTTTTAACTTGAATTTGATGGTTAGCAATAAATCAAAGAAGAAGATAAAGATAACAGACGAGAGTGTCCATCCACTCACATCTAATGATTTTATGAGAAGAATACTCGTACCGGAAGTTGCGAACTTGCTGATATCACAAGACAGGGCAATATCGATAGAAAAAGCAGAAGAGATAAGGAAAGATAGTAGAGAATATGGCAACGCACTATTTAGTTCTGATAACAAGGATATAAATTGGAGGCCGCCTATTTTGGAGGATAGTGAATGACGTTATCTATCGTGTGATGAGACAAAGTTGATGTCTGAATTTGGAAACTAAAGTAATTTTCACTAAAACGATAAAGAATGAAAGTCCACCCAAAGTGTAAATAAATAAAAAAAATAAAATAAAACTAAAATGACGTTCTATAGCTGCGAGGGATTCCTATAATCAGAAAAGTCAGGAAGAGATGTCCGGATCACCGTTTGGAATTGCAGCTAATGCAGAGGGTTAGTATCAGTGGATCTATGTAACCTTTATTAATAAAACCCAGGTGGATACGCTGTTGGGGGTAAACAGAATCTGCCTTTAGGGAAGGCGACCGTATGGGATAAGATACTAGGAAATTTAGATTACGTGAGTATATATACTTTAAAAGATAATGATATTAATACAAATTTATAGTTTCTTGCTACGGTAACACGCTCCAGTGATCAAAAGCAGCTTGCTAAGTTGAGGAAGTACGGCGGTAAAAAGGCCGTGATAGGAGAAGCAAGATCACCAAAGTTTTAATATTCTAACCAACATATCTAAAGCAATCAGCTAGAGCTTTAATTAATATAAAATACGCTATAATTTCTCTATACTTACATAATATAAACCATTGATTGTTAAAATTCCTTGATAAGACGAAATTCTGACTGAATGTTTTTGGTAGTAATACGATATCTTTATTCTTATGTTTACCGAGTGTTTTACCGTCTTTAAACTCGTTTATTGATTGTTTACCGATCGATACCAAACCATTAACGTTTAGTAAGATGGATGATAGCTCATTTGTGCTCACATCTTGAATAGGATGGCAGTCCCAGCTTTGTATCTCATGCAACGTTATCGGTAGACTTCTGAATAAATTGTCTAGACTATCTAAACCTTGTATTGGTGTACCATTCCATACTACAGCAGAACTGTCATTATAAAACTCCTTTAGATTCTCCCTTTGATAGTCTGTAACTTTGTAGTAGTTCTCTACGAATGAATCCGATGTATCGTTTGAGAAGTCGATGATTTCTTTTGCAATAGCCATCACGGCAATCAATAGAGAGAGTATGAGAATACCAGAGAGTTATTTAGTAAATCTAAATTTTTATAAATACTCTTCAATAGACAAGTTAGTCATTATGTTTAATAATCTGCTCATACTCACATCCTTATTAGCTCCCTCCTTAGTAGACACTTACTCAACCCATATTGGAACTACTGTAAGCGAATATGCACTCATACACATCCTCTAATACGCCTTTAGTGGTTTCTTTATTCCCTAACTATATCGCACCAAATTCCGTATGTCTTCTCTTTTCGTACACTTTGACCTCCTAACAGCAAATCAGATAACATTCGCTGGTTTATTGTTTATAGTAGCCAACTTACTCTCTCTATTCTACTATGATCCTAGTCTAGAGTGCTCCGTAGACTCTAGCAGCTGCCCACCAAATTGGATATACTTTAGTTGGGCTATTGGTCTCTTTTTATATCAATCATTCGATGCTATAGATGGTAAACAGGCTCGTAAAACTGGTATGGCTGGCCCACTTGGTGAACTTTTCGATCATGGCTGTGACGCACTGAACACAACGCTGGAAGTTATTCTCAGCGCAGCTGCTCTCAATATTGGCACAAGTTGGTGGCTTGTACTCTCGCAAATCGCTACAATTGCCAACTTTTACCTATCGACTTGGGAAGAATACCATACTGGTACACTCTACTTGAGTGTCTTCTCTGGTCCTGTCGAGGGTATAATTATTATCGTGATATTATACATTATCACTGGTATCTTCGGTGGGTTTCTTTTTATCTTTCGAAAGCTACATCTGACACTCTTTAGGACCACAAATATGGTCAACTTCATTAATTAACTTCATCGGCTGGGATATTAAAGTAAATGAAGCATTCATGGCATTTGCAGGTGTCGGATTATTCGCAAATGTATACACCGCTTACTCAAACGTACAAAAATCACGGAAATCGAAGAATATTTCTTCACCATCACCTTTATATGGTTTATTACCATTTTTATACCAAACTGTGTTGAATGTTTTATGGGCATCAGCACCAACGTCCATCATATTTAATACTAATTACCAAATCTCACCATTACTCATCTACTTGATTCAGTGGGGTTTCCAATTTTCACATCTCGTTGGTCTTGTTATACTGGGACACGTTGCTAAAGTTCCCTTCCCAAGCCATATAACTTCGATGTTCGTAGTACTCTGTGTTGCTATTGATGGATACCTTCCTACCTTTGGATTATCATCAATTTTGCACTCAAGTGAACAAAGTTCATTATATACTCTCTATGGTATGCTCATAATCAATGCGATGATATGGCTTACTTTCGCTTGGTTCACCGTGAAGGATATTTGTGAACATCAAGGCATAAAGTGCTTTAGAGTACTGAAAAGATCAAAAGATGGTGCTTGGGTAGTACCAAACGAGATGAATAAGAATAAATAGATAGATAGATTATGCATATAGATTTCTCAATTTAAACCAATTGTGTACTTTTATTTTCCTTGATGGGTTGATGAATGCCATTGATGGTTGTATTCCCTTTTGATAGAATCCACAAAGCTCTGATTCAGAAGTCTCTATTTCTATTTTTTTAATGTTGGTATTAGATTCAATTAGTGCATTGAATCTTTGTAAATGGTATGGTCGTATAGGGCTAGATTAGTTAAAAGGCGGTCAAAGGTGGTACAAAAGCGACTCACTTGTCTTCTTCATTCCATATCCTTATTCGTAAATGTTCAAATTCCGCAGAAAGTAATTCATTCCATGCTGTATACCACCCGCTAAATAAGTAAACGATCTTTGTAGTTTTTGGTAAGACAGTTATAAGTTTCGCAAGACGATCAGAATTATTTTGTTCAATTTCTTCATCTTCTTCATAGAATATTGAAATAGATCGTAATTTATTCAGTCTACTAATTGATTCATAAAGATAATTTAGATTGTTATTATCGGTTTTGATAATCGTGATAGATAGATGTATCAAATTATCTTTTTGATTATTTATAATATCAGATAAAGCTTCTATATGAGACTGTTCATTGAGCGCAGTGTTAACATCCACAGATTGTGATTTAAGGGTGTATAATGACATTGTAGTGGGTATACTAAAGATGGATGACGCGTTATTTAGTAATATATTATTATATACGCGTGGTAAAACAACAAAATGCAATCTTTTATCCACGCGTAAGAGCTTTAATAGAGTCTTTCTATCAAGATTGCTTAAAATCATTTCAACCAGTTCATCAGGAAGTTTGTTGAAATAACATTCACGTTTTCTACGCGGTTTGCGTTTACTGGGGGAGTCTAACAAGTCGTATGTCCTCTTTATTTGTTTTGAAGGTGTTGATGGTGGTAACATGAGTAGAAAGTGACTCTAAAGTGGGTATAAGATATAAAACAGTAATAGAATATTAATTAAGATAATGGATTTCTTTATATTCGCTATTCTTTTTTCGTCCACTATGACAACATCAGTGGTGCAATTCTCGATTAGCAAGCTATTCCTTGATTCGTCACCACGATGTTTGCTAGGAACTTACAATCAATTTCTAAATTCGTGAGTAAGAGACTATTCCATAGACACTCATTAAACTTCTATAGACTAGATCTTACTCTACTGGCCCACAACAGAGCTCCAAAGGCTTATACATTGGAGCGTACGTTTATAACTTACTCTATAGCAAATAGCTTAGTAAACTAAATAGCGCTGGTGCCCTCGCCCTCTTCGCTGGTGGATACACACTCCTCAACAAGGATTCCTCTTCAGGTCCTCTTCCTGCTTCAACCTCAAAGTCTGACAGAATAGAGAGCCTTCAAACACCACAGGTTGCTCTCACAAAGGAGAACTTCACCAACCTCACACTCAAGAATGTCAAAAAGTACAACCACGATTCTTCAATCTTTGAATTTGAGGTAAGTTAGAAGATACTTCTGAGTCTTTTTCCTTACAATACATTTCAGCTCCCTGGTTCCTCAGTATCAGGTCTCGAAACAGCTGGTCTTGTTGTTGTTAAGGCAGCTGACGACTCCGTAAAAGGTGATAACGGAAAGCCAGTTATTAGACCATACACTGTGAGCTTCTTTTATCTTATACCCATCTTTTATTTAACATTTATAGCCTATTTCAACCGGAGACACCCGCGGACAAATCGACTTCTTGATTAAGAAGTACGATGACGGAAAGTTCACTCCATACATCCACTCACTCAAACCAGGTGATCAACTCGCCATCAAGGGTCCATTACAAAAGTTCAAATGGGTACCAAACACTTACGAAAAGATTGGTTTGATCGCTGGTGGTAGTGGTATTACACCAATGACACAATTAGCTGAGACAATCTTGAACAACCCAGAAGACAAGACAAAGGTTACACTCTTGTTCGCTAACAAGACACCAGAGGATATCCTCCTCAAGGAGACCCTCGACGACTGGAAGAAGAAGTATCCTGAACAATTCAATGTCGTTTACACTATCGATAAGGAAACACCAGGATGGGATGGTCTCGTCGGTTACTTCACTGGTGATATCCTCAAAAAGAACCTTCCTGCACCAGGTTCCAACGGAAAGACCTATGTTTGTGGTCCACCACCAATGATGAAAGCTATTTCAGGTAACAAAACCAATAAAGGTGCACAAGGTGAATTGACTGGTATCCTCAAGGAATTAGGTTACACAGAAGATCAAATATTTAAATACTAATGTACTAGATCGGGTTTATAAACAAAAGATGCAATTATTTCTATGTTCTAATCTTATAGTCCTGTGATGATGCTACTGGTGCTCTACTTTGTCCTAAACCTCGTCGTTGTTCACGTGCTTTCCATAAAGACCTTATCTGTGGTGCCTTTTTTATTAATTCTTCAGCTTTTACACCATCTTTTATTGAATCTAAAATCTTTTCAACCACAGTTGAGTGATTGGCGTCATTTTTATCGTCTCTAAACCTTAGGAATTTCCAGTTTTGCTCTTCGCTTAACCAACTAAATTCCGCAATTTTGTTGTGGATGTCTACACCTTCATTCATAAAATGACACCATTCTTCACCACTTATTCTCCAGGTATCGAACCAGCTATATGATTTACCGCCTTCCCATTGATGTAATTCGCAAATGGGCTTCTTTGAAAAATTATTTAATTCCTTATTGTCCTCTTTTGGCGGAAATCGCAGTATTATTTTGAAATCTATACTATTTTCACTAGGATTTTTCCATTTTATGCTGGAAACGTATTTAATTGAGTATATCAATAAATAATTCTTTACCCACATCCTTGGATCTGTTCCATTAACATATCCACTCTCTGCACAAGTAAATATAAGTCCATCATTTCCATGTTGCAATCTTGGTATGTGTTCTTTAAAGATCTGCTCAATTGAGTATGCGCGTTCCATAGGCTTGACTTTTATTCTCGTTATTGTTAGACTAGATGGGAATACATCGAATAGCGACCTACTCAAATGGTTGTTCAGGATTACCTCGAGACTCGAGCATGCTTTTATAGGGTTTTACAACCCACGTCATTAGTCGCTATTAATAATCAATAAGTAGATAGTACATCTAAATCGATCTACTCACGCCATATCGAGACTGAAGTGGCTTTTCCCTAAGGTTCATATGTTCAAGTACTAAAAGATCAAAAGCGAGATATATCAAAGTATTCTATTAAAATGTAAGCCTAAATCAATAGTTTCGATATCTTAACTGACCTTTCCAGTAGTTTCATCGTGGTCAATCACAAGTTCACCATCGAGTAGAGTATCAGTTGCTGGAGTTTCAAATGTGCTATCTTCGAAATTTGGGAATTGTAAACCATATACGCGTCTATAAACATTTTTTCTATCAATCTGATCGTTGGGTGAGAAGATCGATATCGGATATATTACTAGCTATCTCACAAAGTAGGTTTCTTGTTCGTTTGTTATACCATTCATTAAAATCAGTAATAAGCAGCGAACACCATCTGATTTCTCGCAAACCCAATAACTAGATCGTTCTTATCAATCATAAGCTATTTGACTGTAGAATACACCCACTCTTCTTCTTCTAAGGACTTCATAGATTTCCAAGTGAATGAAACAGGCTGTGATCCAGGGAATCTGTATTAAAAGTCGGATTAATTATCTTACTCTGGCTTTTATCACTTCTGACGTACGATTTTGTTTTAGTTTGACAGAGTTCCTGTACCCATCCTTTAAGTTGACTCGTCTGTTCAGATGCAGCTAATATCTGTCCAGGTATGCTCGGTATTCTCGACATTCTAACTCAGATGTTGGTTGTTCAAGTAAAAGGACTGTCTAGATAGAAGTTAATGTATTTCTTCTAAATTATGTATATTTATATTAAATACATTCATTTATTTATGTTTCATTATATACTCTCACATTAATCTCAAGAAGACACTCAAAAATTTCATCATTTGTGACATCAAGCCAGACATTCATCAATACAAGAAGATTGTAAATCCAGTTACAAATCTTATCTAAGCTGATTGAAGGTAGTAGCTACCCAAGCTCGTTGGTGAAGTACCATCTGATGATAAAAGTTGATTAAGTTGGTTGACGCCCTGCATCTCCGTCATAGCACCAAACCAAGCATATCCGTGCATCCAATCTTGTTGGTCCATCCAGCTTGTTGTTTGTTGCATCATTTCCCACACTTGGCTCTCTGAACATTGGCTACCACCTGAGTAATCTTGACAAGCGTATTCAGTGAGGTAAACTGGGAGTTGGAAAGTATCATAAACCTTTTGCAAGTATTCAATAACCTTATTGTAATCAGATTCATAGATGTGAACGGCGACTGCGTCAAATGATGCACCGTTGCTTTGGAATTCTTGCAACCATTTGATACCATCTGTTCCAGAACCTGAATCACCAGTACGTGATGTACATGCAGGTGAAATCAATGTGTATTGTCCTTTGAACTCAGCAATTTCTTGGTTCCATAAGCTAGCACCGTCGGATGGACTCAAATTAGCTTGACCAGATTCGTTAGGCTCATTGAAACCTAGAATATGGCTAACATTGTATTGTGAGAACTTGCTCTTCTCTTGTTGCCAGTCAGAAACTTGCTTTTGTCCCCATAATTGTGGGTAGAACTCCAAGCCATTTACTGAACTAACAGGTGATGGACTCCAGGTGTAATACCATCCGAGTTTACCGTTAACCCAGGCGTTTATGTCGTTTGCATCACCATTTGGCCATGCAAGTCCACCTTTCTCGCCTGTTGATGTAGTTGTTGGGCTAGCAGTTGATGAGCTTGTGGCAGTGGCAGAGGTTGTAGATGTAGCAGAAGCTGTCTGAGAAGTTGCTTGAGAAGATGAAGAGCTGCTTCCACTGTTGTTGCCATTCCATTGGTCATGATGGCCATGGTGGTCGTGTCCATCGCGATTTGCGACGTGGTGACGGCGTCTAGCGCTGAAGTCACCAGCATAAGCAGTTGAAAAGAGTGCGAGAGCAGTGAGCAAAAGTTTGGAGTGCATAGTGAATAATAAAGCGAACGTTAAACTATATTCGCCATTAGACAGGCTTAAAAGTGGTATATGTTACCCACACTAGTAAAACAGAAGGCTCAACCAGGAGCTACTTTGAAATTGACTTGAAAGTTGTGTAACAAAAGTTAAATTGGACTGCTTGCTTTATATATCCAGGCTTTGTCTAGACTGATTTGGGGGTGCTACCCCAGAACACAATGTTCTATTTTCAATTCGACAATGTCTGAGCTTTTATTTTAATAGCTGTAATAATTATTCCTATGAATTTCTACAAATATAACGTTATCCGCGTCTCAACTAACATTTATTTGTCATTTTTCACTGTCTTCTTTTTTAGAAAGGTGATGGTTTGGTGCAAGGAGAATATCCTAAAGATATTTACAATTCTATAGACAAATAAAAATCATAAAAAGACTTAAAATTCACTCAAAAAGATCTCATTGAGCCCTTCACTTGTGGGCCTGAGCGTTAGTTACTGTGAAGTTCTATGAAGGCACACAAATATCGAACAATCGATCGAACATAGTTGCCTCATATCAGGGATAACAATGGGATTTGTCTAACGTACCTTCTGCGCTCCGTCGAGAAGCTACTAGACCACTACTTATAACAGTCTCCCCCATTTAAGGTGGTTACAGCATTCATAATAAGTTACATATCAATGTAATTGTTACAGTTCTCCATCAAACTCTTCATCTGGTATCAAATCTTCATCTTCAGCTTCCTCAACCTTCCCATTAGCTGATCTCTCTATACTAGATTGAGCAGCTTGTCCATTCATGTTTTGATCATCCGAGCTGAATTTATAAGTTTCGCAGCTGAGTGTATCCAAATCGACAAGCGCTATTGTGCTAGACTCAGTGAATTCAGGCAGATTGACTACACGAGTTTGTTGTCCTTCAGGGCCTATCGACAATGAGCCTGATCATCAATTGTCTAGCTCAATACTCACCATCTACAAGCTCTGACGCAAAGCTATCTTGATTTCCGTTGACAAATACATGAGGACATTCACTTAGGATGAATGGATCTCTATCAGTAAATGGATAACACCCTATATAATATGTCAGTAAGTAAATAATCGAGACTACTGACATACAGAGGGTGTCAGGCGCTGTGGGAGCGATGTGACGCCATTTCAAACTGTCTACGGCCAAACCCAATCTATCTTGACCTCTAATGTACTTAAATGAATCGTCTAATGTTTGACCACCTGAAACCAAAAATCTATCACTATGAGCGTTGCCTCCGGGAAGTAAAATATACCTCACCTTGTGTCGTCGACAGAAAACCAAGTAGGATTAGTGTGACAATTGATTGCACCTTGCTCAAAGCTGTTGAACGCACCCTTGAACATAGCTTTAGGGAATGGTTGTTGAGGCAACAGCGTACCAGCTGGATCGACGGATCCAGGCAGAATATCGACCTCAACATGGTCCGAAAGTTCAATCAAGAAGTTGTCAAAATCTTTAGATGGCAAGGAAGTGAATGTTGCCTGATCTTGGCCAAATCGCTTAGGCTTTTTGTCGTCAACGTGCGCAACCGGTGAGCTCATACAGTTTCCAGCGATAACCAAACGCGTAATTCTCGACGAAAGTTTCTGTTCAGAAGGTCCACCGTGTTGTCCACTAAGGAAATCTATCAACATTTGACGCGATAATGCATCATCTGCGTTTTGTGATCCTATTTTAAGACCAGATACGAGGGCGACTAAAGGCGATTTATCGCTGTCCATTGAGGAAACTTTACTAGGTTGGGGTGGTATTCCAGGATAACAAATGTCTATTACGGTGAACTCTCCAGGATCTTTTTCAATTCCTAAGACACCAATGATGACACCTAGACGTAGATTAAACAACTTATCGTATATAAACCGACAACATACCGGTTACTAGTTGCGAATTTAATATTGTCTCTCCAACCAGCTTAATTCTACCACTTTCATCCTCCAAGCACAATTCATCATTATTACTGTATATCTTTTCAGTTGGCTCGGGAGCAGCAACCCAGTGCTTATTAAATGTTAGCCTTGTAGCCTATCTATATAAAGGTATACTAACATTGCGAGCAAGATCATCCAATACGTTTGGTTTCAACTTCATATCCATATAAACCGTACCGACAACATACGAGAGCTGATTCTGATCAACATCTAAAACTCTACTATAGAACTTCGGCTTCTGTGATTGACCTTATATCGCGTTATTGCACGTACTTCATTACAGTGACTATCTCTACTCACCCGGAATTTCACTCCACTTATCTATAGACCTCTTCTGAGTGAGCTTCTTTAGTTTAGCTAACCTTAGATAATATAATGAAGCAAATTGTGCTTGATATGATTGGTTTGTGTGCTTTACTTTGAAAGCAGAAGACAGTTCATCAAGATTGTCGTAGTTTGACTTTATACGCGTTTCATTATAATCAGTATCCTCTAATGGATGGCTATTAAACGTTAAATCATTTCATTCATCGTGTATATCCAAACTCACATTCCATCGATAGTCATAGTTGAACAAAACAAAGGAATTGGTATCAAATCAAATTAAAATTACTTTAAACAACATAGTACAATATGAAACTAATATTAAGATCTATGACTTGATATATGATGCTAGTTGCGGTGAACTGTCCACTGAAATTGGAGGTGATGGATAAGAATGCTCCTGACGGAACTTCACTTGGTTATTGAGTTGGTTTGGGAATGGTGGCATTTCTACTATGTTCTCATTTGTATGGCTAACTGGGTAAAATGTTGCTGAGGATGTATACGGTTGGAGAGGACTATCTTTACCACTGAGGAACTTTTCTTCAGATTTGGTAGTTGGTAAAGCGTAATCACGTAAAGCTTCATCTCTCCTGACCTTGATTTCACCCTTATTAACATCTTGCTTAGATTTGTTGTACAAGTACAATCCAACACCTGTCAATACTATCCCAACCATTTGTATAAAGTGTATGCTCTGTTTGAAATAAACAATAGCTAAGCAGATTACCGCGATCCTTTTTGTTAATGATGCAATTGAGTATGTTACTGGCGAAGTTGCTGCTAAGATAGCAAAAGCAACCAAGTTTTGAGCAAAGTGTACAAATCCGTTTGACAAAATGTATAAACTAAATCCAACTGGGCGTTCAACTGATGTACCGACAAAAATTAGGTTCCAAATGTGACCAAAATCCGAATAAAACCATAAAGGAATCATGGAAGTGAACGCCATTAATGATGAATAAAATAATAAGTTAAGTTTATCCAATTTTTGAGAACTAAGCTTTTGAGTTTCCGAAGGTAACAACTTCTTGCAGAAGATATTTTGTGATACGAAAACGAACGTAGATAAGAAAGCGTAGATCAATCCACCAGTATTCAATAAAGACATGTCGAATGACATTGCAAGCATAACGCCGAGTGTAAGTGGAAGCAAACTCAAGTATGTCTGAGTTGAGTAATTCACTCTGAATAAGAACTTATATGATAAAACGGTGAATAGTGGTGATAATGCCTTTATAGTGTGTACGGTACTAACAGGTACTCTTGATATCGCCATAGAAGTGAGTACATGTCCACCAATCTGGAATAAAGCCATCGGAGAAACACTTTTGAAAACGTGCTTATCAAAAGTTTTAAGTTTAGTTAAATTAAACGGCCTTTGTGTTATTATGTAGGTGAATAGCGAAATGAAACCGAATTGATAGAGCGTTAAACTAACGGGCAGTCTATGATGACTGAGTATGACTTTACCCGTATTAGAAGACAATGCAGATGATAGGTACCAACATAGACATAAAATTATGAATTTTACGTGATGGACGATCATTATGAAGATTCTTGTGCTGCTGCTGCGACTATGGGGATATTCAACTACGTTACGAATTTAAAATTGGTTTTCAATCCATTTAATAATACCTCAAAATTGTGTAGAAATGTATTAGCATTGGTTCCACCTAGCGTTAGTCTCCTTCTTATTTAATACTAGTATCTAACTTCTCCAGGCATCAACTCAAGTAAACGTCAATATAACAAAGAAGAATGTAAACTCTCAACTTTATTTAGAGTACAAGAATGGCCAGAAACTCAACCTTGAAGTTACAGATGGGATGGACTATCATTCTTTGATGAGGCAGATCAGCAAAACTCCAAATGAATTGAAATTAAAGGAATCTATTTAATGCATTGTTACAACACATTTTCACCTATCAATCGTCAGTTAGTTCTTTGTCTATAATCTTGTTCTCACTTTCATATTCCTTGTCTTCGATTCACATCCTTGAAGAGAGTTTACGACGCTCTCAATCACACCCGAACAGCTCTCATATATGTCTCTATTAGCGAATGCTCTACCAAGTGCAGTAGCGGCGTTCCATTGTATCTTGTAATTGAGTTGAGGTTGCAACTCATCTTTTAGGATGTTGATCATCCGCTTTGCTTGATCTATACTTTCGTCGTTTAGTCCCTGACTCTTCTCAAGTATGCTTCCATACGCTCTGAATACGTGCACCTGTGCCTATATAGCGTAAACAAGGTTTCGTTATTCATATGGTACTTACCTTGCCTTTATCCTTTGCTTGCATCATACTGACAATATCGAATAGTCTCTGCCATCTAGATTTGCTCAATTCGTGTCTATTGTTTGTTAGATACGCAAATGTTTTTAGAACTACTGACAACTGTAAAACATCCAAGTAATCTGCTAACGCGAAGCCTGCTTTCTGCTTCACAATGTGTGATGTGTTAATGAGACTATCTACACAAGCCTTTTCTAGCCTCATGGCAAGGTCATCGTTCTATTTGGTTTAGAAGACACTTCTGTAATTAACTTTTTAATACTCACGCTACGTATACGAGTGTCCCTAAATGCATTCTTAGTAGCAGATAATCCTGCTACCTTCATGTCAGTGCTGACTGAGTACACTCCCTCCAAAATCCATTCAACAGTATCATACAGTATGTCGTCCTAAAGAATGTCAACTATGATCGTATCTAAAACTAGACTAATACTTTTAAACAGTTGCTACCTAAAGAAGCACCTAGCATATCTAGGAAATGGCAATTAAACGCGCAATTATCCTTGCCAATCTGATGTGAAGTCGTCAATAGTTTGTCATCAAGCTTCTCTTGCATCTCAGGATGCAAGAAAAGAAGCTGGATAGCCGCAATTTTGAATTCAATTTCATCTTTATTGAAAATCATATTAAAGAGCCTTTTAAAGTCTTCTGCAACTCTTAAGACAGGAAATGAGACCCATATCTTAGCAAGTACATCAACCATTTGTGTCCGCACAACTAAAGAATAATCGCCAATGAAGACCTGATCGTACAACCACTTGCTCATCTTCTTGAAATAGATCTCGTCTTCTTTGAGAAGACCTGCATCGACCACATTTTGTAAAAGACACAGCGACGCCACCTGGCTAGGTTGCTCTAGATTGTTTAGAGCAAAAATAATCTTTTGAAGTTCAGCACATAATTTAGTTGGTGTATCACTTGTCATTCTACTATATGGTGTCACATTGACTAGACATACAGAAAGCTGTAAAGGGTTAGCATGCTTTGTAAATAAGAAGAATAACATACATTCAAAAGTGCTACTTGAATAGCTGTATCTTCATTTGAGGAGAGTAAATCAGAAAGACGTTCATGTGACTCCCAGAGCAATGAGCCTAGTCTATAAGCGAGGGAGGTATAGCTAATGCTTTTTTGGCTTTTTTCTCGTTAAACTCATGCTGTTCTTAGCAATAGAACTTACTTCAAATCAGCAGAAGGGTAGAGAAATGGTCGGGACGATCGTAGTATTTGTTCAATGCACTGGATAGTCGACAATTTAGCATCCTGGTTGATATTCTCAGAATTAATTATGTCCCATAATGTGAACGAAGGATTGACATGCAAACTCATGTCTGGAAGCAATTTGAATATGTGATTAAAGACAAACTTGACGTGTGACTGCAGGGAAATCAGCTAATATATCACAAAAGGAGCTACCCACATGAGCTAGTTGTGATATACACATCGTCGCTTGCAAGATGACATCAGATCTTATATCCCTGTCGCAAAGTCAGACAAAAATGATAAAAGAACGCCCTCCTACCTAATATTTACGTGGAAACTATCTTCTTCTTCCATATCAGATGCGTGGTCGTCTCTGAAACGCCAATTCGTACTGTTATCTGAGCTCATATCTGACGCGTGAGAACGGAGAGAGGAAATAGATGCACTTCTCCGTGCGGTCTTGCTCTCATCTTGCATGATAGTGATAACATTTGAAAAAAAGAGCTCAATGAAGAGCTGGACATGCTGGGGTGTCAGTGTGAGCTTCGTGAGTGCAACCAGAAGTGAATGTAATGCCAATCGCAGCAAACTAATAGCGTTTTGAGGTATCCCATCCAAGCATTTTATAATCTGGTTTGTCCTCGCGCCTATATCACGCTTAGGTTTTTTGGAATAGAGTTGTATGAGTACTTTGAGAGCTTTTTTGCGTATACTGTACTTATGTCCGGGACATCCCAACTCTAAGCAAATATCCAGCAATTCTTCATCACCCTGTATATTGTTAGTACCGCCGTATATTAGTTGTGTGCTTATCAAGACCTTCGTATTGTTCGATATGAGTGAATTTATAGATTTCAATAGTATACACTGGTTATATGAACCCAAGCATATCTTCTTATCTATATCGTCTCTCAATAAACTCTGGAATAGTCCGAGATGGTCACTAGATTGATAATGGTATTCCTATATTAAAATAAGCTGATATTTAGAAATATACAACAAAACCGACATAAGCTATTGCTTCAGATCGCTGCAATAGACCTAAATCTACGCTCATCTCTCTCATTTATTCTTGATTGTCAACTGTGAAGATGATGTTACGCACTATTATCGCAAGCCGCGGCATTTGCACAAGTGCTAGATTGAACAATAGCAGTATGTGCACATTGCAGCACTTCTAGTTATCTAATATACGTACACAGTCAAGGAATGCCTGAGAGATGGACTCAAACAGTCTATGAAGTCAGTTTTCTATTATTTTACTAGATCTGACTAACATTCAGATAGATCTAAAGATTCTAACACATCTACGGTTATCAGAGTGTGTATATCTACTTTTTGGGTCTGTATCACTAACATATCAGTCCCTACTCAGTGAAATCGCCTACTCAGAGAAGGAAACGCCAGACTTGGATGAAAACAAGACGATAAAACTCGTCCAAAAGGCTATCATTAGACGCGTATGTTTATCAACGGTGGTATTTATGATCTAATCGCTCTATAGAAAGAGTCAGCAGAGCAATATCTCCAAGCAAAGCGTCAGGATTTAGCAGACAAAGAGAACTTTGATATCTCAGTCTTAGAGAAGTACATTCCCAAACCATTTACCCAAGAGGAGATGGTTGAATTGATAAACAACATTCTCAATGACGCTAAACTCAACGTATCAGAATTAGATGGTAGAGCAATGGGTCAGGTGATCAAAGATTTCACTGCTAAAGCAGCTGGACGCGCTTCTGGTGGTGATGCATCTAAACTTATCAAACAAATGCAAAAAAAATAAGACCAACACAAAAGAATGTCAAATAATACAACATAGATTTTCAAAAAATGGTTTTATAAACCAATCAATTTATTCGCGCACGTTTCGTCTCAGCATCTGAGCTTGTGTTATCAGCTTCACCGACATCTGATGATCTCCTCTCGCGCTTATTTGAGTCTTTTACCATGCCAACTAGCTCTCCTATTGCTTTATTTATATTTGATTGGGCTTCAAGTAATGATGTCAATTTTCTATCGATATCTCTGTCTGTTTCCTGTTCTGATGTTGAAGGAGAAGGTGGTAATGGTACATTCTCTGCTATTAATGACTCAGTTGATCCGTCATTCGTCACTATCGATGGTATATCTGTTTTAGTCGTTGGATGTGCGTTCCTGTATACATCACGCCAGTATGTCGATGGCAGCGCCCTGCTTTCCGGTCTAATAATAGGGAGTGTTACATTAGGTATGTTCAAAATATGAGACATCGGATGAGTTTGAATTGTATTGAACGGATTGGTTGAACTTGACGGCCTTGGTGATGGCTGTGAAGTTTGATTTGACGTACTCCTGGACCCAGTGTTGGTAGATGATTGTTCTGAGTTGTTAGCATTGCTTTGTTGGGCATTTTCATTAGTATTAGCCGGTTGAGGCTGTGTACGAGTGGCAGGTTCTGGCTGCACCTCACGTCTAGGTTCAGTTCTAGGTCGTTCGTTTTCATTTCCATTGTTAGGGCGATCCGATCTCTCGTTCTGAGCATTTGGAACAACAGATGTGCGACTGTAGGGTCATTAGACGTTACTAAGAGAAAATATAAGGCATACCAAGTTGGACAAGTTTGCTGACGCTCGAGCCAGCTCTTAAGGCAATGCCTGTGGAATATATGAGAACACGGAAGTTTCTTTGGTGTCTCATCCAATCCACTTGGCCATGGTCCTTGGTGTAGTGATTCATGGATGAGATCATCACGACATATAATACAGAGCTTATCTGATAAAGCATCCAATTCTTCGACAGTAGCAGCTTTGTAAAGTCTGTCCATATTCTTGCTTGCACTTTTATACCGCTGAAGATCCTTTATACGTGTTGCGAACGAGCGTGTAGTGAGGACAAGATCCCTAATTAGATTTAATGGTAGACCAAACGATAAGGCCATGACAGAGAAGAACACAGTGTAGATGGTTAACTTCAAAAAATCAGCAAAGATATCGACGTAGAGAATGTAGAGTGATTTGTCTTCCCATGCTTGCCCAGAACGAAGGTCTTTGAGGTTGATAGCGAGCCTAATCGAACCCGTAAGAGCATCAGCGAGTAAAATAGCATACTGTAGTTGTTAAAATATGTAATATAGTCTATAAATATGCTCACCTCGGATGCGAAGAGGATAATCATAGTGACGCCATTAAGGTAGATATCAAGTACGCAGATTGATAAAAGAACGAAATCGGTAACTAGTAAGCCAGCGTAGGCTATAGCAAGCCTGACGGCAATTGAGTTGGATGCATTCTGGTATTGTACCATCTGTGAATGATAAGCAGATTGAGAGACAATAGAAAGAAATGCCTACGTATTCCATCCTATCGTGTGAAAGCCAATGGAAAACCTTAACAAAGAACAAGAAACCAAACATTAAGCCATAGAAAAGCTAAAAAGTCTTAGTTGATAGTGTAGCCTATGTACAGCACATACATCAAACTCGTCACGGAACATTGTCATAGCGAGGATCATCTCAGTGAAGCCATACCAGCTTCTCTCGTAAAGGTGCTAGTGTCAGATGTTAGACAAAATGACGCTATAGCACGTGAACAGCTCACCTCTGTTTCCAAGGTTCTCAGTTCCCCGAACAAGAGTTTCTGGATTATTTTGCCGATACAGAGACCACTGAAAAGTGCAAAGTTACCGAGTATCTGTATAAACGTTTAATTATTGTATAGTTAGCTTATAATGTGCTCACGAGTGATGCACCATTGCTGTTACTGAGATATACGGCGACAGCGTAGAAATTAGAGTAACTCCTAAAGGCTGAGCTGATAACGCCGAGAGTAGAGGCTATCGTTATTAACCCATATAATATGAGCTTCGTCATAGTTTACCTTCAACGATCTATTGCACGGCCAGGATCTTAATATACAAAGATGAAAAATGGATTAATATTAGATAAGTTACCGAATGAATTAATAATTGATATTATTATGTTATTACCTATCAACGATTTATCTCAATTAGCCTGCGTTTGTAGGACGTTAAATGATGTTATAAAAAAGCACAGAAATTTGATATATCACACTAAATCTATTGAATATGGCTTCACAGATATCCATTCTGATATCGATAATGTCTATTCTGTAGCCAACAAGCGTAGATGTTTACGTAAAACGTTTGAGAAGGTCAATGACTGGAGAGACTACTGTTTTCTTTCTCTACAGCAAAATGAACGGTGGCCTAGTCAATGTAATGATTCACGTGGCATAGACCTACACTTACCACGAGATAGGAGCGTCTGGAGAATTAAAGTTGATACAAACTTGAAGATATTCATCTATACGTCCACAATGGGAGGTTTATCCATCAAATCAATTGAAAACCCCCATGAATTTCGCTGTTGTAACACTTCAGTTGCACCATTTGCTCATTTAGAGTACGATAATGGATACGCTAGTACTCATGGCGCTTCACTCGATCTCTGGAAAATCCGGCTGGAAGGAAATCTACCTAAATTAGAGCATATTACGAGAGTATCAGTACCATTTGAAACTCGTGCCTCGCGGATGAAATTCGGGTATGTCTTACAAATTGGAAGTCCTTTTGCTAACTGTCTCAAGCGTTTTGGCCGTGGCCTCAGCCGATGGTGCTCATATTGCATTGATAAACCCCTCTGATGGTAGCCTCATTAAAGTGATAAACACTGTCCGAGTTGTCTTGGGTGTACCATTGATGATTTTCTATGTGAGCAGTCTGTTTGTTGATATAACACTTTATATTTACAACCATCAAGATTGAGCAAACACAAAACGAGGTTCTTATTTGCAGAGGTAGCAAAATTGAGGTCTACTCTAAACAGACTGGCTTATTATGTACGACAATCAGGATAACCATAAACCCTGACCAATTTTATTGTTTGAGCAAGGTTCAGTTCGGTGGACTACAAGGAGATGAGCCGGTAAGTGGTATAGCACCAACCTTCCAAGAGTTCCAAATTGCAAAAAGGCACGAGATAGATGAAGACGAGGATAATTTGACTGCTCAAGTAAGAGCTGATATGTTTGCATACTTTGGAATAAATAGACCAGCTGCCAATAACGAGGATCAAGCTAACATAGTGCAAGAAAACCCAGTTGAATTGGATGACGAACGTGACAATCCAGTAGGAGAGGATGTTGAAGAGCGTGATTTGGTACAAGCGCTCATGCATGAATTTGAAGATAATTGGTCAGCAGTACACGTCGATGGTGACACACTTGTTGCATTATCTGAGAAACAAATCTTAATCGTTCCTAATTATAGCAAAGCTATAGAAGATGATGAGATGTTGAACAAACAGATGGTTATAAAGCTCCCTGAATATGATGGCGATACGTCGCAGATGTGCTTCGAGTATTCGCGTATGGTATTCGAGTTAGAAGGACATTTATGTATACTTCCACTTCATGACACACCTCAAGTTATGTATATATCTGAGTCGGCAGCTCCCGATTCTGCTTCAGCCATGCAAGCCACAGAAGATGCGATTATTTCGACAATACATGAAAATGACAACCACAGCCACTGGCCTCATATTCAAACAATACGTTGGATCGATTTTTCGCCTACATCTGCTACGTTATCGAACTGAAATAATGTATGCTAATTTTAAACAGTACTTGATAAGAAATAAAAGCTGAGTTAATGGTATAATGAAAAAAGAAAAACTAAACGTCAGTATGATCAAGTCGTTCATAAGAATCTGAGCTTTCAGGATCTTCTGTTGTACTTTTACCTTTATAAATCCATTTTTTGAGTGTTTTGATCGGGTTGATGATAATTGATTTGTGCAAGTTTGGTTCAGATCTACGGTGTCTTCGATCATATTCTGTGAAACTAGCCAAAGAAGGTAAGCTAACTGAAGATTGACGAGCTATACGGTTCTGCTTATGAAGTGATATCTGCTCGGCTTCTTCTTCAGTGGATCCTGAATCGCCGAATATGTCAGACATCTCTTCGAGCGGTACGTTGGCTGTTTCTGGGTAGAGAAAGTAAACCAATACGAAACTACATGCACAAAATAGTGCATGCATTGGGTAGAGTCTCCATTGAATGACATCTTGTAGGATTGGTGTAAGCTCTCCTACGATAAAGTTTGCTGCCCAATTAGAGGCAGTTGAGAGCGAAACGCCCTTAGCTCTGAAAGCAAGCGGCATGATTTCTGGTGGGTACAACCATGGGACAGGTCCCCAAGAGAAACCAAATGCTGCGTTGAAGATTATAACGCAGATGACAACGGCTGTTGGCGTAACAGGTACGTCAATGTAAATCCACCATCCAGTAAGTGTCAATGCAAAGCACATAACTGCAGCACCGCTTAGCAGAACAAACCTGCGGCCCCATCTGTCAACCAAATACCATGGTGGGACAGTCGACGCTATGTATACTAGAGCATTGATACCAGTCATCAAAATGGCATCTCTACCAACCCAACCAGCGCTGATCATAACTAGTGGCATGTAATATGATATAACATTGATACCATTCTGAATTGGAGTGTAAGATTAAATTAAAAGACTATCAAAAAAGCCTACCAATTGAGCAAATAGTTGGCTACTCATTGCTATAAAAACTCTTGCTTTGTACTTCTTAAAGAGACATTTGTAGGATCTATCAGGCTCCAATCTGTCTTGTTCGACAGCATCCCTAATCTCACGATATTCCTTATCGGCTTTCACGTTATCGTAATAGCCACCATTAATGTCAACGAGAACTCTAAAGCCCTCATCATCTTGATCATTGTCCAGTAGCCATCTTGGACTTTCGGGTATAACGAGTGATCCTAAAGCCAAGATACCACCAATTATACATTGAAAAAGGAGCGGAAGACGCCAAGAAGCATCTGATTTAATGTATGAAGAGAAATAATCGAGCCACTGAGCTACGTTAGTCGTGTTTGACGTCATATTTATTGACAAACTCACCACTGAGCAGGCATAACCTGTTATGTTTCCAGTAAACTCAATACATGCGAGTCTTCCTCTGTGATTAGCTAGTTTCCCTTTGAGTGTTTGCCTTTAATTTATATATAAAATCCTCACCTGGTGATATTTCACTGATTAATCTGGTAAGCTTATATTACATATCATATATGACAACCAACCTTTGATACTGGGATATATTAATTGATAATACCGCGTTTATATATTATTCAACTCACGATTGGAACTATCATTGATAAAAGACCGACACCAAATCCAGAAATGATACGACCGAGCACCATCATCATGAAACTTGTACTACCCGTTTGTATAGCACCACCAATGATAAAGACTGTTGCACCCCAGAAAAGTGTGCGTTTTCTGCCAATTTTGTCGCCAATTGTACCGGCGAGAAGTGAAGTTACTAGAGTGTATCAAAAGCTGGCATAGTCAAACGCCTTTAATACTCACTCAATGCACCTATTTCCTGTAGAGAATTTAGAAAAAAATTTAACAAATAGACAAAGAACTGACGAGGATTGCTACCATGGTACCTAATTGAGTGCTGTCTGGATTATTGAAGTAGGATCTACATTTATATGAGTAAAAAGGATGATGAAGTGTCTGACATTTACTTGAAATACGGTCCTGTGATGATACCACTCATAACGCTAGATTTTATTAATATTGGTAGTAATAAATAGATATAAATTACCCTTGATCCTATAGAATGTTAAAATGGAATAATATAAAGTTAATACGCACATAACCGAACTATGTAACTTGTTAGATTATCTATTGCGGGGAAATCTAATCTACTCACGAGAAAGACACCGAGAGAAGCAAAACATGTAATCGTATAGAGTAAAGGTGCACCAACGAGCTTACTAGATGATCTCCTGTGGCTATTTGTATCTGTATCGTCGATAGTAAATTTCTGAGGTATGTCTGAGTTACGTGAAGTAGATGCTACTGCTATTGTAGGATCTGACATCCTAATAGCCTAATAAATAATATATTAATTCAATTTAAAATCGCTGCGGTCGTTGTTGAGGTCTAAGATACGTCAGTTGCGATCAATCATGACTGGGGAATTCAACGATAGAGAGTTTAAGGACGTTATATGCTTATTTGATGTTAGTTTACCAAATATACAAATAAATATACACTCATATCCCTTAGGTGGATAATACACTTGCGCCAGCGCAGAGGGTATGATCGACTTTTAACTTCTGCTACAATCTTATTGTCTAGTAGATTATTCGGAATGATATGATAGAACTTATAGCAGAACTCAGAAAGAAATGCGTCGTAGGCTTCCGTAGGGCTGCACTTAGTGATAAGATATACGTCTAACTATCTTATAGTGGGAGGGTAGGCATATATAATATAATAAACACGTTCCAACATTATATAGATCAAATTTAGCAAAAATAACAAATCAACTTGGCGGTTCTCAGGAGCTTAGTATGTCGTTTACTGCAGTTTTAGACGTATCTTAATCAATACAGTGTTGAAATCGTTTGATTACGCTTTTGCAGAGAATGGTTTGACTGCATTTAGACTATCGAAGCCTATAGAGACTCAAAGCTTTATCGAATTCCTTGGAGAGGAACGTTACAAGAAACTCGTGAATTTTTGCTTACATTATATTGCGGACATTGATATACCCATCAAGCGGTGCGTTCTGATAACCCAATAGTTATTATTCTGATATAAAATAGTGGTACGTTTATCGATTATCGTAATGGTATGGTCAATATCAGCCCGATAGGGCGTAACGCTAGGTACAGCGGACTTAAACTAGGGTAGTAAAATTCGCTTAAATTGATCCCGCAGTATCGAAGAGAGGGATATATTCGAAGCATATGACAAAGTGCGTTCGTTCATGCGGAGTTTAAATTGTTAAGCTAATTATGACGTAGAAATTTAATATACGACAAACTTTTGTCAAAAAACTCAAGGAAGCATTTCCAGACTATGGATTGACATACTCAATCGGTGGTCAAATTAGTTTTGATGCAGTAAGTACCACCAAATTAGTCCGATGCATCTAAATTTTCCAGTTTCCGACAGGTAGGACACCACTAATTTAACTAACGGATGTAATAATAAAGTATAGGTTGGGATAAGACGTACGCTCTAAGGCATATAAAGGCTGACAACTTTAAAATTATCCACTTCTTTGGAGATAAGGTGAGCTAATTTAGATCGATGATGACGATGATAGCTGATCGAAGTTAGACATTTGAAGTGAGTTATGATGTAGAGATAAGGGAAACACGCTAATTGTGTAGGGTGGAAATGACTATGAAATATACAACCACCAAGATACGATAGGCCATGCAGTTACCGGCCCTGCGGATACTATTACCCAGGTTCGGGAAATATTTAAAATTTGACACGCTCCATGAAATTTATATTATAATAAAGCAAGAATATAAATTTGTAGATTTTAAAGCATCCTTCATTACCAGTCTAAGACAAAGTATAATTAATTTTTCCTAATTCGGCACCATTAAGTGACGTGAGAACGTCCAAGCACACGCCTCTTTATCCACAACAACCAAATACCAAATTAAGATGAACATTAAACAAGAAGTTTCAGATAATCCTGGTTCTATGACCGTCGCTTCTCCACACAAGTCTGATGTTGTCCAGCAAGGTATGTTCGCGTGCACTCTACCGTAACTTTTCTTAACGAATTCTAGACGTAGACAGAAAGATGCGTTTCTACAGCGTTTTACAAGCGTTCAAAGCATCCAGATATCCTTCTAATGCTCAAGTGCGTATTTCATATTCAGCTGATCCTCCCTTACTCTCTTTAGATTGAGGAAACACTCAAATATGTCGAAGAGAGTGCTCCATTTGACGTAAGCAAGCTCAGCACTGAAGGAAAGAAGCTCGTTCAAGACGCCAGAAACATTATTAGCACCGTCAGTTTTATTTCCCGATAAAAAAACGCGCTCATACTCCGAAGGCAAACACTATCGTTCAAGAGAAGAACAAAGATGAAAAAATCCAAGAGTTCTTATACAAAACTCGTTAGTAAACTTTTTGTTTTCCCGATATTTTGTTTCTCACGTGACTTACTTTTCAGGTCAAGCCGACTACTCCAAAGGTAAACCGGATGAAATCGTACCAGGTTTTACAAAGGACGGCAGCAAGGAAGAGGGCCAAAAGGGTGAGTTTTTTATACAGTATTCAATACGTTCTAACAATACAAAGCTTTGGAACACTTGCGCACTGTCTTTACCTTAATCGCCACTAACTCCGAAGTTAGAAAACTCCTTAGTGACAGCAAAATCATTGGACAAGACCTATTCGCGGACGCAGCTTCAAAGGCAGCTAACGTTGCTCGTCCAAACGAAGAGAAACTCGCCAAGATCGACGAATCTGCGCCAGAAGGCTGGAAGAGCAAGGATGGCCGCGTCGTTGGTGCGGACGAAACTCCAGAGTATGACTTGCCAAAGTTGAAGAAAGCAAAGAAAGAAACTGAAGAAGGTCAAGAGAAAGCTGAGGATGTCAAGAAGGCAGCCTTAGAGCGTCAAGACGAAGTTAAAGACACCGCAGCTAAGCAAGCCGACGACACCACTAAGAAGGTTGACAGCAAGACAAACCAACAATCTGATGTCTCCGACATCCAAAAAGCTGTAAACGAGGCTGGTCAAGAGAAGGCAGATGAGACAAAGGCCGGTGAGAAAGCACAAGAAGGTAAAAACAAGACAAAGTCCGTCGCTGACTCAGGTAAGCAATCTCTCAAAGACAAGATCCCATCCGAGTACCGCGATAAGGCTAAGGAGAACTACGAGAAATCAAAGAAGCATCTCGAAGAAAAATTCCCTAAGGAGCGCCGCGATAAGTTCATCGAGCGCCTGAAGAAGGTTCTCTACGAAAACCAAAAGCACAAGGATTGGAGAGAAGCCTTTGAATTCTTCTTCAAGCAGTTCGAAATCTACTACTCCCACGCCAAGTCAGCTGGAAACACTGGTAAACAAAGTGTTAATTCAGTCTTCCAAGATCAAAACGTCAAGGGCGCTGCTAATGATCTCAGAACTGTCTTAGAGAGATTTGCTAATGGTCGTAGCGCATCACCAATCTTTGACGCCTTCCACAACCTCATCACCACCTTCGCAAATGACAAGGAAATCTCAGCTTGGTTCGAGAGACTCATTGAATACATCCGCAAGCTTGTCCTTGAGCCAGGCTATGTTTTGAAGGAACAAGCCAGCACTGATGGTGACAAGATCGGCAAGGATGCACGTGCAATCTTCGAAAGCGACAAGTACAAGGGTTCCATCAAGGACAAGCTCTTCAAGGAGGTCTCAGACTTCTTCGGTGCTATGGGTGAAGACCCACTCAACAAGAAGTTCGGTAGCGACATCAACAAGCTCTTCCGTGACTTGCTCTTCGACGAACAAGGCAAATGGGCCTTCAAATCACACCTTTGGGCAGACATACGTGATCACATTGTCCCACCAGTGGTTGAAAGCATCGGTGCTGTTCCAATTCCAAGAATTGAATACACTGATCCTAAGCTCGACATTGTCATTGAGAACCTTGTTCTTCAAGGAAAGAATCTCCTTCCAAACTATGTCATTGCTGAAGCATACAACAAGGTTCGTTGGTTATACGTCGATTTTTGCATCTACTAACAAATTTATAGGTTAAATTCTCACCTTACCAAAAGATCAAGAATGAACATCAACATGACGTTAAGATCGAACTTGGTCAAATCCAATGTGACTTGAGAGATGTTGCATTCTACCTTAAGAAGAAGACTGGATTCAAAATCTCAGACGCTGGTCTTGCAGATGTCTTCTTAGGCGGTAAAGGTGTTGGCGCTAAGATTCACTTAAGCGTTAGAGGTGGTACTGAAGATGTCTTTGAGGTCAAGTCTGTTAAGGCTAGTGTTGGTACTCTCAAGTTCAACATTAAAGACAGCAAGCACAACATCTTGTACAAGACGGCTCGTCCACTTGCAACTTCACTCATCAAGAAACAAATTGTGAAGGCAATTGAGGATGGTATTAGAGGTGGTCTTGAAAACCTCAACACCAAGCTTGTCGAAATCAAGAAGGAAATTGATGCAGCTGAGAAGAACGATGATAAGAACAGCACTAAGGGTTCAATCATCAAGAGTAAATTCAGCTCAAAGAAGGACAAGGAGTCAAACGCTTCCGCTAGCCAATCTCAATTCAAGATTGTCGCAAACCGTAACTCGAAGCTCATTGATGCTGGACACAGCAAGGGTTGGATCAACTTACAAGCCAAGTATGAGGATCAAGTTAAGGAAGGCGAGAGTTGGAGAAGCAAAGCCTTCAGTATTGTTCCTTCAAAGTCCAACAAGACTACAAAGAAGTAGATTAATTTGCTAATTACAGAACATGCTAATAACTCCTTCCTACTTAATAACCACTTAATGATCAATAATCAGTCACTCATTTGAAATATTCTTGTTTCGTTAGTATCGTTATTACAAGGATGTTTACTAATTACTTTTCTTCATTCTCAACTTTTATATATACATGAATTGTAAAATTCTACTGCTAATAATAACCTAATTAGTTGTCTCTCATTCAAATACATTTCTTATTTTCTCGTCTCAGTTGTTTAAGGAATGCTTATTATATATATGTGACCACGTGAAACAAAAAATACAAAGATAATAGTGAAATGGAAGTTCTAAAATAAGAACCCAGCTGAATCCTCCTAGCTAGGTTTGAAAAAAGACTTGTCCTTCCTGGACTTCAAGCCATTTCCTCTTTGGAATCATGATCGGCAACGTGACCTTTTGACATGATTGATGCGTTTGTCTCTGGTGTTAAGAGACCAATGTGAAGGATGAAACTCAACCAAGCAGCAATAATCATTGGCATACCTATATATAGTGTTAATTCATAGTCACAGTAACTAAATAGTTTGTTTACCATCGTTAGTATCAAATGCAGCTTGGTCCTTTATGACGCTACCATCCCATCCGTCTTTTAATTCGATCAAACGGTAAATACCTTTGATTAATTAGTTATAAATGTCGTATGAGAAATATGAAACTAACCTCTCCAGATTATCAAGAATGAAACAACGCTAAGCATAGTAAGTCTAAGTGCTAATTTTCTTTGATTTTTTTGCGATTCAGGTTCAATGGCTACAGCATCTTGACGGTTCGACTTCACTGGCTTATTCTTATAATATCTGATTATAAACTCAATCAGGAAGTATGAGTAGAATATGATGCAAGCGAATTGAATAGCGATACTAAGGGATCATTAGCTGCGACATTCCTAAGGGAATAGTTTATTTACCCAGCCAACATAATGTTGCTACCTGTTCTGAGTGTATCTATGTCGTTATCCTTTGAGGCTGCTGATGCAATACCGCCACCTGCAGCTTGAACTAAAATAGAGACGACGTCTGCAGTGATGAAAGTAGCAGCAAATGCTTTTGGTCCAAGAACAGAGAAATTCGGTCCATATTGTAATCCAATGACACCAAGATCGACGTAGATCATTGCTGAAAGGAATGTAGGACCTATAACGAGCGTAGCTGATGTATTGTTAGCAAATATAACACACAGTATAGGCTATATACATACCAATTTGCATAATATAAGAATCTCGCGTGTCTCCACACCTTCCACCCCATCCGAGAGCTTCCAATATCAAGAAGGGAACAATTGTACCATATCTAACAATATTAAGATGAGATTCTATAATATGTATATTACTTACAACCACCATTGCTTTGTGTATCCTGCAAGTACACAATGAACCAAGAAGGCGATACCATATAACGCGGTAAATGCTATAGCATGTGATAGCGTCGGATTACCATCCGGGGTACTATAACTGTAAATTGGCATTGTTAGATTATCATAATACGCCCTTGTTGATGCTACACACCCATAGTAATTATCGATATCAGACATTTCTAGTTATTTCTTTTAGAACGTTTTTCAGATAAGAAGCTAGAATGTCCAAGTTAAATTTGTGATTTATTTCTTCAAAGTTGAAAGCCAAGTGCAAAATCTTGGTACCAACCAAAGTCGGGGACCATTTGAAGCCGAGATGCAGTGTAAATTATTAAATAACTATATAAAAGTTATATAAAGACTATGTTATAAAATTTATATATTATTTATGCAAAAATAACAGCTAGTACAGAAATTTATAACGAGGTAAATAAAAAATGCCGAAATGAAAGTGATAAGCTTAAACAAGCTCGTGTTTGTCTTCAGTGGATGTGTATGAATCTTGTTTGCTCCTTATCATCTCTTTCTCCGGGTTTAGCCATCCAATATGCAGGAATGAACATACGATAAGACTGAGTAACATAGGTACACCATCGTTGGCGTCGAAAGCATCTTGATTTTGCATGAGTTCACCTTCCCATCCACCGTTGAGTTCCCTTGAATTATTTGTTAGCGTCTCTTAACCCATTATCTAATAATCAACCTACGCAACTCTGAATGCAGATCTCCAGAGGACTAACACACTAATAGTGGAAAGTATACCGAGCCTGAGTTTCAATTTCAATTGCTCTCTTGATGATAAACGAATGACAGCAGCTGTGGTGTAAGTACTACGTGCCGCTTTGTTTGTGTAGTACCTGAAGCAGAATTCTGCCAAGAAGCAAGAGTAGACGAATACTGTGACCAGCTGTAATATGATACTGGGATATGTCAGACATGGTGTAGTTGAAAATAAGTTACACACCCTGCAAGAACGATGTGGGAGCCCAATTTCATAGTATCAGCGCTCTCTTCTGGATCATCTGAGTTTCCACTGGATGCAGAAGCCGCAATACCACCACCTAGAATATTGTCAGGTTAATTGTCAACATTTTGATTCTACTTACCCGCGGCTTGAATCAAGATGCATATAATATCAATCACGATAAAGAGCCATCCTGCTGTCTTTGCGGGTAACAAACTGTACTTTGGGCCATACAAGTGGATCACGTGTTTGAGATCGTAGTATATGAATGCGGTCAAGAAACCTAAACAGACATTAGTATGAAATAGCTGAGTTCTTAAAACTCACAAGGAGAGATAACCAGGAGGGATGTCTGTATAATGTATCCAGTTCTAGCATGGGTGCATCTCGCTAGAGGGTTATTGTCAGTGAAAATGTAAAACTTTCATTACAACGCACCAGCCCATCCAATGACTTCTAACAAACCGAAGATGACTATTGTACCATATAACCAGAATTGCTTTTTCCATCCCGCTTGTATAATGTGGGCTGCAGTGAAGAGAGCAAAGAAAACGGTGAAGGTGACAGTAGCTGATAGCGTAGGGAAGCCATCCTCTGTATCATAATTGTAAGCACTTGAATTATCTGACATTCTTGAAGTTTGGTATTGGGTTTCAAGCTTAGAAAATCCTATTTATACTCCGTAGGAGATAGTCTCGCCGTTTCAGGAACACAAGATTCTCCTTACCCGTCACCGCCTCTGGGCAAAACAATGCGGTGATCGCTAAGTATATGACCGATATAGACTGAATAAACTCCAGCTAGTATCAGTTTATCATTTATATCAATCACGAGAGAAAAGACAAACGAGCCGGATTTTTTAGTCGCTAAGCAGAGTTGACGTTTAAGCAAAGGGCGTTTATTAAAATATATTCATTATTGTTAGTTAATGTAGTCTATAAGTCAGATACCATAGATATCCCCTCTTCGATTCGTCTTTCCATCATCGTTAGCAATGCTCTCAGTTAGTTCATATAAATGTATAATAATTTCTGATAAAACATGTAGAGACTTGTACATTATGGTGTTGACGCCGTCTTACTCTCAACCGTCCTCGCAGGCGTCAAGAGAAGCACAGGATTCACGTGAGCTAGAGCATCTAATGAAGTAGAGAAACTAATGAATACAAAAGTCCAGACGTGGAGAAATTCACGGAGGAAGAAACTACGAAATCGATTGCTAGCAAATACCTTGGTGTTGGTGAATTCTGTTATGGTAAGTATTACTCTATCATCACACCAATATTAGCCAACTAAAGTATCTCTATTAGATACTGTGACCGGATATGCAGTCAACAGCTCATATTTTAAAAGAGGCGACCGTAGATAGTTGATATACTTAGATAATGATCTTCTGACAGCTGCATGTAAAATAATACATCAAAACATTGAAAACACTTTTCCATAATTCTCAAAAAATCTCATAACAGTCTAAAAATATCAAAGTACTGGTAAAATCATGAGTTCCTCGCAATAGTGTTACAAAACCCAATACCCTGATAGAGCTACATTTAAGCGACGGTCCAGACACGGACAGCGTTGTCAGTGTAACCTGCAAAGAGGGTTTGACCGTCAGCTGACCAGGCAAGTGAGACAACTTCTGGTTCGCGGGCGTTCTTGCCAATGTCAACGAAGTCTGGCTTGAGTTCATCAACAATAGACTTTGACTCGAGGTCGAAGATCTTGATGCATGATGAGGTAGCAGCGCATAACCAGTAACGGTTTGGTGAGAAGACGAGAGCGTTGACGATGTCACCAGCTTCGAGGGAGTAGAGGTGCTTGCCTTCGTTGAGGTCCCAGAGCATGGTGATACCGTCCTTACCACCTGAAGCGGCGAGGGAACCATCTGGAGAGACGGAGACGGTGTTGATGTAACCGGTGTGACCGTGGTGGTTGGTCTTGAGCTTGCAGTTTGAAAGTTCCCAAACCTAGGGGTAAAACTGTCAGTAAAAGAATGATTTGAAAGAAATATGGCATTTCTTAGAGTGGTCAGAGATCTTGGTGGAAATAATGTCTCATTGAGCGAACTCTCTGAAGTAGCAAATATTATATAATACATCATACCGTCTAAAAAATGCTCAAGATGTAAACTCACCTTGACAACCTTGTCCCAACCAGCTGAGACAATGACAGGGTTCAATGGGTTTGGTGAGAAACGGACACATGAAACCCATTCTGAGTGACCTTCATCCTTAATGTCGAACTTGCATTCACCGAGAGTGTTCCAGAGCTTGATGGTACGGTCACGGGAACCTGAGACGATTTGTCTGTTGTCTGCAGAGAAAGAGACAGAGAGAACGTCAGCTTCGTGACCGACGAAACGTCTGGTGGTGACACCTGTGTTCAAGTCCCAAAGACGGAGGGTCTTGTCCCATGAGGAAGAGAGAGCGAATTGACCGTCGTATGAGATGGCGACGTCAGAGACGAAGTGGTTGTGACCCTTAAGGATACGCTTTGGGTAACCGTATTGAGCATCGTCACGGGTGAGTTGCCATACAATGACAGTTCTGTCACGGGAGGCAGTGAGGATCATGTCTGGGTTTTCTGCTGAGGTAGCGATAGCAGTGACCCAGTTACCGTGTGAGGCTAATGAACCCTTGTAGTGAAGTTGCTCTGACCTATAGATTATTAGTAAATAGTTTAAAACGACATTTTTTACTCACATTTTAAGTGAAGTGTCGCTAACGAAGAAAGAAGACAGACAGAAATTTTAAGAGCGGAGTGTGTGACTAGACAGTCAAGTGTAAACCAGGTACGAAGAAATGACAGACGCTTTTAGTTTGTATTTCGATATCCTCAATAAGAATACCGCCTACAATAAGCATTCAGATGTTGAACTCCTCATAAGGCTAAAAAATTTGATGGTTGATATGGACGACAGCGACAAAGTTGGTAAATACAGAGAGGTTCACTCCTTTCTAAAGAATCACCACAATCAAGTTAAAGCCACCACAAATGATACTCTTCAGGCGAGTGCTATACACAGTCTGCTCGAACGGAGATCCACCTATCAGACACCGTACGTGCGCGATAACACAGAGAATAGAAGTACTTCATCTATGATGTCCCGTATTGAAGCTACCGCAAAAGAATTTGGCTTGGAAGCTTTCCAGGATCAGTCTCAACAAGCTGACGTAACGGTACATACGGTCACCATAGCCGGTACTATTCTAGTCATAGACGTGGATCTGACGAGCACACAAAGTAATACCTCCTTGACACGTCTCAAAACAACGTATGCTACCAACTCCAGTATTAATCTGGAACCAGTAGACAACCTCCTTATACGCGATTTAGATGGCTACGTTTCCCTTGAACCAAATTCTAGTGACCCCGAGTCTGCGGCACTGCAATCAGAACGCCATTTCATTAATTTTAAACGCAACCTTCAGCAGCTTGTCGTACTTGACAAGCTTAGTCAGTCGATTGGTAACCAAACTGATCTTTTTGTTAATTTTGAGATCCTGTCAAAGGCGTTCGCTGACCTTAGTGTCATAGAAAACGCGTAAGTAGTGACTTAAGCCATATAACTTACTTCTCACCTGTCAATGTAGTGCGACGTCGGAAGTGAAACACTTGCATTTATACCCCTCCTTAGATATCAATGGCCACGGTTTCTCACTTCTTCATACACCACGACCATATTTAACTCAAGTATTGCACGTTTCTTCTCAACACTTGCTCGATCCAGACGAAGCTCTTCGTTCTATTTCTCTCCAAGACACTTATTCAATTCATTTGGAACTTCGTGAAAATGGATTTCCATTCAAACAGACTTTCCCTTCCAAAGTTCAGCCATATTTGAAAGCTCAACTACCGTTCAATACAAATATACAGCCGCTTCCTGGCAATGTTGATCGTATAACAGCTTATGCAGTCCTTAATAAGTCTCTCTATCTTCCAAAAAGTGCATGTATAGCTATACAAGCTGCATTGGGATACAGTGATAATGTTTCAGACCAGCAAATTGTGAAGCTAACTTGGCTAGATTGCATATATCAACGTGAACTCCAAAAGCCTATAGGATTAGTCTCTCAGGTGAGTTTCGTCTGTTAAAGCTTACGTTACTAATTTTATAAGTCTGTTGCCAATTTTAAACGTCAAATATACAGATTTAATAATCCAGAAAATGATCAAACGATTATTAAACTTTCTGCAATTCCTTTTAAGTCATTCTCAGACCTTTTGAGGATTATAGAGGTTGGTCATATTAATTCTACTAATTCAACAATCTAACGTATATCAGATACTTAAAACACATCTTTTCATTGATGAGTTGATAACTAGTTGTCTTCGTAATAGTTCAGAAGCTGAAACTATTAATGATGGACTTGAAATTGCACTGTCGCTCAATACAGAATCTTTATCAATCGAAGTGATCGTTGGAAGCACCAATTGCACTATTGCGGTAGAACAAAATGATTTAGCAATCCTCTCAAACACTTTAGACGAAGGGATGAAGGTTGGTTTCTCACAAGTCATTCGCAAAACGAGAAATTTACCTATTGCACTCTCATGGTTAACGAAGAAACTAGATGGTGGTAATGATACAATGCAACTAGACTAAATGAAAAGCAACATATTTGATACATTGAATATCCCTCTTGTTTGCGGATGAAAGCAAACGTCAGCATGAGAATTACTAATACTGCATGATTATTCTTTTAAAGTCATTATAATAGAGAAAATATGTATAGTAAATATTTATTTAAACCATTTATTTCTAAAATCCTTCCTACATCATCACAATAAGGACGATTATTTGTATCCCTCTAAATGGAAGAAGATAATCAAGGAATAGTCATTAGCTAGAATAGCGTTACTATCAAGTTGTAACGATACATCAACAGGTAAATCAAATCTGTAATTGACATATTAAAGGTTGATTGCCTAGATAATGACACAAAACGGTTGTATCTAACGTGACATTGCGTTCGCATGATGGTTAGAACGGTTGTTCAACTACAAACTTCGAAAATGTGTCAGATATCACGATGATAGTTTGCTGTAATTGAACAGAATTGCTTACAGCTTGTATGAAGTTGTATTCATATGATTTACATGAGATCAATAGTGCTGAAAATTCGACTTTTCTATTGAATTTGAAGCTTTCAGTCATCAGTAATGGTGCTTGCGAAATTTTTTACTTACTAGTGTAGAAGTTTATGGCAAACACTACGGATCCTGAAAGTATACGAAATACTACAAAGTTTTAAGTCGTTCACGACCATTAGAATCTCATTTTACAACAACACGGTTTTGTAAAGTTGTATAGACAATAATGACTAGATTATTCTAGTATAACACCTAAATATATTCGATTTCTTTTTTGAGGTCTGATAGAAATGTCTTAAATTTGCTAAATATCCAGAAGCGATGTACTTTGGAATATTAGAATAAGAAAACAATGCAACAAAGTATAAATATGTACAGTTCTATTTCGAATTCGATTACTTGACACTGTGTAACGATATGTAGGAGACGGGTGTCTATAAAATAAGATTAATCATCCTCCATCCTCAGTTCATCAACAAATTCGTAAAGTTTCCGTCTATTAGTTGGATTCGCAGATGATTTAGAAGCCTCCTCGAAGAGGATATTTGAAATGAGCTTTCTTGCTTCCTTCAAATTGACGCATTTTCTAATATTCTCAATATCCTCATCATCCTCATCAATTAGCTTAGTAATTACACCCTCGAATACCCTTTTGTAAGCCACATTATTGCGTGTATGAGCGAGAAGTTGCGACCAAGGCTTGAGTAATTGAGCAAGTGGTATCTAATTGGCTCGTCAGATGAATTGTAACAAGGGGCAAATACCTACTTCATAGCTTTCATCTGTATCTGCAAGCGCCTTGTTCAATTCATCGGTGAATATATCTGACATATGGTAGGTGAGAGAAGCAGGGACACGATGGTCTTCATATCTAAATCTGTATAAGTGATTGATCCGATAGTAATAATGATAATCTCACGCTAAAGGACTAGCACCACGTGGGTTAAGAAGGATTGAGTTGAATGTATCGAGAGAGTTGAAGTTGTCGTTGACGCAAACTTTGATAGCTGCTTGGAGGAATTTACGTATGAGCATGTAATATTTATCAAGACTATTTGATTTCAGTTAAAACTTGATTAGATATAGCCAACTAACCGGTATCTATCTAATCCAGACCACTCCCTGATTAATTCATCCCAAAAACCTTTGTAGAAGTTCCAACAATTGTCAACGTCAGGTATTTCTAGCAATATATTAGATAAGTCCCAGGCTAACTTCTGTTGGACGAGTGGTTTATCTGACATCCAGAAGCCTATAATGTGATAAGATAGGCTGTAAGATGTATAACTTTTTAACTTACAGTAAAATATTCCTCTCCATAGCTTAGCACTCTCTAAATCGTCTAAATTGCTGTTTTTTGATGTGAGGAAGTTACGCAAATTTCTAATAGCCTGAGGAAATCACTTAGAGAAACAAGGAATAGTAAGCAAACGGACCTTATCCCTTTCTCTCTTCTCATTACTAGCTAAGTACTTCCCAAGCGGTGGAATTTTATCGTTATCCATCTTGGTAGTTCAGTCTAAAGTATGTAAAGTATATAAATCGAAATTGAAAAAATACAAAATGAGGAATGGGTGGCTTTGCGTAATAATGTTACTTAAATTAAAAACTTGCTTGCTCACTTTTGTCGAGATACATCTGTGATATGTGATGGTGGACGAAGTCTAAACTCAGTGAAGAGAGACAAGTGACTGAAAACGTTTAGAATTAACTCTTTATTGTTATTTTACTTACTCTGAAGGGAAGTGCACATTAGGGAATCCAACAATTTTGTTAAGATAAGACTGATCAACTTCTCCCAAAAGTCCTATGACCGAGAGTGTGTTTTGAGTATACCATACGTAGTCTATAACTTCTTCGAATCCAGGTATGTAGTTTGTCATCGGCAATTCACCAATATTTGCATAACTTGATTTTAATGCAAACTTATGTCTCATACCTTCAGTTGTGAATGCTCCATATTGATGTTCCATGAAATCTTCATGATTTCTATCGACATAACCTTTTCCTAAGAATTCGTATACACCCGAATTTGGTACACTGTTAAAGTCACCACATACTATTAAAGGAATTTTTGACATATCAGTGTAGACAGGACCTTTTTTACCTGATTGCACGTTAAGTTTTGGCGGAAGAGTTGAGAATCTTTTTGAAATTTTCTCAATTTCATCCATTAAAATTGCGACTTGTACTAATTTTACATCCCTAAATTCGGGATTCCAATGAATGTGGACATTAGCGACTATCAATCTTGTACCAGATTCTATATTCTCTAATAATGCAACGTTTGCTATGTTATCTTTTGTTAAAACTCTATTGAACATATCCTCGGTTTTGGCGAAATCTGATCGTTGTAAAGCGACTTGAGAGAATTCGATAACTTCAGATTCAATTAGTTGATACTTTGAAGCTTTAAAGAAAGTAGCACAACCGTCAACTCTCTTTTTCTCATTTTCAGACATTGTCTTCGCGCGTGATTTTTGAGAGTAAACACCTCTATAATCATGCTGTGATAATTGATTTAAAAAGAAATCTTCATATTGCTCAATGTCAACCTCCTGTAGACAAACAATATCGGCAGAAAAGCCCATAATCTCTTGAAGTAAAATTTCTTTTCTATAATCCCAATTGAGAGCCCACGAAGGGGTGTATCCGTACATTTGAGAAGTAGCGTACTTGTCACAAAGAATGTTGTAACAAAGCAAAGAGAAAGTTTCAGGAGGAGGATCGTCCTCTTTTGGTGAAGGAAGGTCAGTTTCCATTGCGAGCCACTCACGCTCAGGAGGTCCAGTAGAGACAGGACAAGAATCACGTAAGTAGGCGATGAGAGCAGGTGTACCTTCTTTCTGAATTAATTGCCTAAAAGATTCAGCCAGAGGGTTGCCATCTATACCAAGGAATTCAAGTTGATAAAGAGTGCCTAATTCGGAAGGTATGGAAACTAAGTTATTATCAAAGAGTAAAAGCTCCCTAAGACGCGATAATAAACCTAATTCAGCTGGTAGAGAGGAAAGGTTGTTGCCGGAAAGATCTAATAAAACCAGTTGGTTGAGTTTATAGATTTCAGGTGGAATGAAAGTGAGGTTATTGTGATTGATGAAGAGGTTAGTGATGAATTGATAAGTGAATAAACTTGGCGATAAGGACTTTAGTTGCATGCCACCCAAATCCAATGCCATCCAGCTCGAATTACTCGAGAGCTTGTCTGAGCTATTAGATGGTACGTTTGATGCTGAAGGGTGAGCGTTGGGTGTAGTAGGAGAGACCTGGTTTAAACTGGCTGAATTTTGTTTCGGTGTAGACATGCGTCTGGATGGATCGAGGATGGCAATTGCAGAGGATTGTTGACCGCGTTGAGCCAAAGCAGCAGCTCTAGCCCTATGATGAGGGGAAGAGGAAGATCTGATAGCCTATTTATAAGTTAATAAGGCGCGTAGATAGAAGAGCGAGTAACTCACTTCAGCTCTAACGAGTTGCTCCTGCCAAAAGGGGTTAATAAGGTTATTTTGTTGGTTTAGTTGTATTGGCTGGTAAAATTTATTTAAAAACATTTCATCTCTAAATTTTATTCCTCTCTTGGTCGTTCAAGTTGAAATGTCATCCGATGACGAGTTTGATGGTATATTAGACGAATTTGACAATAAAAATACGCAAGATAAAAATAATTTTGATAACGTTATAAACCAGACTTTGGAATCTCTCTCTTTAAATAAAAATAACGAGAATGATGATGACGATGATGATGATAATTTAGACAGCATTTTAGAATCTGTTATGACTGAGTTACTCAGCAAAGACATCCTATACGAGCCCTTGAAGGAGCTCTCTACGAAAGTTCGTATCCCGTAGATTATAACTATAGAACTGCTATCTAACCCTTGAAAGTACCCAGACTACCTTGATAATAACAAGCCACCGAAACTGTCGCAGGAAGACTACGACAACTTTAAGAAGCAACACGGCTACGTCAACGATGTGCTCGCTATCTTTGAGAGCGACAGCCCAAATAAGGATAGTGTTTTAGATTTAATGACAAAGGTCTGTGTATACTAACCACCGTCATACTACATTGACACCCTCTAGATACAGGAATGTGGATCACCTCCAAAGGATATCATAGGCGACTTCGACAGTAATAGTTTATTAAATGATTGTAATTTACAATAAATTCTACTTGATATTAGTTTACAAACTACAACTTAGAACTTAGAACCTACTTGTACAACTACAACCACAACCATCACGTCATCATGCCTTTAGTTAGCCATCCAACTCCTAATATGCCTGACGTGTCAGTCTGGCTTATGATTCCAATCGTAGCTTTGGGTATACTCATTGGTGTACTCGTCGTTTTACCCATTCTAGGTGTACTCACTAGACACCGTGCCAACTTCAATCCGAAAGGTCTTTCACTCGACCCAGAGAGCAATCCAACTGTCGGTGCAAAGGTCGATAGCTATTGGTCTATGGCCAAGCGTGTAAAGGAGGTCGAGGGTATCCCTGGTTTCTTCAAAGGTACGCCAGACCGTGTTTTTCATTTATAATCATTCACATCTAACAGGTTTATGCCCTACTTTATTAAGCGAAGTCGTTGTCGGATTTGTTGCCCTCATTCCAGTACCTGCCATCCTTGCTGGTGGCTTTTTTGGTACTTTAGCTGCCATCGTTGGCTTTATTTTAGTAGGATGCATCGCTTTACCATTCGACATCGTCATCAAAAGAGCTATCGTTACTCCTTACAATCTTTCCATTTCAACTCCTCGCCAGAATATCAGAAAATTAGTTACACCTACTGAAATGGCAAACCCTCTAACAATGATTAACTCTACTTTAGTACAAGTTCTGGCTTTGAGATTGGTTATTAATGCCGTTACTATCAATATATTTAGGCCAGTCGTCTCAATTATACCTTACATCGGTCCAATTATCTGGCAAATTTTCACCATCGCTCTCGTGATCTTACTTTGCCCTCTTGATGTCCTTCAAACAAGACTGATGGTACAACCATTAGGACAACAGGATTGGGACGAGGAGACCAATCACAACAAATATGAAGACGCTGTCGTCAATATCCGTCAACAACCTTACCATGGCGTTGGCGACGCTTTGCGAGCTATAAAAGATGAAGAAGGTACTACTGCTTTGGCTCGTGGTTGGTGGTTCACCCTCATTGGACAACTCTCAATTGCATTTTCCCTTTAAAGAAGTTTACGTTCTGTTTAATGCATAATTATAATAGCAACATATCTACAGACAGCCTTAGAACATCTTTTGATGAATGATGTCGATAACATATATAATCGGTCGTGATACAAGTCATTAGAATGATATAAAAGGTATAAAATCCGTTAAATATTTTCATAAATAATCCAATTGAATGTATAAGCATTTTAGCTATAGCCCACACGTCTCAATACTCGTAGGCTCTTCTCGATAAAGCGATGTACAAGCTCATCATCGTATGCATCACCATTCTTTACGACTATTGGTATCTTCCTTAACATTGGCTTGATAGCGCTTAGACTAACACCTTGTGACAATCTCTGATTGATAACATTTTCATTGATATTCTGGAACGTGAGTTTACGTGGTTGATCATCAGATTCTTCGAAATGTGATACCATATGTTCGTTAAAGGCATTTTCTAATGATTTAATCGTTAACTGTTGAACTTGAAGCTGATGAAGCAATACTTCATCGTTCTTGAGAGCATCACCAATCATTGATCTTATCTGTGAATTATCACGCTTTCTATCAAGATTGTCTTCTGTTAAACGAGCATGTATTGATAAGTGTGAACGTATACCAAACTCTTGAGCTATTTGATCGATTAAGTCATTAAAGTTATCCAAATTTGACTGTATTTCGTAACGCCTGATAAACCTTTTGAGCCACCCAGACTCAATTTGCTTTTGTATAAAGACTTGAATATCAAACAATAGACGTTCAAAAGTTTGTATATTCATCAATAACCTCTGTGGTAGAATTAGATCTTCTATACCATCCACTTGGTCTTTGATGCCTTTAAGTAGTTTGGCAGCACGAGAGATTAGTCTTAATGATTGACTGAACTGATCTTTAACTTGCTAATAATTTGTAAGCTATGAGACATTATCTTAGAGTAAACATACAGATACTAATTCAAATATTTTTAATAAAACCTCAACTGCAGGTCTAACTGGTACTGGACTAAATTCTAAAATAGCTGATGTTCTTGATATCAAGTCATATATATTAACTCCCGCACAATTTGCCACATCTTTAGCTGTTTTAATCCATTCTTCTTGGTTGTTTCTTAACTTTGTACGCTTAGCGTCTGGCATTTTCAAGTTAAAAAGAAAAAAGATTTATTCGCTAGTAAATATTCTTTAAAGAAAGTTGTTTCACTATGCCGTTCCCTCAGCGGCCCCATACTCATATCCAATCGGCCGTCGATTCATGTCCAACTGTCAGCCATTCGTTCTATAGTAATTTACTAATAAATAGACACTCAAATGACTCAATATTTCCTTTGCCGTACGTTTTGCGAACTTTAAATGGTAGTTTGTTTATCAGCTGTCCTGATGAACGTCAACTGGTACGTGATCATCCTTCTTTTTTGAGCACAGCTTATGTATTAGGTTTGGGGTCCTTCGTTGGCCAATAATGACGTCCGAGATCACTTTTGGATGCCATTCATTGGCTCTATTGCCCTATCAAGTGATAAAAATCTCGATGAGGTCATTCTGTCTGACAAGTCTTCATTCTTCGTAAACATCATATTAAAATCGAATAGTTCTGAATCGTCTTCAATTAGAATACCAGTTTCCAGAGGTTCAGCATTCATAACCGGTGTATATAATCAAACTAAACCAGTCATTAGAAGTCAAATAGCCTTTGAAGATATTACTAAAGACCTAATAGTTCACTGTAATGATGGTAGTAAATGGGTACTGTATGCATGGCCCCCAATTCAATGGGTTAAAACTGATATGCATACACTCAACCCAGTTAACGTAGATAATACTTGGTCTGGAGTCATACAGATCGCTAAGTTGCCATCCGATAGTAATCTAGATCAATCAAAAATGCTATACGATCGATTCTGTGGCTCTTGGTCTGAAGGTCTCACTCTAGACACTGATTTTAGAAATGATGGTTTGTGAGTAACACTTCGGACTAAATTGTCTACTAATTTAGTGTAGAGGTTGTTATACCTTTAGGCATAAGCAATACAATGCTGCTAAACCGACATTATTTCATCTTTTGCCTCATCAGTTAAACAGTGTAATAGCAGATGATGGTATTAAACACGAGAAACTGTCACTGTATACCCCATCAAATGGTTCAACTACAGTGTTGTCTTCGATTACCGGCGAGTATTTGTTCGCTTATCCATTACCTCAGCTTAGCTTGTTACCTGGAGCGACGAATTTAGATTCTAACGAAAAGGAATGGCTTAGAGCTCAAATTAATCAAGAGTTATCCAAAGATTGGTTGACAGATATTGCAAAAGAAGCCAGTATATACTTCTCTGGTAAATTGGTTGGTAGGATTGCAAATACTCTTTTGATAGCAAATTATACACTTGAGGATTTCCAGCTCACTAAAATTGCAACAAAACTTCTAACCGAATGCCTAGATTTAATTTTGGGAGATCAACGTCCTCATCCATTGATATATGATACGACAATAGGAGGAGTCATTTCATCTGCGGCACATGTCACCAACGACCCAATAGCAGATTTCGGTTCCTCTTTTTATAATGATATTCATTTTCACGCGGCATATCCAGTTTATGCAGGTGCTGTCTTACTATCGTTGGATGCTTTATCCCACGATTTAAAAGAGAAGATATTAGACATGATTAATTCAGTCAATTCTACAGAAACCACTCAACGATTTTGTGCTTACAGAGCGTTTGATTGGTATGTAGGACATTCTTGGGCGAGAGGTTACCTTCCAAGCGCAGATGGAAAAGATGAGGAGAGTACAACAGAAGCAGCTCATTTCTATTACTCTGCGGCATTGTTTTCTGATTATGTGGGTGCCTCAAAGCAAAGTTATACTTCACGTTTACAATTATCTCTAATGCAAGAGTCGACGAAATGCTACAGACTGCTGGATGATAGCAACGAAGTGATGCCTTTTCACTGGCGTGGTAATAGGGTTGGTATGTGTTTCGAGAATAAACGCGATCACGGTACTTGGTTTTCACCGAATATAGAATGTATACACGGGATACATATGCTACCACTCTCACCACTTACATCGTTTATTAGAAGCCCCGAATTCATTTCACAAGAGTTTGAATCACATTTAAGATCGATTTTTCCAACGAACACTGGTTGGGATGCCATCATATTAACCAATTGGGCATTCTCTGATAACCAGAGAGCTGTGAAATACGCTAAGGAATGGATAGAAACAGCTCCAGATTCTAGTTTTGATCCAGGTTTATCAAGAAGTTGGGCCTGGTTGTTGGCTGTTAGCAATATTAAATAACGCGATAATCAAATGGAAATTTCGTTTTATAAAGTATTATAATTGTATTATTACTTTAAAATTATGTTATTCTAAGTAAACGCGTCTTAACTTCTCAACCCGATACGGTCATTAAGCCAAAGATGGCAAGTGCAGCAAGTAGGAAAACAGCAACGCGGATGCCATCTCGCACGAAGTTAACGTCTAATAATACGAACCAAACTATGATACAACCCCATGAGTTTGTCGACAGATTGCTAGATCTCTCAAACTGCACAGATAATCTACACAAACAGTTAACAATGACCTTACAAGCGAAACAGTCTACACGTACGGATACTTTACCAAAGTCTGAGCGTGCTACTTTGGCTTTGAGGTCATGCAACGCTTGCTTGAAATCGTTTTCTAGTGTCTCGAGATCTCCAACTAAGGACGGTTTGAAAATGGAGAATCTGCCTCATTTAATTGCATCTGCTAGACTTTCACTCGCCACATTACGTGAACTCGAAGAATCATTACCTACAAAGGCGGTTGATATTTGTAGAGCAACGTTAAAATGCGTTGAGGAATGTAACCTTCTGGGATTTGTAAGTAATAGTTGTTACTAATTAGTGTCGCCAACGTATTCTTATAGACAAAATCCGCTTTGCTAGAGCTCATTGCATTGCATCCTTTCCTCTGTCGTCAACTATCTAATGAAACATCAACACCAGTACAGATTCCACCAAACAAGCCACAAGGTATACTGGTCCACGTTATCCCTAAAGAAAAGATTCCAGTTGATTTGGCCAGTGTACAACTACTTTATTATCAGTTATCAATACGGATACTTCTCTCGTTACCAAATATAGATCTACTGGCAATGTCGAGCGCTTTAAGTATCAACGGTTCGCTCATATCTCAATTACCTTCACTTAGGCAATCTTTACAAATGGAGCCATACGCGAATGGAACAACTACATTGTTTAAGCTATTATGTAGAGCAACTACAGAGCAAGAAAAGCCATCATCTTCAACTGCACTTATTCACTTTAAAATTAGGTCTAAAGCTTTAATGCTTATCAATCATAATCATAATTTAGATCTCAATTTGTGGTGGACTCAAGGCTGGAAGTTTGGTTTATCTTTATTGAGATCAGCTGAAGATGCTTTGGTACCTTACACAAACGTGGTGAAACCTTTTTGGTCTAACATGATCGAGTTTGCACAAGCGCGTAATCAATCTAGGTTCATGGAAGGAAAAGGATGGATAGACTTTTGTGAAGGCTGGATGAGTATTGCTAAGAAGCTCGATGATATCTCTTCATTACAACTGATAGCAAAATTACTTTCAAATGATACAAACAACTCTAACGAAGATACTGATGAACTTGCATCCGATTTGTCAGCATTGACACTGTCAGCTGATAAAGAGAGTCTATTTACAAAATACAATGTAATACTGTTAACAACTACTGCAAAATTGTCATCGAAATCAAGCCTTGACGATTTGAAAGATCGCGATTATTCGAATATCATTCACGTACTCGACTCTTTGAAGCATCTAGATCTAGATGATATTATGTTTTGCAAAGCTGAAAGAAATGTCGATGGTATACGTAGGGTAATTTATAACAGAATAGCTGAAATGGGAGAGATGAATCCACAATGTGAAAAACTCTGTGTATTACAAAGTTATTTAGCTCTTTGGACAGAACATCAACTACAGGTGAGTATACTTATTTGCTTTGAATTATAAAAGTAACGCCAAGTTTAGAAATCAAGATCTTTATCACCTCCGTTACTTTATGGTACATTAGATTCTTTATTACAGTTAGCTCAACTTAGAGTTAATGACAGTACGGAATCAATGAATTATCTTAATAGAGCTCTAGCCTTTATTGAACCGTTGAAATCACCACAAGCTAACAGATTGGTTGCGTCAGCATTTTGGAATTGGTCGTGTACATTATTCCAGGATGGCAAAGCAGGTACAGAAGCGGACTGTATACCAGCAGTTGAAAGCTGTCTGAAAGTTGCAGAAGATGGTATCGCTATGTGCAATGAAACAATAGCAAGACATCCCAACGATGGATTTAAAGGTGATCAAGAGATGTTGAAGATAATGATCGACCAACGACCAAAACGCTATGAACTTTTGGCTATATGTTACTCAAAGGTACATGACAATCAATCAGCATACGAAGCTTTCTGCAACTCAATTTTGTCTTCATTACAAACTACTTCATCACCAATCAATAGAGAGATAGACAAGCTTGATGATTCTCATAGCTATTCAATACTCGTAAAGAAGGCTATGCAGATTGGTCTATCTAGACTTATGTTACCACCCCAGGATCTGTCTTTATGTGCTCGCGCTGAAAAATTAAACATCGATCAAGACGTTAAGTGCACATTAATCGAACTACAAATCCGTCAAATTGAGGAACGCGCTTGGTCCGATCAGAATGCTTCTTCTGCAGTTATCCATATGATTTTGGAATTGATTGGATCGGCTGGTTATGATATATCGAGGAATCCACTAAAAAAAGCGAGAATACTTTTGAGGTTGATGGAACAAATTGTTTTGGGACCTTCAGTTGATCTTGAAGGTATTCACATTCCAGCTGTTGAAGTTCTATTTGAAGAGGTTAGGTCGTGTGTACAACGGGAAGATTATGTGGAAGATACATCATTGAAGACATCTACTATGAGTTTTATGTTGTCAGCTCATATGTTCTTAGCAATTTATTATTATAGATCGAGTGATACACCATTAGAAGGATCATCCTCAGCTTTGAGAGAAGCAAGACACACAAAGGAGATCTTAAAAACTATCTTAGGTACAGGTGGACCTAGAAGAAGCTCCATTCTGCGGGATAACAATTTAAGAGCATCTTCAACTCAAAATCAAACGAGAGAAATCAATAATCCATCATCAAAGACTAGAAGTGTTTCAACGAGACAAACTACGACTACTAGAGTTACGCGTAGCCGTCAAGTACCAGCCAGTCAAACTTCGAAAGCGCCAACAGGCCGTGCGACTAGACCTACGGCGGCTACGAGGCGAGTTGTAAAGCCAGCAACAACAATATCAAAATCACTTAAGTCTAATGATGATGTCAAATCTACAGATTCGAATAATAATCAATTTGATGATATTGAGAGATGCTATAATTCTCTGAGATTATTGACTGAAATGCTTGGTATTTTAGGTCATACGTTCCTCAGACTAGACTTTCTAAAACTACTTCGTAAAATCTGTCAAAGTCAACAAAGAAAATCAGAAAACAAATGTGAAGATTATTTACTTGCATCAACAACTTTAGCAGCAGAGTACGTCAAAATTGGTAAAATTTCTCGTGCAGGTGCCGTATTTGCACAAGTTGCCTCAATGAAAGAAGTTCCCGCAAATAAAACATCCGTATCTTGGATTTCATCTCAAATAGAATTCAATTTAAGATACTCAGAATATTTAGCTATAACTGAAAATCATGAGAAAAGGTAAAGAAAAATTTCAGCATATGGTCAATATTGACAACTATGATATAGTATAATGGCTTATAATGATGCATTCGTACTCAAAGAGCTACTCGATTCAACGATTGAAAAGGACTCCCAAAAGAATCCATTATCTCGTACACTTCAATGTGAGCGTGTTGCAATTGCGGCTAGTGTTTATTCGAAGATCGCATATTATCGTGAAGACGTACCAACTACACTGAAATATCTAGCTCAAGCACTTAGATTATATAATAATGCAGCTCGACATATATCAAAACTTACACCAAAGAGAGAATCAAGATCTATGAGAGATGACAATGATCCCTTCTCAATGGAGGTAGATGAACCTAATGAAAGTCAAAGTTCACCACACTTGAATGTATTTGAAAATAGGAAGTGTACTGGTATTCATTGGAGAATATCTCAATCATTATTAGATTGCTTGATATTGTTGTCTTCGATCTATACTAGTAGAGGGTCATCAAGAGAAGCTGAATTCTTTTTAGGACAAGCAAATAATCTAACGGAAACGCTAGCATCACCCAACTTTGACGCGAAGATTAATGCAGCGAAAGCAGAGCTCAATCTAGCACTAAACGACTTAGATCAGTCAAAGAAAGATATTGATAAAGCATTATATTCGTTAGGAGGTCAAGATGATACGGAATCATCCGTTTTAATAAAGAAAGCTAAAGGAGACTTGCAGTTTAGATTAGAATCAAATGCTGATGCATCCGCTGGTTATTTATCAGCTTGTTTAATATTAGAACGTTTGGATAAAGTATACAATGAAATAGAGACATCAACTACATCACCGAAGAAGTCAAACAATGATTTCGTAAATGATGCAACAATTTATGATCCAATTTTACCAGAGATATTTGGACATCTCCTTCGTCAAAGAATTTGGTTATTGAGTGAAGATGAAAAGAACGCAGAAAGTCAAAAATTACTTGACAAGTTGTTTAATTTCCCTACAAATTCAATAAATAAAGCGGAAGAGAATCTTTTATTAGGTAAAATGAGGTTAAGAGAGGCTTACAATAGTTTTCAAAGTGACTTATTTATGTCTTCCTTATCTGATGCTCGTAAGTAACGCTGGAAATAATATTTTGATCTAATATAACATATCATTAGTGATTTCTGTACCTTGTGGTTCAGTTGTTAATGGCCATGATTCTAACTCCCTCAATTCACGTCAACCAAGTATAGAAACATTGGCAGATGCAGAAAAGTTCTTTATGAGTGCACTTGAACTAAATATTGATAAGACCTCAATAAAGGATATACGTCAAGCATGCTTAGGAATCGCGTTAATAAAATCATTTCAAACCTCTCTAGGCAAAGTCAGTAAAAATAACTCGAGATTAGCAGCAACGTATTTAGATTTGGGATCTGCTGTAACTTTACGTAGAGAGCTATTAGAAGTAATTGACAATAAATTGTCACATTCTGAGTCAAGGAATGATATGGATTGGCCTGGAATTGATCAGTTGAATCAAATAAAGTCATTATCACCACATAAGAGAAATTCAAAACGATTGTTTATACCTTCACCTTCGCCATTAGGTTCACCAATGCATGAAAGTGAAAATTTATTTAACGAGGATTTGTCAATAAATAAATATTGGGAAGATATTAAGTCGAGACATTTACGTGAATTCAATAACCCTGAAGAAGGGTTAGTAGAAACTATAAATCAATTACCAAACAATTATTCAGTAATATCGATTTCAATTACGGATGATAAAAAGACAATGTTCGTTGTTAAATTTCGTAAAAATTCTGAACCATTACTGGTTTCCTTACCACTGGATAATAGACAAAATAAACGTGAAGGTGGTGGTGAAGAAGGTGCATTCACATATCGAGACGCAATAGACGAATTACAAAGTATTATAGAAGAAAGTGATAAATCTATTAAATCCGCAAGTGATGGCCAAGTTATAACTGATGATGACAAAGTAGATTGGTGGAATTGCCGTAAACATTTGGATTCCAGAATGAGACAATTTGTTAAGAATATTGAATTTTGCTGGTTAGGTGTATTCAAAAGTTTATTCTTAAAACCAACAGCTAAAAGTGAGAATGCATTGAATGGTTTAAGAGGATGTTTAGAGAAGGTTTTCAAAAGACATATACATTCAAATGGTAGAAAAAGATTAAATTCCAAAGTCAAACTGGATGATGCACTCTTAGAATGTTTCTCAGCTTTGCAAACTAATTGCAAAGATGAGGAATTAGAAGATCTAATTTACTTCGTTTTAGATATTCATGGTTTCCACGGTATACAGTTAGCACTAGCTGAAATTGATATTGATCAAGCAACAGTTGATATACGTAGCGCATTAGAAGAATATAGTAATAAGTTCTCTGATGATAATCAAGTAGAGGATGACCAACATACTTTCATCATCTTGGATAAAATGACTCAAACAATGCCATGGGAATCAATACCAACTTTGAGAAATCAGAGCGTTTCTAGAATCCCTTCAATTGGATTTTTAAGAGATAGGATGGACTTAATAAAGCACCTTCATCAAGATAAATTCTATGTTAACCCGAAGAAGACGTTTTGTTTGATTAATCCATCTGGGGATTTAAAGCGTACACAAAAGAACTTCGAGGGGTGGTTTACGAAACTTAAAGAAATTGGTTGGAAAGGTATTACCGGCAGAGAACCACTTGAAGTTGAAATTGCAAATGCACTAGAAACGAATGACTTATTTATGTGAGTTATCATCTTATAACGAACGAAAAAGTGTTAATCGAATTAAGATACTTTGGTCATGGTGGTGGTCAAAAATACATTAGGTCACAGAAGATACGTAACCTCAAGAAATGTGCTACAACGATGTTATGGGGATGTTCTTCAGGCTCTTTGAAATCTACTGGCGACTTTGATTCTTATGGTAATCCAACGAATTATTTGCTAGCTGGTTGTCCATCTTTGGTAGCTAACTTATGGGATGTAACTGATAGAGAGTGAGTATCAAACTTTTTTACAATATAACAAGTAATTAACAAATTATTAGTATTGATAGATTATCTCAAAGCGTTTTTGATAAATTGGGATTGAATTATGATTCAATTTCTAATAATAAGTGTCAAGATAGTATTACAATAACAGAGGCAATAGCAAGCTCGCGTAAGGACTGTAGACTAAAGTATCTCACTGGTTCAGCCGTTGTTGTTTATGGAATACCAATCCAATTAAGATAGATGATGATATAAAAGTAATAAATAAATGAATCGATAGTTAAATTAAACATATACGAAAGCATTTGCTGATTTAATAAGTATGTAAAAGTTAGCAGCGATCCCGGCAAACCATGCAACTGTTCTAAGTGCCTGAGATTGATATAAGTTTAGGTATTATCTAAAAAGATATGGAACTTACTGCAGATCTTGGTGATTGCTGAAATGCGTAAGCTAATGAAAAAATGATACGTGTTGCAATGCTTGAAAGTGATTGTCAGAATGTGAAACAATAGTTACAATGACTAACAAGAAAATTGCAAAGTGGTTACGAGTTACAACATGCAAGTTAGCAATGTTAGCTAATATCAAACTAGTAGCAAATAACGGGAAAGTCTCATGTGCATTTTGGTGGAGCGCTTCCAACCTTTGAATTTGGAGTTGTTTGTGTGGTGGTAAATTTTGGTTAGCTTTCAGCGTGTTTTGACGTGGTTGTACGCTGAATAATGATAAATAATATTCCTTAAGTAATTATTACTAACTTGTTGTATTTATAACCATAAGATGACCCTTATATAAGTGTTATAAATGTAGGGAAGATAACTTAGAAGAACCTACAAATAACGATTTTAGACGCGTGTGGTAAGAAACCAATTATCCAAGCTAAAGGTAATGCAAGTAACGAGTAATTATTGGAATTTAACAATGATAACATGATGGTAGTTTAAGAAGAGGAATAAATATATATATATAATTACAGTAAATTGATGTTAATAGCAAGATTGTATAGGATCAGCTTTAACGTTTGACCATTCATTTTGATCATCAATCGTGGTATCTATCTCTGAAGCGCATACTCTGAAGTTGTAAATGAGAAAACATATGAGTTTTGATAGAGTGATACTAACAAGTTATCACCTTTAATTAGGTACAGACCTAAATCAACCGTTTGGACGCCTTGATCTGAGCTGAAAACTCTCTCAAATGATTGGGAAAGAATAATATTTGAGTTATTATCATAACCTTGTAGATGTCCCTTTTTAAAATAATAAATGAAAGTGCTTGAATCAGTTAGAAATCTCTTACTATTAAACATCTACCATCAGTTGTAATCAATAGTAGTTTCTCTAAATAATTAGTTTAAATTTACAAAAGAAAACGTACTCAACTGAAGTAATAATTACTTAATTCTGCCATAATGATTTATTCAAATGACAACCTAAACAAGAAGAACGAAACCAAGTTGTTTGAATTATTCAAGTTATCTTTTGAGTTGAATAATTTTAATTACGCGAACAAATCTTTAAGTTTATTATTGAGAATGAATTTGTCTATAAGATTATTATACGATTTATTAGTCTATATCGATTTCATTTATAATAACGATCTACTAAAACAATTAGAATTATTAATAATTAAAGAGCAAAACGTTGAACTTTTAAAGTACTTCTTATTCACTCTAATCAAACAAAATTTTATAAATCAAAGTTTTAATCACTTAGAATTTTATATACATCAATTCCCATACAAAGATGATGACCAATTACAGTCATTATTTAAATTACTAAATGCTAAAATCAATACTAAACAAGAGGCTATTATCAACGACTAATTATTTAAATAAGGACCCTTTTAAACTCCCTTTTGATCCTTCTTTATCTTCAACATCTCAATCTGACGATTTAAATCAAGAATTCTACCCTAAACCTATAGAAAGAGTTAATGAGTCTATTCCTATTAAAAAATCGAGATTATTATATCAATCTAGACATAGAGGTACTTTAGAATCCGATCTAATTCTATCTACGTTTGCTCAGAAGTACTTAAGTCAAATGGACACAAAAGAGTTAAATGATTTCGACAAGTTAATGGATGAACCTGATTGGGACATTTATTATTGGTCTTTAAACAGGAAACCTTTACCTCAAAGATGGGAGAACAATCCAATCATTGATAAACTCAAATTGCACGTAAAGAATGAAGAAAAAGTTTCAAAAAGGATGCCACCTGTACAAGCTATAAAATTAGATTAAACTTTTAACCACTTATTCCCATCGCCCCATCTCTTTTTTGACGTTTTATTTGTCTTGGTTTTATTACTCTTTAGGAAGTTTTGGAATTCTTCCATTTCTTCTTGATTTATTATAAGTTGTGATTGTTGTTGTTGATGATATCTTGATCTACTGTTAACACTCTTTATCAACCAAAAGAATGTCAATAATGTTATTATTAATAATCCTCCCCTTAATCCAATTTCATTTGCAAAACCCTCTAGTATTTCTGCAAATGCTGCCGCACCTACTCTTGCTATACCGACCGTTGTTGGATCTCTGTGCATACATTGCTCAAATTGTATACAGGCTTCCTCACTTACAGGCACCCTTGTTTTTGGATCGCATTGATTTAATGCGTATGATCTTGCGCATGCACTAGCTTCTGAGTTCATCGTTTGAACATAATATTCTACCTTATCTTCAACATCTTTCAATATAGTTTTAACTAACTTATAAACTAGACTGGATAACCCTAATAATAAGAACAAATTGAAACCGGTTTGAGCGTATTTTGTTAATAGAATGGGTAAATCGTCATACTTTTTGATCATAAGTTAGATGAAGGTGAGAATAATATTATAACTCACATTTATATTGTTATCGTTAGGTTGATCATGTGACTTTTGTTGGTTTCGTATTCTCTTTTTACGCATTTTATTAACTGCGTTAGAATTTAGCTTTAATCTATTATCTGGATTATCCTTTTTAGGTGATGCATCAGCCATTTCAACTTCACCAAGACCTAAACTAGATTTTACGTCCCATTTAAATGAATCAAAATTATTATTATCATTCTCTATTGGCTTTACTTCTGTCGTATGGAATAAAAACGGCGTGTTGCTACCAACTAAGTTTGATCTTCTATCTTTATCGTTAAATGGTATCCTAGAACTCGATGCTTCGTTAATGTTATTAAATGGTCTTTTTGAAGGTCTCTCATTGGTATAATCAAAATCCATAGGCGCTTCCATTGATCGTCCGAAGGACATTCTCGTATTTTTAGGACGTTTATCGACGTTCTATAGAAAGAATGAAAATAAGCTATTATGTAGAATTTTATTTTATATTTTAAAGAAGACGCGTGTATTCTTTCAAATTACCCCTCCACCTCTCTCTTCCTTTATAACCATCATTTATACAATCTATTAGATCACTTTAATTTTATATTTAATATCACCAATACACCATTCAGACTATGTTATCTTTATTATTTTATCAATAACTTTATTGCTTATATTTGGTGCTATCTCAATACATCTTTAACATTGTCATTTGAGGAATCCAACTAGTAGATATTTCCATACGTACGGTGTAAATTCTTAAATATAAGATCTAAAGGTCTTCCGAGGAACACAACTTACTCAACATTCCAGCGATATACTTAAATTATATGATAGTATCTTTTGATCTGTATGACCTAAGCTAAGCGAGTACTTAAATTTTGAGATGAAGTCAATAAATAAACTTCCATTTTTTGTTGAAACTAAGCATCTATTATGATCCGTTATCATATCTCTATCTTCGATATTATTGAGACTTACTAAAACAGTCAACAGAAAAACATCGGGTATCCTTGATTTCCCATTACACTTGATAAATACACACTTTAAGCAAAGACTTTTGTTGCTACTGTGTGTAGCAGCTTTTGGATCGCCTTTGTAAAGGGTCTTGTTTCATCAATGAATGCCACTGATGATTCTCTAATAACGACCAAATACGCTTATCCTGATATGACATGTACCCAATATTAACGTAGATCTTAGTATAGTACGATTATGTAGCCATGTAAACCTAAGTTCATATGAAACAGAGAAGCCCAAATTGTTGATAAGTAACACTAATCTGACAACAGCGTCACCCTACCTAATGCAATGTTCTCAACCAAGGTCTATTTTTCGACAAAACATGTGAGATCAACAAAGGTATCTTTTTTCAGTTGTTAGGGATGACTAGCTTACAATTAAGGTAGTATTATGTCAATCAAAGGTGCTATACCAAACCATTGGTCAACATCTCATATTTATGGTTGAGATTAAGGATTAACAAACCTCAGCAGCATAAATCGCTGTTATATAGTCATTCGGACCGTTAGATCAAAACAAATAGCAACCACTCCGATCATACCGTCTGTAAAAGCCTTAAAAAAGTCAACTGACTCTACATATCAAAACTACCATCGAGATCGTGATCTTATGAGAAAACGTTAACTGAATGCCTTGTTAAGTGGTATTTTTCAGCCATGAAAGCTAATCTTTACATGTTATCGTCACGATTCACTTGCGGAATAACCTGAGTTATTACATCATCAATCCTTCCTCAATGGTTGCTAATTAAATGTAATAAACGCCACAACCATATGATCTTATATGATTTTAAAACGGACGGTCGCCAAAAGTGTCAAAGAAACTAACTGATGATCAATCGAACGTCATACTTGAATGGTCGACCTTATCGAAAATTGTTCGCTCACCAATATTACGTGAAACATTAATGTCCTTCTCGCATGCGTAAGCTGTTTATTATTTCAGGAAAGCTTCCGTACGATTCTTACAGTCGGACTCAGTACTCTAGTTCGATTGAAGCCTGGCAAACGTCGCTCAATATACCATTATTTGACGAATCTGTTAAGGTCATATATCATTGTGCTAAGATGCTTTTAGTTTCTTAAATTCCTGTATATCAAAATGTTTTATTTGTTTTCCTATTACTAAAGGGGGAATGGAGGATACTAGGACTTCTTACTCTAGTTGCTATTCATCCAAATGAAGTGTATTATTATTTCTCCATAAGGAATTTCAATTGAGTTGCTGTTTTCCTTGTGCTTTTCAATTATTTACGTTCATTTGGTTAAAGGTTGTCGATGTAACGTACTGTGACACGTATTGAGATGATTAAATTAAGTGCATTGCACCTATGAGAGGGATACCTCTAAAGTATAAGTGAATGCTGCATTATGTACATTCTGCAATTTTCAGAAGAATTGGTTTTCATCTGTACAAAAATTATCCTTTTCTCTTATGAATGGCCAACGGCTTTATGTCTTACGTCGTAGTTGTGCAAATCATGAACAAAAAGGACTACCTCGACAAGTTGTGTGCTTTTTCTTGGAAAAGGTATTATTGGATTTGTGAGGCAACGAAACCAAACATTCATCTTATCTCAAAACTAGTTATCCTATATATTTTTGTCGTACAAAATCTATTCCAGCCAACTTCAATTATACAAGCGGATGACGGGATTGGCTACATATATTGAAAAGAAATATATTGCGAATTATGGAAGTGAGATCAGCGCTACTGCTTAAAATAACCGTGTAATTTTTCTGCAATGTTTCATAGCTTTCGTCATAAACAGGCTCGATTGTAGGAAATTAGACTCCAAAGTTTCAAACATCTGAGAAGTGACATATTTATTATGATCTATAATGGATGGTGCAGTCATAGCAATTGAAACGATACCAAACAGTGATTAAGGAGAGAATACACACAACGTGTTGTTTACAAGATGTATTGTGTATCCATCATATGCATCTACTTTTTGATCGTTGAATACTTAACGCCTTCCAATTATTGATTAATTTTGGAAGTTTCAAAGCAGAGAATGTTATGAGCTATAGGAGCAAGTACGGATTATAAGCTCTGAGGAAGATATACGTCCACTGACTAACATTTTCTATGATATCAACTGTGTCATAATAAGCGACTACAGTATAATTCGTATCGACTGAATGAGCGTACTCATTCTGAACGTAATGGATCTCTGATGAACTGATGTAATAACCTCCAATTTATTCCCAATTTTAATCTCGTGACAACAAACATTTTTACTGCGCATTGCAGTATTGTATATTGGTGTCCACGAAGGGGACTGAATTCTGGAATTGGTACCATAAACAGTACATATAAACTTTAACAGAATATATTAAACTTGGTTGAAACCCTCTAGCATTAGTTGAAATACTGACTGAACATTGGGTTATGAATGGCTTTATTTGGGTATTTCGACATCCATCAGCTAGTGAACG